ATTGAAACTCAGGATGTTTGCGCTGCACTAGAAAGTCACTCTAATAAATACGGAGTCCCAGCATTTATTTACGTGGACAATGGAACCCAGCTGAAGGCATTGCAGTTTGCGAAATTTTCAGTACGAGACTTAGAGGCTCAAGTACAAGATAATCTATGTGTGAAGATACTGGTTTCCAGTGCTAAAACCCACTCAGAGAGAGGACGAGTAGAGAGGAGGATTCGAGTTTTGAGAGAAACCCTGGAGAAGTTAGGAGTAAATGTTGCTACACCTATGACATGCATGCAGTGGGATACACTATTCTCAAGGATATCCAATTCAATAAATAATTTGCCTTTAGCTAGGGGTGATACTTCTAATGAGTCTAGTCTAGGGTATGAAATCATTACCCCAAAAAGATTGAAACTAGGGAGGAACAATTATAGGTTTTTGGAGGGGAATGAGATTGATCTAGGTATGAGCTCTAATTTTACCAAAATATTGGATAGAAACTGGTCAATTTACCAACAGTGGTATCAATCCTTTTTAGACAATATACATTTACTAAATTTACGTCCAAACAAATGGTTGAAATCAAGTCGGTTGCCTAGTATTAATGTTTTAATCGCTGATGCAACCAGAAGACGTAAATTAGTTTATATATTGTTAATTAATTTCTTGATTTTTAGACTATTGACAACGGAGGATCTCCGGAAGAGGATTGAGAGGAGATTGATGGAGCAGAGAAGTGAGGTTTACAATCCGTCCATGACCATGTTAATCCCTCAGGAAGGAGAGAAGGTATGGGGAGAGAAGAGGACTGGAAACAAGGTGGACATGGTTGCGGAGATTGTGGGTTACAGGCACCGGATTAACACTGGCAGGGACCAGGCCTGTATGCTGAGGTACCTTACTAGGGTGTCCAGAGCTGGACTGGATCAGCCTAGTGTTCTCAACTCCTGTCAGTTCTTACCTGTGGATGCTCCCCTGCTAGACTTTTTGGTAGAGGATTCTAAAGGTGTTGAAGGTTGGAAATATCCTAAATTAGATGATCTAGAACTGTACCAATCTGAGAGGGGATTGAACTTGAAGATGTTGGATAGGATCGAGGTTCGGGAGCTAGTGTTCGGTGTTAGTTCTGACCAGGAGATTGAGGAAACCCGAGAGTGGATAAAGAAGATGCATGGGTTGGATCAAGACAGGTTCTGCTCTCAGGTGGTTTCACTAGATGTTGAGGACGTCAAGACGACCTATTACGGTACACTCCGGATGGCTGGTAAGCTCAGTATTGATCCTAAGAAAGCAGTTCTCCGGACTAGTGTAGAGACTGATCTGGCTCATGGATATTCAAAGGATGGTTGGAAGCATCGTTCTGGACGCAAGAGAGTTGGAAGTCAATCTGGAGTAAAATCAGGTAAAGTAAAGAAGAGGAGGTTGAGATCATCAAAGAGTGGAGAGAAGAATCTCCCTAGTGTTGAAGCATCAGGTCGGTCTCCGTCTCAGCCAGCTCCAGGCTTGCCTGGAGTTGTGAATGAGCTCAGAAACCAGGCCAGCGGGCTTCACCAGGGGGAGGAGATGGAAGAGGTGGTTTTCCTGGACGAGAATGATGAGGTCATGGTTGAGGATGAGCCTGAGGCCCTGCCTCCTCCTCCCAAACCTGTAAAGAAGAGGTTGAGTTCTGCGTTGAAGTGTTCTAGGTCTGAGAAGAGTAAACCTAGGACGTATGATAAGATGATTGAAGGTGTTGGAGATGAAGCTGAGTTTCCTGATAACCTGGATTTTGAGTTTGAGATTCCGAAGTAGGTTGAGGATTTCGGGTTCTAGAAGAGGAAACTTGCAGGCAGTAATATGGAAGCAGGAGCACAAGTGATAAAGTGATTTTCTTTTCAGGGTTGGACGATTAATAGAGAAGATCTCAAGTCCAGTTGCGGGGTGCAGTTGAACTTGTTTCTTTCTTTTCTTTCTTGGTTGGCGAGTGTTTTGCGAGCCATCTCACAACCAATGTTTAAGTCAAGTTGCCCCTGTGAAGATCTGTATTGCCCATGGGAAGCGTACTGTGTGTGTCTGTTGCTGTATTCTTGAAGATTCTGGGCAGAAGCTAGTTTATGTATAGTACCGGTTTTATAATAATAGCGTTCATTTTTAACACAGTTTTGGTCAATGAGCGGGCTCAGACACATGTCTGTCCCTTGATTAAAGTTATTTCCGTTCAAATAAGTATTTCCCCAGGATCAATGTGGTAAGATTTACGCTATTTATTACCTTATAAACCTGAGATTGTGAAAGTTTTAAATTAATCATACGTTTATCAAAGTTTTTGATGTTTTGTAAAAGATGAATATTTAAAGTAAAATATTGTTTATTTAATCTATGTATAACTACAGTTTTTTATGCCTAAATGAAACGTTTTTGATCGAAGAATTTTTAAAATTTATGGTTCATTATGTGCTTTTTCTGTAGTAATTCTTTTATGGTTTAGATTGAAGTTCCGAAATATAAATTGAGTTCGAGACGAGTTTTTTATTCTTACAAAAGATGAGTCGATCTCGAGAGAGAGGATCTTCCGATCAATCCAGGAGGAATACAACCCGGTAACAATTTACGACCATCACTCGGGGTTGAGAAACATTCAATCACCAGGCTAGGGAGCTAGTCTTAGAGAAGGACGAAGAAATATCAGAACTTAAGGCTGAAAGGAATAATACCAGATTACTCCTGGAACACCTGGAGTGCTTAGTTTCTAGACATGAACGATCCCTTAGAATGACAGTTGTTAAACGTCAGACTGCGTCCCAATCTGGTGTATCAAGTGAAGTGGAAGTTCTTAAAGCATTGAAATCTCTCTTTGAACACCACAAAGCTTTAGATGAGAAGGTGCGTGAGAGATTGTGTGTAGCTCTGGAGAAAAATGCTACTTTGGAGGAGGAGTGTAGTTCAGTCAGGGAAGAATTAAGCAGACAGAGACTAGGGTTTATTGAGGAGGAGGAGAAGAAAGCAAAGGAAGGATATGAGGAGAGGAAAGGAGAAGACGGAGAGAAGAAAATTAATGGAACTCTGGACCCAGAGGTCCTTGAGTTAAGAAAGCAGCTAGAGAAGCAGAGTAACGACCTTGGGAACGCAACGAGGTTGGTCGGAGAGTTGAGGGGGAAGGTGACTGACCTTGAGGACAAACTGATCGGGAACAACAAGGAGCTCCACGGAGCACAGGACCTCAATCAGGCTCTACAGCATGAGTTCAAGGAGACAATGGCTCAGAAAGAAGATCAGGAAGAGAGAATTGCAACCTTAAAGAAGAGGTATCTAAACAGTCAGAGAGAAGCAACTCAGCTTCATGATATCAACGCTAGGCTAGAACAGGAGATTAAGAACAAGGAGGAACAAATTTGTCTCTACCAGGAGAAGATAAAAGCAATCAACGAGAAGCTTGATATCGCAGAACAGAAGCTAATAGAGTACGCTTCCATGCCAGATATTGAGGAGCAGCTCAAGGATAAAATGGTAGCTCTAGCAGCTGCTTAGGAACGGCAGGGATCTGCAGAGGAGCATGTTAGCCTTCTGGAGAATTCCTTGGAAGAGAAAACACTGAGCTCTCCAGGTTGTCCCAGAGACTGAAAATGAATGAGGAACACAACCAACGTCTGTCCGCTACCATAGACAAACTTCTTACCGAGAGTAACGAAAGGTTACAGGTTCACCTGAAGGAGAGAATGCATGCTCTAGAGGAGAAGAATAATCTGACTAACAAGCTGACCGCTACAAGGAAGAAATTAGAGGATTTAGCAAATATCAAGGGTGAGACTACCAAGGAACTACAGAAGAGTAGACTTGAGACAGAAAACCTGAAGAGACAGATTCTACAACAGGAGATATCATTTAATATTCAGAAAACAGAGGCTTTAACCAGAAATCTGTCTCCTGGAAACCATGAAGTGTTAGTAGTTAGTATTAAAGCCCGGTTTTAGGCCAAAAGGGAGGGCTTTGAATATGTAAGAAAAGTCAGAAAATTTCAACAGCCTCAGACCAACACTTTTTGAGTTATGTAAAAAAAACTACAGGGGGGGGGCAAATTGACCCCCCCCCCCCAGCAGGATAAGTTTTAAATTGTAGTATTTCTTTAAAAGTTGTAAAACTTAACCCATGAATGCAACAAGGAATCAAAGCATGGAGTGCCGGGACACAATAGGCCTGCTCAGCCTATCCAGGTAGAGTGTACAAGCAGTCTGTGTAGTATGTGAACTAGACTTTCAGGCTGTTTCATGCCCATTAATCATTTTAACTTCTAATTATGGCTCTATACTTATTATGGCAACTAGGGATAGCAGGGATAGGGCTAGAAAAAAGTCTCATAACAGAAATGAATTTTAAGATTTATTTGGTCAGCACAAAACAGTAAGTACTCCATGTTATTGATCTAATTACTTTTTATCTTCTGAAAGTAAATCAGCTCCAGGATAAATACTGAAACAAAATAATAGATTTGATAAACATTACTAATTAAATGATGAAGGGACCATGTGACATGTGGGCAGAAAACAGCGAAACAATCTTCGTCTTTTTTTCAAGTTGCGAAATTTAAATTAACTAATTCAAAATAGTATTTCTTAATTAAATGAGAGAACAGAAATGACAATTAACCCAATTTAAAATGGCATCTCTTGATTAATGATAGATGAGAAAATACCATAATTCCAAATAAAAATAGCATTTTTTGATAAAATGAAAAATTTGAAACAATTTATCAACATTTTTTAGGTTTCCACTGCAGAACATTCAATGACCCAAAAAAACTGAGACTTTAACTGTGAATTAAAATTTTTTTCAAAATATAGATTAATTGTCAAGGTTAAATTCAGGAATTGTTACAAAAATAGATGATTGAAAAATGTTTACAGTTCAGGAAAATATGAATGTGAGCACAAAGACTTAATAAATTCTGTACAGTAGTCCCTTAAGTATAATCTTTAGTGGGTAACCCTGTCTGCATCTCAGCCTATACAATATACATGTTTCTGATAAAATCTATCATTCCTAAGGCAGATAATCCCAGTCCAATACCAAGTAGGACATATGCAGCTGCCATGTGCTCAAGATTTAGTTTTTCCTGAAAAGATATAATTTCATGGATCTACTCTACTCTAAATCTAGTTCTTGATTGCAAATTTTTAATGAAAAGCTTGGGGTCTCCATTAAAATTCTGGGGATCCATGATGAAAACCTTGTGATCTCGAAAGAAAGTGTGTGGGTTTCCTTATGGGGTCTTTAATGATAAACTTAAGAACTCCAACCTTGGTTCTCTTGGGGTCTCAGGTGTAAAGCTTGTAACTCTTTAGGAAAGGGTTTAATTGGATTTAGTAGTTTTCAATGAGCACAACATGATTTACACTTTAAATAATAAAAGTTCAAGATTAAACATTAAAAATTATGTAAGGTTGTAATAATGCAATTTAACAAAAGAATTTAGTCGCTGTCACAAACTCAAGTTTTCTGGTTCATCATTGCAATCTGATATTACTAACTTGGATCATTTTATCCAGCAGAATTCATAGTTTGAAATATATGAGGTCTACGACATCAGCTTACAAATATATAGGAATTAAAAAGTCATCCTTACCAAACTAAATTCATCCTCATCAAAATTAATATTATATTTTATTATGTCAATCCAGGCATCAAAATCAGCCTAAATATTGTATTAAGTTCAAATATATTTTCAAGAACAATAGATATCTTCTTGAATTCTTGATAATCTATTTGCTTCAGTTTATAGTATGTGAAAAAATTTGGTTACTCAATTATTGACTAGAAACTGTTAAATTATTTCTATAAAACTCAAACTTAAAAAAAAATTTGAGAACTAGGAAAATTCTTAAAATATCAAAATTTTACCAAATCAAAAATTGTAAATTAAGCAGTATGCTTTTTTTAGATAGCCATGAAGACAACCTTTAGAATTACTCAATCATTGATTTAAACTGTTAAATTATTTCCTTGAAACTTAAAAAATTTATAAATACGAAATTTCCCAATATTTTGATTCCAGAGCTTATCATTTATGAAATATTTATTTTTTTAAATTCAAAATTTAACCAAATCAAAAAATGTAAATTAATCAATATGTTTATTTGTAGATGGTCAAGGAGAAAAACTGCTTAGAAAAGTGCTTAGTTTAAGATTATTTTTTTTTCTAAGTAACATTCTCTAGATGTTTGGTTTCACCACATACATTATAAAATGTTGTTGCTGACAGAAGATAAGGGCCTAGAGTAAGCAAATTCATGTCTGGCTTGAACATCAAATTAAAAATTGTTTAGACTGATAGCTTAATATCTTTGATTAGAATCCGCACATTTTATAGTGTAATAAATCATCTTTTTGAGCAAATGATTTAAAAACATGCTACAGTTCTCATACTTTAGAATATTCTATTGAAGTTAAAATACTAAAATAAAATGTAGAAAAAATTAGATGACATGTCCATGATGGAAAGATGGCGTTCAACAATTTATTAAAATTGTGTACTGAAGGATGGGTTATTATTTCTATAAAAGTTTCAACCTGAAAGCATCTCAGAACATGAACATTAATCAGCTCTGCCCATATTGATTGCTTAGGCAAAATCCAATGAATTAAAGATGACTTTAAAACTTCCTAAATTTGATGGAGAAAATATTTACAAGCTTGAAAAACCTTCCTTAGAATAATTGATTAGCCTAAATAGAATTAAATAATCAAACAAGTTCATTGATTGAAAGCTAATGGAAATACTGTATTAAATATATTAATAAATATTTCATGGATTGACTATTTTTTGTAAAATCATATTACATCACTCTCATATAATCTGTACTCATTTCCTCCAGGGAGCAAATCCTAGATAATAAATAAATTAAAAGTATAGAATTTATTAATTGCTATAAAATAATGTCAAAATTTATGAATGATTTCAAATAGTCCAACCAAAATTTGGTATACAAATTTTAAGGGTTAGTAAAATCAGCTTTAGAAAAAGGGCTTTGACCACTTGAGTTAAACTTAGATATCATATTATTTGTGAGTTTCTAATTGTAGTTGTTAAATTTGTATAGGTAATGACCCATAAGGAACCATCGCGTCGGATAGAGGGTCTGAGACGTCCTCCCGTCCCCCTCCGACTATGTTTTTCGAAAACTTATCTTTCACTAAATATTTGTAACTTGAGAAATAACCATTAAAATATTTGAGCATTCCTCTCTCCATCCCTTTTTTCAAGCACCCCTCCTGCGTCAGTAGAGGTCGTAAATGCACGACCCTGTTCCCATCCCTGTTCAGTTTTAGTAGGTATCATATTTCTTCAGAATGTGTTATATGTCCCAACCCCAGTTTTGTCTGTTTCCCCCCAAGTCAGATAGAGGTCGGCATTATGATCCTGTTCAAGACCCTGTTCAGTTTTATTATGTATCATATTTCTTCAACACATGTGTCGGTCCTTTCCCATGCCTCCCCTTTTGTAGCCCAAAATATTTCCCCACCCACTCAATATGCNAGATTTTCTAAGCTGTGAAATATATACATCTTCTCTGAAGCTTTCAAACAGCTTCAATTTTTAACAAATTTATGAAAATTAGTCAGAAACAATCTTTGTTAATTTTTGACAGTAAAATATGGCATAAAAAGAGGCGTAACAAGGAGGGGTGGACAGCCGGGCGCGCGCCCCCTCCTTTCACCTGAGAGTGGGGGGGGGGCCTCCCCACCCCTACAGCTTGTAAAGAAATTTAGAGTGGTCTGAGGTTGGAACCATGGAAACAAAAGTTGTAGAGGACATTAAGGGCTTTCCATTTTAGTAAAAATATTGGCCGTCAGACAAGTAGTCGCTGAAAAATTGGCCGCCAAAAAAAAAGTTTTAAAAAAGTGATTTTTTCACTTTTTTTACATTTCATAGTATTAAGAACATATTCGAAAAAAAATTGTAACCAAAATTTTTTTTTGGTATGTGATTGATTGATTGAGTTAGGTTATGTTAGGTTAGGTTAGGTTAGGTTAGGTTTGTAATTTATATTTTTAATGCTCTGAGAGAAAAGCAAAGACAGTTTTAGAGGTCGGAGGCTGTTACTCGTGGCCCACCAAACCATATTACGTTTCTTACGAAATTTCGTTTTCTCTTTTGTTTCTGTTTCGTTTCTGTAACGTTACATGAAACGTAACGTTACATAACGTTTTAGAACCGTATTTGAAACGTTTCTGAATACCAATCAGTTTTCGGCAATTGCGCGGGCGGCGGGGCCTGCCATAGTGATAGGACAGGTCCTGGGATCGGCGCGCACGGCTTTTAGGTAGTTTGGGTAAGGCGTGGCCCCCCATTTGACCAGGCGGAAGGCACTGCTGAGTGCAGAGTAACCACAACCAGTGTTGCCAACCACCCAAATCTTTAGGCCCAAAACGAGAAAACAGCCCGAATGAAATTGCTTTGGGCGTAAGGAAATTGTGGGCCTAATTTTGGGCCGAAAGAAAATTGTTGATCTTAATTGGTAAAGAAGGCAGCCAGGCATTGTTTGGATAAAGTAAGAATGAAATTACTTCATGAGTTTTAGAATTTTTCACAGACCTCATATCAAGGTTGATATAGTAAACTAAAGTTTAAAACATGGAGATGTCTGAACCTTTTTCCTTGGGTAGAAACTGGAACAAATCATGGATTCTATACAAATGAATATTATAATTTATTAGCTTTCAGGTCGCTTTGTGCCAATCTATATCAATTAAGAACATTTTCTCTTTGTTTTATATATATATTATATAAATAAAACAATACAAAAAAAGTTGCAGATTTTGTAAAAAAAATTGTGCATTTAAAAAATTTTAATGGAAATTGATTGTGGTTCCAGAGGCTAATTTTCTATTCAGATATTTATGCTGGAAGATATTTGAATCAAAAGACGCAATAAATTAGGTATTTTGGTAAAATATTTAAAATTAGGCCCAAAAATTTGCTTTCAGGCCCAAAAATTTTTTTGCCCCCCAATTTCTGTCGTTCCCAGCTATCCAAATTGCGTAAGCAACATAATCGCATATTATTTTGGCTCCAATTACGCAATTAAAACGCAAATTTGCGTAAGACTAGATTTCAAATTAGTGTAAATATCTAGTTTTTCTAAAGAAAATATTTTATAACCCAGCTTTAAGTAAAAATATCATGAATTTGTGGAGATGTGTATCATTTTATTTCAGGTATACAAATTGTGTAAAAATACGCTCAATTTTCATAATTCCCTAAAACTCTAAATCTAAATTATTTGTAAAATATCTAAAATTTCCGATACGCCAATTTTGCATTTTCCAAAAAAAATTGAAAAAATAATATTTTAAAAAGAATTTAAGTTGTCTTTGTTAGCATTAAAATTGCGTAAAAATTACACTATTTTTACGCATATGTTTTGAGTGTTTTAAATATTGAAGAATTGAGTGGCCTAGGTGTGTGTGCATAGTGCAGAGTGCAGCAATGTTATATTATATAGAAAGCCGTGTGATATGTAGATAAGGGTTACGCATATATTTTGAGTGTTTTAAATATTGAAGAATTGAGTGGCCCTGCAGGTGTGTGTGCATAGTGCAGAGTGCAGCAATGTTATATTATATAGAAAGCCGTGTGATATGTAGATAAGGGTGGGAAGGGGGGGGGATAATTGGGCAGAGAATTTACAGTGCTATATAGCACACTGGTTTTTAGTACCAAATTTCACCGCTAGGTGTCTCTATTTGTTTCACGTAAAGTTTTTAAAAAGTGTAAAGGATCAGGTTAAATTTTTACTAAAAATATATCATTTAGAAGTCAAGATTTGGGTTTTAAATTATTTTAAATTTTTATAATAAAACATTTTTATTAGGAAAATTCACTGAATTTTCTATCAAAAAGTTTTATATAACTTTTATAACTCTCATACAAGTACAAAGCTTGACGCTATAATTTCTATGTTGAACTGTATTCCGGATGAATGGGAACAGTTCAGAGAGAGTACTATACCGGTACTCAGGGATGGATGGCCTATCTGCATGCATCAAATATTGCATAATTTTTGGTAATTGAGAAAAAATAAAAATGCGCATTTTTGGCGTAAATTTGTATAATATTATTATGTAAATTTTACGTCTACTAAAACCAATAAATTTTCGTAGCTAAGTGTGCGATTTTACGTCTTTCATGACGTAAAAAGAGCCAAAACCTCTATGCAAAATTTACGTATAAATGCGAAAAGTGATGCTTAAATTGTGCTCTTTTTGCGCAATTTGGCTAGCTGGGTTGTTGGGGGGGGCTTCGCCCCAAATTCTAAAATATAAGCCTAAAGATTGGATTTTGGGCCTAACTGTATCCTCTCTCCGGCATAGACCCCTCTTTTGGAGTTGGCAACACTGAGTCCACAACCAGTCAGTCAGTTCAGTAGTCAGTCACCTAGTGTCCAGTAACTCGGTTATTATTCACGTAGCAGCTTCAATCACAACTATATCTCAGATATTCAATCACATTCAGACAGGGGAAGAAGAACAAGATTAAAAGCGAAGTTTTTTATTATATAAGTCATTTCTTTGCTAAGCTGGTAGATCGAACAAAAGTCATATCTAATAATTAAACAAGCAAATCAACATTAAAAGCTGGATGCAGGAATTGCAGAAGTAATTAGCCAAATATCACTGTATTTAAATGATGTTAAAATATGTTTAGTATTAATATTTAGGGATTTTTTTTTATATTTACTGTTTATATTTTTATCCTTTTCCTCAATAACTGTGAATATTATCTTTTATACATCATTAAAAAATAGGACTTTAATCTGTTTGTTATAGTTCAGACTTTATTCAGTTTGTTTAGTTTAGACTTTATTCAGTTTGGTTAGTTCAGACTTTATTCAGTTTGTTATAGTTCAGACTTTAATCTGTTTGTTTAGTTCAGACTTTATTCAGTTTGTTTAGTTCAGACTTTAATCTGTTTGTTTAGTTCAGACTTTAATCTGTTTGTTTAGTTTTGAATGTTTAGTATTAGTATTTTGTGATTTTTTATATTTGCTGTTTATTTTTGAACCCGATCTTGTAAACCTTTGATATTTCAAACTCAGATTATTTGATTTAAAAGAATTCATAGTTGGAAATATCTCAGGTCTACAACATTTGGTTCCAATGATATAGTGATTAAAAAATTAGAGTTTGTGGCAAAGACTCAATTCCTTTAATATAAAATGCTAGTTATCCATGATACTGGATGTTATTAAATAGTGGAGTATTTTCAATGATTTTTTATTTACTGTATATTTTTAATCTTATTCTTTTCTACAGTACATAACATTCAACTGTATGTATGTGTTCTCTTAAATATGAAAAAAAAGACATGATAAGTATATACTGTTCTCTACAGATTTAGGATAAGGATTTAGTGTTCTCTATATTAGTAAGATATATTTAGTGTTCTATATAGAATATTAAGCTAAGTACTAAGTATATATACATATATAAGATTTTTTTCTTCAGATTTTTTTTGCATTTGAACATTTTAAAACAAAATTTGAAAGGTTTTTATTAATGTTTTACGTAACTAAAACGTTAAAAATTCGAATTTTTTACGATCTTAAAACGTTTCTGTGAAATGATACTGTAAAACATTTCAGTAACATAAAAAGTGGTTTGTTTTACGTAGCATTTACGTATCAGGATAACGAAGCCATAACATAACGCTACCTTACATAACGTTTCTGTAACGTTCTAGAAATGAAATTTGGTTTGTCAGGAGAGATAAGGAGGTTTTTAGGAAGAAGGGTATAGGGGATTTCTCCCTGTGTTCCTTCATTTTATACTGTTTCCCAGTTAGGGGAATTAAGGAATTTACCCATAACTGCACCCCATATGCAAAATGGGGAGTTGTGATCCCTAATAACTCTATTGAGAGGTATCTTCCATGGCAGTCCAGTCCTCACATCTGGTCGAGTAAAAAACCGGTATAATGCATGGCTTGTATTCCCACGAGGGGTTAAAATCCTCTTTCAGTGAACCAAGCAAATATATATATTTATATATATTTTATTTCATTAGATCATATATTTATTAGCTCATAATTGGCATTTTAGGGAAAATTAAAACATTTAAAAACCAAAAATCGAGTATATATGTACTTATTTTGAGGTTCAAACTTGGAAATAATCTTAATAGTTACGGGGTACTCTGTTCATGAAAATGACGATAAGTCCATATTAAAGACGACATTGTTTATTGAAGACAAAGTTAAGAATGCCCTGCAAAATATTATAACCAAATTAATTAATCTTGCGAATAAATCAATCACATGATTTTGGAACCTCCTCCTATCAATTTTGTCCCAGTGCTCAGCCACATAGCTTCTGATATTTGCAGTGCTTGGCTTACACATATTATATATCTTCATTTAATCTAAGCCTAAAATAAATAATACCTATTTTATACCTATTTTTCTCTTGGAAGTTTTAAGGGAGGGGGGCTAAATATTTAGGTTATTTCCTTGAGAACCCCCCTCCAGGCCCCCCCCCCTCCTATCAATTTAGTACATGGATCTCACAGTAAGTGTCTCAACTTAATTGACCATGTGGCCGCAGCGCTCGGACCCCTATAGCCTGTCCTTGCTGCAGAGCTTGGCCCAGAAAGTGTCTTAACCTAACCTAACCCTTAATAATAACTAAATACTTTTTTACTTATTTGGTCATGTACAAAATTGATAGGATTTAATGGAAAATTTTAAAATTTAAATTTTTTAAGTTTCTCTCGATCGAACAAACTTGGAACCTTCTCCTATCAATTTTGTTGTATTGCTCAACTACCTAGCTTGTCATATTCGCAGTGCTCGTCTTACACATATTATCTTCATTTAATCTAAATATATACCAAAAATAAGTTTCATGTACTGTTCATCTTTAGCGGCCTTGGAAAAGGTCTTAAATGATTTGTGATCAAATGATCACTGGAGAGGTTCAGGCTCTGCAAACAACCGCTCTATTTCCAGGTTGAAACGCTGGAGGAATTCAACTTGGGAGTCAATGAAAATTAACATTGAATCCAGGTTGTCCGAGGTGTGGTTGAATGGATCCCAAAACTCCCGGTTATATATATATATATATATATTATTGTATATGAATAAAAATCAATAAAGCAATGCACTGAGTTTCTCACACTCTTATCAACAAATCNGACAATATATATAATTTCATGCTACTTTATTACAAACCATGACAAACAAATCAAAGTTTGATAACCAAACAGAGAACTGCAACTCATTATTAATCGTGTGCAAAATACATATTACATTTAGGTTTTTTATTTTATATTTTTTCGTGTTACAAAATTAAAAGAACTAGCCAAGACAACATTACTAAATCTAACGGCTAGTTCCACCTGGTGTTGAAATAATAAATCATTGACATAGTTTCCCCCTTCCCCCTGTAGTCGTAATATTCAATGACGTATAAATCTTAATTTAATTAACCAATAACGTGACAGTGATTGACAGGTAAACCATATCAAGAAAAATTCTATCCAATATCGCAAACACTAAATATTTAATTTAATTCAAAAATGTCCACCAGATGGAGATCTTTTACACACAGGATATGTTGCCTACATGTTTACCTTTTTACATATTTACGCAAAAATAAAAATAAATAACCAAAATTTACTATAAAGTTTGGACCTGACTAACCAGAGTTTGTAGTTGTAATTTGCTTGCCCACTTTGATTTGTTTGCCATATCCTATTTTTAAAAGGTAGGAAAATTTTTATATGCTTTACCCAGTCTGTTAAGGCTACGAATAAGAGCAATTATGCCATTGTTCAGACATTCAAATCGACATGCGGATATTGAAATCCCTGTACGACTTTTTTCATAGTTTAACAAGGCACATTATCCATATGTTAGAGATGATAGGAGAATGGATTTTAGACNAACCTAACATGTGGCCACAGCACTCGTTTATATCACCATCTATCTTTGAAATTTTTAACTTTTGTCAATCTACTTTGTTAACTCTACTCTAAATAAATTATAATTCATTAAAAATGTTTTTAAAACAATAAAACTCTTTAAATACATCAAATTAAAGTTTAAAAAATCTTTAACGAACTGGAATTCACATTTAATAAATCTCTAAAATTTCTTTTGAAGATGACTGATCTGTTCAACTAAATAAGCGTAATTGTGTCATGCTCTCTTAATTGGGGTGTTTCGGGTTTTGACTTAATTTATAGCGACCTTAAATAAAGCCTTAAAATATATGTGGCCCTGAAAAGGGCCAGGGTGGGTTGTTGAGCTGCTTCAGCGAGGGCTCAATTGGAACTCTCGGTGTGCATTTGATGCCCGGAGAATTTCGATGAGGAAATTCTCCATGTAGTCAATGTAATCTTGGATTCTATTAAGGTACTGATTCAAGCCATACCTCAAGTCCACCTCTATTGGAGCTGAAAGCGTGACTATAATCTGTGACCTTATCAGCTTGCTTGCATGGATACTCTCCACCACCAGAGTAAGGATCTCTTGGTATAGTGAGGTAATATCTGCATGCTGAACAGGAGCTGTGAATCTATACATATTGATAGCCTAAATAGACTGTAAAGAATGAAAAAATTTGCCCCCTTTTAAAATCATGAGAAGAGAAACCAAACTGAACAATCCAACCAATTAAAAACAACCAACTCTGGTTAATCGGGTACAAACTTGGTATCAAATTGTTGTTTTATATTTTTTTTACGTTGGGTTTTGTAGTTGAATAGAGTAACATAAACAACAAATGTTTTATGCCTCACTAGTTACATCTAGTGAGTTGATTTTGAATTATATTTCCATATTGGGTATGGTGTTCATGTAGAGGTACCGTTCCGGTCATGCATATAGTTACTGTGTGAGGGGTGGTTAATTCTGTAGATTCAAGAAATTATGATTTCTTTCCATTGTTATTTAGAACAAAATGAACACATCATCTATTTTAAAAATTTCTATTTTAATAAAAAAAAAGACAAACTAAATAAAGTGCCAATATTTAAACATGATTGTAATTAAATTTTTAAATGTTGTATTAAACAAAACCACCCCTGCGATAAGAATGAAACACCGTTTTCTTTGATTAATTAGAGTTCAACGCCATTTATCGCCAAATAAATATATATTTTTAGCTATCGTCATAATAAAACGTCGACAAAAATTATTTAATTAACTGGAATTTTAACTTAAATAAAGCGCTTTAATGTCTTTTTTTCAGGATCCTCAAATATGACAAATTATGTTCAAATTTGTATTGGGTCTTTATTGGGTGCATAAGACATGACCACATTTCAGAGAATCGAATGGCTTGTTATCATGTAGCCTGCTGGAATAATATGGAGGACCCTGAGGGTGAGATTTATCTTGAGATAATAAGTTCAACATAAGTTTAAGACAAACATATGTTATTTTGATAATCGATTCACCTTATTATAGAATTTAAATAAAATTTCTGTATATCCAAAATGAACTGAACTATATAACTTTTAATTCTATAATTTCTTTACAAGATGGATATGCTGTGAGACAAAGTTGTTGTTTTGGCCTAGAAGCGTTCCCAGCAGGCATATAAAGAAGATGTTATTAAAACATTTGCCTCTTGACCAAAAAAACGCTTATCAGATACCTGCGTACACCATTGTGCATACAACACAAAGTAATATTTAAATTTATAAATAATTTGCTGATTTTCACAAATTGAAGTTGGGCATTGCTCAAATTATGAAATTTTGTTTGAGCTCAAGATCTGCCTCTAAATAAAATGTTAACAGTTATTTTGTTAAAATTTAACTTTATAATTATTAAAGTAATAAAAAATAATGTTTAGGTTATGAAGATGCTTATAAGTATCAGACGGAAAAGGGAAGACTCATGGATGAAGATGACAAAGAAAACAGACATATAAATTCAGACAAAGAAGTTGAAGAAAACGAGGTTCAGATTAAAGAACAGTTTGCAGACTGGGTCTGCACGGACGAATCAGAATAATTATAATTTTATAATTTTCCAGAGAAAATGGGTTTGTTTCTGCACAAATACCTTATTATTTCTGTCTACAATTTCTTTAAATTACGTCTACAGTCTCTTTAAATTACATCTATCTATAGTCCTTTAAATAACGTCTACAGTCTCTTTAAATTACGTCTACAGTCTCTTTAAATTACGTCTACAGTCTCTTTAAATTACGTCTACAGTCTTTTTAAATTACGTCTATACAGTCTCTTTAAATTACGTCCACAGTCTCTTTAAATTACGTCTACGGTCTTTTTAAATTTCATCTACATTCTCTTTAAATTACGTCTACATTCCCTTTAAATTATGCCTACAGTCTCTTTAAATTTCATCTACATTCTCTTTAAATTACGTCTACATTTTCTTAAAATTACGTCTACAGTCTCTTTAAATTTCATCTACATTCTCTTTAAGTTTCATCTACATTCTACAGTCTATTTAAACAAGGAGCTATTTACGGTCACTTATTCTGGGGTGTATAGTTCCGTAGATTTCAGTAATTATATATTGTTTCCATTGAAAATAAGGAAATAAATTCATCATCTAGTTTAAAAATTCCAATTTTAAAAGAAACAGGGTAAAAAGAAGAAAAGTGTGAATATTTAAAACATGATTTTGATTAAATGTTTAAATTTGGTTAATAGACTGTAAAGAATGAAAAATTTTGCCCCAGTTTAAAATCATGAGATGAGAAACCAATCTAAACAATCCAACCAATGAAAAACAACCAACTCTGGTTAATCGGGTACAAACTTGGTATTAAATTGTTGTTTTTTATTTTTTTTACGTTGGGTTTTGTAGTTGAATAGAGTAACATAAACAACAAATGTTTTATGCCTCACTAGTTACATCTAGTGAGTTGTTTTTGAATTATATTTTCCGTATTGTGTATGGTGTTCATGTAGAGGTACCGTTCCGGTCATGCATATAGTTACTGTGTGAGGGGTGGATATTCTGTAAATCTATTTTAAAAATTCCTATTTTAATAATAAAAAGATAAACTAAATAAAGTGCCAATATTTAAACATGATTTGTAATTAAATTTTTAAATGTTGTATTAATACTACGCTTATCAGATACCAGCGTACACCATTGTGCATACTACACAAAGTAATTTTTAAATTTATAAATAATTTGCTGAAAAGTAATAAAAAATAATGTTTTATAGGTTATGAAGATGCTTATAAGTATCAGACGGAAAAGGGAAGACTCATGGATGAAGATGACGAAGAAAACGAACATATAAATTCAGACGAAGAATATTTGAGGAAAACGAGGTTCAGATTAAAGAACATTTTGCAGACTGGGTCTGCACGGACGAATCAGAATAATTATAATNAGACGGAAGAGGAGGTCAATGTAGACGAGAATGAAGAAACTGGAGATGAAGTATCATTAGAAGAACTATTATAAGTCGGTCGACTACACCCACTTAAATATACTTTAATTACTATAAATTTCAGATATGACGCCTGCAAAACCGAAATGTGGCTTTGGGGTCGTAAAGTGGAACGAGACAATTTACGCCATAGAAAAGGGTATCACCAGGAAAACCAAAAAACGCTACGTAGATGTAATAAGTCTCAGGTATAGCTATTAATTTATATTAATTTTCTATTATTTTTATTAATTTTTATATTTTTAAGCTGGATTGATCCGATAACTGCAAATCTAAGGTTCCCTAGAGGATGTCCTGAATACCGGATATTCTCATTAATAAAGAAGCACAGACCACTAACAAAAAACTTTATCTTAATTCCACCAGGAGACTACTATATTGAAGTGGAAACAAAAAGTAAGCTGTATAAAATTAAATTTTAAATTTTAATTTATTATTTATGCTTTACATTTTAAGCTTACCGAGAGGCACAGAGGTACATGAACGAAAACAAGGAGATCTTTCTCACCGATGCTACAATGAGTACACTGGAGGAAGATAGTGAGTTTGATGATTCAGATGAGGATGAAGGTGATGAGCATAGTTTAACTGTTAAATCTTTAATATTTTATTATTATTATTCATAACTGATATTTTATAGGAACAGGAAATCTGGAACTCGACAACAATAAACTGTTGAATAGTCAAGAAATTAATGACTTGGTTACTGAAGGTACATGTTTAATTAATGATAATTAATTTATCACAAAGTAATGAAGGTGATGAGCATAGTTTAAATGTTAAATCTTTAATATTTTATTATTATTATTCATAACTGATATTTTATAGGAACAGGAAATCTGGTTATCGACAGCAATAAAGTGTTGGATAGTCAAGAAATTAATGACTTAGTTACTGAAGGTACATATGTTTAATTAATGATAATTAATTTATCACAAAGTAATCATAATTAATATCTTCTTTTATTCTACAACCTTAACCCTTTTCCAATTTTCATTTGAATTATATTTTACTTCCAGGTGTAAAAATTACATGTTTACATAAAAATATGACTATTTTATTTTTTCATAAAACAGTAACATTTTATACTTTTAGGATCAAAACGGATGCAAGATAACCTTGAAGATGAATTTTTCACGACGGAAGATAAAGAAGACAAGGAAAAAGTTGAACCGGAAAAGGAGAAACCAACGGATGACGAAAATATTAAAAATCAGAAGAAAAATCAAGGGAAAAAAAGAAAATTCAGTAGTTCATCAGAAGAAGACCCTGGTGAGAAACCTGTTGCTGAGCCGTTTCCAAAACTCCCCCTGTCACAACGTAGGGGTACCATAAACTCTTTTGACGATTCCTTACTAACTGACGGTAAATATGAACATAATTCTTTTTTAAAACCTTATCATAAAACAGCTTAATTATTTGTTTGATTTTTATAGATTATATGGATGAGAATTCCATCCAAGAAACTTCAACACCATGCATCAGACGCAAGAAACAAGAGGTTGGCGAACAGTATACATTCCTGAAGGAAATACGAAAACTACATAAATACATAAAAGAATGTTTTGAATATCAGAACGAATACCTAGGGAGTGTCATTAAGAAGACTTCGGTAATAACATGACTTAATTTCTAATGATATAAATAATTCATTTGAGGTTTTTAATAGGATAAACTGTCAGCTGAGATAGGTTGTATTGCCACCTCATCTTCCAACGCAACATTGAACGTTTCAAATTCTTGTGACTGGAAAAAAATTACGTGTAAAGGTAAATATTAAAACACTTTAAAACATTGTAATTTAATTTAAATTCTTAATAATATATTTTTAATTAAGAGGAGTTAAATGAATTAGAGAATTTACTGCAGCAGGATAAAACGGGGTTATTAGAAAAGGTATAAATAATTGATTATAATAAATAATTTATTTAAATGCAATATCTTATTTCTAGTACCAAGAAATTCTGGCACAATCATTAAAAGGAGAGAAAATTTACGAGTCGTCATATAAACTACTTCCTCAGGTGAATATTCAAAGGGGAGGAGAGAGGTTATTATACTTATCAGCTGCTTCAATATTTTTTTTAGATAATGGATAAAAAATTTCTTTTGAACGTCAGCCTCACAAGCGGATATGGAGGTAGTAAAACTCAGAAAACTATCATCCTGGACGACTTCCCAAAAGTGATGTCCTTAATGACAGGTAAGATTTCATTTTAAAAAATTAAATATAACCTCAAAATTAAAAAAAAATAATAATTTCAGGTGTTGTCAACATAAGATGGAGAGATGCATTCACTTCTAACCCCTACTTGGCACAACAACAATTTAGGGGCGGAATGTCGAAATACTTACGGTAAGAGGAATAAAATAGTTAAAAAAACAAACAAATAATAATCAACAAAATATATGTAACAGAAGTAACTTATTTAAGAAATGCGCACTATGAACACCAGTGTCGAATAAAATCATTAGAGAAAGAAAATCAGCCCAGTCCAGATACAAACCCAGATACATCGGCGCATAGTGAGAAGAAAAGGAAAACTGGAGACAAAGTAAGAAAATAAATTAAAATTGAAGATAAACTGCAGAACTAAAAATAAATCTGATATAATTAAATATAAAATTATAGATTCCAGACCGCAGATCAGACGGAGCCGGAGCTTCAGGTCCCTTTGAAGACAATGGATCACAAGCTCCAGGCAACCAAGACCAGCTAGTATGTCGGAGCAAAGTAAGATAATTAATGAATTAGTATTAAAAATAAATTTTTAAGGTGTTTTCAACATAAGATGGAGAGATCAATTCACTTCTAACCCCCTCTGGGCACAACAACAATTTAGGACCGGAATGTCGAGAGACTTAAGGTAAGAGGAATAAAATAGTTTAAAAAAAAACAAATAATAATCGACAAAATACATGTCACAGAAGTAAGTTATTTAAGGAACACGTACTGTGAACACCAGTGTCGAATAAAACCATCCAGGCAAGAAAATCAGACCAGTCCAGATAAACACCCAGATACATTGACGCACAGTAAGAAGAAAAGGAAAACCGGAGACAAAGTAAGAAAATAAATTTAAATTGAAGATAAATCTGATATAATTAAATATAAAATTATAGACTCCAGACTGCAGATCAGAATGAGCCGGAGATTCAGGTCCCTTGGAAGACAACGGATCACAAGCTCCAGGCAACCAAGACCAGCTAGTTCGTCGGAGCAAAGTAAGATAATTAATGAATTAATATTAAAAATAAATTTGACAATTAAATAAAGATTTGATATTTAAGAAATAAATTCAATAATTTTCAAGGCGCCAGACTCGTAACCACTTACTTCAGGCCTCGCGGTTAAACTGCAGAATTAAAAATAAACCTGATAGAATTCTATAATTATAGACTCCAGACCGCAGATCACAAGGAGCTCCAGGTGCTTCAGGTCCCTTTGAAGACAACGGATCACAAGCTCCAGGCAACCAAGGCCAGCTAGTTCGTCGGAGTAAAGTAAGATAATTAATGAATTAATATTATCAAAATTGCTATTTGACATCTAACAATGATAATTTTAGACTCAAAAGCAGTCTGAAGATAGATCAGATGACGACCTGGCATCTCAATTACTTAATGCGCCAGAATTTCTCGTAAGTGACTAATTGTAACCTTAAAATTTGTGTTTTTTCTAAAATTATTTAATTTATTCATTAGATGAAAGTGAAAGACAAAGAAAATAGATCTAAGCCTGAAAGCCATGAAATCGATGAAGAACAATACCAGCCTAGGTCATCGCATTCAATATTATTTTAAACTACTTATTAAAGGAAATCATTGAATTATAAACTTTTTAATTTTAGAACAGGGGAGAAGAGCAAAATCACCAAACCATGGGCAATCCGAGCTGACCATATAAAGTAATTCCTTTCTTTTAGATTGTACTAATTGGTTTAATATTTTATGATAATCATTTAGGATTATTATGTTTAATTTTTAATTATTTTAGGCAATGGAAGTCATTACAAGAAATCTACAATGAACACTGNGAGAGCGGTGGGGAGGAGGAGGAGGATGAAGATGAACGGGATGATTATCAAAATGGTAAGAATACTTTTAATATTATCATTTTAATGTTTTTAAAGGGACTGTAAATCTAATTTCAAGAGACCCTCCATGAAAGATGACAAGGCCCGATTCACAATGGTACCCTTTATCTTTTCAATAATGTGGAAGATGTTAACGTTTTTTCTAGGTTTAAAAGTGTTTCATTTTGATAATTCCTATAGTTTTCCTGCTGTAGAAATGCGCAAGTCACTTTTGTACAGAAATCCTAATTTCAAGAGAAAATACTCAGTTTTCAAAATGATAAATATATGATATTTAATTCATACTAAGAGTTGTGAATCGGGCATTGCCATCTTTGCATGGAGGGTCATTTGAAGTCACGCTTATAGTCACTATAATGGTATTGTTGTAAATCTGACATGCCACGCTATAATTCGGCAGTCACTAAAAATTATGTCTACAACCTTTTAAAAAGTATTTTTATCATTTCCTTTCTTGAGAGGAAGGCTGAAAAGTTTAAGTTAAAAATCAGTTTTTAATTTTGGAAATTGTCTAAATTAATTGTGAACATGTTCTCTTTGTGTACATCGTAAAACAAAACAAAAATAATTCGCGGAAGTCATTAAAAGAAATCTACAATGAACACTGGCAGAAAGTGAACAAACCTTCTGCGTTTAATCTGTAAGATTTTTTACTGCTATACCTACTATTCATGATAAAAATAATAATAATAATAATTTGTGAATTATTTTTATTTTTTGATTATTTTTAGGCAAGGCGCTGAGGTTGGACGTGGACCTGTGAACGAGAAAATTGAACTCGGCAGTTTTGGGTAAGTTAATATTAACATTTGTAGTAGTAGCAATTATTAATTAATGATATTATATGAAATATTGTATACTATATTCTAATTCATTATATGCAGGCGAGAGATACACGGACCACTCTACGAACTCAACCATACACAATGGCAATACGGGCTACCCCTGTAAGAAAATTTCATTTCTAATAANAGAAACAGAAACAGAAACAGAAACAGAAACAGAAACAGAAACAGAAACAGAAACAGAAACAGAAACAGAAACAGAAACAGAAACAGAAACAGAAACAGAAACGGAAACAGAAACAGAAACAGAAACAGCTAAAAAATATTAATACTTACTTTCTAGAAGAAGAAAGAAAATAAATGGTTTCATTAAAATTTTTAAAAACCGCGTTTGATATTTAAATTAAGCTGTGTTGATTTCACACTGTACACAAGCATACACTATAATGCAGTTTCCGGGTAATTTTAAACACCATTTTACACACAGATAAACACACAGATAACTCTGATGTTGTTTAAAGGGAACGGTTGTGAATCGGGCATACCCCTTTCTAAATGGATGGTAAATAAAGATCACGCTATCAGTACCTTTCATACAAGAATATATTGTATATCTTAGATTAAACAATTTAGAAAGAATAAATGTTTCAAAATTTCACGTTCGACTTATATTACTAGTTTTAAATTATTTCTGAAAAACGCTAAAAACAAATATTTCCAAATTCTCTACTCACGAATCAGATTCAACATTTAATCACTAGCTAGAGGATTACTTCTTAATAACGCACAAATCACTATCATAGAAGTTCCTTACGCAAGGATCAATACTTTACAAGTTCTTTACGCAGCGCAAGGATTCGATCTTTTATAAGTTCCTAGAGCAAGGATCAGATCGTTTAAGTTCTTTACACAAGTATCGGCCTTGTTAAGTTTCTTGCGCAAGTATCGGTCTTGTTAAGTTTCTTGCGCAAGTATCGGTCTTGTTAATTTTATTATGATGTAAGGATCGATACTATACAAGTTCCTTACGCAAGGATCAATATTTTACAATTTCTTTAAGCATTGATCAGATCTTTACAAGTTTTTTACCCAAGGATAAGAGTTTTTTAATTTCCTTACACAAGGATCAATACTTTACAAGCTCCTTACCCAATGATCAGATCTTTTTATTGTATTGGACTTGTTAAGTTCCCTGCGCAAGGATCAATATCTTACAAGTTTCTTACACAAGGATCAATATCTTACAAGTTTCTTACAGAAGGATCAGATCTTTGCAAGTTCTTTATGGAAGGAACATATCTTTTTGTATGATCCTTACCCAAGAATCACTGTTTTACAAGTTCCTTACGCAAGAACCAGATCTCTGCAAGTTCCTTAAGCTCGGATGACATCCATGCAAAATTCAATCCTTACGCAAGGATCAGACCACAATACTACAAAATTTACTGATCAACACTTTACAAACGTGCGAACATAATATTCTTCATGAAACCACTGAAAACCCGAAACCTTTGTTTCGACTAATTTTCATTTTTGTTTTGAGAATTTTTTATATTCATAAATTGTCCGGATTTGCTGGAATAATGCTGCATCCATTAATCCTCGATTGAAGCCAAAGGTTTTTACAAAACAGAGCTAAACTTAATTATAATATATATAATATGTATTATATATATACAGTGAGGTACTTTCATACTCTATATTGATTCTTCTTTTTTACTTTACAGATTGTGTTTTTACCTATATTTTGATACATTCTTATTCGACACCATTTTCCTTAGTTGAGTTTTTGTTCTTTATGATATTAAATGTTACTAAACCTTGTCCAACATATATAAGCAATATTTTGCAAAATCATGAATATTTCTAAAATTTTATAAAATTGTTTTGTTAACATTTGTCTAGAATGCATGGTATTCCTTAGGTGTTAAATTAAAGATATTTTATTATTTAAGACCTCAGATTATTTTATTACGATTTCTCCCATAACACCCTCTATCAAAACCTTAAATAAATTCGTAATTTAAGTTTGGGAAAAATAACATGTATTCTTAATTACTGTCAGCGAATTAATTGTATAAATGCAACCCAAGTTATGTTATCATGTTGTAAACGGCTTTTAGTTGAAATGAAAACTTATTAAGATGAAAATTATTATCAAGGTGCACTTTGCTCTAATTATTTCTATTTCTAACTACATATTAGGTACTTATGGTTTCAAGTTAGTTGGTATATTTAATTGAAAAAATTGATTGGAGCCAATTCAGATATTAAAATCTTTGAGAGAATAAGGCATAAAACCTCCCGTTGAAAAAGTCTTTTTTTTCGGCCCACCCGAAAATTATTAAATATTTGAGGAAAGAAATTTAAAACTCTTCTTTTTCAAATTTTAATTAATGCTCAATCAAGCAAAGTATTTATCTATTATTCTAGATGAGTATTCTAGATGAGTATTCTAGATGAGTATTCTAGATGAGTATTCTAGATGAGTATTCTAGATGAGTATTCTAGATTATTGTTCTAGATGGGTATTTAGATGAGTATTCTAGATGAGTATACTAGATAAGTATTCTAGATGAGTTTTCTAGATGATTGTTCTAGATGGGTATTTAGATGAGTATTCTAGATGAGTATTCTAGATGATTGTTCTAGATGGGTATTCTAGATGAGTATTCTAGATGAGTATTCTAGATGATTGTTTTAGATGGGTATTTAGATGAGTAGTCTAGATGAGTATTCTAGATGATTATTCTAGATGAGTATTCTAGATGATTGTTCTAAATGGGTATTCCAGATGAGTATTCTAGTTGAGTATTCTAAATGATTATTCTAGATGAGTAAATTCTAGATGAGTATTCTAGATGAGTATTCTAAATGAGTATTCTAGATGAGTATTCTAGATGATTATTCTAGATGAGTATTCTAGAAGGGTATTCTAAGTATTCTAGAGATGAGTATTGTTACTAACTTCTATAAAAGTTTGTTATAACAGGACGGATCACTGTTCAGATATATTCAACTACACCAGTAGCCTTCAGGTTTCAGGTAAATTAATACCTGTTTTTAGGTTCAATTTAAACCATTTTTTAGTAATTAATAGTTTCTTAAGTTTAATCAAAACAATTGGTTGTAATTTATAGTTTCTCCGGTTTAATCCAAACAATTTTTTTTAATTCTTACTTAATCAGGTTTTATTCAAACAATTGTTTGTTTTTCATAGTTTCTAAGTAATCCAAAAAATTGTTTGTAATTTAAAGTTTTTAAAGCTTGATATTCAGATAATTGTTTGACATTCATAGTTTCTCATCAATTTAATCCAAAAAATTAAAACATAGATTTGCTGCATAAAAGAATAGAGTTCTCTGTTTATTTTAAACTGCAGCCAAAGAATCAACGTAAGAACATAATTTCAAGTTTAACTTTCCACTCTTTTCTCTTTTCTTCGTAGAATAGGATTTTCTTAAATCTTTACTAAAGCCTGAGCTTTATCTTTTTAACAAGGAGGCAAGGAAGAGAAGTAGTTAAAGAATTTAAACATTAGCAGTCGAGATTTTAACACGTTTAGTTTAGAGTTAAAGGATCTGTAATAGTAATTGCATGTGATCCTTCATTTGTAAAATGGCATATCTGAATCACAACGGTTTCCTTTAAACATTAATCTTAAAACGTAACCAACTTAATTCTGTTGCAATCAAATAGATTCTAGTACAATAGATGGCAACGTAGAATTTGTTTACTCTCAGTAGAGCTATATTCTTACGTCGTCACAAGGGTCAACTCAGTTTTTGTGTCCGACAAAACTATTAATAATAGTAATAATTTTATAGTGCTTATCTTACACTTTATTATTTAATCTTGGAAAACATATCAACTAATGGGAGAAAATTTCTTTTTCCTTGTTATATTTGAAACTTGTGACGTCGTGTATAATTGATCTATTTCTCTGTTGCCATCTATTGTACTTGAAAATCTATTTTCATAAATTTTGTTTATATTGTGTTTGTTTTCCCCCGAAATAAAAGAATGACAAACCATTTTATATAAAGAAAGAAAAAGAATTTTGAATAAACTTTACACAGAGATCTATGAAAATGATGCATCAATTGTTAAAACAGAATCGACTTTGAAGTGTCGCAACGCCTTGGTCTTTGGTTTCACTTAACTAACTTATTTATACTTTCTAAAACCCTAAACATGTAGATTAAAGCAAAACAAATCTTCTAGATAAAGTCTATAATTATTACATTATTTCACAAATTGCAAATTTTTCATAAATTTGATTCATTCTCTTATTCAGGGTTGAGATGGAGTAGAGAATGTGAGTCCCAGTGTGAAAATATCTGGAAACCAAGAGAGATGAAGGGTCGGAGTAGAACAATAATCCCGGAGAGAATTCACAAATCAGATGAAACCTGGAGAAAACTTCATAAATCAGTTCAAACTGAGAAAAGGTTTGTAATCTTCACATTTATCTTTTTTTATAATTTTTTAAAGGGAATGTTCGAAAAAATTATAAGGATCATAGGAAGAACAATAATTAAAGGAACTAAAAGGGTAATTTGCAACAGTACCCTTAAAACATTTGTGTATTCGTCGAGTAGAGAGATATGTGTATGTAAACTTATCGAACACCGCTTGCGCTGTGTGTAGCTGGAACTCAACACAGCGTACACAGAAACTTGGAAGCGGGTTTCGATAAGTTTATACACACATATCTCTGTACTTGACGAGCACACAAATGTTTTAAGGGTACTGTTGTAAATCGGGCATTGCTCTCTTTGCATGTAGGGTCTCTTGTAATTATGCTTACAGACCTGTTCAGTCATTAGTACTACAATATAAATCTCATTTCTAAACCGTCCCCACAAACCCAAAAAATGTTCTAACTGTATCTCCGAGATATTCGATATTGAAATAGTACCCTTTGATATATTGACGAAACTCCCTTTAACAAAGGTAATTAAATCTTCTTTTCTTTGTAGAATCCCGGAACTGAGCTCAAAACACAAAACTTGTAATGATGTTGAAACCCGGGGAGATAAAACCTTAGAAAACTCGGTGCCGGAGAACCCCAATCTCAGAAATGGAAGAAATTCGTTAGTTTTCTCAGATTTGATTATAGAACATAGACCAGGGGCAAGAAAACATGAAAGAGACCCAAACAACGAATTGTATTTACACGAAACCAAATTGCCTTTTTCAATATATAGTAAACAACTTGGAACTACTCGGAGAAAACTTGAGGATTATCCTAGTAAGATCGAAACCAGGTTGAAAACAAATATTCTTATTAGTTCCTCAATTCAAACTTGTCCTTTAAACAATCCGTCCGTAACAACACTTCCCTGCAATGCTTCAATACAAACCTCTGCTCTAGCCAACCCTACTCCAATACATGATCCAAATAACCTAATCATAACTCATAACAGGATCAATCTTCCAGGTTCAGTTAATTCTCTAGGTCTCCTAACCTTGGAAAGACCAAGAATGAGTGAATTGCAAATTTCTTTTCCGTTCACTACTTCCAGCTCTAAATCCTACATTATGACGTGCACGAATGGAATAGCAAGGTTTCCGACCCCATCGGAGCAAACAAGAACTTTAAACAATCCTGATTCTCCGGTATCTAGTTTTAGCAGTCCTATCTCTGACAGTACTCCTTGTAATATTGTCTCCACCTGTGATAAAACTCGTAATAATTCCATTTTGCGTTTACCGTTTGATTCAACTGGTTTCCAAAACTCTCCGCAACTAAGTTCAATTTCAGATATATCTGGTTCAAACGTGTCCTGTATCCCACTCCCGATAGATGATATAATTCCTACTAGTCCCTCTGTAGGTTGTTTAAGCGTGGATAATCTGGATTATAATTACACTGTTCGTTCAAATAGTCCTACAAGTCAATTTGATAGATTTCGAGAAGAAGTAACGTTGCTACACAGTCCAGTCCATGCTAGCGGTAGAGGTTCATGCAGAGCACTTTCTTCTCAAAATGGTTCCTATAGCTTTAATTATTCTCCAGGTTCAATAGATCAACTGGATGTGGAGAATAGTATTTGTAACTTTAATAATAGTGGAGTTAGTTCCATGAACTCATTACTTGATTATTCAAGTCAAGACTACAATCCAAAATCCAAAACTTCAAACGGAGAATTTTATTTCTTGAATAAATCATTTTCTGGAAGTTCTGAATTGTATCGAAATTCAGAAACGTGGACCCCGTGTAAGGAAATTTCGTCAAACCCAACCAAGACCAGAAACCTGATTAATAAAACTGATAAAACTGGATTCAGCAAATCTAGATTAGAAAAAAATCCAACTCCAAAGATAAATCTTTCTAACTCCACCAGGTCAAAATGCAAACAAAGTTCAGATCAATCAAATAATTGCTCAAACTGTCAGTCAACAACCAAATTCAAACTGAAACCAAACCAAAATCGAGACAAATTTACGACCAGCTCTCGTCGAAAAGATTTCAAACATTCTGAAATAAAAAGTACTCAATCATCACGGTTTAACCATCTCTCCGAGGAAAGCCCAAGCTTTATAAAGTTCGATCCAGGAACAGGAAGGAAGGATACTTTCAACCAGGATTTACAATCAAATCTTAAGCAGAACTTGTTAAAGCAGAAAAAAAAGATTAACAGAGGTCAATCTTTATTAATGGAAAAGAAATCGAGTAGAAAAGAATCAGCATCGAAGCGACAACAACCCCTGGACTGTAGAGTACTTATATATTCAAACAAAAGTCCTAAGCTTCAAAACGGCCGAGTGCATCCAGACGTTAGGTCGGAGAATATTTCAAAAGGTCCAAAATTAAAAGTACAATCCAACCCAGAGTTGTTAATCCATCCCAAAGAAAGGAATAAGTTCGAAATACACCCTGGAGAGCAGTATCATAATAAACTAGAGATGAGATGGATGAAGGTGCACTGTAAGAACCACCCGGAGAAACAAGATAAATCCTCTCAAACTGATGACGTAACGCGAGAAATTAAAAACATTCCAGATGGTTATTTAAATGAAAGAGAGAGATATAACAGTAGAGAGGAGCTAAACGAACCTGTTGACTCTATACCTCAGAAATTGAGGAAAAGAACTCGAGGGTTTTTCCTAAATTCAAGTTCTTGCATCGGACAATTTACTTCTCGTCCAATGGGGAAATATCTGAAAGAGAGACAAAGTATTTCGAATTCTAGTTCATCTAAATTTAAACAGCTTGAGAACCCTCCGGACGGAAATACAGAAGAAGTTCAAGATGATAACGAACGAGAATTAACTCATCATAAAATTCCACGTTGGATCTCATGGTTCGCTAAAACCGACCCAGACTGTGTCCACGACCTGGAGTTAACAACATTAACCTCGTCCTCGAAACCCGAGGATTTAACCGACTCCCACCTACCCATGGAGCTCTACATGACTCAGGTTCTTGTCTCCAGTATCCGGTCATCACAGGAAGTGTGTTTAGCGTACTCCATGGAGTTCTATGAAAAAATGTTTTATCCCTCCGTCCCTTGTGGACAGTGCCATTATTGTTGGATTACAGGAAACAGAAAATAAAATTGAAATATCATCAAAAATAAATTTGTTTTAAATAAACAATAGACAATCAAAGGGATATATAAAACTTAATAATTCTAGGTTCGGATTAACCTGTTTGTACAAATTAATCTTATTTGTAAATATATATCTGATATTAAGAAGCGTGACAAGATGAAATGTGAACATTTATTTCAAACAATTCGTTAAATAATATAATTAACTCAAACTTTAATAGATGAACAGAGTTTAGAACTATTTAACAGCATGAGTTAAATAATATAATTAACTTAAACTTTAATAGATGAACAGAGTTTAGAACTATTTAACAGCATGAGTTAAAAAATATAAGATGAACAGAGTTTATAACTATTTAACAGCATGAGTTAAATAATATAAGATGAACAGAGTTTAGAACTATTTAACAGCATGAGTTAAATAATATAATCAACTCAAACTTTAATAGATGAACAGAGTTTAGAACTATTTAACAGAATGAGTTAAATAATATAATTAACTCAAACTTTAAAAGATGAACAGAGTTTAGAACTATTTAACAGCATGAGTTAAATAATATAATTAACTTAAACTTTAATAGATGAACAGAGTTTAGAACTATTTAACAGCATGAGTTAAATTAATTTTCTTCTGGGTGTGAGATTAACTGATCTCTTATTGGTCATGTTTCTGAACTTATGACTAATGACAAATCGGTAAAAATTTACCAGTCTCTCGTTGCTGAACACACAGAATTTTTCATTGAAGAATTATTTAACAAAAAATAAAATTAATTAAAATCATTTTATTTGACATATACATCCCAGGGTGAGACTTACTTGTGTTTTATGCTTTGACAAATTCTCAAATAAATCCTAAAGAATTTGTCCACAACACTGCATACTCAGTTTAACTACCTTACATAGCCGGTCTGTCCTTTTAAGACAAGAAAACAAATTTCCACCTTTAGATCGATACTTTACTATTTTGGCATAAAGAATCTCACCTTTTGTGGGTAACCCTGTGTAATATAAATTGACAATTTGTTTTCATGAAAAGATGGATTATGTAAAGTTTTTTCTTTGCTGACTTTCCTGAGTTACAATCCATAGAACTTTAAGATTATTGCATCTAGTCGACGGAATTTTAGTTTTATCCATAGATAAAGATAGATTGCGCATAAGACGACATTTTTCATCTTGAAAGATATAAATGTACAGAGATGTTTTAAAGATATTCCTATTATATAGAATAACTAGGTCGATTGTGAACATTGGCTGTTCTTATGTCATTGAGTACTTGTGGTGTACATGAGTTCTGTAAAAAGAAATTTAAGTTAGTTTAGTGCTTCTCATGTCCTTCTTCAGTTCTCGTCAATATGATATATTGCTCAGTAAAATAATTTGATATTTTCAAAATAAAATTCCCTCCTGAGTGGTTTAATAATTATGAAATCCATTAAAACACCAAACCACCCCGCTTATCATTGAAGTACACTTTGACCCCTAGAAGTATGAGTTCGCGGACTGTACAATTCTTGTTGATTTTGCGTACATTAGCTATCTATGTTTAATTATCTATGGTTTTATCTTGATTCAAATATCTGACAATGATAAAACTAGGTTGGAATAAATTCCAGAATTTAAATGGATTGTTCATCTATTTCTGAATTCTCTTAATAACCATATTTTTGGTATGAGGTAAGTTATCACACCGCCGAAGTTTCGGAGTCCCAAAATGATCTTGACTTTTAGCGAAAAGGAGTCGAGTCTTTGCCATTAACTCAAATTTTCTTTTCCCTATATCTTTGAAGCCTGATTGCGTAAACCTTTGATATTTCAAACTTAGATTATTTAATCTAATAGAATTCATATTTTGAAATAACTAAGGTTGGGTTCCAAAGATTTACAAGGAGATGTTCGAAAATCTCAAAAAATAAATATTTGGCCTCGAAGAGTCATTATAAGAAAAATGTTGACAAGCCCTTTGTTTAGGATTGTATATAAATATGATGTTTGTTATTTTAAATCAAAACTAAATTTAAAACTTGTTTTTGCTTTTCATCCTTTCTCGACAAAAATCCTATTAAACTAGAAAATAGGTATAAAACAGCTTTATTTTCTGAAACTTGTATTTTCTATTTTTGTTAAACTGGTATAATCTTTTTGCAAAGAAAATTGAAGTTGTTTGCAAAATTTTCAAGAAGTTTTCAAGTTAATGCCGATACATTCAACAAAATAAAAATTTTATTTTTTCTGTACGGAGAATATTGTGATTTCTCTACAAAAGTTGCACATTTTTTACTGCAGGAAAATATTTAGAAATTATCAGAATTAAACGCTTTTAAACCTAGAAAAACAACAGTACTTTCCACATTATGGATCAGATAAAGGTTTCACGGGTACCGTTGTAAATCGGACACTGCCATCTTTGCGTGAAGGGTCACTTGAAATTACGCTTACAGTCCCTTTAAATGCAAGGTTGGAAATTTCTTCATATTTACCCAATTATGTCTAACCTTGGATATTGAGTTGACATTCTACATGAAATGTTTTTGTCGGATATTCTTATACAAGGTGTCTCACTAAACATGAAAATTGTCATAGACTGTGTGTAAACAAAAGATGCATGATTTTCAAGTTTTCAAATAATGTATACCTTCTTTGAATCTAAAAAAGCAATTGATTTTAAATCAATTTTTTATTTTCTAATTTATCAAATTGAAATCAGAACGAAATTCTTTAGTAGTCTACACAGGTAGTATTGAAAGCCCGAAGGAACTGAGTTTCTGTAACAAACTCAATTTTTTAAATTCCTATATCTTTGCAACCAAGTATCGTAGACCTTTGATATTTCAAACTATAAATTATGTTAGATAAGATAGTCTAAGTTTGAAATATCAAAGGTTTACACCACCAGTTTGCTCAAGTCAGTTCACATTTTAAAACCAAGTAAATATATTTGAAAAGGATAAACCAACCTTTGCTTGTCAAGTTTATTAGGAAACCCTGTAGAAACGAGTATTGATGAGTTAGTATCTGGCAGGTTAACAAAGAGAATAAAAGTTTGGACAGATATCAAACACACAGTTCTTTTTTATCATTGTCCGACACTCTGGGTAGATGATGCTACTTCTTAATCTTGCAAACCTTTGGATTTCCAAGATCTTGCAGAACCTGTTCATCCATTGTTTAATATCTTGTAGAACCAGGAGTTCTCATGTTCATCCCTAGTTTAATATCTTGTAGAACCAGGAGTTCTCATGTTCATCCCTAGTTTAATATCTTGTAGAACCTAGAGTTCTCCTGTTCATCAATTGTTTAATATCTTGTAGAACCTGGAGTTCTCATCTTCATCCTTAGTTTAATATCTTGTGGAACCTGGAGTTCTCATCTTCATCCATTGTTTAATATCTTGTAGAACCTGGAGTTCTCATCTTCGTCCTCAGTTTAATATCTTGTAGAACCTAGAGTTCTCCTGTTCATCCATAGTTTAATATCTTGCACAACCTGGAGTTCTCATGTTCATCCTTAGTTTAATATCTTGCAGAACCTAGAGTACTCATCTTCATCCATAGTTTAATATCTTGTAGAACCTGGAGTTCTCCTGTTCATCCATAGTTTAATATCTTGTAGAACCTAGAGTTCTCATCTTCATCCCTAGATTAATATCTTGTAGAACCTGGAGTTCTCATGTTCATCCATAGTTTAATATCTTGTAGAACCTGGAGTTCTCACGTTCATTCATAGTTTAATATCTTGTAGAACCGGGAGTTCTCATGTTCATCCATAGTTTGATATCTTGATTCCAAGTTTAATATCTTGTAGATCAACCTGGAGTTTTCATATTCATCCATTATTTAATATCTTGTAGAACCTGGAGTTCTCACCTTCATTCCTAGTTTAATATTTTGTACAACCTGGAGTTCTCATCTTCATCCATAATTTAATATCTTGTAGTATTGTAATAATGTATCACATCCCTAGATAAATTGTGTATGGTGTGCTGTGTTATGGTTAAGTTTCAATGATAACTAATTCTCCCAAAGAAAATGTATTATGTTTATCTGCAGTGGATTTTGTATCATAGACCATACAGGGTGCAGCATGTATTTACACCTACTAAATATTTAGTCAGATCTATAATATTGGATAAGAACTTTTTTTGACAACCTTAAAGGACACCTCGAACTCATAGCAAGAAAAAAGCTCGCCAGAATCGAGAAAAATAGAAACCTAGAAAGAAAAATCCTGAGGTGGGTGAACATGCAATATGATGCTGTTTTTTTACTCTACCAGCTGCGATACTCGGCCGACTATGAAGACTGGACTACTGTCGAAAATGCCACATCCTGGCGCAACAAAGCCAAAAACTTCCCATTTTGTTATCCGGTGCAACTCCAATGGGGAAAAAACCTTAAATTCCATAGAGTGGGTAACACTATAAAATTAGAGGAAAGTAGGGATTTTCTAAGCTATGGGAGCATTTGGAATTGAATTCCTAGTGAACAAATGTTGTCAGCTCCATTTTTAAGATCACTAGGCGTAACCAGGATTTGGGCATGGAACTCAAAATAAAATTGCAAAAACCTACAAACAAGAAACAAGAAGAAAAAAGAAAATTGAACATGAAAAATGGTAGGGAACTCCGATGATAAGCTCTAAACCATCAATTATCAATTTTCCCATTGGCGAATGGAGAAATCATTGGGAGATAGGAAGATAGGGCAGGGAGACGTCCAGCCCCTCCATTTTACCTCCGTTTCAGAAAATATATCTTAAGTATGAGTTAAAGCTTAGTCAGCACTGTATTAACCTTCAATCTGCTTATCAAGTCAGGTATTCTTGAGTTAAACAACAAAACTGAAAACTAATACAATGGAGCAGATTGTCCCAATAAATACTGGTTTCAAGAAATTTTTATTTTCTTTCAAAATTATCAGAATCAGGGACAGTCAACAAAGGAAAAGAAAAAAGGAAGAAGAAAAACGACAAGAAAAAGAATCAAATCAGAATTTGTCTGTATCAACTGTATCCAATTTATAAGAAGTAAAATTCAAAAATAATAAATTGTTAAAAAAAATTGTCATATTTAATGGGACACACTGTATCATACTAGATCGTCTTACATTGTCATGTTTAATGGAACACATTGAATCATCATATTTAATGGGACATCCTGTATCATACTTGATAACGTCTTAGATTTTCATATATAATGGTACACACTGTATCTGTATCATACTAGTTCGTCTTACATTCCCATGTTTAATGGGACACCGTGTATCGGCGACATCAAAATAATTTCAATTGTCGTCTTGGCAATTTTTTAATGGGCTTTATACTATTTAACCTTAATCACAGTAATTGTTAAAATGAAAAAATGTAGCCATGAAATATGCCGGAACAGTTTTAAAGCGCTCCATATAATTATTCAATTAAAAACTAAATACAGGGTGTCCCACTTCATATTTACCCAATTATGTCTAACCTTGGATTTTACCAGAGCTGGGAACTTTAGAATGGGATATCCTTAATCCCGATCAGTTAATTAATCTGGAGATTAATAAAAAGAGGAGAACAAGTGTTATTTAATCTCGAGATTAAGAAAAAGAGTGGATCAAGCATTAATCCCGATATCCACCATTCAAAAATTCCCAGCTCAGATCATATTGTCATATTTGATCGTCTTAAATCTCATGTGTTTTGGGTAACCCCTTTAACATAAGATCATCATGATTACTTCACCCTGTACCCCTACTGCATGATCTGAAGACTACATGCAGTATATAATCTGTAAGTAACGTCCTACATCATTAATCTTGAGTTCTGTTTACTCATCAATTATCTCCAATATTCACAATTATCCGTCTTTTGGAACGAAACCATCCAGATTATCCTAGAGATACGGATTTAGTAGACAGAGCCAAATATGCTTCAATACAGGGTCTTCAATAGTGATCAGGTTTTCCATGGATTAATCGTCCTTATTTTATCCCAAAAAAGAGTTAAAGATACAGGGATACTCTCGAAATATAAGCCTTTGGATACGACTGTACGTGTAAACATTATTGGGACCTTTCCCTTTGGTTTAAATATTAGAACAATCCCTTTCAGATATATTGATGTAGTCAAGAAATACATGATTTCAACGTGCAATACTTCAGTAAAATAGTTATGATAGATTGAGTATAGATGTACTTGAGTACGAGAAGAAATCATGTAGATGTTGATTAAAAGAATATTACTTACACTAGAGACGATGGTATCTCCTTGCCACAAAAAAAAACTGAATCCTGTTTTCTCTCAGCTTTATACAGACTTAGTGACCTTTTACGACTAAATATTTATTAAAATGTACATGTAGCAGTATGATCTTATGCCAAGGAGGGGGTTCCAGCTAGCCCAGGCAGGAAATGGAGGAAAGAGGTGGGGTGAATGTAAACCCTATATAGCTCTATTTCTGAAACCAACTGTCTTGGTTAGGTTGCGGCCAAACTCTGTTACTCGCGAAGGCCGCAATGAATTATAAGAAGAGAGAGATTAGTATATGTTTTAGTGTTAGGTTAGGTTTCGACACTTTCCGAGCTGGGCGCTGTGGCTAGGACAGGCCGGGGGGGCCGAGCACCGCGGCTAAAACTGGCTCTCTCTCTGTCTTATAATTCATTGCAACATTTGCGGGTAAAACAGATTGGCCGCTGCCACGAGCCACGAGCTCCCCAAATCATTAACGAATAGTAACTTAAAAATAACAAGTATTGCAGGTATTTCAATAACACGATCTATACTTATAGGATATGGATTGATACATTCTAAGGCATCCTTTAAGCCCAAATATTTCGAAAACTGTCTAATATGATGATAGAAATATAAATTCAAGAATTAGTATATTTAATACAACAGATAAGTTAGTTTAACAATTATAAATATTTTATAATATATAAATATATATACAGCAATAATTCCACTAGTGTAAAGTTTAGAAAGAATTAATGAATAGTGAAGTTGGCACAACAGATAGAAAAAGCACCGAGGCCGGATTTATTTCCTTTAATATTTTGAAACCGAGTTAAATATCTGCACCGTGCAATATATGCTGTTTTAAGGGAAATATGTTTCCTCATGAAATAACGCTATTAACATGCTCAGAAAATACCAGCACATTAAGGCACAAACAGGGTGCACATTGTATAAACAGAATTCATTGATACAGAACATACAATATTTAAATTCGCATAGGCACAATGGTTAAACTCAGAACTTGACGAGTTTTTGTGTAAAATCTTAATAAACCAACACTTTTTTATGAATACAGTTTTATGCATTACTTAAAGGGAGTGACAGGCAATGTATGGTAGTTGAACTGAGAATGTAGTATTGTGGAGAAGTTTTTAGGATTTATTTGAGACTTATAAAACGTTTAAATGATGTATAATAACAGAGTTTGAGCGCAAAGTCGACGTTTAAAATCATCCATTTGAGTGGGTTCGTTTTCAGAATCGTTATTTTTGAGGTCATTAATTAACGACAATTAATAAAAATTCTACAGTAAACTAAATAGATGTTTAAGAACATATTTCTCAGTGGAAATTTGTCGAGATATCAATGTTAGGATTAATTATCTCTTTTTAAATTAATTATATCTATTTTATCATTATATTGAATTTCTTATTCTTTACGAATTTATTTGGAGAATTCTTCAAATGTCGTTTTTTCAATAAAAATTCCAGAAAATGTTTGTGAACAAGGAGAGATTACAGAAACTAATAACAGAATAAAATTACTTGTTTTCGACGAGGACAATTTTTATTTTCTAAACCTGTTTCTAGAAAACGTTTTATGTCTCAAATGAATCCTAATTTTTTTCCCCACAAAACACCATTCTCAGTATACTAGTGCCATACATTGCCGGTCACTCTCTTTAAGCAAAAAAATGAAATGCTAGTTTCTGTAATAATGTTATAAAAAAAAGTACGAAAGTTGCCAGATTTTTAAAATTTAAGAATATCCAAATTTGAAAGTTAAAATATTTGATTTTGTATGTAACTTCATGTAAAAAATATAATCAGAACAGTCATTTAAAAAACAATATTACAAGGCACATGCACAAGTTCATTTTAAGTAAGTAATAAGTATGATAAGTTACAGAGTAGGCAGGCACTAGATCATATGGTAGTTATACGGACATTTCTTTACCGTTCTTATGATCCCAGATCCTTTGGATTCGCAACATTTTGGCTACATTGTTCCGGATCCGCAAAAAAAATGCGGATATACGAATCCGGATCCATTTTTCTATGGCGAATCTAGGATCCGGATCCGCAGCAAAATGAAATGGATCATAAGCACTGTATTCTTCACAAATTAAAGTAATAGTCTACATTAATAATTACATTCGATATATTCAATAATGTTTTTGTGCGTTCTTAACTTCTTCAAAATATGTATGATTTCCTAGGAACATAAGTTTTTAAGGTAATTTAACTAAAAATAATATAAAAATAGTAAGATTTATAAATAAACTTCACATTGTAACCGTCATATAATTTCGATTTTGGCAACAGTACAAAAATAAGCAAAAATTGAGGATTTTCAGTTTCCTGGTTTCAACTACACAAAATAATATTACTAGCTGTTGGCTGAAAATGCATATTGTTTAAAACTATAAGATAAACAATTGTCAGGATTGAGAGGCGTTGAAGTGTGTCAAAGTACTCTTAGAGTAAATGTGCTTCCATCTTGTTTAATGGATGTTCTCGTCTCAACTTGGATTTGGAACGAAATAAATATTTTCAAGAATTATCCCGGGAAATGGAGATTTTGCGTTATACAATAGTTTAAAAATTTTACCCATTAGGGAAAAGGCAATTTTGTTTTAAGACGGAGTAAAAATAAATAAAATAAAAACATGTCCTTTTTTGTTCAATATCGATTAGTTTTTATATTTCGAATTTAATGCTGGTGAGAGAGGACAAACCAGGCAGTCCTCTGCATCAAACTCAGCCTTAGACTTCTTACGTTTTAGTGTAAACTGTCCGTGGCGGGGTTTATGTTTTGCTGTCGGAGTAAGTGGGACAAAATTAGGATCAGATTGAAGTTCTCGTTTCTCTCCCATCAAATCCTTCCCAATGAGGGTGGAGAAATGTATGTTTAGATGGCGTCGAAGTAAGCTCTTACTAGGAGGGATGGAGAGGAGGGCGGCTAGAAGCTCGGAGTTAAACTTTGGTTCAAGGATTATAAGTGCTCCGTGTACTCCAGAACCTCTGAGGTTCGGAGCATACTCCGCTAGATCAACCTGTCTCAACCACTCCATCACTCTATGGTTGCTCCAGGTTATAATATCAGTATCCTCGGCGGAGTTTGTTGCTCGTCTCTTCAGGAACTCAGTGTCAAATTTTTGCTGTCTTAATATCTGTATTCCACGCCTGATTGAGTAATGATGAAGAAGGTTGGATACCTTCAAGTATGAGAGATCATCTACAGTGAGTAGGTTAAGTAATCTTCCATCTACCCGACACTCAATAAAACTTTCTTTATATTGTGGCAGACCAATATCATCCAACCACCTGACAACCCAGGAGCAATCTAGGTTTCCGGCAGGATCAGGCCTTTTCAAATCTATCTTGGCCTGCATAGCCAGGATTAATTTCTTCCTGTGCAGTGGGTTCTTAATCCCTAGCTTAGTATCCAGATCTACTCCACCCAGTTTAGCAAGATCTGAACCTGTTCCTATGTGTCTCTGAACCTCTCCAGTATATTGACCTAGACCTATGGTCTCCAGCCAAGTGCAGAGCATGTCAACCGACCACTCGGAGAAACGTTTCTTCTTAAAATTGTATCCGTTCGCGTTCGACCAACCCAGACGTCCACCCGCGGTGGCTCGGACACCCCCTCGGTTGAAGTTAGTATCAGCTCCAGCTTGACTTGGAGCTCGATCACTTTCAAACCCACCAGAGTTGCTTCTTTTGATTTTCCCCAGAATCTTTCTGATACCCCTGGTTGACCGACCAGACAAGGATATCATGCTTGTATCCATCTCATTAGAATTCTCAAAATTTTCATCGTCGGAAAGCGGAACTCCTTTCCTGGAAACCGGCGAATTATCATCCGGACTACTCACAGGAGTTGGAGAACGAGCTAGACCTTGACTCAGGTTACTAGGTCGTGGTAGTTTAGGGGTTGCGTTCCTATACTCAATTAAATCCCTCTCAAGTCTTGCGCATTTTAACTTGAGACTAGCAATCTCAGTTTTGAGTTCTCCTTGTCTCATGTCGGAACCACTGAGGTTTCTGTCTCGACTTATCGTTTTCTCCAACCTCTCATATGCGTTCTCCTTATTCCGCAGATCTCTCTCTAAATACAAAAAAAAACTTTTTTTTCTATCTCAGATAAAAGAAATAGAACGGAAGGAATATTTCATATACAATCTGTTACCTAATTCCGCTATTCTCCGTGCTTGTCCATCTATTTGATCCTCTAGTACTGTAACCTGGAGCTGGAGAGAATCCTTGTCTCGTTCCAGCTCCTGCATCCGATCCTATATATACAATACATTTGTCATTTATACACAGGAATGAAAAGGTGGGATGAAGGATGAGTGGAGAATAGTAGATGAAGGGATGAATGTTTGAGATGGAGGACGAATAAGCAGGAAAGAAGGGTGGATGGATAGAAAGGGTAATATTACCGAAATGATGAGTAAGATAAGAGGGATAATTTTTGGGAACGATGGATAGGACAAGAGTGAAAAATTTGGGATTGATGGCTTGGAGAAAAGTAATAAAATGTGATGTTCTTTCCGTGTTTTTGTTTTTGAAAATATTTTTTTCATTTGCAGTTTTTCTACAAAATTGCGCATTTCTTGCATACATGAAAAAATGGCGGATGATCTTGAATAAACACTTTTCGAGTCAGAAATACAATGTCATTGCAATGCCGTTGCATGGAGAGTCACTTAAAATTACGCTTACAGTCCCTTTAAGACTGATCCAAAAAGAAAATGTGTATCCAATTACCTCAACTCCGGTAAGATCATGAATCCCTGAGTTTGCATCCTTGTTCCACCATTTCTAAAAGTTTAACAGCTGATAAAAAATAGCATTTAAATATAAATGGTTCAACCTTTCCCATTTGGATTTTGAAATAATATGTTCTACTATTGTAGTCGGCCTAAGAAGATACCTCTTATATGGGATAAAGTACATAAAATGATCTTCCTATGTTAGGTGTTAAATTAAAAAATCTATCTTCTTTCGCATCTTTTTAACAGTAAAGATGTATTGTTTCCCCAAGAACTAGAATTGTATTTTGTGCATTGTGCAATGAAAAGACAAAATTTCAGCAATTTTACGTTGTTCAAGTAATTTAATATACTTTTCTTTCATTATTATCAATGTTCTAGATAGACGTTTGAGGGAAAATATTAATATTAGCTAAGTTATCAAAACTTATATTATATTAAATTCTCATAAACTATGTAAATAATATAGAGTGAAGCCTTTTCTGTGAAATTTGTTAGATTTTGTTCCCTCAGAACAAATTGACATAATTTTTTACTGATAATGAAAGTGATAAGACATTTAAGAGGAAGTATTTTTCAAGTAGAGATAGAATTTAGACATATTTAAAGATGATAATGATAGAAAAAAGATATTTCTCAAGATAATATTATTACGAACTATAAGTCGACAATAACATTTAATGTAATTTTTGACTGATAATAATAGAGATTAGACATTTTTCAAGATAATATTCTACAAGCATTTAGAGGTAATGTCATTTTTCAATGATAATGACAGAAAGTAGATAGTTTTCAAGATAATATAATTACGAACTTTAAGTAAATGTATATATAAATGCCATTTTTTTTTTGATAATTATAGAAATTAGATTTGTTTAGAGATAATATAATTGCAAGGTTTCAGAGGTACTGGCAGTTTTTACCGAAAATGGTAGAAATTAAGAAAATTTTTATGATGATATCACGAGGTTTCAGAGGTAATACCTGAAAATCCGCCATCTTGAAAAACCCTGACCAACAGCGGGTGGCTCAGTTTCATTTGCCATAATACTTTTGCCATAATTACACTTGCCATAATACTTTTGCCATAAGTACAGAAGTTAGGTCATCAAAAATCATTTTTAATTCTAATAGATATACATTATACAGTATACACCCCTGCATATTTGTTGCACTGAATTATACAAATGATAATGTTTGATGTATATCACATTGTTTGTTTAGCCAAAAGATTCCCACAATTTTTTGTCCTATTTTTCAGGGTTTGAAAAAACTGGAAGTTTTTACCGAAAATGGTAGAAATTAAGAAAATTTTATGATGATATCACGAGGTTTCAGAGGTAATACCTGAAAATCCGCCATCTTGAAAAACCCTGACCAACAGCGGGTTATTTATTACCTGTGAATTATAAAGATTGGTCGCATATTCAGGTTTATTATTCTTGAGCCAGGTTAGCAGGAACTCCCTGGTCTCGGGATCGGTCTGGGTGATCACGTCCCCCTGGGAACTCAAGATTGCACGTTTTAAACTCCTGAGCGCATCCCGAACTGAGACTGCAGGGGGAAATGTAGAGTCCTGAAAATATAAAAAAACAATAAAACCCAACAAAGCTCACTTACAACTTAAGCGGTTTTATAAGTAGGATTTATTGTTTTTTGGGGGGCGTTTTTTGGGCTTGGTTTTTTATGCCAACCCTGCTAATTTTGGTTTATTTTTGATACAATTTTTTTATTTGATTGTCGAACTTATTTATCGTATAACTAATTTTCTTTACGTATTCATGTTCATAATAAATAAATTTTTCTTGTTGAATAAAATATTCTTGACAGAAGTTTTAGAATGTTTGTGTTTGTCTGAATCTTGACTTGTCTGTTAGTTTTAGTATCTGTACACGTGTACGGTCTACAACTGTACAATGTACACTGTACAGTAGGAGAACTTCATCTTTATTCCTCTCAAGTACTATGCAGGGGTGTATTGTGTATAAGAATTACTTTCCCCCTCCCTCCAGGGGGAAAGAGAAATGATTTTTGTAGACTTGCAAACAGAAAAAAAAGAAAAAAAATTAGACTTTAACTGTCAATTTTTTCTTCTTGTTGATACTGTTTGTTACCTTGAACGAGATTTTAATGACCAAAACTTCTAAAATTTTGTTTTATGTCGTGCATGTTGATTGCTGAATATAGTTTTAAAAGGGAGTGCTATAAATAACGATTTGGCAAAGAAAGAAACATGTTTACAGTTGTAGGAAACCAAGAATATATGTAATAATACTTAAATAATATCCGTACTATCGTCTCTGACGTTTTGACCCCAAAATTTATTTATTTCCCTTCAAAATTCCAATAAGGCGGTAAAATGCGGGAAAGATAATTTTGTGGGAACGGGACCGGGTAGGGGAGGGGGAATGATTTATTACGAAAAAACACACCCCTAGTACTAGGCTTGTTTACCTGGATAGAAAAGTTATCGAACTGTGGTAAATCGTATCTTGCTCCTTGTATAATACCGTCCATCTGCTCAAGCGCAGCCTCAAGCATCCTAGAGGCCTCAGAGGTCATTCCTGATCCCCTGCTCCCGTCCTCATTCATCCTGGTTCATCTGAAATTTCTTATCAATATTTGCATAATGGCGAGGACATTTTCAAAATTTATACGTGAAACCAAATACGAAACTAAAATTACGGACAGTGACCGAATTTAATGAATCTAAGCCTCGTCCCAAATCCGCCAAAAACCGGTTTTAATTGAGAGCCAGTTTAAATCTTGAAACATTGAATACAACTTTAAGTGGAACCAACCATATTTGAGCCGCGGCTCAAATTCGTCCTCAGATCGTCTAATAATACTTTAATACCATAATTGTCTGTTACAACGAGTATTTAGGAGATTTAAAATACATTTCATAAAAAATAATGCTACAAAATCTTGCAAATAAATGAAAAAAACTGAAGAATAATTAGTACGGTGAAATCTAAAATATTGCAGGACATTTTAACTGAATGTATGTTTTTCTTTTTTTTTTAAAGCTCATGCTGAACTATTTTTATAATCGTGGCAAAATGTGATCCTTTGTTCTTGGAATTACACGCTATGCGATCACTGGATCAATCAAATACTTGGAAATTAGATAAGCGTTTTGAGGAAATTTTATAATTCTGTCTCGAGGAGGTATGTATAGAGTAACTCTCTACGCTTCATGATTTTTTTTTTTTGGGGGGGGAGTAAGAAAAACCTTAGAGGTGGGGAGATGGTGTATACCGTAGCGCATATGTAATTGAAAAATAATTTCCTTCATCCTCCGTTTTAGAAGTGTTTGTTTAGCGGGGACTTCGTTCTTTTATCGGTAAGTTGGCCGGTCTTTCCGGGAAAATAAATATTACACTATAAATTAAAGCTAATTACATTTACTTATGGACGTCATACTTTATCCCTCCCCCACCCCTACGGGATAAACAACATGGATAATGGATGTCAGCCCATCCAGTGACGTAGAAAAATGTTTGTTTAGGCGGCGGAAGGGGCAGAAGAAATATTAAGAGAGGTGTTGAGGCGGATAAACTGTGTGAGCCCCGGTTTACAAAACCAGGGTTCCGAGCCACACAGAGAAACACGTCATAATCTCTCCTCCGCCAGCATTTCAGAGAGAAGGCCAGCGGCAGTTGTAGCGGCGGAGCGGCGAGGACGTTTAGAAACCGTGTTCTCGTTTTCCTCTCTCACCAGAGCTCTTCTCTTCTCTACGCGAGCTGACTCCGCCCAGGAGGATGTTTTATTAGCCGATGGTTTCCGACCATTAATCACGGTACTACTGGTGTTCAAGTCCTCAGAAGTTGGATCAAAACTTTCAAACTCCTCCAGAGATATCCCCTGCTCTGCAGGAAGGTTCTCTAACTTCTTTTTCTCCTTGTTCTTCTGGTTTTCAACCTTGATCAACATATCTTTCAGCTCTCCCTTCTTCTCAGGATACAGCAGATCAAACCACTAAAATTAATCATTTTTTTATTTTGATAAATTATGGGACAATGTTTTCTTTGGATTTGAAAATTTTAATTTAAAACTCAAAATAGAATTGTCTCACTTGATCTATCTACTATTTTTTCTATTTCTCAATTATTATTATAAAATGATCGTTAAAGAACCCAAATGTAGAATCACAAGACCGCCATCGTGGTAATACGCCACTGCCTAAAACCCGTTCAACTGTCAGTATTGTTTAGATTATTGGAGAATGGAATGGATAGCTAGCTAGCTCCTTCCTTGTATTTAAACTTTAAGTCACAAATAAAATTAAATTGTAAAAATTAGTGTGATAAATTTGAAAATAAAATAGACATTGTAAGAAAAAAATGGCTCTTATAATTGGAGCGAAATTTGATACATTGAATTCTTGAGAAAATCTTGTCATCAATGTACCTAAGCAGGGAATTAATAAATAGCGAGGAAAAGCTGAACTTGTGTGACAAGAGTGCACGGGAGAAGTATTTCAGCCAGTCATATCTCGATTAACTAGCTTTTCATTAATTCAGAACTCAGGATATCTTGAATTTAGTTCCTCACCTCTGTAGTTCCCATTTTTGGAATATTATCCTTCTCATGGAGTTTAGTCATCAGATGCTTAGGTATATCAGCTCGTGCCTAAACATTTTATATTTACAGTTTTTCAATTAAAAAAAATAATAATTATAGTTTTTATTTTTCCCACTTTGTGCAGACAGTATGCTTTATACTAATATTGATTCCTGAATATTCTTGTTGAATTTAACCAGGATAGAATTCAGGTTGGATGAGAATACAGCGGAGACAGGTTCAGGTCCACGAGAGATTATCACACTCTCTCCTGTAGACAGACGGAGATCCCTGAATTGTATTAAGTGATCCGAGTTGGAAGGAGTTTTTGCCACAAACTCTGATTTTCTATCTTTGCAGCCTAATAAATTCTGTTAGATCAAATAATATAAGTTTTAAATATCAAAGGTTTTAAAGATATTGGGATATGCTAATTTTTTACAATAATTATTTCCTCCAGAAGTTTGGTTTGTTTGCGCGGAGTTCCAAAACAGTTTTGGGGGTAAAAAGAATTTAAATGGATAAAAAAACATGCCTTTTAATATTTTAATTTTCAATTTTTTCTTTTTTTAGATCACCAAATGTATTACTTTCACAAAAATAAGGTATGTTTGCTGGGAGCACCAGAACTTTTTCAGGGTTTTACTTTCTGAATTTTTGTGTAAAAAATATTATAAATCATGTCCATTTTTCATTTTTCATTACACATATTTTCATTATATAAGAAAATTCCCCCACTGCCCCTGAAGAGCTTTCAGTAAGAACACGAATGTGTTGATTTGTTAATATGTAATAATACTTGTGCATAAAATCAAATCTAGAGGAGCTACGAGGTCAAAAAATCCTACCAGTAATGTCACATAAATTTGACCTTCACCTTCTGTATACAGTTCACAGTTTGTTACGTGATGCAACATACGTGATACTTACGTGATCGCCTTGGTATATGGGAGTAGAGTTATTCCAAACATATACTCTCCGCCTCCCATAGGTAGGAACCGCCCACAGTCAACCACGCCCTTCCTGTAAACTGCCTTTCCCATCAATCCTCCCTCTAGGTCCAACTTTTTCCTAGAATATATTCATTCAGATTATTTTCCTCGTCAAAATCATAATTAAAAACTGAAATGAAAAAAAAATGTGAAATTAACTTTAAAAAATACTTTGATTTAGATTATTAGAGGTTCATTTAATTCTATACTTTTTTAACAGCGTAAGTATGCGCTACGAAGTACAAGTATTTTCAGACCACACTTTTGAAAATGATAAAGAGCTTTGAAATATTATATGATTATTGTTTTAATATATTTTAAGAAAGCGACAAGTCTTTCTCTACTTTTCCAAATATTTTCATGTTTATTTGAACACGCTGTGTACTGACAAACTTTGTGAAACTTCAACTTATTTCTTTCTATTTTCTGTATATACTGAATATAGTGAGAAGGCAGAACTTTCAAATTTGAAAATAGAGTTCTAGGGAAGAAATATTAATTCATAAAATATTCATCAACTTTTCATCATTAAAGGAAAACCAAACCATCCTCTCATTGGTTTCTAGGTATGCGTTGAGAACAGAGGTGCTTCGGGAGGGGGGAGGGAGTAGTCCATTCCCCCCTGAGTAAAATCAGAGGGCTGTAGTACCCCTTTATTTATTTATTATTTATGATTTTTAATTATAATTAATTTAATTATGTTACTTTGTCGCATTCCTCCCTTTTCTCTGTACTAATTGAAAAAAATACATCTTTATTTGAACCCGAAACATTCAACTTAAGTGATAAAAAATGTCCTCATTAGGACTTTTTGTCACCTAAATAGATAAAGAGAATTTAGTTCAAAGGTTTCTATTCATACCTTTCAGTTTAGATTTAATATTTTTCACAATGCATGCATGGCTAAATTTCATTTTCTTTGCAATTCAGGGGGAGTGTAAGGAGGGAGGGGCAGAGTAAATTGTTTAATTCTGCTTTTTTAATAGGGATGTGGAGATAGATTGCACTGATATAAGCATTTTTTGCAAAAACATCATAGAGGAACAGGGTGTAATTGGAATCTATGCCTTTTTTGGTTGTAAATTGCACTGTTCTTTGGATGTAAATTGCAATATTCAGGGGTTAAATCCTGACAGGGGGGAAGGGTTAAAAACTAATTATTTTACTCCCCCCCCCCCCCGGACTAAAGCATCCAACCTCCCTGGGTTGAGAACTTGTTAAAACTCTTAGCTGTAAATTTCAGCAGTAGTAGTTATCTTATCGTAACCACAATTTAAATTTGTAAAAATTTAAAGTATTTTCAATATATTTTCAAAGTCCAGCCGTTTGGCCAGCTATATCAAACATATATATACATACATCCTTATATACATACAGGGTGTCCTTAAAAAAATGGGAATTAAGTGACGACTTCTATGTCGTCTTTGTTCCGCATGGCATTATTGCACAGTTTTATATAGTATCCCAGTTAAAACAGTTGATAATTAAAACTGTTAGTTTTGGGAATTCAAAAATGTGGTTTACCATATTTTTAGGATCAAAACTGACGGAGATGTTGAGAAATCTATCCAGATTTTTTTCAATAACAACGAAATCTTTCAAATGTGTAATATCCCCGTCAATTTTTAAGATACAAAGAAGGTAGACCATATTTTAAAATCTCACAAGAACAATCAGAAAACTAAGCCGATTTTCAAAACACCCTGTATTTATAGAATATTCTAAAATGCATTAAATGTTCTACAGTACAAGTGCAGGATTTTCAAAACACCCTGTATTTATAGAATATTCTAAAATGCAATAAATTCTTTACAGTGCAAGTGCAGGATTTCACAATGCACAACGGATATCTCAGAAAAAAAGCTTGAAATAAAACGATTTATATTTCACCACTTTCATAAATTAGATTTTCATAAATAAACTGAATTCTACTAAAAGTAACGGCCCAGAAATAAAAACATAACTCTAGTAAAATAAATATTTTCTGCAATATAGCATATATCAAATGATGATGGTCTGAATTTCTATGTAACGGACACGTTAAATATTTGGATTTCCAAATCAGTTTTCCGTAACATATATTTCCTCATATCGGGCCCTATAATACTCAGATATGTGCATTGGCGTTTTTGATCACCCATTCTTGAAAATTAGTTTATACTAACTAGCTCCTAAGCTATTTACAGGATCAAAATAACACTGTATTAATCACACCTCCTATCGTAAATTCAAAATTGTATTGCAGTTAATCCAAAGGATTAGTTATAGTCCTATTGGCTATATACTTTTAGTTATAGTATTCATTTTAAAGAAACTCCATTGAGTTTATTTTGTTTAGATCTATATAGCATGTACATACTAAGGATGGGAAGCCAGATTCGTTTTACAGAAACTTTGAACGTTTTAAAGGTTTTAAATGTTTTGTTCGCTTGAATTTCCTTGTACAGTCCTTTTAAATGTTTTTTCCCTTGAATTTTTGTGTACAGTCCCTTTAAATGTTAATTTTTCGTTTGAATTTCCGTGTACAGTCACTTTAAATGTTTTTTCCCTTGAATTTCCGTGTACTGTCCCTGTAAATGTTTTTTCCATTTGAATTTCCGTGTACTGTCCCTTTAAATGTTTTTGTTTTAACCTGAAGAAGCATGTGATGGAAGGTAGTTTCAGATCCTCGGGTATATTCTTTACGGTCAGGTAAACCTTTAATGTGGAAAAATTTAGATTTTTATATGAAAAAAAAAATCTAAAAAACTTAATTTTTAGAAAAAAAAACACAGGATGTTTAAAAAAAAGATAATTATGAAAACTGATTCATGTGATAAAAGGAATTAAGAAAACCGTAAATTTTTAGGAAAAAATTTAATTAAAATCTTTGGAAGAAGAATTAGAAAAAGGATTTTCGCGGAAAAAAGAAATCAAGAAAGAAAAAAATTATTGTTTTGAAAAAAGCAACTAGAAAACTAATTTTAAAAAAGTTTTAAAAAAGTTGAATTTTGAAGTAAAAATAAAATCACGAAAACAGAATTTTTAGAAAAAAAGGAACTAAAACTGATGTATAAGGAAAAAAAAATAGAACTGATTTATTTGAAAAAAGGAGTTATTAAAACTGGTGTATTCAAAATAAAAAATTAATAAAACTGAGCTAAAAACTTTAGAATGAGATATCCGTAATCCCGATTAATTAATTTGAGTATCCAATGAACACACTTTTGATATTCTTCTTAATCCTCTCTTTTTGGATATTCCTACTGTATTAAAGTTACTTTTGATATAACAATGACAGATATATCCGATTCGACTAATGTCAGCTGTTCACAAGTGGGCTTTTAGAGAATTTAAAAAAATAAAATTTTTTATCATGTTAATATGAATTTATTAAAAAAACAAATTTTATCACATTTGAGGACTATAGTCATTTTGGACATTCGTCTCAATAAATATTAATCCAAGACTTACGTTTCACGCAAATCTGCCCCTTTGGTAAAAGTAAATTCAACCTGTATGAAGCATAAAGTCTGACCGTGTCAACCTCACTGCACCGACTATTTCTGTCCATAGAGCTAGGTATAGTATAAACTGGGACCGGAAAGGTTAACCCGGCTCGGAAATTCAAATGTACTACGGCTGCCCGTGGTTCATTCAATCGATCATTAGTTCCATTGATATGACACCATCATCACAGAAAATGCGCTAAAACTAAAAACCGGTTTTCAAAAGTTAAAGAGCGCATCTAAACTTGACACGCTGATTAGTTGAATTTTAAACTTTTTTCTTGGATATCGAATGCGTATTAACATAATCTCGGGTTTAGTAAAACCTGGAGTTTAAGCCTTAATCTCAATATCCACCATTTAAAAGTTTTCAGCTCTGATCTATTAGAAAAAAAATAATTTAATTAAACTGATTTATTTGAAATAAAATGAAATAAAACTGATTATTTTTAAAACAGCAAGGAAATGAAATAAGATAGATTTACCTGTCGTTTCCTATCCTCAGCATAACTAGCGTTTACGGAAACCACCTTAACCATGACGTAACAAAGTCTTATCAAAAATAACCCAATAAAGGAGACAAATTGTTTCTTTGATTTGACAAATACGGGGTTACCCACAAAGAAAGAGACTGCAAAGACGACCTGACATTTAAATATTAGGGCCTAGGGGTTATGACTTTACTAAGGTTGAATTTATTATTCTGCCCTGAATTTAAGTCTTTTAATGGCTTATCTAATGATTTGGCAGAGAAAAGACATATATTAAGTTGCATCATAAATGTAAGGTAACAGACATAATAAATTCCATACAGTCGTCTATGAATTCTCGTCCTTTGTGGGTAACCCTGTATATATATATCTTCCAAGATAAGCTTCTCAAAGAACGCGAAAATAATGCAATAAAAAGTTATCTTTTGATTGTTGACAGTTAAAATTAGTTTTCCCGTCCTGACTTGCATTTGTAAAGATGCAAAAAAAAGTTTTGTTATCATCCCTGAACTAACAAGGAATTAAATATCTGCAGTTTCTGATTCAATTTGGAATAGAATGTTTCAGACTTGTTTTCAGCTTCTAATCAATCAATCAATCAAAAATCAATCAATCAATTAAATAAATTATAGTCTCTACATTAAGTCTGAAGGTTAGTCTATTTGGTAAATTTGATAACTGGCTTTTGGACCACCAATAATTTTTTTCTTCAAAAAACCCTATTAGTTTTTTATCTAAGCCAAAATGCACATAACTCTCGAACCTGGCAGATTAAAGCACGCATTAAACTCCAAAAGTGAGAGATGAAGACCCCCCCCCCCTCCCCCAACAACGCCTCCAATTGAATTTTACCCATTAAATTATAAAAAACCCAAAAACTGTTGTTTTTAATCTTCCCTCAGAAATCCGCATATTATTGAATTTCCCACTTCCTTATTCGACTCTATGGGGGGGGGGGGTAGGTTTCTCACAATTTTTGCCTTTTCAATGTAACAACGTTAGAGCGCGCTCCAACGTTAACGATTTCAGACCACTCTTTTAAACCAATTACTGTTCGATTGTTAAAAACAACCATTAATGGCTTGATTGTTTCTGTTACAAATCAGTATTAGATAAAATAATGAAGATCAAGCACTAATCTCCGCATAATGCAGATCAAGCATTGATCTCCACATAATGCAGATCAAGCACTAATTTCTGCATAATGCAGATCAAGCATTGATCTCTGCATAATGCAGATCAAGCATTGATCTCCACATAATGCAGATCAAGCATTAATCTCCGCATTATGCAAATCAAGCACTGATCTCCACATAATGCAGAACAAGCATTGACCTCCGCATAATGAAGATCAAGCATTGATCTCTACATAATGCAGATCAAGCATTGATCTCCATATAGTTCAGATAGAGCATTAATCTTCTCATAATGCAGATCAAGTCTTTATCTCTGCATAATGCAGATCAAGCATTGATCTCCATATAGTTCAGATAAAGCATTTATCTCCTCATAATGCAGATCAAGCATTGATCTTCGCATAATGTAGATCATGAATTAATCTCTGTATTATTTAGATCAAGCATTGATCTTCGCATAATGTAGATCATGAATTAATCTCCGTATTATTTAGATCAAGCATTGATCCCCACATAATGTAGATCAAGCATTGATCTCCGCATAATGCAGATCAAGCCTTTATCTCCGCATAATGCAGATCAAGCGTTGATCTCCGCATAATGTAGATCAAGCATTGATCTCCGCATAATGCAGATCAAACATTGATCCTCAATACTATGCACAAAAGTTCTAATCTTGTGTCTAGTTAAAAAATAGTAAAAATTTATTTTTTATATCAAAAAAATATTTGCATTCGACATGAGATTAGGTCATCTCCCAGCTGTCAAGAAAAAGACATAAATCTAATATATTCTGCTCTGCTCCTCCCGGGGGAAATTTAGATGAACGAATTATTTTTACGTCTGTCACGGCATTAAAAATTATACTTATATTAACCTTAAATATAATTATCTTATAGAAATCTGTTTAATTTATTGTCTTGTATCATCTAAAATATATTCAGGTGGAAAATTATTTCTTGTTGTACGGTTTTCTTTATTTGTCAATATTGATTTTTAAATTGAATCAATAATTAATAATACATTACTTTGATTCGACAAAAACAGGCAGAGTAATTGATTGTTGATCAAATTTAACATTTAACTAAAGCCAATTTGATTAATCTACTTATATAATTATATAATTAGATTAATCTTTGCTGATTGATCAAATTGATTTGTAAATGAATTTTGTAATTTATAAATTACTTTGATGTTACGTACCGTATGATTTATTATTTGATTGATTTGATAAATTAAACCGAAATTTATTGATCGATTTTTTCCTAAAGTGCAAACAATGCTGAAAACTCCAAGAGGGGGGTCATCCTTCCCAAGCAGTAAATAATCTCTTCTTATAGATATATCAGGGATACTATACTTCTCATTCTAAACATATATATATCAGGGATACTATACTTCTCATTCTAAACATATATGTATCAGGGATACTATACTTCTCATTCTAAACATATATATATCAGGGATACTTTACTTCTCATTCTAAACATATATATATCAGGGATACTATACTTCTCATTCTAAACATATATATATATATCAGGGCTACTATACTTCTCATTCTAAACATATATATATATCAGGGATACTATACTTCTCATTCTAAACATATATATATATCAGGGATACTATACTTCTCATTCTAAAAATATATATATCAGGGATACTATACTTCTCCTTCTAAACATATATATATCAGGGATACTATACTTCTCATTCTAAACATATATATATATATCAGGGATACTATACTTCTAATTTTAAACATATAGATATATCAGGGAAACTATACTTCTCATTCTAAACATAAATATATTATATTATATATTAATGATCCCTTTAACTTTCCTATCCAATGTCGTAGACTTTTGATGTTTCAAACTAAGTTTAAAATATTAAAGGTTTACACCAATAGGTTTCAAAAATATAGGAATAAAGACTATTTTAGTTTATTGGGAAAATTCAGTTCCTTTGAGAGTTTGATGTTCGATTAACATGGACATCCTTTAACCCTATCACGGATGGGGGTGGGGGTGTTTTCTAACACCGCCCCCCCCCCCTCCTCTGGGGTTTATTCTGAATAACTTAAAAATGGGTTACATTAGAACACTAAAACTTCTTTACTTTTTCAAGAATTTAGTTGTGAACAAAGTTTGCGTTAATTTTTTTTTCTTTGATGCATAGGGTAGGGTGGAAAATGGTCAAACGGCGGGTCGGTGTTTAAAAAAATCAGAAATGGTTAATACATTTTTAATAATTAAGCTAAAAATATAAGGCTTATATGTTTGAAAAGACAGACTAGGGACATGTATCACACTCCCCTATCTCAACTCAAAGGGCAAAAACATAGGGGTTTAAAAACACCCCCCCCCCTCCCCCAATCTATATTAGACAAAAATAGCCTAGCCTGGAAAGGGTTAAACTGACGATCAATGAGGAAAATATCATTTTATTGAAAAACATTAACAATTAAATGAACTAAATATTCGACACAATATAAAAATATATATCCTGATATGTAAACCTATGATTATTGAAACTTTCCTTAATTTGACCACAATTAAAAATAATGTCGACGCCAATACTTACTGTCTTACCAATACTTCTTATTATCTTACCGATACTTCTTATTATCTTACCAATACTTATTATTATCTTACCAATACTTATTATTATCTTACCAATACTTATTATTATCTTACCAATACTTATTATTATCTTACCGATACTTCTTATTATCTTACCAATACTTATTATTATCTTACCAATACTTATTATTATCTTACCGATACTTCTTATTATCTTACCGATACTTCTTATTATCTTACCAATACTTTTTATTATCTTACCGATACTTCTTATTATCTTACCGATATTTCTTATTATCTTACCAGTACTTATTATTATTCTTACTGATACTTCTTGTTATCTTACCAATACTTCTTATTATCTTACCGATACTTATTATTATCTTACTGATAATTCTTATTATCTTACCGATACTTCTTATTATCTTACCGATACTTCTTATTATCTTACCGATACTTCTTTTTATCTTACCAATACTTATTATTATTCTTACCGATACTTCTTGTTATCTTACCGATACTTATTATTATTCTTACCGATACTTTTTATTATTTTACCGATACTTCTTATTATCTTACCGATTCTTCTTACTATCTTACCGATACTTCATACTATCTTACTGATACTTCTTATTATCTTACCGATACTTCTCATCATCATACCGATACTTATTATTATCTTACCGATACTTCTTATAATCTTAACGATACTTCTTATTATCTTACCCCAGCATCTAGCCAGCAGATTGGGTTTGTATAGTTTTCGGTTAGAAACTCCTGGCTCTCCAGGTGCACTGAGAGATAGGTAGATTGCAGGATATCATGGTTCGTTTCACTTAGATCACAGAATTTCTTCTTACAACCTGAAACAAAGTTTTCTTAATTGGAATCCATTTTTTACACAACTACTAATTTCAAATTCTTTAAGTTTGAAATATCAAAGGTTATCGGGTTGCAAAAATATTGGCATTAAAAAATTAGAGTGTGTGGCAAAAGCCAAATTTCTTTATATGGAGGGAGTTACACGTTTCACGTTACTTTCTTGTTTTTTCCTTAATAATATTAATAATATAAACGTAATAATGAGATAAACTTTTATTGCTATCTTTTAGAAATTAGGGTTTCTTGTTAAGTATAATTACATATTTTTTTTAATTCATTTCTCCTAAATTTGTTTTCTCAGAATAAAGTCGTTGTAAACATACCAAATATATATATATTTTTTTGAAAAAAAATATAATCTCTACTTTTATGATAATAAATTAAGTTAGTGTGCGTTGATACTTTAAAAAACATCTTTGGTTGTAAAGAAAGAAGTGTTTGACAAAAAGGTCTATATGTTAAATCTGTATATTTTAGATGTTGATCGGGACCAATATTAACCAAAATTCCAAAACTAATGTTGGTCGCGATAAACTCCTAAAATGTTTAGGTATTATCCTATTTCCCCTTTAACATTTTAAATTATAAATCTTCAAGATCACATCAAGGATGAAAAATCTTAGGTTTTTTCTACCAGGTTGCAAAGATATAGAGATTAGTAAACTAGAGTTTGAAGCGAACAGTTTCTTTTGAATTTCAGACCATTTCATTCAGATATTTTACAATAAAATACAATACAATACAATACAATACAATACAATACAATACAATACAATACAATACAATACAATACAATACAATAAAATACAATACAATACAATACAATACAATACAATACAATACAATACAATACAATACAATACAATACAATACAATACAATACAATACAATACAATACAATACAATACAATACAATACAGTGCAATACAATACAATACAATACAATACAATACAATACAATACAATACAATACATACAATAAAAGTTTAGACGTTTTCCTAAAAAGGACTTTTCTTTTATACATCTGCATATTGAATATCAAGTCCATTTATTCCATAGTTGAAAACATATTTTGTTCCTATGCATTTTCCACTTCCACTATAAGAGGACTTCATTTCCAGAGATTTTTCATTTCAAGGACTTTTTTCACAAGACTATTTAGTACCAAAGTTTTTCAAAAAACATTTTTGGAAACTAACGAAAAAAATACCGTTAGTCCTACAAACAAACAAACAATGGGTTTTATTTATAAATTGAATAAAAAAGAAGAAAAAACTATTTATTTGGAACTTACTGTTTCTAGATGAAGAGTTAGGTTTAGAGCACACTCCACAATCATCCTTCTCCTCTCCACATTTACCACATTCACGGACACCAATAGCAGAGGAACATCCACCACATTCATGCAATCCTATATAATTATACCACATTTACCACACTCATGTACACCAAGTAGAGGAACATCCACCACATTCATGCAATCCTATATAATTATACCACATTTACCACACTCATGTACACCAATAGCAGAGGAACATCCACCACATCCATGCAATCCAAGATGATTTTACCAGATTTACCACACTCGCGTTCACCAACAGTAGAGGAACTTCCACCACATTCATGTAATCCTAGACAATTATACCACATTTACCACATTCTTGTACACCAATAGCGGAGGAACATCCACAACATTCATGTAATCCTCGACAATTATACCATCCACATCCATCCACCACATGCATACAATACTAGCAATCACCAAAAAACCTAGATATTACCTAGATATTACAATTACCACATTAACGTACATTATTAGCTGAGGAATATACACCACATTCATGCAACCCTAGACAATTAAACAACATCATACACCTCCTAGTTACCAAAAATATGATATCTCAGTATTAATTAATACTTGATTCTCATGATTAAACGGTTACCAGAATACGTTTGCAGTTTGTGAAAAGGACTGAAGGAATTATATCTGAAGATTCTCCATCAAAAAGTGGTATTTCTGACTCACAACGGTACAATTTAAACTTTTGTCTCATTAAAGATGGATGATTCACCTTTTTTATATTTTCAATTGTGATTTCTGTTTAAATGTGAATTTCGAAAATGAGTGAAATTGTATTAGATTTAGATTTAGTAAAACAACCATATACCTATCAATTTTTTAATAAAAGATTTTTAAGGGTGCCGTTGTGAATCATACATGCCACTCTATAAACGGTGGGTCGTTTGTAATTATTTCTACAGTGCCTTTACTAGCTCTTAGCCTAGCTGGTGACCTGCGTGAGCTGCCCGGCCTGTTGTTCCTCCAACACAGATTCCGCACTGGTTAATCCAGGCTCCGGATCTAACCTCGCCATCACACATGAGAAAACTCTGAACCTCGACAGGGACACATACATCCTCTACAGCTACTCCGGTAGAGTTAGGACTAAACAAAATATTTTTTATATTTGAAATAAATTACATTTTTTACGAAGCTTCACTTCAAGTATCTTTTAATGGTTCAAAATGCTTGAAATTTCCTAATTTAATGCTACTTTAAAATGTAAACATCAAACAGATTCTGCCAGCCCGCCCTGAAAGAAAAAAAACATTTTTGAGAAAAAGAGTGTTTGCGAGGAAAAAAATAAAATTTTGGTTTTATCCTTTTTTCGTGAACCCTCACTTTAAATTGATTGAGAAAAAATCAGCTACACACATTAAAATATTCTTAATCCATATACAGACAAAAAAAATCCCTTTTTTACATACGACGCTTAGATTTTGATTAGAATCAGATTTAAAACTTAAAACATTTTTCGTACTACACCACATTACAAAATAAATTAAACTCACTTTAACTTATATTTTTGTTGAAAAATGTTTTCCTTTTCAGAAATCAAAGAAAGAATTTTACTTTTATCAAAACTAAATTAAAAACAAAACAATAAAACTAGATTCAAACTAATTCAAATTTTGATGATTTTAATTTTAACATTGAATATGTGCCTACTGCCATAACAATAAAAAGAAAAAATTGAATATCTTTGAAAACTCTTTTGATATCTTAACAATAAGTTTATGATAAAAACCTTAAAGTCCCCCCCCCCTGAATTTCCCAAGAAAAAAAACTATTGAATTCTTTTTATAAAGAAAATTCTAATGAACCTTAACTCCAAAATAATATCCTGTAGTTTAGTTGATCTTCTGAAACTCGGCTACATTAACCCTTTATCAACCGACATCTCCTCTGCCAAGAATACCGCAGAGGGGGAGGTCCCTTCTTTATCCTTATTGTGGTACTAGGGGGAAGGGGGTTGAGTCTCTTCTTTATCCTTATTGTGGTACTAGTGTAAAGGGGGTGGAGTCTCTCATATATCCTTATTTTGGTACTAGTGTAAAGGGGGTTTAGTCTCTTCTTTATCCTTATTGTGGTACTAGTGTAGTCCCTCATATATCCTTATTGTGGTACTAGTGTAAAGGTGGTTTAGTCCCTCATATATCCTTATTGTGGTTCTAGTGTAAAAGGGGTGGAGTCCCTCATATATCCTTATTTTGGTACTAGTGTAAAGGGGGTGGAGTCCCTCATATATCCTTATTGTGGTGCTAGTTTAAAGGGGGTGGAGTCCCTCATATATCCTTATTGTGGTACTAGTGTAAAGAGGGTGGAGTCCCTCATATATCCTTATTATGGTACTAGTGTAAAGGGGGTGGAGTCCCTCATATATCCTTATTATGGTGCTAGTGTAAAGGGTGTGGAGTCCCTCATATATCCTTATTGTGGTACTAGTGTAAAGGGGATGGAGTCCCTCATATATCCTTATTCTGGTACTAGTGTAACGGGAGTGGAGTCCCTTTTATATCATTATTGTCGTACTAGTGTAAAGGGGGTGGTGTCCCTTCTGTAACCTTATTGTGGTACTAGTGTAAAGGGGGTGGAGTCCCTTCTACATCATTATTGTGGTACTTGGGGAAAGGGGGTTGAGTCCCTTCTGTACCCTTATTGTGGTATTAGTGTATAGGGGGTGGAGTCCCTTCTATATCATTATTGAGGTACTAGTGTAAAGAGGGTGGAGTCCCTTCTATGTCCTTATTGTGGTACTAGGGGGAAAGGGGGTGGAGTCCCCTCTATGTCCTTATTGTAGTACTCAGGGGAAGGGGGTGGAGTCACTTCTAAATCATTATTCCTGGTACCAAGGGGAGGGTCCTTCTACATCCTTTTTGTGGTATACTAGAGGGAGTGGTCCCATCCATATCCTTCTTGTGTTACTAATTCACAGCAATTCATATATTTTGGTAAGCCCTTTAGCTTTACTTTAATAACCTGCCTAAAACTGTGCGAAATATTGCGCCAAATATGATACGGTTTGCATTTTTTAAAAGTCCTTAACCCAGCAAATTCAAATTTACAAAAATAAATTTTTTAACCCTAAGTTTGAATTAAAGAAAATGAAAATGTGGAAATTCAATTTAAAAGCGCTCGTGCAACCATTCTTTACAAAACTTTTGCAATCTATTTTCCAAAGAGGTGTAAAACTTACTGATATTGGGTCTAAATATAGATTTAGTCTAGACTAGGTAAAATAAGGTACTCAGGCAATACGACCTAGGAATAAAATCCCTTTTTTTAACCTAAAGTGAGGGGCTTGTGTTAGTTTAAAAAAAGGTTTTTGAAATTTTACAGCCTGATAATTTCACCTGAAGAGTTAATTCCCCCCCCCCCCTTCTTTCCAGTAGGAGTAGGGTTAAATATATATTTGGTTATCAGCAATCAAAAACATTTTTGACATTCGTTTTCCTTATATCCACATTAATTTCCGAAATATGAGAATATTCAAAAATGAAATAAATTTCCAACATGAAAACTACTTTGAATTATAATTGAGTACTGTGTGTACACATGTATATTTGTATTAGTGTTATTTTGAAACTGTAAAATATTTATTATTATAGTTTTTGTTGATCTAGTATCTGGGCCGGTCTTGAGTTCCCAATGTGTTTGAAAATTATATACAGCATGAAATACTACTATTATGATTTTTTTAATGTTCCAGAGATACGCACAGGTATTTTTAAAAAAGTATTTTACAATGTTTACATGTAAAAACTATGTTATCCAGTAAGCTAACTATAGAATAAGTAGAAGTAAATATTTCCATTTACTGATAGCGCCGATTGAAGGATTCATAACGCTGATTGGATAATGAGATAGATAGAAAGATAGATGTTACCGCTATGCTATTTCTATTGGTTCAGAATAAACAACAAACACATGAACCCTGATTGGATCAGGCGCTAATGGACTCGGCATACATGAATGAGCAAATTCTAAGTTTTGCATTAGATTTATTTCTAATTTATGTGAAAACGACCTAGACAGGAATTTATTTTCCATTGCAAATGATTGTTTTGTAAATAAAGCTGATCTCAGTAAAATGTTATCTAATATGAGGATATTTACCTTATTATGACATTTCCTCCACAAGTTCCCAGACAGTCTCTTTTGCTTTTAGCTTCCTCTGCACTTGCATGACATACTCCACAGTCAAATACACTTCCTATAAAAAGATATTGTCCAGGGGCGTATTTAGGAATTTGTCCAGAGGGGACGCTTAAATTTTTTCCTGTCCATACATACATTTCCTAAACAATACCTCTACTCTTTAATCTGTATGCATTGTCCAGTATATGTTCTTACAGGAACTGAACTGAAAACTTTTGAATGGGATAATTAGTCTGGAGATTAATAACAAGCGGAGAACAAGAATTTTTCAAACCCGAGATTAAAAAAGAGTGAATCAAGCATTAATCCTGGTATCCAGCATTCAACAGTTTTCAGCTTGGTAATCATAATTTTAAGTGACCCTACGTTTGTAGAGTGGGGTTTCCAATGTACAATGATATCCTTTAAACCTTTTCCTAATTAAGTGTACAATGTACAATGATATCCTTTAAACCTTTTCCTGATTAAGTGTACAATGTACAATGGTATCCTTTAAACCTTTTCCTGATTAAGTGTACAATGTACAATGATATCCTTTAAACCTTTTCGTGATTAAGTGTACAATGTACATACAGTGATATTTCAACCACTCAATTGTTAACTACAAAATAATGATATCCTGCTGTATTCTGCATTATAGAGTGTAAAGGGTTAGAACCTCGTACCCGATTATCCGATCTAGTTGCTTTCCGACCTAATGTTTATCTGACCTCAAGGGTTTCCGACTTAAAATTGTCTTAGATCTTAAATTAGGATAGGTATAAGGGTGGTGTTTGTTCGGGGTTAGACCATTAGACGTCGAGTAAAAAATAAGCGGAAGTCGATTTAAATCTGTAAAAACGCAAGGGGAGTGAAAACTACTCAATATTTTCTTTGAAACTAAATGATAATGAGGTTGGATACCCTTCAGGTCGGATTCCTCTAGGTCAGTTTCCTTAGCATTATGTCCCTCCAACTAAATGTTTTTAATAATATTCTACAATTTACAATTTGTTTGAACGGGGTTTAAAGAGCTTAAAACTGTATTGTTCCTCATGCACACAAACAGGGGTTAAAGGGACTTTAAACGTAATTTTGATAGACCTTCTTTGGCTTGAATGTTTATTTAAAATTGTACCTTTTCTCACTTAAAAATTAGTCTAAAGTCCCTTTAAGATGTATATAATGGCTAATTANGTTCTTTGAAGATTTAAAACTGAAAAATAAATTAATCTGTCTAAAATATCAAATTAAGAACTTTGACACTTTAAATCCACATAGACACTGATATACAGAAAGAGTAAAAAAATTAGACTTTTTCAAATTTACCAACAATTATGACATCTCACCTCCATTCAGAACGTTGTTACAATCCCTGCACGAAGTTCCAATTCCTCCACATACCCCACATTCATCTAGTTCCTTGAAGTATATATTCATTATTCATCTAATTCCTTATAGTATATATTCATTATTCATCTAGTTCCTTGAAGTATTTATTCATGATTCATCTAGTTCCTTGAAACATATATTCATTACTCTTCTAGTTCCTTACAGTATTTATTCATAATTTATCTAGTTCCTTGAAACATATATTCATTATTCAGTTAGTTCCTTGAAACATATATTCATTATTCTTCTAGTTCCTTGAAAACATGGCAATATATTTATCTAGTTCCTTGAAAACATGGCAATATATTAATCTAGTTCCTTGAAAATATGGCAATATATATTTATCTAGTTCCTTGAAAACATGGCAATATATATTTATCTAGTTCCTTGAAAACATGGCAATATATATTTATCTAGTTTCTTGAAAACATGGCAATATATATTTATCTAGTTCCTTGAAAACATGGCAATATATATTTATCTAGTTCCTTAAAAACAGGCAATATATATTTATCTAGTTCCTTGAAAACATGGCATTATATATTTATTTAGTTCCTTGAAAACATGGCAATATATATTTATCTAGTTCCTTGAAAACATGGCAATATATATTTATCTAGTTCCTTAAAAACATGGCAATACATATTTATCTAGTTCCTTAAAAACATGGCAATATATATTTATCTAGTTCCTTGAAAACATGGCATTATATATTTATTTAGTTCCTTGAAAACATGGCAATATATATTTATCTAGTTCCTTAATTTATCTAGTTCCTTGAAAACATGGCAATATATATTTATCTAGTTCCTTGAAAACATAGCAATATATATTTATCTAGTTCCTTTAAGTTAAAAGTCAAAATGTACCTTAGGTTTAGTAACTATAGGACCTCCTGTACAATCAGCTTTCTCAATATAGAAGAGTGCGAAATCAGTAGCCAGGGACCCATTCTCTTTACACTGTACATAAAATATATTCTTAGCACTGTGCACATATTTCTTTATATTTCTTAAATGTCATCATACCATCCCACAATTTTATACATATAAGTTGTAATCTCTGTGTGTATGTTTTTTTGTTTGTTCTATAGTAGTTCAGGAACCCCTGGACCAATTTGCCTCAAAATTTGATTAGGGAACTCGGAAGAACCTCGGGAATGTTATTTATAGTTTAACTTTGATATTCTAAGTTGAGTTGGTCCACTTTTAACGGGATAATAAGTAAAATCGTAATTTACAACAAAGGGCGGGTAAATGGTGGACTAACTATGTGCTCCCAAGCTAGGAATTGTATGTATATAAGTAAACTAAATACCTGACAGCAAAATGGAAGTTGTTGATCTAAATACTCTTCTTCCTCTCCTTCCTCGCCATCCCAGGCAGTAAATACAAGTCTTGTCTCAACCATAGCCTGAAAAATTGTTTGTGTAAACCAACAAATGAAAAAACTATTGTTATTTTCAACAAACGAAAATGATAACTATTTAAAATCGTTAAATTCTTTCTGAACGATTTTTAAAATCATTTTTGAGTTTAGTCTGTTATATAAATCTATAGGGTTCAAAAGATACTACTTAAAAACGGTAAAAATAAGTAAAAAAAGGTTAAACTAAATTAAATATAAGCTTTAGAAAACTTTTTAAAGTAACCAGGCCAAAGAAGATCTATTTTTTTCTAAATGAGAATGGAATCAGATTTCATTAAATCCCTTTTCTTAAATTGTATGAAAAAAAAGTTACGAGTAAAAACATGTTCAAAATATTTTTTTTCAATTTTTCTGGAAATATTTAAATTGTTTTGGACTTTTTCAATATTTCTGGATTTTTTCAATTTTTCTGGAGCTTCAATTTTTCTGCAATTTTCAGTATTTCTGGAATTTTTTCAATTTTTCTGGAATTTTCAACTTTTCTGGAATTTTCAATTCTTTCTGGATTTCAATATTTTTATTGACGTATAAACGCCTTAATGTTACCGTGCATTTATTTATTTTATTAGTCTGAAAAACTAAAATCTAACTCCTAGAAATAATAATATAATGTAAAAAACATTTTTATTTTATTTATTCATTTTATAATTGATCGTGTAATTTACAATTTTCAATCCATTATAATCCATCCATTAAATAGTTAACTAAATGTCACGTATATTAATCGAGTTCTTCAAATAGTCAATCAATTGATCGTGTAGGTCATGAACGTAAATTAATTGATCGAGTAGTAATTGATCGCTAATCAATTCATCGAGCATAATAGTTAAACTTTATTAATAATTTGATCGAATACAATTTAACAAATTCAATTTTTTGATTATCTAGTCAAACCAAGGTTGTATAATAAGGTTGCTTACTCTTGATGCTCTCCAATGTACAGTAAATGTTGTCTCGTAAGCTTGGATAAATAAAATCATCATATGACATCACTGATTATAGAGGTGAGAGTAACGTCATATACGGATTTTAATCCATCATTGCTAACGAGACGACATTTCCCGTACGTTGGAACGCATTATACAACCTTGAGTTAAACCAAATCAATCAATTTTGATCGAGTAAGTTATAAAGTAGCTAGTTATGCATCGTCAATCATTCAAGTAGATTAGTTTTTTATGTTCTATGTTCTATGTTCTATGTATACCACGTTAATGTCAATTACTCGATTAAGTAATTTTACAGGGTTAATCAACCAATTACCCAGATATATAACCTTTATCAAAATACGAAAAAAAACATTAAGCGAAATAATTAATAATTATTTAAGTTTTCTTATTCATGAAAAATAAATATGAAAAAGCAAAATATTATAAACTACGCAAAAGCTTAAAGACAATACATATAAAAAAAAGAATAATGGATGAGATGATAAAATAATTGCATTTGTAAATCGTTTGATCGTCAAGAAAACTAAAATATAAATATAAGAGAAAGGAGGGCTCAAGAAAACTAAAATATAAACATAAAAGAAAGGGTATAGATTTAAGGGGAGAAGAATGAATAAAACAAGAGGAAGGATGAAGGAAGGAAGAATGAAAAAAGAAGAAAAGGATGAAAAGGATGAATAAAGTGACACCAGGATCTGGGCAAAATAGAAAACAGACCGGATGATTAATGGATAAAAAGATAAGAAGGGTGTAAAAGCAAAGAAATATTGAACAAAGGAAAAATTGGATGAATAAAAGGAAAGCGTAATTGATGACATGGAAAAAGAATGAATAAATAAATGAGTATAACCTGGAAGGTTGACCAGTACCCTTGAGAATCTTTAGGATTGAACCTTATCCTGGTTTGGTTCGAGAGCAAGAGTATCCTGGTAATCCTGGTCTCTAGTTCTACTGACACCTCTGCTACACTCTAAAAATTAGTTATAGTAGCAGTATCCTGGTTCTCTAGTTCTACTGACACCTCTGGTACACCCTAAACATTAGTTATGGTAGCAGTATCCTGGTTCTCTTGCTCTACTGACACCTCTGCTATACCCTAAACACTAGTATAGTAGCAGTATCCTGGTCTCTAGTTCTACTGACACATCTGCTACACCCAAAACACTAGTATAGTAGCAGTATCCTGGTTCTCTAGTTCTACAGACACATCTCCTACACCCTAAACACTAGTATAGTAGCAGTATCCTGGTTCTCTAGTTCTAATGACACATCGACTACACCCTAAACACTAGTATAGTAGCAGTATCCTGGTCTCTAGTTCTAATGACACATCGACTACACCCTAAACATTAGTTATAGTAGCAGTATCCTGGTTCTCTAGTTCTACTGACACCTCTGGTACACCCTAAACACTAGTATAGTCGAAGTATCCTGGTTCTCTAGTTCTACTGACACCTCTGGTACACCCTAAACACTAGCATAGTAGCAGTATCCTGGTTCTCTAGTTCCACTGACACCTCTGGTACACCCTAAACACTAGTATAGTAGCAGTATCCTGGTTCTCTAGTTCTACTGACACCTCTGTTACACCCTAAACACTAGTATAGTAGCAGTATCCTAGTTCTCTAGTTCTACTGACACATCTCCTACACCCTAAACACTATTATATATCCTGGTTCTCTAGTTCTACTGACACATCTCCTACACCCTAAACACTATTACATATAGTAGCAGTATCCTGGTCTCTAGTTCTACTGACACCTCTGCTAAACCCTAAACACTATTACATATAGAAGCAGTATTCTAGTTCTCCTGGATAAATTATTCCTTTGATTGGTATGTTTGTGGGATAGAAGAGAAGAGATGATATATTAAGATTAATGTTTTCTCGCAAAAGCTTAAAACTTTGACTTTTCGAACTAGCGCAATAAAATGTGAATTTTAAAGAGGATTCCAGGGGGAAAGGGGCGGTAAGTGGAGGAAAGGAGGGGGGGAGAGGGGAAGGGGAAGGAGGGGGTGAACGGAAAGGGATGGAAGCGTGAAGGGGGTTAATTACCTCTGGGATATCTGAACTGCAGTCAGATGTTCCATTGTTGTTCCTACACAATTTCTTCTTCTCAACTTGAATACTCTCTACACAGAAAATATTTTAGACAGTTTAACCCAGAACTGTGGAGATATTGAAAGAATTTATAAAATGTCGTCTTCAAAGTCAACTGATTATTGAATTTTGAAGATTGTTGATTAAATAATTATATGGAGCTTTTTAAAACTGTTCCAGCATATTCCATGGCTTTTTATATATTTTTACAATAACTGAGATTTTGGTATAATAGTATAAAATCCATTGTAAACTTGCCAATAGTACTTATGTTTTTTTTCGACATTGAAGTTTATTTTAATTTTTAAAGGCTGCAGAAAACTATTTTCATTTTTATAAATTATCCCGGAACTTCTTTACCTTTATCTTATAAAAATGACAAAATTATCATAGATTTTTGCGTGAGAGCTACTTTAGACTCTTCAACAACCTTTTTTATGTAGTTTTTTTTACTTTATATCTCTCCTTTACGGTTTTAACAAATTCAATTCATCTTTTATTCTGACGTTTCCACTTTCAAGAAATTATTGCATTCATAGAAATAGAACGAAGCTTGATCGTAAAATATATTTATTAAACGAACAGAAAAACAAAGAAAGTTAATGAATGATTTCCTACATTTACATTCCTATATTTACAAAAAAGTAGTTTTTTATTTCGAAATTTTTTTTATGAATATGTATAGATCAGATAAATAAAATAAAAAAAATTTGTTATTTTTTCACAAAATGGTTTGAAATAAAAATTAATTAAAAGTCGTACATTTAAAAAGATTGTTGTAAAAATAAGTGGATGAAATAACAAAAATGTAAAGAAGTGTTTTCCAAGAAAATTTATTTTTAAATTTTACTCAAGCAAAGTATGAAAATACGACCTTTAAAGCTGCGAATGGTTGAAATTCCTCTTGTTCTGAAACCACAACTTTTGGATTTTATTCTGGACCAACATCCAGCATCCGCTGAACCGGTTAGAGATACGTTCACTAAAAAAATATTAATTTTTATTACAAAAAACTTACAGTGGTCGGCAATTATATTTTGTTTTGATTGCTAACAAGCTTGTTTTCCAATTTCAAGTTTACAAGTAATTAAAGAGAAGCTTTTTTAATTGACAGCCTCTCTTTGTTTCCATGTTTACGTGCATCCATGCTATATAATAGCTTGATATAAATCAAAATTTAAATCGAAAGTCGTCTTCATTGTATTGATATATGCGACAGCGACTGTATGTCAAAAAAACGCAAAGAATTATCCATCTATTCAAATAGATATGTTCTTTTTTATTTTTTTAATAGAGTTTCATTAAGCTTGTAATTGTTCTTCAGGAAACTTGATTTTGAACTTTCTTAAAAATATCTTAGACTCTCCAGCACTTCGTACTATTGAACTTAATGAAATTATTTTCCGTTAAAGTGCTTTATCTGAGCAATTAATTTTTATAATGAGAATATTATGGTACAGAAAACAAAATATTTTCTTTACTGAATCAAATACAGCGTAATTTATAAATCCAAATATTTAATATCTTTATAATGAACTTATACACAATAACATGCAGTATATTTTTTCATCTGAAACCACAGATGTAAGTAAAATCAATTTGGAAATAGTTTTTAGAAAAGAATTTAGATTTTGTTACCTTTTTGATTAGAACAGGCTAGCTTTTCTATATACTTAGACACTGGAACAACACCTCTAGATAAAGAACAGATGAAAATAGATGAGAATAGATGAGAATAGATGAGAATAGATGAGAATAGATAAGAATAGATGAGAATAGATGAGAATAGTTGAGAATGAAAATTATATATACTAAACTTTCTCTATGAAAGTAAACCCATTCTACTCAGAATTTTCTTATATAATGTTTATAACGTGTCCTCAAAACAATATTTGAGGCAGTTCGGTCAAGGGGTTACTGAGTTATTATCGTACATAAAACAAACATACAGACACAAAGACAGAGAATAATGACCTCAGCTTGGTTTAGAAATTCTAAGTTGAGTAGGAAGACTTTTATAGAGAAATTTTAGGTTTCAAGCAAAGTTGGGTTCCCACGATAATTTTACATAAGTATTAATTATTCATGAAACCATATAAACGCTTTCCCCAACATTACAAATACTAGAAATGAACAGTGGGTAAAGGAATTGCATCTTTGCCACAAACTAAAATTTGAAAACTGATGGTATTAACTTTTGATATTTTAAACTTAGATTATCTGATCTAACAGAACACCAAGGTCTATGACATTGGGTTGCATTAGAAAATATCAGTTTGTACCTAAACCTCAATTCCTTTCACGGTTTACCTAAATGATTGTTGTAGTTTTAACCCTGTAGGTACTGGGTAGTAGGTCATATTCAGTATATCAGTCCACTCTCCACCTTCTGCAATAGCATTAGTTACATAGAATAATAACAATACAGATAGAATAGATTTAGGGGGGTTTCATTCACAATTATCCTGATGAAGAGGCCCAAATGAATTACGCGCATGCTCTCTCTCTGTCTTCTTATTCAACGCTGCCCGCGCAGAACTCCTTTGGGTTAAGTAAACGAGAAACTCCCAATCTTGAAAAGACGACATCTAGTGTTCTATCTGTATTGCTATTAATCTATGATTCGTAAATTCAAGTGCACATACATTTAAATTGAAGATTTAAAAATATTTTCTTGAATTTCAATTATTTCGGTAAGTTTGCGTCATTTTAAATTACGCAAAAATATTTCTCGAAATTCTGAGCAGAATGTTCAGATTATCTCACACATTTTAACATTACGAACATTTTGAGCCTAATTTGAGAAATTTTCTTGAATAATAAATTTTTTAAGTGTATATTTTATACCTGATTTGTACTGCCATGTTCCCAGGTCGCTCTCTTGGGCATATATTATACCAATACCAAGATCTGTACTCTCAACATCAGAATAGTATAATCCTAAACACCAAGATCTGTACTCTCAATATCAGAATAGTACAATCCTAAACACCAAGATCTATACTATGAATATCAGAATAGTACAATCCTAAATACCAAGATCTGTACTCTCAATATCAGAATAGTACAATCCTAAGCACCAAGATCTGTACTCTCAATATCATAATAGTACAATCCTAAATACCAAGATCTGTACTCTCAATGTCATAATAGTACAATCCTAAACACCAAGATCTGTACTCTCAATATCATAATAGTACAATCCTAAACATCAAGATCTGTACTCTCAATATCATAATAGTACAATCCTAACCACCAAGATCTGTACTCTCAATATCAGAAAAGTGCAATCCTAAACACCAAGATCTGTACTCTCAATATTAGTTCAAACCTAATAGAATTTGAACGGCAAAATTTAAACAGCTGACTTATATTCATACAACCTTTTATTGATACAAGTATGTTTTTTTTAGCTTTCGATGAGAGATAATTTTAATAATATTCAACTTTTATACGGTGGATTATAAAAGATACGAATCTGTGCTTTCTCAAAGTCAAACATAGCTCTCATATTTGGCTGAATAAGGAAAGTTTTCCTCTTGTCGGATTTATTACAGTGAAGCTTCTTTTTTGAAAAGTCAAAGTTTTTAGACTTTTACGGATGTTGCTTCTGTTTCAAATTGTTATGCATTGATAAGTTTGCTATTATTACATCGCGCAACATTTTTTACTCTGACCCCAAAGATACTATTAAAAACAATAAGTAAATAGTTTTTATGAATGGTCTTTAAAAATCATTTTGGTTAAAATCCTTGTATAAAGAAAATATGTTCTATAAACTAAAAAAAGCAAACTTATCAAGCATAAAATTCTAAAACAGGATTGCATCTGAGATTCTTGGGAAGAGTTTTTAAACACAAAATACCTTAAATGTTTCCAAACGAACCTGAACACGATAATTGAATCCTCTTGTTTAATTACAACTCTTCAGAACCAAAGATTAGATTAACTTAAAGTTATATGTTTCATGATATTGAAGGAACTTGGAATAGAACTTTGGTTTAATCAATATAATTTCTGATAGGAGATTAATCTTCTTTTATAATATTTGGTTTGGCTTCCAAATTTACTTCATCAATGTCAGTTCTTGGCGTGGTTTAATAAAGTATGATTAAATTGACCGGCGTATTTTCTGTAAATTAGTTGAGATTATTAATAGTGAAGTAGAGTCTATCTTTAAAAAATATATAGGACAGCTCGGTAAGGAACCATGAGTTCTTGAATCGAAATAAAATGTTTTTTGCAATCTTTTATATTTAAAACTTGGACTATTGGATCTAACATAATTCATAGTTTGATATATCAAATGGCTGGTTGCATATATATATACTAGAGGGATATAAAAGCCAGAGCTTAATTGTGGCTTAAACTCAGTTCCTATATTTAAGGCTTTTAAATTAATTTATTTGCATTAAAGTTTTACGTTCGCACTCCGCAGCAAAAGTGGTAAAAACTATTCTGTCAATCTTCTTTTCTCAATCATGAAAGTATAGGAAACCCATAATGAAATAGTTGACAATCATTAAAACTAATCTTTAGGCTTTTTACCTACTAATACTGTAACCAGTAATCTCTGTATCTACTATTCCTATGACCAATAATCTCTGTATCCACTATTCCTATGACCAGTAATCTCTGTATCTACTACAGTAATCTCTGTATCTACTATTCCTATGACCAGTAATCTCTATATCTACTATTCCTATTACCAGTAATCTCTGTATCTACTATTCCTATGACCAGTAAAGGCTGGTGCAGCTCAGACTCAAATTACAAGAGTTAAGTATGGTATACCTGCAAGATCCCTGACCAGAAACCCGTCCTGAGGAAGCTTAGAGGGAACTAGAGGAACATCTTCTCCAGGTGAGTCCAGGGGTACAGGAACATCATTGACAGGGGAAACCTTTTATAAAGATAAAAATCAGTTTGTCCTTGGTTCAATGATCTTATTAACTATTATGTGTTTTTCTAAATAACTTAAAAACGACTGACATTAGAACGCTAAAACTTCTTTACTTTATTAACTTCACAGTTGTGAAAAATGTGGCTAAAAATTAATTTATATATTTAAACAGCCCTTGGAAAAGGACGTAAGAAAATGTCACATGTTAATAAAATGTCACATGTTAATATTTGTCATAAGTAACATAAGAAATATATAAGGTTAGGCTGGGCAAGACCACTGCATGCACTATGATATAAAGGTTGGAAGCTCTTACGCAAAAATCTATCAGAATCTTGCAAATTTTTCCTTTTTAACTGATGCTAAAAAAAATTGCAACATAGTTATATGAAGTACATTTCTAGAGCTACAAAAACATTCAAGTGAGTTGGTAAGCTAAAATCAAAGTTCAAGGCGTTACGACATATTAAAGTTGACCCAGTTTTTTAAATGTGTGCATCTGTTCATCCCATTCAAGCTTTATAGTTCACTATGTTGTATGGAGAGTTCTGGTTATGTTCCACATTCGCTAAAAATAAACCAATTAAACCAAATCTACGAAAGTTCCAACCTGAACGCGGATTTTCTTCGGTTTTCCAAAAACTGTTTTGTTCATCCAGTCCAGAGCCACGGGAACTGTTTCCAAAGACATTCATTTTATTTTGGAAATTTCATTAATTGAATATTATTTAAGCTTCAGAAAGATTTATAAATTTGACAATACAAAAAAAAAATTATAGTTGTAAACTGTCTAAAAACTATTTTTGCTCTATATTAATTAAGGTTGTACTGTGAGTGTTTTTATAAATCAGTAGTTCGGATTCAATTAAAACTTCTAAGATAAAAGTTGAACTAAATTGCTCTCAAGGATAACCTGCAAGTTCTATAAAAACTTCCAAAACATTGAGAAAATGAACAGTTTTCCTATATTGAAGACGACTTCACCATTAAAGTCTTTTTCCGGAACAATTTGGATTCTGGGGTTGTTCTTTAACCAGAGGATTGGTTGGGATACAGGTGTTACCAGTTCAACACTAGACAATATATATCTATATATATATCAAATATGTCCATTGCCCAGTCATTAATTTCCAACAAATTTAAAATCGGGGAACTCGGTGGAACTGCACGGAAATGTTCTTAGCTTGGTTTAGAAATAAGAAACTATTTAAACTTTTCTATAGAGAATGTTGTTTTCGGGCAAAGCTGAATTCCCAAGCTAGTTGTGTAAAAAGGAACTGAAAACTCTGATGGGGTGAACCTGCCATATTTAATTTGATCCTTATATCTTTGCAACTTGATGTTGTACACCTACAATATTTCAAACTTTGATCTAAAAGAACTCATATTTTTAAATATCTCAGGTCTACAACATCAGGTTGTAAAGATATGAGAATTAGAGTGTTCTTTTTATTTAATTTCTTAAATGCACTCTTGTTATTATCTATGTGACTCTCCATAAATAAATGGACATACCCTATTGACAACCTTAATCTGATCAAGGATAATAGTTGAAAACTGTTTAATTCTGACAATTTTTACATTGTTTCTAGGGCAAGAAGTGTGAAAGACACTTTTGTGCAATATAAATGAGAAAAAAAGATTGTTTTTAAAAGCATAGAAATGGATATCTAATTCATACACGATCAGTCAAAACTTTTATGGATACCACAGAGCATACAACTCTATCAATGGAGTGTCACATAAAAATACATTTACAAACCCTTTATACAGAAATTCTTATTCCGAGTTTTTAGTGTCTGTTTGAAGATATTTAGAACCTTTGTCACGCTTATTATACTGGAAATTTAAAAAGTACATAAATGTTTAAGACGTAAAAATAATATTCCAAGGAAAAGAAACTCTCTTATTATTATAAACAATGATTATGCTATTGTTTTTTTTCTGAAACTCGCTCCACCACTAAATGTGTTGATATTACAAAGAGTAAATTAAATTTTAAGAAAACTTGAGTTTAAGAAATACAACTTACTTTCGTCCGTCTGTTGAGTAATAAAGTTTAGATTTGTAATCACTCAACCTCTCAACAGAGTCCACTAATCGGATCTAAACAAAATAATTAAGATTTCTCAAAAAATAACACGGCCCCCGATTTATTTGCGAACTGATATTTTTTTATGTAATGCAAGGGTGCATAAGGATAACGAATGTATATCTTCATTTAAAAAGGGGGATATCCGATGAAATAGGTATCCGATTTTAATACAGGGTTACCCACAAAGGATGATACTGTAAAGAAGAGAACATGATATCATGAATATAAGGAAACAGACACCCCTCTCTGAAGTTTCATCTTCTGTGTGTAACATTGCATTTTCTTAAAATAAACTTGTGAGTTTGTGGGTTAGGCCTCTTGACCTAGAAACAGGTTTATAAAGAACTGGACAAATGATTCCAGTCAGAGAGGAATTAATTCTTGGTTTCCTAACATTGCATTGATTCATTCATTCATTCATTCATCCTTCTTCCTTCCTTCCTTCCTTTCTTCCTTCCTTTAATTCATCCTTTCACCCTATATTCTCATGATTTAAGGTATCTCTAATGTGCGTACTCTTTTTATGAACTATATAGTATTTGATTACGACTTTTCATTATTTTCAACTATTTTAAAGGAAAGCTAGGGAAATTATACTTTACAAAGGGTTCCCAAGACCAATTTTGCCAACAAAACGCAGCGAGGGATGTTTTTTTGCAAAATTGGTCGAAGGAACTCGTGGTTAAATACAATTTTATATCCTGAAAAGATAGTTGTACACAATTTTATTGTCTTTTGAGATGAAAATGTAGAAATTTGTTCACGAAAACTTTTTTATTTTACTTAATTGTCCCTAGGGACGTAAAATAACTGTTGGGGGAATTATCGGTCGATAATGTTGATGAAAAGGCGGTAAGAATAATATATCACCTGAACCCCTAAAGTCCTGGTTCCTGATTTGAGGAACCTAAGAATGTTGTTTACATGCTCTAGCTGTAAATCCAGGAACCTGGAACCAGATAACAGAACCCACTCCTGGTACACTACAAAATAGAATACAGGATTTTTTTATAGTCAAAAAAATTATAAAAGACTAGCTTAAGTGCCCGGCATTGGTCGTGAAATTCAAAAAAAAATTTTATTTAAAGAAAAAATTCCATCTTGAAAAAAAAATTTCAGTCAATTTGGTCCCCAGCTATTGCTAACATTTAAATATATATAAATGAGTGAAGAGCTTTATTATATGGATTAATACAAAATTATATTTAAAAAAAGTATAAAGTTGATAATTTGACACAGATACTTTTTTGTCCCTAAAGTTGGCAAACAAAACTTGTGAAGTTCTTAAAGTAGAGAATCCACAACAATATGAAATACTTGGCAAGCACATAAATGTTGGATTTCCTTAAATACCATATTCCTAAATCATCAGATATTTTCCAGTACATTAGTCCAATTCACATTTTGAAAACCCAAAGTCAGTTTGAGAGTGGGGAAGGAAAATATTGCCTCCTTTAGATTTTTTCATGGTAGAAAAAAATAATTAAATAAAAAGCAAAATTGCAAAAATTGTAAAAATCCATGAATGCAATATAAATTAAAGGGGTTGTAAGATGCCCCCTTTTAATATTAATTTTATGATACTAAACATAATATTAATCCTCTGATACTAAACATAATATTAATTTTATCATACTAAACATAATATTAATCCTATGATACTAAACATAATATTAATTTTATAATACTAAACAAAATATTAATTTTATGATGCTAAACATAATATTAATTTTATGATACTAAATATAATATTAATCCTCTGATACTAAACATAATATCAATTTTATCATACTAAACATAATATTAATTTTATGATACTAAACATAATACTAGTTTTATAATACTAAACATAATATTAATTTTATGATACTAAACATAATATTAATTTTATGATACTAAACATAATATTAATTTTATGATACTAAACATAATATTAATTTTATCTAAACACAATATTAATTTTATGATACTAAACATAATATTAATTTTATGATACTAAACATAATAATAATTTTATGATACTAAACAAAATATTAATTTTACTTCAAACTAGAGAATGGGAAAAGGACAATAAAAGCCTTTATTTTAAAAAAATGAGTTTTATTAATTTGTAAAATTGTAAAAAAATCTAGTAAACCCTGAATTACAAACCTTTTTGAACAGCTACAATATGTTGCTTGACGTCCATATTCTCATTGACCTTCATCTTCCTGGAGATACTGATGGGTTTATGTGTATCCTCATCTACATCTAATCCACTGAACACAGATATTATGTAAACAAATTAACAATATGTAAATAAATCATCTTCAAGCTTTTTTACAACTTGTTTGTTTAGTATGATTTACAGGACTGGCGGGGTTCAACCAAAATGTGTTTTTTTTTCAGTTCTTTTCATATTTTATTCTTTTATTTTTTTAATCCCGTTGACTGACCTCAATAAAACGAAAAGAAAAGTATTCAGCGGTACACTCGAAATAAATGTACGGTTCGGACGAAAAGATGGGTGCCTTCCCTCCCTCACACAACCTACTTCATGCTTCCCACCTCTACCATGTTTCTCAACCTTCCCGTGTTCTTAAACCTTCAAATGTTCCTCAACCTTCCCTTTTTCCTTAACTTCCCTTGTTCTTAATCCTTCCCATGTTCCTCAGCCTTCCCTTTTCCTTAACCTTCCCTTTTTCTTAAACCTTCCCTTTTTCTTAAACCTTCCCTTGATCCTAAACCTTCCCTTGTTCCTAAACCTTCCCTTGTTCCTAAACCTTCCATTGTTCCTAAACCATCCCTTGTTCTTAAACCTTCCCTTGTTCATAAACCTTCCCTTGTTCATAAACCTTCCCATGTTCTTAAACTTTCCCTTGTGCCTTAACCTTCCAATGTTCCTAAACCTCCCTTTATTCTCAACCTTCCCTTGTTCCTAAACCTTCCCATGATCCTCAACCTTCCCTTGTTCCTAAACCTTTCTTTATCCCAAAACCTTCTCTTGTTCCTCAACCTTCCCTAGTTCCAAAACCTTCCCTGTTTCCTTAACCCTTCCTGTTTCCCACCCTTTATCCATATATTTCCCAGAATAGAAATAGATTTCATTCTCCCCTGTGGCCTATTCCTTCTTTCAGGTTTTATATAAACTTGTGGATGCATTGAGGTTTGGGAATTGAATCTTCAGGACCTGCACTGTGTAGAGATGGGCATTGTGTTTTTTTGAACGAACGAAATTTTTTGTGGAAAAAGGGGTCGTTCAGAAAAGAAACGAATGGTGAACGAACAAAATGAATTGTTCAGAGAAATGAGGAAAAAAATTCATTTTTTAAATGAATGAAAAAGAAACACAAATGAACGATTTAAAATCAAAAACGCACAATTTTTTGGGAACAAAATTTTGAACGAACGAACGAAAAAAAGTGGAACGTGCCCATCTCTAGCACTATATACATGTGTAAATTATGTGAAAAGAAAAAAAAGTTGTTTAAACAAAATTTGTTTTTAAATTTTTTTCCATCAATAAAAATAGTATTTTAAACCACAAAGCATGGAGTCGAAGCATTTACAGGACACAGCAAACCTAATTTAGCTTGATCTAACCACTGCTCAGTCGCTTAGCCTGTTTATCATAATATAGAATAGAAAAAAGAATATACTTGATTACTCAAACTTTAATTAATTAAATGAGTTTTTAATGGAGCATTGTTTGATTGTGTATTGTTTACAATTTGCCTTGTTGGTATGTTTACAAGAGGAGGGGATAGATCCGGTAGTATTGTCTGTAGAATCCGCCTCTCAATACCACCTAAACAATATGTATTGTCTGTAGAACCCGCCTCTCAATACCGCCTAAACAATATGTACTGTCTGTAGAACCCGCCTTTCAATACCACCTAAACAATATGTATTTTCTTTAGAGCCCGCCTCTCAATAGCACCTGAACAATATGTATTGGCTGTAGAATCCGCCTCTCAATACCACCAAAACAATATGTATTGTCTGTAGAACCCGCCTCTGTATACCACCTAAGCAATATGTATTGTCTATAGAACCCGCCTCTCTAAACCACCTAAACAATATGTATTGTCTGTAGAACCCGCTTCTCTAGAACTCCTTAACAATATGTATTGTCTGTAGAACCCGCCTCTCTATACAACCGAAGCAATATATATTAACTGTAGAACCCGCCTCATAATACGACCTTGCAATATCATAATTTCATTAATTATTCAAAAAAGAATGGTTAAACTGTAAATACATGGTGAGTTAGGTAATTTCAGTTTTTTTAAATATGATAATAAGAAAATAAGAAAAGAATGTTATTTTTTTGTTTGTAATAAATCTATTTTTATAAGCCTAGGATCAAACAGGATTTATGAGATTTGGAAGCTCATAAAATCTTATTATAAACCCCAGCTTTAATATTCTGATTTTGTTTATTAAATGAAAAAATAAAACCTATTCTTAGAAAATGTAGTTACATGAATATTTATCAGAATTGATCGCAGTCAAAGTTTAAAGGGACAGTAAAGGGAAAATGAAAGGGGGTATAGGCTGAAAGCTAATCACTTTAGCTCTTGATCGCGACCCATGAAAGTTATATCTGATGTTCCTGTCTCGAGAAACTGATATAAAACTGTATTAAAATTATACGAAAATTCGTGTATGTAAAATTTTGAAAATCTGAAACTTAAATCACGTGCCCAGAACTATCACCAATGGCAGAGCAGTATACTGGTCACTTGTCTCCGCCTGTATCACGTGACCACTTTACTGCACTGCCATTGTTGGAATTTCTGGTCAAGTAATACGGACGTAAAAATAATATTATGAATGAAATCTATTGAAAATAGAAATAACAAATATAAAAGTAAACCTAATTTACAATTAGCTTTCTCTGGGATATCATCGTTTTCAGATTGGTTGCTTATTTGCTGAATATGATCTGTTTAAACCTACTACTTTTATACAAAATTGTATATATATTAATTTTCGTATATATTTGACACAGTTTTATATCAATTTCTCGAGATAGGAGCATCAGATATAACTTTCATGGGTCGCGATCAAGAGCTAAAGTGATTAGCTTTCAGCCCATACCCCCTTTCATTTTTCCTTTACTGTCCCTTTAAGGGATGATTTTTGAGACTATTTCGTTTATTTCCAAGATGAAAAGAGCCTGTTTAAAAATTACCAAAAGTGGAAAAGTTCTTAACGGTTTAACCAATAAAAAATAGATATTTTACTTGGATTCTCAAGAAGATTAAGAAAGCCTACACCCGGAGCAGAACTGTTCAAGAGCTGGAGCTGGAGAAAGGATTTAGAAGTGAGGTTTACTCCGGGTTGTAGTTTACTCCATCCTGTCTCCGGGGTTCCATACTCCCAGCTACTGCTGCTATCCGGAGTAGATAGGTTTAACACAGTGTAAACCTTAATATAATATCAAGCCTGATACATCAATATATCATGTATATATTTATCTTTCTTTTTATAAAAATATTTTTCAATATATTTTTATTGTAATGATTATTATTATTGCTGTCACCTTTTTATATTAGTTTTATTATAATTAGCATTAATCATTACGTTATCAATACAAAAAAAAACATTTATAGACTGTACCTGGTTTTTGGCAACTTTTTTAAAATTTTCTCCGAGTTGGTAGAGAGCTGTTTGAACAGGTTTATGAGAGAGAACATTGGGTTCGGGGAACATCCAAACCGTCCAAGCACTTGTATCTAAAAACATTACAAATCTATATATATATATATAAAGTAGTAATCTCTGTTTGTTTGTTTGTATGTCCGATCATAACTCATGAACACTTGGATCGATTAGCCTCTTGTTTCTATTGGGAAATGTGTCACTTCAAATTAAGTGTGAAGCCCTTTATGTTAATCATGACGTACGTACTTCCTGTGCATGAAGTGCCTGGTGGGGAACATATTTGTGTAGAGCCTTCTGAACAGATAGTTAATCCGGGACCACAGGATACACTACAATTCCAAGCCAGTGGGTCAACACACGAATTCAAGGTTTCACAATATCTAAACATTTCATCAAATGAATGTTCATTGTTCACATCTATATATAAAGTAGTAATCTATTTGTGTCTGTTTGTATGTCCGATCATAACTCATGAACCCCTTTACCAATTTGTCTCAAGTTTTGATTGGGGAACTAAAGAGAACCACGGGAATGTTCTTAGATTGGTTTTGAGATTCTAAGTTGAGTGGCAGTAGTTTTATAGGAAAAAATAGCTAAAATCGCAATTTACGACCCAGTGCGGGTAAACGGTGGAGTATCGCAGCGCACCGCTTGTTTCTCAATCTAGAAAAGAATAAAATATATGAGGAGAAGTATGTGTAGTTTTCGTTTTTTTCTTTTAAAATCTATTATTTTGTAGATTTATATTATCTTGTTCGTGGATTTTGTCCGTGTATGAAGGAAGACGATATTAACTCTGCTAAATTGAAAAATTTACAAAAAATGCGATCACAGTAACAAAAGCCAGAGTACGAATTTTGAATAAACAAAAAATGACAATACAAAAAAACATTAAAAATTATTATTAGTATTGAGTACGGGAATCGAACCAGTGAACACCATTCTGGACACCAATCCAGTTACTGGCTGTGGACGAGTGTGCTTAACTTCAGTGATCTGACACTCTCCACCCACGTGGATTTAACGGTTCTGTTCTTATTCCAGAAAACTGGGACTTTCGATCACAATTTAATCTATTAAACATAAATATTTCGCCCTTTTTCGTTAATACTTTTTGCGTGTTTTAAATGATAAAGTATAAAACAAACAACTCCTGTATTGTTGAATTTTAGACCAAAACGCGTTTGATTTGAAATTTGAAATATAGAGGAAACCGTATGCATCTTACTCCTGGTTATTCCTGGGTGTACCCCACTCTACTAAAACACCCCACCCCACCTCACCCCACTGGTTTAATAATGGCACCTTCATGTAAGATGATCTAGTAACAACAAGAGAAATAACTTTGTTCAGAAAAGTTTCTAACAGATTTTAAAGCTTATGTCTATTATTTGTCAAAGAAAATGTGTCACGTATGGCGTGGGTTTATGAAAATGAAAACTCTAAAATTATTAATTTCCGAGAGTGGTCTCATCATATTTACTCCGAGATTAGATAGTACTTACTCTAATCCTCTCCTGCATCCTGCAGAGCCGGTTATTCCGTCCTCTCCTGAACCTGAACCTGGTCCAGGTGGAGGTAGTGGAATACCTCTACACTCTCCTCCACAACATAAAGATAGAGGTGGACAACTAGAAGGGGTCTCAGGACACATCTGAACAATTAACATTTTTTTTATATTTTCAGGAAATTGTTTTTGACTTTGCTTTTACATGTATTTTTCTATAATGATATTTTTGTGTTTAAATTGAATGGGTTCCATTTATATATATTATATAATACAGGATATGGAAGGAAGAGGCAGGAAAGCTTTAGTTCCTGTCATATAACACAAATCCAATTTTCATGTGTTCTACTCCTTCAACTTTTAAAGGTTTATTTTAATTTGCGAACTAATTTTTAAGTATTCATTGAAAACCTTAAGTAATATTTTCAATAAGTTTCTCCGGCTCAGGGGGGGATCAAAATATTTTTATCCGATTAGTTTTACTAAGTTTTCCATTCTGCATTAAAATTTAAATTATACCAAATATAATTCATAAAAATACTAATTCTGTAGAATGAATATCTTTGGTAACGCAATAAATTAAATCCCGAACTTTGATTCCATGAATAGGTCTATAGAGGTATCCTTAAGCAGTATATACTGGAGTCAGTATTCTTTAGATAGACATGAAGTAGGTCCGGAGGTATCCTGGAGCAAGTATTCTCTAGCTATACCTGAACTGTGAGTAGGTCTGGAGGTATCCTAGAGCAAGTATTCTCTAGCTATACCTGAACTGTAAGTAGGTCTGGACGTATCCTGGAGCAAGTATTCTCTAGACATACCTGAACTGTGAGTAGGTCTGGAGGTATCCTGGAGCAAGTATTCTCTAGCTATACCTGAACTGTAAGTAGGTCTGGAGGTATCCTGGAGCAAGTATTCTCTAGATATCCCTGAACTGTGAGTAGGTCTGGAGGTATCCTTGAGCAAGTATTCTCTAGATATACCTGAACTGTGAGTAGGTCTGGAGGTATCCTTGAGCAAGTATTCTCTAGACATACCTGAACTGTGAGTAGGTCTGGAGGTATCCTGGAGCAAGTATTCTCTAGATATACCTGAACTGTGAGTAGGTCTGGAGGTATCCTGGAGTAAGTATTCTCTAGATATACCTGCACTGTGAGCAGGTCTGGAGGTATCCTGGAGCAAGTATTCTCTAGCTGAGTAAAATATGTTTCTTCTGATGAAATGTTGCTTGATGTACAATATCTAGACCCTTCTGTTTTACAGCAACTGTAAGAAATAAATTTAAAACTTTAGATTAGAGTTTTAAATAAAACTGAATGTTTGTTCTCCGGGGTTGTCTATTGTTGTGAACAATGACAACCGGGTTTCTGAAAAAGATACACAACAATGATGAACATCCCTAAGAATTCAAATATAACGGATTTTTTAGTTCTCATGGACTGGGTTATTATACAGTTTGTACAACATTTGCGACATCGAAAGAATTTATAGAATGTCTTTTTGACAATTTGTTGACGGTTTTTATACTTTATACTTTAATCTCAGTAATTGTAAAATAAATGAATGCCATGACATAAAGGGGAACAGTTTTAAGGTGCTCCATTTATTTATTAAATTAAAAAAACATGTTTACTGCAATCCTATATCAGTAGGTTTGGAAAACGACATTTTATAAACTATTTCGGTGTCTCCTAAGTTCTGGATTTAACTGAATGTATTTTTAATGAATGCTAAAAATAAAATCATTAAAACTCTGAAAATTATTCGTCAAACATTTCGACAATCACGACATTATTTCTAGCCTAAGTTCAAATGGAGTAATTGGCAAAATATTACTCGATTTTAACGTGAGAACATGCACATCCTGGTTCGAATAATGAACAAAGATTATTGTTAGGATCGTTTAAAAATTTAAATCACCCATGAAAATCTTATAGTTTCTTGCAATATCTCTACAATATATTACATCGTTATCTTGGGATTCTATTCAACGAAATATACTCAGTATTTTTTCTTTGTTAAAAATTCTCAAATTTGGATTTTTTTTTTTACAAAATAAAACTTTCAATTTCTTATTTTTGTGTAAAGGAATTAAGTCTTTGCCGCTAGCTCAAACTTTCTAATCTCTATATATTATCAACCTGATGTTGTAAACCTTTGATAATTCAAACTTACATTATTCATTATTTTTTCTTATTATTTTTACACATTATTAAAAAGTGATACCTTTGATTTTGTGAACAATGATTTGAAAGAATGCATGTTGAGAAATCAGGTTGGGTTAGGGGGGATATTTCCTCATTGCAACAATCTTCAGCACACGTCGTTCCACACCTGAATAGGATAGATGAAAAAAATTAGAAATTTAAGGTAACAAATGGAAAGAAAAATAAAATCGATTTTTGAAAGAACAAATTTAGCCTACGTTACCCCCCATGGTGCCCATGGGTTCCCTAAAAACGGCTTTTCATTCGGCTCAGTCGCTTGGCAAGCTATTATAAGTAAATGAAGTAAATAACACGTAAAATTAAAATCTATAACTTCTAAAGTTTGAGAAGAACAAAAATGTTTTAAATTTTGTAATATGTAATCAAATAAATATGCTGTTTCATACTTGTGCATAAAATCAAACCGCGAGGAGCTACTAGGTTACAAAGTTGTACCAGTAATGTTCTCTGTTTAGTTAGCAGTGAACTTGTTCATTACCTAAAGGACCAGTTACGTTACCGGTACTTTAAAAGTTCAACCAACCAACTTTCAAGGGATGAAAAAAGAGCTGAAAGGTCGGCAGTCCTTTTCTTTAAATTTGTTTTCAACCAAATGTAAGGTGTGAACCTCGGATAAAAAAGATGAATTTTGTTATAAATAAAAGTCGAATTTCTGTGGAAAAAAAGGAAATTATTATTCGAATAATGGAAGAAATAAAAGAATATTGTTGTATAAAGCCTGACAAAGCTTTTTATCTTCGAGGACTGATGAGAAGTCAGGAAATGTAAATGTATGTAGATTACTGCATATAGAATCATAATTGATATTTACGGTCTATTGAAAATTCTACAATATCATTCTATACATATATAAAGTTGTAATCTCTGTTTGTCTATTTGTCTGTTTGTCTGGGTGTCTGTTTGTCTGTTTTTTCCGATCATAACTCAGGAACCCTCGAACCGATTTGCCTCAAATTTGGATTGGGGACCTCGGGAGAACCAATGGGATGTTCTTAGTTTGGTTTTGATATTCTAAGTTGAATGGATCGACTTTTATAGCAAAAAGTTAGTTTCCCGGTAAAAATCGGCTAAGTGCGGGTAAACGGCGGGAATAAATATGAGTACCCTGTGCAACGCTGGGTCCCCAAGCTAGTAACAATATACATATATTCCCTGGAAGAGATAAAATAAGCCAAAAAAAATTTCGACAAATAATTAAGAATGTTTAAAAATGTACGATAAAAGAAACCGTAGAACAGATAACCCCCCCCCCCTCCCCCAACACACTCCTATTTTCAAATCGTTAAACTTGAGTAAAATAAAACCTTTCCTCGTAAAAAACCCGTTCGGAGTATAATTGTTATATAAAAATAAAACAAGACATTCCTACACATGTTCCCTATGACTGCCAAACGGCTAGACTGAATGGGCTGACATTTTTTTGATGACACTCGTGGAGGTGACAGGATAAAAAATTGAAATGTTCTTTCTTCAAAAATTCGAGAAAAAATTTGTAAGAATTTTTTTTTAAATTTGATTTTACATAACTCCACATGGAACACCGGGCACTTCAGCTAGTTTGTATATAATACAAATTATCAAAAACCCAAACCAACAACGGTTTAATATTTACTAAATTTAATTTCTGAACAACACACCACTTAAATCATCCACAGTGGCAGCATTTATGCATTTATTTCGAAATTCTAAAATTCAAGTTTCTAAAATTTTTTTTTTACTTTCTATCATTTTTTTTGAACACAATCGACTTTCTAATATTTATTTTCCTTGACTTCTCCTTAGCCCATTATTCTGTCTGTATTGGAGAAAATATATAGAAAATAATATGTCATCCACAAGAAATTATATTAAAGGCCATTGTTCATGTTAAAAGTACATTCATATTACAAGGGTCTGTACGTGAAATTCACACCAGAAAATGTTCATTTCAATAATTATATATTTTGAGCTCGAGCAATCTAAAAACAAAAATATCAATTTAAAAAATTAAAATAAAGAAGTGGGAACAATCCATACATTCCATAATTCACTTTTTCATTAAAAATATTTGATTAGGGAAAAAATCTCAACATGGTTTAAGTTTTTACTTTTGAATAAAGAAATCAGGCCAAATTCCTTAATTTTCTCTTTTGTTGATCATCATCTTTTTTGAACTTTTCAAGATTTGTAATTGAGAAGATGGGGAAACTATTGCTGGGAGTGGGGTGTGTGTAAAATATTGTATTTAATTATACAAGCTTCAAGAAAAATGTACCTCTACAAATATTTTATATCTCCAAATATTAATTAATTTAAAAAAAATAAAAAAAAAATAATAGGCTAAAATGTTTCTTTGATATTTTCTGGATATTTTTTAATGGTTAGGAAATTATTTTTCTAGATAAGGTATTGTAATCTATATAATGAAGCTCTTCGTTCATGTAAATTTATATGTTAGCTATAGCTGGCCAAACGGCTAAACCGAATGATTTACATCATTTTATTTGGAAACCCACGGGTACACACTGGGGGTAACATAGGCTAAAAAAATTTAAAAAATAATTTTCTCCAAAATCTAATTTTTCTTTTTTAACCTGGACTATTTTTCAAACAAAAAATGTTATTCCACGGGCAATGCCGGGCACTTGAGCTAGTTTTCATATATTTATTGATAAACCTCCAAGGTGTTGATACTTAGTATGTTCAGAGTTTAACAGAAGTTTTATATTCGAGACAAGCTTAGCTCTATAAAGTTCTCTAATCTCTTCTCAGGTTCTCCGAAAACTATTTACTTCCATGAACAGAAAGAGAAAATTTAAAAACTTTTTCACAAAAGTCGTAGATATCACTTATATAATGTTATTCATAATAAAACTATCATTTTAAGGTAAGAATATAAAACTGAATATATTTTATTTCAAAATAAACTATTCTTTGTTTTATGACCTTGGCAGCAAGCTATCTCTACTTAGTCTAAGTTTTCAACAAAGTTTTTTTAAATATTCTAAATTGAGTCTTTCCCACAAACTCTGAATGTCTAATCCCTATATCCTTGAAACCTAATGTCGTAGACCTCAGATAATTCAAACTATAAAATCTGTAAGATCCATTTATCTAAGTTTGAAATATCAAAGGTTTACACCATCATTCTGCAAAGATATAAAGATTCGAAAATTTGAGTTTGTGGCAAAGACTCATATCCTTTGAAGAAAAAAATTTAACTGATATATTATCACGTTCAAGTTATCAGGGACAGTCAACAGAAGGAAAAGAAAAAAAGGAAGAAGATAGAAACGATGACAAGAAGATGAAGCAAATCAGAATTTATAAAATTCAAAAACACAAAACAATATATAAAAAAAATATATTTTCAAGTTATCAGAAGGTGGCATTAGTTGAATCTGTTATCTTGAATAATATAGATTTGTAATATAGACTTTTCTCTTTGCAATTTAAAGTTTGAAAACTTCGTAACTCTGTGCAGAGACTGATAAGTTAATGCTGCATTCGGGGATTGAACAAAAAATTGTGGGGACTTAATTTTTTTTATTTATATAACCGGATGAGCCTTTATCTGGTCAAATAAGTTTGTTTTTGTTTTTATAACCCTTTGAGAAGGATTGAAACTTTGCCACAAACTCTAACTTTCAAATCCCTACATCTTAACAACCCAATGTTGTAGACCTTAGAATTTCGAACTATGACTTCTGTTATATCAAAGGTTTACATAATTTGGTTGTAGATATATAGGTATTAGAAAATTGGGATTTGTTGCAAAGACTCAATTCCTTTGTATTTTGAAAAAACAAAAACATTGGAAACATTTGGGAAATAATCTAGTTTTCAATTAAACGAGATCTTAAACATAAAATAAATTTTTGCATTAGATCTCATTACATGTTTTCCATCAACCCTTTGCTTCGTAAGGGCAGTGGAAGGACATGGGATATCCTTGGGCCACCTCTTGAAAAACTTGCAGTTATGATTAATATATTAATACTTTACAGGGAAGTTTTAGTTCAAGGAAATTTTTTTTACCATGCAAGGGTTCCCTAGACGAATTTTCCTACAAAACATCCGCCGCATATTTTTTGGTCTGGGTAACCCGTTGCTAAGTAAAATTTTTAATTTGCCGAAAAATTAGTTGTGAAAATTCACGATTTTTTTTCACGAAAACTTGGCAGCGCGGTAGGTATTTTACATTATTGTCCTGAAGGACGTTAAGTAACCTAACATCCCGCAGTTAGGAGAATCATGGGTTAATAGTGTTAATTGTTGAAAAGGCGGTAATAACCATTTAATTTCTTCATTACAGGGATCCAGGAGAAAATATTACATATCCGAGGATTCACAAGACCTTGTTGAGTTCTAAAGCAACATGATGTTGTTGGAAAGTTTGAGAAATAAATACCTGAGAAGACCAAGTGGACATGTTCCAAGATCTTGTTCCTCCAGGGTTGCATTAATACAGCCCAGTCCTTCAGGTACACATCGTCCTATATCCAGGCAATAAACCTGAATTCAATTAATTAAAGGGACTGTAAGCCAAATTTCAAGTGACTCTTCCTTCAAAGATTTACAGAGTTGCCATTGAACACTTTGTCTGAATAGTAATACATGAAATACTCATCATTTATTCTTTGAAAATTAATTATTTTCTACAGTGGTTTCCCTGAAAATTGACTTTCGGATTTATGTTTCAGAAACAATGGAAGAAAATGTCGAAATAAAATACTCTTTAAACTTGAAAAAATATGTATCTGATAAAAATGTGCACATCCATATCGTGTAAATATAGTGCATTATGATGCAAAGTTTGCTGATTGCTGAATGGGATTTTAATGCATTTATATTCAAATATATTAAAAAAAAAACTAATTCTACAATTTTATCAAACAATTAAGCTTGCAGGGTAGGTTACCTTGCAGTACGAATGTTTCAAAAAATGCAAAAAATCATGACATCCTAAGACTACTGATGGACATCATTTTTAGGTTTGTTGCTAAACATTCATCTCTTTACAGTTTGAAAGGTGAAATTACAATTAATCGTTTTGAAAAATTGTTTTATTGAAATTTTAGTCGAATTTTACTTTGCTTAATTTATACAAAAAGCTTACTTTTCAAGCATACAATTCAAAAAAGATTAAATATAACAAATTTTTGTGGAGTCTCTTGAAAGTAAAAAAAAGAAAAGTTTGAATATTTAAAAACGGGCCTCACAACGATGCGTATATCATTACACATGACACATTAAATGTACAATCAAATTGCTGTTGATTAGCTGAATTAGTGTCTATATTTCTATGGTGTGAATGTACAGAGTTACAAGCAAAAAATGAGACTTCAGAGACGACTGTACAGAATTTATACTGTCTATTTCTTTAATTTCATGATACCCTGCAATTATGAACTTGGTTCTTTATATGACAAATCATTAAAATATTATATGCTGAGGCAGACGGCTTAATTTAACAAATGTGATTGTAATTTTTTCTAAGTTTTTGGTCGTCTTTTCAGTCTCATTCTTTATGGATAATTATGTACGTGAACTGTGTTTTACTGTTTACACAATGCTGAACATTATTGATTGTTAAAAGAAAGATCTGCAAGATAAAAACGTGATCTAGCCTTATATATATTTAAACAGCTAGAGAGGGAAGTTTTCATGTCAATTTTTACAAAATATACGCTTTCTCTGGAATTAAAACTAATTAACTATTTACATTTTTTACTTTTGGGAAATATTATCGTTGGTTTTTATTATTATAAAATATGAAAAATTGTGAAAGTTATTTGCATTTAAGAAAATAACATGCAACATGCAAGTATGTCATAGATTTTCAATTTATATATGTAAAAAAGCATAGACTTATAACAAAAACGTTCTGGTATAAATTAGTTTGTTTTGTTTATTACAGTGTCTATATTGTAGATCTAAAAAAAAATGTTACAAAAAATATGATCTTTTATAAATTTTTTGTTTTGTTTCTCCATCTTCTGTTTATTACATTTAGGCTTAAATAAAAACTTAATATTGCTGGAATAAGAATATTTTATGTATACGTATGTGTGTGATCGAATGTAAGAGGAAATAGTGGGGGCGATCACGCCCCCCCCCCCCATCATTTGATTTACTATTCGGAGGAAAGGTTTATTTTGGCTCCTCGTCTACTTTATGTAAAACACAGAACAAATGAGTTCCAATATGGACTCCGTTCCAAACTTTTACAGGGAGACAGGGGAAGAAAGAAAAAGTTGGTGAAACATTGAAGATTTATGTTTAGACATTTACAAAACTGTTTCGTGTTCAGAGCCGGAAAGTTAAGAGAGTTTCGTTGAACGAAACTTCCGAGTTTTCTTTTTGGGGTGGATAAGTTTCCGTAGATTTTATTTTAAGAAATCAGAAACCAAAAAGAGATTTTAAAGAATATTTCTTTTAAAATATTGGTATCTACAAAACTTCCTGACCCTATTCATGAAACCAGGTTTCCGATACAATTTTAAGTGGAACCAACCATATTTAAGCCGCGGCTTAAATTTAAACCGCCGCTCAAATTCTTTAAATTCAGCCACGGGTTTCATTACGATACTCTGTATTCCGCTTCAGGCTCTGTCGTACTTAAATCAGTTTTCATTAATAATTTTCAAGTTTATATTTTAATTTTAAATTAACATGAAAGACATTGGGTCAAGAATGCAGGAATATGTCAGGAACGTACATAACATGCCACCAATAGTATATTTCATACACTTTACTGAATTTTACTGAAACTCTGGCAGATTGTGAATTTGTGATCAAACCACGTTCTCTGGAGGTTTTCTGTGGAGATTTTAAATATTTAAGAACCGTTCGATTTTATTAAAACACTCCTTTTCATCCGTATACTGGGTTACTCACAAAAATTCTTTTAATATAATAAAATTCGATGATGATGATGATGGACCAATCCTCTTTGAAGGAAATAATGTAGATGTTAGTTCGACAATTTATATATTTCGGTCTGGGTTGACCCTTGTCTGTTCTAACGATAAAATAACCAACAAAATCAAAGATAAAATACGTTCCCCAAGAATGCGCGAATTTTAATTCGAGGTTAAAAGTTCTGTAAAATAATGAATAGCTACTTAAATATTAAACTCTCTCAAATTTAAATTTGAATTTCCCGGGAAAATCTGAACCAATCAGAGAAAAGAATTATTATGTAACTATTGGTAATCAGCTGATTTTGAAATTTTAAATTACTTACGTGCAAACATTAATTAATCTAAAACGTGAAATTTATTAAATCAAGGTTTTTACTTTTAAATATATTGTAATTAGTTGAATGCCGCTTACCGCGCTGAATGATGATATGCAAATAGGGAATAACTCTGTGTTTAAATTTTAACTCGTCGATCGCGGCGAGTTAAATATTTAACCACAGGGTTAAATATTTAACCTCACGGTTAAAGTTCAGGTTTAAATTAAATTAAAATTTAAGTCAAAACTTTTCGTTCTTTAGTTTTAGACTCAGATTAATTAACAGATCAGGATTAAGGATATCACATTCTAAAGTTTTCAGCTCTGGTAGATTATGTAATCTAAGTCTGAAATATCAAAGGTTTACACCATCAAATTATAAAGATGTAAGGATTGTGACAAAAGCTTAATTCTTTTCATCTTTACATGTACGAGTGCAACGATTAATTTAGGAACAAAACACTTGAATTTCTACAAATCAAGTTTTATAAACAATATTTCGGTGATTCTTTACATTTCCAGTGACTGCATGAATTTTGTTTCTCATCCCGATTTTAAATCACTTTTTGCCCCAAACTGTGATTTTTCAAATCCCTATATCTTTGCAACCTAATGTTGTTAACCTTATTTCAAAATTGAACTTCTGTCAGATCAAACAATTTAAGAATGAAATATTAAAGGTTTACACCATAAGGCGTCAAAGATTAAGGGATTTGAAAATCAAAGTTTGTAACAAAGACTTAAATCCTTATTTTGCCTAAAATCTTGTTCTTGTAAGGTAAAAAGAAGAAATTGTACCAAAGCCTCAAAGGAATGAGTTGTATCAGAGATGTAAGAAAAAGTTTGCAGCTCTGAAGTGGCATCATAAATCTGTTTGTAAAAATTTGGAAAAAAGCGAAAGTATTTATGTCTTAATTCACCAGCCTTTTAACAAAGATATTAAAAGCCTGAAAGGTTTTGTTTTTTACTGCACACTCTGGGCTGTAGTAAATTTGAATTCGAACAGGACCTGCCCAGTTTGTACCGGCCTGCCAGATAACAGAGTATATTCCCATGGCGCGTTCAGACTTTTTACAGTACCTGGCCTAATTCTGGCCTATTTGACCGACCCCACTGGCTTAGTCCACTATGTGCACATTGCAAACATAGATAAATAAATAAACATAGATAGCTTATGTACGCAAAATCACTATGAATTGTACAGTCAGGGAACTCATACTTCTAGGGGTCAAAGTGTACTTCAATGATAAGTGGGGTGGTTTGGTGTTTTAATAGAGTGTAAAATAACTCCGGGAATGGAACTAATTGAGCAACAATATTTTACTGAGAAATATATCGTATTGACGAGAACTGAAGAAGGACATGAGAAGGACTAAACTAACTTAAATTTCTCTCTACAGAACTCATGTACACCACAAGTACTAAATGACATAAGACCAGCCAATGTTCACAACCGACCTAGTTGATCTATATAATAGGAATATCTTTAAAACATCTCTGTCTTATGCGCAATCTATCTTTATCTATGATTGCAAACCCAAGACTTATAGACTGATAGCATAAGAAGGAAAATTTAGAACAAATAGGATTTAGTTAAGTAAGATTAGATATTTGATATTCCTAAAAGATACTTCGTGTCTTCAATAAGAATGGTTTTTATAAACTTGAGGGTTGATATTTAGGTCTCATCTCCGACTGGACAGACAAGCTAAACACGAAAGTAATAAGTAAAATGGTAAACTAAGTTAATATGGTTTTCAAGCTACAGAAAAGTCTACTTCTACTCTATTCTTTATTTTTATGAATAAAGGGTTTTTTAAAAAAATCATAATTATGTGCACTAAAAATTATACATGTTGTACAAAATATTATAAAATAATCCATGAATCAATAAATGATTCCTGGATTTATTGTAATAAGAAAGGTTTTATAAGATTGGAAAGGAATTATAGTTTTGTGTAACATTTAGAACATTCACTCAATCAACGAATCGAGCAAATCGAAATACAATAGAAATAATTATAATCCCCCCCGCCCCCCCCTTCCACCAACTTTTTCCGTCTGATCATTTCAAAAGATAAGTGGAAATTACATTAGTACGTTTTCAAGGTTAAATATTAGAATCCAATCCATTCAATTTCGGAGAGTTCAAAATCAGTTTCTTGATCTTTCAATCAATTTTAGTTTAACTCTGATGAAGTCTAACTTGAAAGGAATTCCCTGTAAATAATCTATAAATCTATTAATTAGTATTGCATGCATAAAACAATATGATAACACACTGAACACGGAAAATGAAAAACACACCAAAACATAAAACAACTCTGGCTTACTGTTCCAAATGGGCATCTCTCGTTTTCTTCCTTCTCCTCATCTTGGTGATTAAAGAAGTCACAGTTGGTAACACATGCTTGAACTGCCAGGCAGTAGGACTGTCCGGCAGGACATGTCCTCCAGAAACCTTCATCGTCGTCCTCTTCTTCTAATGCTCGTCCTGGTCTTTCACAGTTCTCTTCACAGTTCTGCGATTTGAAGCAGTAAACTGTTCCATGAGGACACTCAAGTTCATCATCTTCATCATCTTCATCATCGTTGTTCAGACCATCCTCTTTCCTCTGGTCATCAAATATACAGGTTTTGTACTGCATACAGTAAATCATACCTGGCGGACAAGAAACTATATTGGAGAAATATTCATCCTCATCCTCATCATCATCCCAGTCCTCTACCCTGCAGTCCGAGGAGCATCTTTGGGTCTGGATACAGTAAATTTCTCCAGCCTGACATTTGATTATACCTGGTTCATCTTCATCGTCTTCATCTCCAACCCATACACCACAGCTTGGAGAACATTCTCCTAGTTCTAGACAATAAACTTGTCCTTGAGGACACATCCGTCCTTCTAACTCCGGGTCCACTGGGATGAATATCTCCTTGATTTCGGTTCGGTTGAGAGCATCCTTCTTCTTCGAACATTTAAGTCTTGAAGTGCATTTATTTTGGTTTACACACCAGTACTCATCATTCTCCTCATCACAAACCTGGATAATACATTCTCCTTCCTTCAAGCACTCAAGCAGAGGCTGACACCATTCTTCTCCGAGCTTGCATTCAGTCTGCCGTCTCTCCCTCCTTATCTCAGAGTCCTTCTGCCCTTCCTCCCTCATGGTATCAGGGTTGGCCTGCACTTCCTCTTTAATGGTCTCGGAGTCGATCTGCCCTTTCTCCCTCATGGTATCATGGTTGGCCTGCCCTTCCTTCTTCATGGTGTCCGAGTCAATCTGCCCTTCATCCCTCATGGTGTCAGGGTTGGCCTGCCCTTCCTCCCTCATGGTCTCAGAGTCAAACTGCCCTCCCTCCACCTTGTTATCTGGGGGTACCCTAGGTTCTAGGTTTGGTCGAGGAGTTATAAACTCTAGGCATGAGTTGAGTAGACAAGTGTCCTTGGAGCAGTCAATACTCTCTCCTGCACATGTACCGTCAACCTTCTTCTCCATACAGAAGCTTGGTAGACATTTCTGTACTGAGGAGCAGTACACCTAGTATACAAATATAGTACATAAATAAGACCTGTTAAAGGGACTGGGATTCAAGTCAACCTTCATGCACTAATGAATAGTTGGATTCAAAACGGTATCCTTACAACCTTTATCTGATTAATAATGTGGAAGATATTGTCGTATGTCTAGGTTTAAACGGTTTTAATGCGCAAGTCACTGTTGAAGAGAAACCACAATTGAAAATAATCAGTTTTCAAAATTATATACATTTATAGATGATTCATACTTGATCAGAAAAAGTGTTTAAGGGTACCGTTGTGAATCGGGCATTGCCAGTTTGCAAGGGGAGTACAGTCCCTTTTATTACATAAAATGTTTAAACCCTCATATTGTATAAACATTTTTTATTTAAACATGGGAGTAATTGCTAGAAACGTAAACTCTTAATGTTTTCGTCTACGTGGTGGTTTTGAATGCTCCTGAACTGAATTTGATAAAAAAAAATATCGAGGAGGGATAAACTAGAAAAAATCATTACTTTGTATTATTTTTTTGTTCTTGTGAAAACGCATTTAAGGTTTAAACAAAGCATAATTTTTTACTTTCATGTTTATTCATTCTAAAATACATCCGTCAGTTCTCTAAACTTCATATTATTTTAACTCTAAAATAATCTTAAAATCAATAAAATCTTGAAAAGAATTTCATCTCGAATATTTGTTCGTATATAATTGCTCGGGTTCAGGATATTACAGAGGAAAGGTTTATGAAGGCTGTAAAAAACCGGATATTTTTACTTGGAATTTGTAGACTAAAGAATATTTTGGGGAAAAAAATCCCTAGAGATGCGGTAAAATATATTTTTTAACCATGATATTTTGATGATAAAGATAATTGCATTGAATTAAAATCGATATTGAATCTAAACATGGAATCAAATATAGATAAACATGGAAAAATGGCAAGATAAAGGAATTGAGTTTTTGTCACAAACTCTGATTTTCTTATCTATCCCTATATCTTTGCATTTCAATGTCGGAGACCTTAGATATTTTAAACTATGAATAATTTTAGATCAAATAATGATAGTTTGAAATATCACAGATTAACACCATCAGGTTGAAAAGATTTGAAAATCACAATTTGTGGCTAACACTCAGTTTCTTTTTAAGATACTTTCAACTATCAATAATTAAGAAATTACAATAAAATTTAGAAGATCATTATAAAATCTTCCTGCTGCATGGGATTACTAGAAATAACAAGGAATATATTTCAAACTCAATTATTTTAAGATTTATCTCAGCTCCGAGAAGTGACTAAGCATCTGCTTTCGAACAATGAGAGATCCAAAAAAAGAAAATCAGCATGCAATGCGCACTTCATTGCGTCATATGAGTTGAGTCGTTGCCACAAACTCAAATTTAATAATCTCTATATCTTTACAACCTGAGGGTGCAAGCCTGTGAAATTTCAAACTTATATTATTTGATCTAACAAATTAAATAGTTTGAAAAAGCCAAGGTCTACGACACTGGGTTGCAAAGATATAGGCACTAGAAAATTAATGTTTGTGGCAAATACTCAATTCCATAAAGTTTTCCTGCGAATATCAAGGCATTGAAGATTAGTGCCATCTCATTCAACAGTTCGGACATCTGAGCATGAAAATTAAAAATTAAAAATTGAATACTTACGAAGCCTAGATTACAGGACTCCTGAGAGGATAATCTACTGGAGATCAACAGAGGCAAGAAGAGCAACAATCCTGAGAAAATAACCAAATATTAAAAACACAGTTGACGAAATAATCTTTAGAAAAACTTAAAGGGAATTTTGATTAGATATTCCTGCACAAAAAGTATAAGCAATTTTTAATGAAAATGTTCACGAGATAGTCCTGAAGAACAAACAAGCTATTAAAGGGACTGTTAACTAAATAATCCTGAAGAACAAACAAGCTATTAAAGGGACTATTAACGAAATAGTCCTGAAGAACAAACAAGCTATTAAAGAGAATGTTAACAAAATAGTCCTGAAGAACAAACAAGCTATTAAAAGGGACTGTTAACGAAATAGTCCTGAAGAACAAACAAGCTATTAAAGGGAATGTTAACAAAATAGTCCCAAAGAACAAACAAGCTATTAAAAAGGACTGTTAACGAAATAGTCCTGAAGAACAAACAAGCTATTAATGAGAATATTAACGAAATAGTCCTGAAGAACAAACAAGCTATTGAAGCGAATGTTAACTAATTAGTCCTGAAGAACAAACAAGCTATCAAAGGGAATATTGACAAAATAGCCCTAAAGAACAAACAAGCTATTAAAGGGACTGTTAATTAAATAGTCCTAAAGTACAAACAAGCTATTAAAGGGAATGTTAACTAAATAGTCCTGAAGAACAAACAAGCTATCAAAGGGAATATTAACGAAATTGTCCTAAATTACAAACAAGCTATTAAAGGGAATGTTAACTAAATAGTCCTGAAGAACAAACAAGCTATTAATGAGAACATTAACGAAATAGTCCTGAAGAACAAACAAGCTATTAAAGATAATGTTAACGAAATAGTCCCGAAGAAAAAACAAGCTATTAAGGAGAATGTTAACTAAATCGTCCTGAAGAACAAACAAGCTATCAAAGGAACTGTTAACTAAATAATCCTGCATAACAACTCAATAAGTAAGCAAGTACTGTAAATTATAGAATTATCCAGAAAATCAAACAGATTTTTATTGGATTGTTAAATCTGTTAATTTTATTTACATCCCTTCCGGAAACTGTATTGCGCTTATTTTGAAAAAAAATAACTTTTTGATACAATGGGATACAGAAAACTCTGGAATAGGATGTTGAATTTTAAACTCATATTATGACTTTTAAATTGTGCAGTGGGAACAGACACATCACATCAGTGATTCATTAACAAACAGAAAATACACTTCAGTATTGCTTTCATGTCGTCTTCCTATTCTACAATTTTCTGGTTATCACTGTATCAATATAAGAAATCCAGAACTAGAATTTTATGTTACGTAATTAAGTTTTTGCCACAAACTTAGTTTTTTATCCTTCTATCTTTGTAACCTGATGTCGGAAACCTAAAAATGTACACCATTTAGCATTTCTTGTTTTTATAAATATCAATATCACGTTTAGTTTAATGTTAACTTTTGGTGTTAAATGATATTTTTAGGTAAATTTTGTGAAATATAAGATTAGATCTGCCTTTTATTTTATCGAGCTCTATTTTGTTTATTTGTGGAACTTTAATTTAATAAAGGTGATACAGAGACTTCAGGTGTCCAAAATATCTGTAAATAAAATGCCAAACGTCATTGATACACGTTGATTAAAATCAAAACACACAATGCACAATGGAAATAAAATCAAATTCTAATTAGTATTTAACTTCAGCGGTTTGTTTGTCAGTTAGAAATGTTTTCTGATACTAAAATAACAATGACGATTCTATACATAATGTATATATAAATAACAAAAGAAAATAATGCAAAATAAAGCAAAAACATTCTAGAATTATATTCGAGTTCATGGTGTATGCATCGACGCATCTTCTTTCGACCAAATATTAAACGTTTTATTTATACAGGGAGTATTTATCAAAGAGACTTCATAATTTTGAGGACGTATTTATATATGGTATGTATGGTATGTATGGTATGTATGGTATGTATGGTATGTATGGTAGTTGAACTAAAAATGTTTTAGAAATCATTTGAGACATATAAAACGTTTCTACGACGCATAATTACTGAGTTTGAGCGCAAAGTCGACGTTAAAATCATCAATTTGGGTTGGTACGTTTTGAGAACCGTTTTTTTTCTAAATCATTAAATAACGACGACAAAAAATTCGACAATAAACTGAGGAGTTGTTTAGGAACAGGTTGAGAAAATTGAAATTAACTCTTATCGTCGAAAATAAGTAATCAGTTATTAGTTTCTGTATTCTCTCATTCTTCACAAACATTTTCTGTAGATTTTCTGGAATTTTTATTGAAAAGACGATATTTAAAGAATTTGTAGAAATCTGCGAACAAATTCGTAAAGAATGAGAAATTAAATATAATATAATATAATTAAATTAAATATAATATAATTTACTTTAACATCATTGATTTATTGCCAAATTTCTTTTGGTAAATTTGTTCCTAAACATATTACTAGTTTACTGTAAAAGTATTGTTACATTTTTCGTCGTCTTTGATTAATATTTTTTTTTTAATCGATTCTCAAAACGAATTTACCCAAATTGTTGATTTTGAACGTCGACTTTGAGCTCAAACTCAGTAATTATACATTGTGAAAACGTTTCACATATATCAAATGATTCCTAAAAAAATTCCACACTATTAAATTTTCAGTTCAACTACCGGTCACTCCCTTTAAAGGAATCGAGTCTTTGCCACAAAATAATATTTTCTTATCCCTATATAATGGTATCAACATATGAAATTTCAAACTTAGATAATTTGATCTAACAGAAAATTCAAAGTTTTAATTATATAAGGTCAACAACATTGGGTTTTAAAGATATAGGGGATCCGAAAATCAGAGATTGTGGCAAAGACTTAATTCCTTTAAATGACAATTATAGAGTGGATTTTCCAATTCAAATGCCGTCCCTGTAAATCTTTGACTGGTCAATTGAAAATGAATGAGATATCCTTTTTCTAAAATTAGGTCAACAAACGGAGTTTTACCCTGACTATAACTACCGAATGAATGCTTACTTTTCGGGCTTTTAAATTTGAATATTCAAAAGATTTACGAAAACACGCGCACAATTGTTTTAATACCACTCACACTAGAGTTTTCAGCGAAAAGGAAAAAACGTCACGTAAAAATTACGCATTTTTCACTAAAAAATTTCGCTAAAATTTTCTCATTTTGCTCGCTCGCAAAAATGCGAAATTTCCACTTTTTTCGCGAAACATCGCTTTAATCTGTTTCGCGAAAAAAATACGAATTTTTCGCGAAAGAAGAGGTGCGGAAATTTCGCAAAAAAAATCGAAATTATAAAAAATGCAAGATGTTTGCGAAAATTTATCAAAAATGACAATAGCTTCAACACTCATCGTTACGCATTTTCGTGAACATTTTTTTCGCGAAATATCGCTTCGTTTTCGCATTTTCCGCTTCATTCATTTTCGCGAAAAAATGCAAAATTTCGCGAAAAAGTTTGTGAAATACGAACAAAAAATGAGAGCGCAAGATCAATAAAACCTAGAAGGGGGGAAGCGTCGAACGCCCCCCCCCCCTCTCCTCCCAGCCTGTTTATGGATAAAGTACCACAGCAGATAAAGACTGAGTAATAATTAATTGATCAATTTTTCAGAGTAAGTTTGTAGATGAAAGTTGTAAATGCAAAACCAGTGCTAAGTTTTTTATTCAAGGACAAAAAGTGTTCCTGTTCGTCTCGATTAAAGAGTTCTGATATTTAATTCATTAACCATCATAAATACTAAATTAGAAAATCACTAAGGAGAAAGGAAAGCTTTTTACTGAGACTATATAGGATTTTATTTCTATATTATTTATACTGGTTTTTTTCTTTTGACAAAAGAGTGTATACAACAAAAACGTGCAAAAAAAGTGATTCAAAGTTTGCTTTTGGGATTGTAAAATATTAAAATATTAATTCTTTATATTTTCATTCACAATAGTGAACATGTTCTCTTAGTAAAACAAAATCAAAAAAGTTCACGGATTTTATAAAAAGATTTTGAAAATTTAATGAAAATCGAATTTTGTCGGAAGCAAACTTCCCTGGGGACATGTGAAGTCCCACACAAAATTTGTGCCTGATCAGTTTAGTCGTTTTGACGTTTATTGGACACAAACACACAGACAGACAAACAGACACGCAAGAAGAAACTGAGTTTTTATATAAGTGTTAGAAAATCAAAGTTTGCACGTGGTCATAACGCAGTTCCTTAACATTCACGCTTTCATCTAAGATATTAATAAGAAATGTACATTTTGATAGGAATATTTAATAGATTATATATTTTCTTCTGATATCCTAATTAGGGATCAGCTTTTCACTAAGCATAAGAGACATTCTAGGGTTTCCGTGGAACGAAAAATATCTCGAAAATTTTCGTTCGTTTATTAAGAAAAGGGCGAAATTTCCGCGAAACGATTTACCCTTTTCGTATCGACCAGTGGCGGACATAAGGGGTTTATTGGGGTTATTTACCCCCCCTAGAATCCTGGGGGTAAATACCCCCCCTAGAATCCTGGGGGTAAATACCCCCTCATAGAATCCTGGGGGTAAATACCCCCCCTAGAATCCTGGGGGTAAATACCCCCCTCCCTAGAATTCTAGGGGTAATTACCCCTGAACATATATTCAGGCCCTGAATAGCAGGGGATACTCCATTTGCTGCCTCTACAAGTAAACAGTTCCAGTTGCCTTGACCCCTTCCCTTCAAAAAAAAATACATTCCCTATTGATTAGCCTGCACTTGTGTAAAGACGACTATTTTCATGATAGTAAAAGTTTTTGCGGCATTTTGCAGATGCCTAAACAGTCAGTAAACATTAATTAATTAATCAAATTAAAACTTAAAAATTAATTTAAAACAAAGTAAGAACTGTTTTGATTTTGATTAGATAAGCTTTGAAAACTGTTTAAAATTTAAACAAAAAATAGAAACGGAACTTATGTATATTGATAATTAGGTTGCTAACATGGCTACGGAACACCATGAAAACGGAAAGGCTATCTAGCCTTGCACTCATGCACTCCCATCCTAGTAGATTAAAATTAATCAAACATAAAGACATTCTGAACAAGTTTTTAAGCGCCAAGTCGCGCCGACTTTATAATGGAGGAAAGAGTTGTTACTTTGTTTTTGTTTTTAAAAAATGGTTGATTTTAAAATTGAATATCTTTTAAATTTGCACAAAAACAATTAAAATGTGCACTGTGCAATTACGTCGGAATCAGATATTTCAAATTTTAAGTCAACATATTCTAAATGATTCTAAATTCTAAAGTAATAGTCAATGTCATTAAAATTAGATGTTTTTTTAAATAGAAAAAAATGGTATGGACAATAAAAAACCTTTTTAATTATAAATAATGTCATTTCCACATTAGATTTCGTTAAGATCTTAACATACTCCATTGACGACAAGAAAATTTAACAATGAGTAATGACCATATTTTTTCAAAGTTTTGCAGAGTAGCTTTTCTAAAGATTTAAAAAAGTAACATCTTTTTCCTCTTAGAGTAAAACTATTATTTTTTATATTACTGCCTTTTTTTGTCAAGGTTTGCCAAAAAGTTTAGTTAAAATTAAATAAATTCAGTTTTCTTACAGATCTTTGTAGTTAATGTAAAATGAATGACTATAATGAAGGGTATGAATGAAGGTGGAAGCTGAAAGGTATGTAATGAAGCCTTTATTAGATTGAGTTTGTAAATCCCAGAAATGAGTGGAAAATGCAAATCAAACCCAATTAAAACCAATAATTTTCATGATATTTTTCTAGGGGGGGGGGTAAAAAAATTTCTAGGGAGGGGAAAAAAAAAATTTTTCCCCCCCCCTACAGAATCCTTATGTCCGCCCCTGGTATCGACCCAAGAACTTCCCTATAGGAGAGTAAAATAATATCTTCGCCAATTCGTCGTCAGAACAGTGTAAGATAACGGCAATGCTACGACCAGAAAATCATTTCCAAGAACAAAACATTAAAGCAATGCAAATCTTTAGGCGCTATCTTCGCTCATATATATGTACTCAGGATCGTCATGAGACGTGAAACATTATGTTTAGTATAATTCTTTTTGAATAAAATGTGAAGTTTAAAAACTGAAATAAATATATATGTCTAATATCTATATAATAAAACAAGACATTCGTATATATNCCAATTATAGTAAATAGAAACTCTAGAAGTGATTATTTTAAATAGGTAAAATAAAGAGCTCGCCAAAAAAATGAAGAAAAAAATAGAAATAAATACGATATTTTGCGGTTTTGACAATATTGGAAGAAGCTAAAAAGTTAATAAAAAGTTTTTAAAAAAGCTAAAACTATTACTATACAAACGCTTATTGATATCAAATTTAAAATCCTACCCCTCAGGAATTCGAAACCATTTCAATACTTGTATTCGAAACTCTAGGCTTCCATTTCAATTGTGAACATTTTCTCTATTTGTACAATGTAAACAAAAACACAACAAATTCGTGGATTTTATAAAACAATTTCGTGGATTTTCAAAATTTTCAAAAAATGGAATTTCGTTTGAGGCAACTTTTTGAAAATTCGATCATACATTAAACTTCCCTTGTGTCACGCGAGGTCCCACACAAAATTTGGGCCCGATCGGTTCAGCCCTTTTGACGTTTATTGGATACATCCAATAAACGATATCGATACAAACAGACAAGCAAGCCAAGTAAATATATAAATTCAAAAGAATTTTAAAGATCAAAAGTTTAAATGGATTGGATTGAAGATTGCTGAGATATTCTAAATTATAGATTTGATAAAACTAAATTGATTAAACTGTAAGACAAATTGTTCACATATATTGATACCAGCTTGGGAACTCAGCGTTGCACAGGGTACTCATAATTACTCCCGCCGTTTACCCGCACTTGGCCGATTTTTGCCTAGAAACTAAATTTTCGCTATTTATGCCAAACCCACTCAACTTAGTATCTTAAAACCAAGCTAAAAACATTCCCGTGGGCCTCCCGATTTCCCAAGTCTAAATTTGAAGCAAATCGGTCCAGGGATCCTAAGTCATGATTGGACAAGCAAACAGACATACAGACAAACAGAGATTACAACTTTATACAAACTGATATGTTGCTGTTCAAGCCGCCATTTTGTCTTTCTAGATTGAAAACCTCATAAAGGAATTGTGTCTTTGCCACAAACTCTTATTTTATAATCCCTTTATCTTTGGAACCCAAAGTCATAGACATTATATATTTTAAACTATGAATTCTGTTAGATAAAATATTTTAAGTTTAAAACATCAACGGTTTAACCTATCAGGTTGTAAACTTTGAGTTTTTGACAAAGACTCAATTCATTTCTCAGGTTATTCTGTTCACATGGATGTGTATAAATATGTCTGTTAACTGACCAATCGTGCTTTTTTTACATTTAGTTTTTTTACAGTAAAATTGATACGTCCAACTTTTTAAACACAATACCTGCTGTTGTTAAATAGATTCTTCTAGACTTTAAAAACATTTTTTTTCACTAAATTCAAAATCACTAAGTCTCTTTTTGTTAAGTCATGGTACAACGTTGTACCGACCTATAAACTCGAAGAACTGTAGAAATTAGTCCGTAAATGGTAAACGTTGTATCGAAGGAGACAGTATGTCACAGAAACCTTGTTCACTCACCAAACAAAATGGTTCTTTTAAACCATGAAATTCCATAAGAAAAAAGCTACAAAGTACTTACTATACAATCTACATAGCAAAGAATTACAAATGTTTTTCTAAAATCAATTCAATTATGACTTATGTGGCATGATTTGGGATTTCTGGCGGATATAAGGTTTTTGAGGCACACTGTACGCAGGGTAGAAAGCGATCGATTGTTACCATGCACCCCATTCACCTCATGGACACAGTAGACACACAAACCTTTTTATTTTTAATTATTCATATTTATTGATTTTATGAGTAACTAATGGTTTCTCTCTCTACTTTCTTATAAAATTTTACGCACTTAACAAATATTATATATTTCATGTTTAAATACAGGGTTACCTACATAGGATGAGACTCCAGAGACGATTGTACGGAATTTATACTGTCTGATTCCTTAAATTGACAACACCTTATAACTGTAGATTTGTTGTTTCTTTGCCTAATCTTTAAATTGACGATACCTTGCAACTGTATATTTGTTGTTTCTTTGCCTAATCTTTAAATAAGCCATTAAATAACTAAGTCTTTGGAAGAATACATAATTTAACCTTGGGAACGTCACATTTTTAGAGTTTTCGATCGTCTTTACAATCTCATGCTTTGTGGGTAACCCTGTACATCACAACAATAATAATGTGAAGACAATAAATAGGAAATTTTTGTGCATTTGATAATCTATAATATATAGAATGTATCGTTTATAGAATTAAAAACAACAAGTTTTAATTCTGGATTTGATAATTTGACATTTTAGAATAAAATCCAAAAGTTACGAAATCACATGGAAACATTAAAAGAATAATTTAACATTAACCTGTAGCAGAGGCGTATTCAGGAAGGGGGCTATTTGGATAACCCCCCCCCCCCCTCTTGGTCAGTGAAATCTATGGTTTTCAGAGGGGTTTTGGCCTCCAACAGGTGCTTCCCCCCCCACCCTGGAATGGAAAGAAAGAAAAAAAAATTAAGCCCCCCTCCCTGAACAAATTCCTCAATACGCCCCTGGTCTGTAGTGTAGGAAAGTAAAATATCTAACACTAAACAATTAATAAACTATACCAGGCAGGATTATTTAAAAATAAAATGGAATTAAGGATATTTTTTGAAGATTTCAAGAAACATGTTAAGGAGTGTTAGCAAAGTATTCTGTGAGTTTTCAAACAAGGAAATTAGTTTTATCAGAAGTCATGAGAGTGTAGTATACTGGTCACGTGATACAGACAGACACGTGACCACAATGCTGCACTACCATTGGCGGGAGTTCTTGTGAGGTAATACGGACTTAAAAATAATATTATCAATTATATCTATTAAAAATAAAAATAAAAATCATAAAATGATAATTGGAGAAAACCTAAGTTACAATTAGGTTTCTCTGGGACATCTGCGTTTTCCGATTGGTTTCTGATTTATTGAATATGATCTGTTTAAAGTTTTAACTATTTCTATACAAAATTATATATATATATATATGAAAATTTGTATAAATTAGACACAGTTTTATATCAATTTCTCGAGAATTATTTTAAAGGATTATATCTGTGAGTTGTTTGAAAACATATTCACAACTTTGTGAAATGTCAGCTTAATTTTTCATAGAAAGTCTCAACTACAGTTTGAAATATTATGTTTCAGTTAAGCTGTGAAAATCAGTTTAAGTTATATCATACTTTTCTATAATCATCATAGAAAATTTCTTTGTCTTTATGTTTGCCATTATAGAATTTATTGTTTATTGTGCCTTGTAAACAAAGAAAGACGACTAACCCTTGATATTAAATATACTGCAATATCTTGTTGTTGTTTATCTTGTTTACACATGAGAAGGAATCATTGGTTACTTTTGTGTCTATTAACCTTTCAGTGTAAAATGAGAACCTTAAAACTCTGGCATAGGAAGACGACTTTTAATCAACATTGAAGGTTAACTGATGTTTTTAAAAAGCAAACAATGTTTATTATTTAATAATTTTTAAAGTGAAATGGTTCTGTGTTCACTGCACGCAACACAATTACTGTGTCTTGGACTTTTTAAAGCCATAACTTGAGTCCAAAAGTCGTCTTCCTATTCCAGAGTTTTCCTGTTATCAGTGTACAGTACTTACATAAATATATTTATAAATATAAATATATTTTCAATAGGCGATTATATCAATTTAATGAAGACGACTTTTTTATTTAAGTTTTAAGTGTTGTTTCGTTTCGTTGAATTTAAAGTTTACAAGTATTTAAAGAGAAGCTTTTTTAATTGACAGCTTCTCTTTTTTCCATGGTTTGTGTGCTATCTATGCTGTTTAAAAGCTTGAAATTAATAATCAAAATTTAAATCAAAAGTCATCTTCATTCATCGTCTTGTAATAATATAAAAATTTCTTCAAACCACGTACACGGTACAAACACCTACATGACAGTTAAGACACAACTTGAAGATCGTCTTTGTATCTTTAAAATTATTTGCGGCATTATTATATGGTCTGCCTTTTCGTGTTTTAGAAATTAACAGAGATGCCCTGTAGCTGGCTTAAGAACTTTTTCTTCTATTTCTAGAATATCTTTTATGTCTTGTTTCTTGTTTGTCCATTGAATTAAAGATGGAGAAAGTTCAACTTGGCAGATAGTGAATGTCGTCGTTTTCCAGGCGATTTCTCAGCTTTACTTGATCTCCTAGAAGTAAAAAAGATGTTTGGTACTGATTTCATTATTGTCTTCAGTCAAATACAAGCCAAATGAAAATCCTAGGGATTTTCGAGATCAATCAATTGCACCCATGGTTTAGGCTTATGCAAATAATTCACTCTAGATCCCCGTACCCTTAAGTTTTAGTGTCGATCGCTTTAACAACCTCTTTGTACATTTCTTTCAGAGTTTAATTTAATTGGTATTGATCAGTTTCATAGTTTATTTATTAAATACATCTGTAACGTCTATTCATGTTTAATAAGTTCTTTTAGATATTTAGCTGCTACAATTCAGGATCTGTCTGAACAACACTTTCCAAATTATATTACCCTAGTGGCAACTTTCCAACTGTGCAATTTCCCAAGCGGCAAATTTGCAAGTCTGCCCTAGCTGCAGCGCTTGGCCCCCGTGCTTTTAAAATTCCACGGGCAACCAGTAAACCATAAAAATAATCTGTGCAGAATCTGGTGAGAAGATAATAGTATATCTAGGGTATTTTGTTAGTGGTGCAATATTTCCAATGAGATTATATTTTAATTATGTGGATTACTCGGCGCTAATCCTTCTCCCAGAAACTAATTCAATTTTCAAATAAACATTTTTTTCAGAGAGAGAAAAACCTCAAAAAAATATTTTTGATGTTTGGTGAATTTTATTCACTTCATGTTGGGATAAAAGATTACTTTTATTAAAGTTGACTTTGCTATAATATTTGTCACGTTAAAGCGAAACTTATAAAACATAAATTGCAAGATGCAAAATTTTATTCTAAACATATATTTGAAATTAAATTCAATTTTGAAAATTGGGTAAAAAGAATTATTCCATCAACTTTGAATTTATTTTTTAAAAAGAAACGAAATAGAAAATTTACAGCTGCAAATTTTGAAATAACCTAACCTTATTCCGTCGTACTAATTAATAAATAGACTTTAAATCTATCGATTTCTTAGAATCTTTTGATATCTTTAAAATCTTGTTTGCAGATTTTATTTAGAGAGAGACACAGGTCTGAAATCTTTATAAATCAGTATTTATGATATCTTCAACTTTATTCCTCATCAAACAAATCAATATTTTTTGAACTACCTTTGCATGAAATTTCGAAAATTTACTTTTCTTTTAAACCTTTTTGATTAGACATACAAATATTTCAAAAAAAACTTCAGTTTATTTGAAAACATTTCATAATTTTGAGAGAACAAACGATAAGAATGCTCTTCATTTAATAATTTATTAAAACTACTTTCAGCTTTTTATTATTTAGATAAAAAAGTATTTTTAGATATTTATTTTAAAATTCTATAACTAAATGATTACTTTATATTTAAAAAGAAAAGAAAAAAGAGTTATGGCTGGAATCCAACCTGCTTGAATTATGGCTGGAATCTAACCTGCTTGAGTTATGGCTGGAATCTAACCTGTTTGTGTTATGGCTGGAATCTAACCTGCTTGAATTATGGCTGGAATCTAACCGGCTTGAGTTATGGCTGGAATCTAACCCTCTTGAGTTATGACTGGAATCTAACCCTCTTGAGTTATGACTGGAATCTAACCCTCTTGAGTTATGACTGGAATCTAACCCTCTTGAGTTATGGCTGGAATCTAACCTGCTTGAGTTATGGCTGGAATCACTTCCCTCATGTCATTCATTGTAAGATTCTTCTAAAGCTTTGAACTGATGGTCCACGTCCAGGTTACGCTCCAGTGTCCATAAATACTCCTGGATAATATTTTAAAAGGTCTATATTAAACGTCAGGTATCATAAAAAGTCCTGGAATATACTTAAAACTGTTAGAAGTCAAGTTCTTGTTTAAACTTTAGTGTTTTTGGAACACTACCTGATACTCCAGGGTTCATAAATATTATTGGAAAATAATTAAACCGTTTTAGGTCTAGGTCTGGTTTATACTCTAGTGTCCATAAATACGCTTGAATAATATTTAAAATCATTTTAGGTCCAATTTTATAGTTTAAACTCCAGTTTCTTTAATCACTACAAGATCAAGTTAAACATTTTACAAGTTTAAATTATTTTTTACTCCATTTTCTTTAAGTACTGCTAGATCATATTGAAACTATAATATCATAAAAAGTCATTCATCCCCCCCCCTACCCCCCATCCCATACAAAATTTATTTAATAATTAATTGTAACTATAGGTCTAAACACTATCTTCGTACCTTCGAATCACCGCAGGTTGTGATAACCTTGAATCCAATATATCCTAGAGCATTAAGAACCACAACAGCTGTTGCTTCAAGCCTAGAAGTATAAATATATAATAGAGCATTCAAAACCACAACAGCTGTTGTTTCTAGCCTAGAAGTTTAAATGTATCCTAAAGCATTCAGAACCACAAAAGCTGTTGCTTCAAGTCTAAAAGTATAAATATATCCTAGAGCATTCAGAACCACAACAGCTGTTTCTTCAAGCCAAGAAGTATAAATATATCCTAGAGCATTCAGAACCACAACAGCTGTTGCTTCAAGCCTAGAAGTATAAATATAAGCATTTAGAACCACAACATCTGAAAAAAAATATTCTTAAAAGTTCATAAAAACAGATTTCGCCATACAGATTGAAGATTAAACACATCAGTTTTAGTTTAAACTTAATAGGGCCACCAATTATACAATATAAAATGTAATTTGAAGTTTTTTGACACATTTTAAAAGATTTTATCCAAAAATCAACAAAGTCATACTTAATGTAAAGTTTATAATTAATTAGTTTTAAAATATGAAATTATGCAAAATTTTGACTCTGACATATCAAAATTAATAATTCCTTGACGAATATGTTGAAAATATTTTTAGTTTAATATCTTAAATGCTAGAGTCAAGCTTTGCATCGATATATATAAAGATGTAATATCTGTTTGTCTGTCTGTCTGTTTGTTTGTCCGATCATAACTCAGGAACCCCTTAACCGAATTGTCACAAATTTTGATCGGAAAACTTGGGATAACCATCTGAATGATGTTAGCCTTGTTTTTAAATTCTTAAATCCGATTTTTATTGGGAAAAATAGCTAAAATCGTAATACGGGACCACGGGTAAACGGCGGAGTAACTATGAGTGAGTAATCCAGGGCAACGTTGGGTTCCCAACCTAGAAGTGTAATAAATGAAAACTTTAACTCTAATTGGAATGGCCACATTCTAAAGATGCATAACTATATCTTAACCATATTTTTAAATCTTGCTTTAAAGTTCTAAAAAAATAAACTTTTAAGATTATGATTAGTATAAAATATATAAACTATTCCTTGAAGCTAGTTTTATGTGCAGTGGAAGGCAGGCGGCCATAAGCCACAACATTTTCCCCTTCCATGCCACATATTATATATTTGTCTTCCGACAGCCATGAGCCACAACCGTACGCTCTTCCATGCAACAGCAATTGAGTCTTACGGCGGTTATAACGTTTTTAAATTCCCTCGCTTGTTTTATCCATAAAATGAAATCCTGCATGCATATATCGGGTGAAAAACTGTTTAACTGATTTTTTGGGGGTGGAATAATATATAACTTGAATTGTGCATTTTTAGTGGAATATTTATGTACCCTTGTACTGTAGTGTATACTGTGCAGACTGTACAGACTGTAAATGGTAAACAAGCGGAAAGTATGGCTGGGTGTGTTCCTAATTTTTTTAATCGTTCGTTCCGTTTCGTTCATCTCCGAGAAAGAACGATTGTTCCCCAGGAACGACGGCCAGCCCTAGCGGACAGTACAAATTTCGAAATAAAATATAAAGTTTAAGCATTCTGTCGATCCAAATATTTGGAGTGGAATAAAAAGAAAAATTACAAAAATAAAGAATAAATAAAAGCTTTGCACTGAAGTGTTTAAATCTTCTTTTTGTATTTTACCTAATTCCATGTTGTTGAGGAAGTGACGTTGGATGAGTTTGATGAGTCTGGTGGGATTGTTGAGAATGGTGGTTTTGATGTGAATTGGACCCATTAGGAGAACGAACAGAAGGAAACTTTCCCTACAAAATTAAAACTATAAATATTTATTGATCTTACCTTCTTTATTCAATTTTAATGGAATTTATCACACCTAATATTTCCCATTATAGGGTGAATAAGTGACTTTATTACCCCACAACAGGGCGAAAAAGTAACTTTTTGACCCTGCTATTCAAATTTCATACCTAATTTGTCGCATTGTAGGGCGATAAAGTTACTTAATCATCCTAAAACAGGGTGATTATAAGTAACTTTATCGACCTGCTTTTAAATAATTTGAGTAAAACTAAATAAAATAAATATCATGCGTGCGGAAAAGTTTTTGCTGTGACTTTTTTCGCACTTAATAATACCCATTACAATGACATAAATGGGAAAATTAATTGTAAATAAACCTTCCGCTCCGCGAAGTTTTTGGGAACTAATTCACGAATTTTTATCTTAAAATTGCGTGGGTTGGTTTCGGTGGAAAGTCGGCAAAACTCTGGGTCGGGTTTAAAACTGAAGGTAGATTTTCATTTAAAATATTATCATGAAGAAAAAAAGCAGATAAAATTCAACAAAGAGTGATGTTATTTACAATTTTTATGATATGGTATGAAGATATGAATTTAAAAGTTATAACGGCCAACATAAACATGGGTATTACAATTTTATCATCAAAATATTATTCACTTAATTTCCTATACCAAATATTATATAGATACTGTTTTAAAAATCTTATTTAATTACCATGTTCAAATTAACTCTCCCTGTACACTTTAAATTTTACCCTGAACAGTCCAATTAACTCTCACTGTACACGGTACAGTCCAATTAACTCTCCATTTATACTTTAAATTGCACACTCTACAATCCAATTAACTCTCCCCGTACACTGTAAATTGTACACTGTACAGTCCAATTAACTCTCCATGTACACTGTAAACTGTACACTGTACAGTCCAAGTAACTCTCTCTGTACACTGAAAATTGTACACTGTACAGTCCAATTAACTCTCCCTGTACACTTTAAATTGTACACTGTACAGTCCAATTAACTCTCCCTTTACACTTAAAATTGTTCACTGTACAGTCCAATTAACTCTCCATGTACACTGTAAACTGTACACTACAGTCCAATTAACTCGCCCTGTACACTATTAACTGTACACTGTACAGTCCAATTAACTCTCACTGCAAACTGTAAATTGTACACTGTACAGTCCAATTAACTCTCCCTGGACACTGTAAATTGTACACTGTACAGTCTAATTAACTCTCCCTGTACACTGTACAGTCAAATTAACTCTCATTGTACACTGTAAATTGTACACTGTGCAGTCCAATTAACTCTCCCTGTACACTATAAACTGTACATTGTACAGTCCAATTAACTCTCACTGTACACTGTAAATTGTACACTGTACAGTCCAATTAACTCTCTCTGGACACTGTAAATTGTACACTGTACAGTCTAATTAACTCTCCCTGTACACTGTACAGTCAAATTAACTCTCATTGTACACTGTAAATGGTACACTGTGCAGTCCAATTAACTCTCCCTGTACACTGTAAATTGTACACTGTACAATCCAATTAACTCTCCCTGTATACTGTAAACTGTACATTGTACAGTCCAATTAACTCTCCCTGTTCACAGTAAATTGTACACTGTACAGTCCAATTAACTCTCCCTGTACACTGTAAATTGTACACTGTACAGTCCAATTAACTCTCACTGTACACTGTAAACTGTACACTGTACAGTCCAATTAACTCTCCCTGTACACTGTAAACTGTACAGTGTACAGTCCAATTAACTCTCCCTGTACACTGTAAACTGTAAACCATTTACCGCGACCACAAAAACGTATAAACGTAAATTATTTAATCACTAATTTTATAATGTTTTTAATTCATTGGAATTGAACAATTGTCTCCAATTTTAATACCTATATCTTTGAGATATAATTTTGCCGAACTTAAGTAGTTTTTTTACATCAAAAAATTCAAAGTTAGAAAAATCAAAGGTTTTCCATGTATAGTGACGAGAAAATAAGTGCCCAAGACGATTTTTTTGTTCCTTTAGGCTGATTCACTAGGAACCTCATATTTATGTATATAATGAAGCTCTTAACTCATATATATATTTGGTTATCTGTATGTTAGCCATAACTGGCCAAACGACTGGACCGAATTGGCTGAATTTTTTGTGAAGGGGTAGCATAAGCCTAAAAAAAATTTGAAAAAAATTTTTGAAATCGAATTTTTTATTTTATTTTTTTAATTCCACGGGCAACGCCTGTCTTAGCTAGTTATTTATATAAAAAAGTGTACAGCAGTTTCAGAAAGATGTGTAAATAATATTATTAGTTCTCCTCAGGACAAGTTTTATTTGATTATGTTCCTCCTAAAACCTGCAGTATACTCTCAAGTAAACTTTTTTTTTAAATCTATAGAAAAAAATTACTCAGTAGTCGGTATAAAGTAATTGGAGAAGAAAATATTTTAAAAATACTGATATGCATCTAAATACGTTTTAGAATTCTCTTTTTTGGCATAATTTTAATTTTTGTTGGAGTTGAGGCCAAAAAATGATAGAGTTTAGTTTATAGTTTTTAGTTTAATACTTTGTTTCATTATTGAAGATTTCAACAAAATTTTTACTTTTAATATTCGATGTGATTTCTATAATATGGTATAGTATCTTTAAAATCATAGAAATATTACATCTGTGGTCGATCAAAAAAGTTCCGTTTAGCCAAATAAAAAAAAAAACATACAGAGTGTCCCAAAAAAATCCAATATTTTAGACATTGCATCACTCACCATGGTTCAATAAATCAATGGATAGGAAATGTTCCATAGATTTTTTAAATGTCCAAAAGTAAACTATCATGAGTGCTACAATGTCTAAAAGATCGTTTTTGTCGGAATACCCTGTAGAAATAATTAAAAGATCGCAGCTGATATTCGAAACTATAGTGGATGCTATTCCAAAGAAAATGGAAGTGCAAATTTTTCTGAAATAAAAAAAGTTTTCTTTAGAATTGTTTTCATTAAATTCAAACAAAAACGACTCAAATTGTGCATTTTTAATTAAATTAGAATAATTATTACTTAAATTTTATTCTCTTGTACCATCAACAAAAATTGTTAATTAAGATTCTGTAGAAAGTTTTTAAGGAACTATGGACCCTTTTGTCAACTCAACAATTTTAATTACTTGAAATATATCAATTTGATAATAATTAAAAATCAACAACAGAATGATTTATGGTTCTCCTGTCGGTGTTGAACAACCAGACCAAAAAAAGATAGGCAATAACTTGGTTGATTTTAATAGAACTTTTAAATCGTTTTGACTTTTTAAAGTCATCACAAAAATAATGTAAACTTGTGGTGGTTCCAACGTTTCAAAACTGTATTTTAAATAAGTTGTACGGTAAATTTTTAATAAGCGGTACGGTAAATTTTTAATAAGCGGTACGGTACATTTTTAATAAACGGTACGGTACATTTTTAATTTTCTCTTTCTCAAACTTGTTTGATTATATAAATTAATCAAATCAAAGTTTTATGGAAGTCATTGTCAAACCTAAATTTTCCAATTATGAAATGACAATAAGTCGGAATGTGATCTTATTTGCTCTAATTAGCTCTGATTAGCTCTAATTAGCTCTAATTAGCTCTAATTAACTCTAATTAGCTCTAATTAGCTATAATTAGATCTAATTAGCTCTAATTAATTAGATCTATTTAGCTCTAATTCGTTCTAAATAGCTCTAACTAGCTCTAATTAGAATTATCTCTAATTAGTTATAATTCGCTATAATTCGTTATAATTAACTCTAATTAGCTCTAATTATCTTTAATTAGCTCAAATTCGCTCTAATTAGCTCTAATTAGCTTTAATTAGCTCAAATTCGCTCTAATTAGCTCTAATTAGCTGTAATTAGCTCTAGTTATCTTTATATATCTCTAAATAGCCATAACTAGCTATAAATAGCAATAATTAGCTCTACCTAGCTCGAATTAGCCATAATTAGCTATAATTAACTGTCAATATTTCTAATTGGCTCTAATTAGCTCTAATTAGCTCTAATTAGCTCAAGTTAGCTCTAATTAGCTCTAATTAGCTCTAATTAGCTCTAATTTTTCACTTTTATTTGTTGTTGCGCACTCACCTTGAGATATCTTACTTCTTGGGGCGTCAGGCCAAACACAGTGCAGCAGTCATTGTTTGGTGTTCCTTAATATATACTGCATTTAGAGTACAGCTGTCATTGTTTGGTGTTTCTTAAAATATACTGCATTTAGAGCACAGCAGTCATTGTTTTGTCTTCCTTCTATATATAAATTTGGCTTGTCTGTCTGTCTGTCTGTTTGTTTGTTTGTTTGTATCCAATAAACGTAAAAACGGCTGAACCGATCGGGCCCAAATTTTTTGTGGGACATCTAGGGACCCCAGGGAAGGTTTATGAAAAATCAAAATTTCAAATATTTGTCTCTATCAAAATTCGATCGTCATTAAATTTTTAAAAATTTTGAAAATCCGCGAAATTTTTTGTAAAAATCCGCGAATTATTTTTGTTTTGTTTTACGATGTACACAAAGAGAACATGTTCACAACTAATTTAGAAGATGGGCGCGAAGCGCCCTCTAAGGCTAGAAAGAAGGGCGCGAAGCGCCTTGAATTTCTAGTAATATATAGTGCATTTCGAGTACAGCTGTCATTGTTTTGTGTTCCTTAATATATACGGCATTTAGAGTACAGCTGTCATTGTTTGGTGTTCCTTAATATTTACTGCATACAGAGTACAACTGTCATTTTTTGGTGTTCCTTAATAAGTATAGTTAGAGTACAGCAAACATTGTTTGGTGTTCTTTATTACAAATATATATATATAGAGTACAGCCGTCATTCCTTGGTGTTGCTTAATAAAAAAGTGTAAAACAATCATTGTTTGGCAAATATTCCTTAATGCATATAAAGTACAGCAGTTATTGTTTGGTGTTCCTTAATACAGAATACAGAGTACAGCTATCATTATACAAAATACAGCAGTCATTGTTTGGCGTTCCTTAACACAAACATAAAGAGTAAAACAGTCATTGTTTGTAGTGCCTTAATACATGTAAAGTACATCAGTCATTGTTAGGTATTCCTAATTACATAGTAACCCTAAATTTTTAAGTAATGGTAAAAAACAAAGTACAGAGAGTACAAAAGTTGGTTCCTTTATCCTTAGAAATAAATCGGACTATAGTCACAGTAAAGTACAAAGTTGGACAATCAGTGTAGTTACGAGATAAAATGTGATAATGTGATAATCTTAAGTGTAATAGGTTGAACCCAAGTTCGTAAATTTCTTTATTTTAACTCTAACCTGATACAGAAACATAGCTCAACATATTGTGGAGCTAGGAACTATATAATACAATACACAAAATACATGTAGTTAACTCTACCCGGATACAGGAACATAGCTCAACATATTGTGGAGCTAGGAACTATAATGTGTATACGATATACAATATACAATATACAATATACAATATACAATATACAATACACAATACACAATATACAATATACAATATACAATATACAATATACAATATACAATATGCATGTATTTAACTGTAACCTGATACAGCAACGTAGCTCGACATATCGTGGAGCTGAGAACTATAATACGACATTCTTCTCATAAACCTTAACCTAAACATAAAGGAATATTCACCACTCAACCTGAACATAAAGGAATATTCACCACTCAACCTAAACATAAAGGCATATTCACCACTCAACCTAAACATAAAGGAATATTCACCACTCAACCTAAACATAAAGGAATATTCACCACTCAACCTAAACAAATCAGATTATTCACCGCTTAACCTAAACATAAAGGAATATTCACCACTCATTTAGGGATTATTCACCACTCAACCTAAGCATATTGGGATAATTCACCACTCAACCTAAACAAAATGAGATTATTCACCACTCAACCTAAACATAAAAGAATATTCACCCTCAACCTAAACATATTAGGATAATTCATTGCTCAACGTGAACAGAATGAGATTATTCACCACTCAACCTAAACAGAATGAGAATATTTACCACTCAACTTAAACAGAATGAGAAAATTCACCTCTCAACCTAAACAGAATGAGAATATTCACCACTCAATCTAAACAGAATAAAATTATTTACCACTCAACCTAGACATAATTGGATTATTCACCACTCAATCTAAAAATATTGGGATTATTCACCACTCAACCTAGACAAAATGGGATTATTCACCTCTCAACCTAAACATAATGGGATTACTCATCACTTAACGTATACAGAATGAGATCATCACCCAACTTAGAAATAATGAGATTATTCACCACTCAAGCTTAAAATAAAGGAATATTCACCACTCAACCTAAACATTAAGAGATTATTCTCCATTTAACCTAATAATATGATAACTATTCACTAGTTCACCTTATTATATGAGGATTATTTATCACTAAAATAATAAAGGGGGGAATTTAACGTTTTTCTTCTGTAATAATAATTTTCTGATAACTATGTATTAAAAACATAAATTTTCTTATTTTTATTTTTAGAATTTTTAGAATTAACCTTTTGCTTTTTTAAGAAGCAGTGCAAAAAATAGCTTTATCGAACATAGAAATTTTTGCATTTACCAAATTGTTAAAAAATGCATTCGCATCTTGGTGGCTGTAATATATAAATGCTATAAAAGAAGCCAAAGGAATTTCTAATAATTTAGAGTTTATGAAGCGTGTCCTCTATAAAATATTTCAACCACTGTTGTGGTTTTTGTCGATTGCCTACAAACTTTGGAAAACCTGTCAAAATGCTTCGTGTTTATCCATTTTTTTATCTGTTTATGAAAGGCCTTCTTCAATTTACAGCCCTTTACATTACTTTGCAAAAGCTATGTTGAAAATATGTTTTGATTGGCCAAAATTGTCGCTATTAAAGAATAAGTATGTTCACATTTTTATGTGTTTCATTTAATTATTTTTGCGTCCAGCTAAAACCATTGTCACCTTCTATTAGGTTGTTGTTTAAGTTCTACAGCTGTTGATTTCTGTAATGCCAAGAGTGCCTAGATATCTGAACCTTCCCTGGGGATGTCCAGAAGATAACTAGATCCTCGGACCCGGAGATTCTTCCGTCCTATAATATCCTCTCTCCAGTGGGACGAGGAGACCAGGGATATATCGAAACTTGTAATAGGAGATATCTAAACCTTAATGCGGACATATTTAACCCAGTATTCGGACATATCTAAACCTGTATTCGGACAGATTTAAACCTGTATCTGGACATATCTAAACCTGTACCTAAACATATCTAAACCTGTATCTGGACATATCTAAACCTGTACCTGAACATATCTAAACCTGTACCTGAACATATCTAAACCTGTACCTGGACATATCTAAACCTGTACCTGAACATATTTAAACCTGTATCTGGACATATCTAAACATGTACTTGAACATATCTAAACCTGTACCTGAACATATCTAAACCTGTATCTGGACTTATCTAAACCTGTAACTTGACATATCAAAACCTGTACCTGGACATATCTAAACCTGTACCTGGACATATCTAAACCTGTACCTGGACATATTTAAACATGTACCTGAACATATCTAAACCTGTATTCGGACATATTTAAACCTTTACCTGGACATATCTAAACCTGTACCTGGACATATCTAAACCTGTACTTGGACATATCAAAACCTGTACTTGGACATATCTTAACCTGTACCTGGACATATTTAAACCTGTACCTAAACATATCTAAACCTGTACCTGGACATATCTAAACCTGTACCTGGACATATCTAAACCTGTATCTGGACATATCTAAACCTGTATCTGGACATATCCAAACCTGTACCTGGACATATCTAAACCTGTAACTGAACATTTCTAAACCTGTACCTGGACATATCCAAACCGGTATCTGGACATATCCAAACCTGTACCTGGACATATCCAGACCTGTACCTGGACATATCCAAACCTGTACCTGGACATATCTAATTCTTGATTTGGACAGATCCAAACCTACAGTGCTAAACGATTATATTAATACAATGAAGACGACTTTTTAAAAGTTTTATTGTTAACAAGCTTTTTACAAGTTTACAAGTAAACAAAGATAAGCTTTTTAATTGACACCTTCTCTTGACTTCTAAGGTATCCGTGCTGTTTAACAGCTTGATATAAATAAAAATAAAAATCAAAAGTCATCTTCATTGTATTGATATAATCGCCTAACACTGTATCTAAGATATGTTGTGGAGGGGGGATGAGAGATAAAATTGTGTTCTTAATTTTCGAATGAATTTATAAGTTAACAACTTTTAAAACATTTTTCAAGTAAGAAAGAAAAATTTCACGATGAACAAACACCATTTTATCTTAGAAACCTTTGATATCTTTATATCCTAGAAAAAAATTGATAAAAATATCCTGTCTGAATTTTAAATTTATCTGCCTCGATTTCTCAGTTATGAAAGTGTTGATTTTTTGCAGAATATTTTCACTTTGCGGATTACACTTATGCAATTTTTTCCTACCAAGGAGAAGAGAAATTGAATAAGTAAAACATTGAATAATAAAAACTATTTATAACACTGTCATTTTGGTTCGCAGTGTTATAAAGTTTTTGGTCAGAAATTTATCGAGAAGGTTCAAGCCTTTTTAGATTTCATTTTGTCCCAAGCTTTAGTGAGAGTCAAAATATAATCTATAAAGGCGAGAACCTTCAAGATATAAAGAAAATTTAGGTCCAAAAACTTTATAGCACGTCGTGCCAACACAATAGTGTTATCGGTAATTTTATGAAACGTTTCTGTACTTGTCTTATTTCAATGGCTATTTCTAGATCAAATAAGCTTTGAAACAAAGCAGAAGTCAAAATGTAAAGTTTATTTTAATTTTATTTTCATTTCAATTGAATAAAAATATTTTGGAAATATTTTGGATAAAATCCCGTAACCAATCAAAACTTTATAGTACATGTACTATTGTGCATGGATAATATCATCAACATAACCATCGGAACGCAGAACCTGGGCACCAGCTGAGTGTTCAGGATAACATTCTTCACAATAATCAGCAACTTGACAGAGACCAGCAAAGAGTTGATTGCCGGAAGATTTAACTCCGTAGATGAGAGTAACGACGACCATGACGACTGTAGGTTGATCCGGATCACAACTAATTTAACATTATAGCACGATGATTACTTGATACCACGTTCATTATGAAATTCACGATGAAGTGAGTACCAATGATAAAGTACACAATAGTTTCATAAAGGTCTCAAAATTATATGACTATTATTTTATATTTCCATGCAGTGTATTGAATTAAAATTATTTAATAATAAAAAAACGCATAAGATAATTGATGAATGATATTTTTACACTTCTTATAGTCTAATTTAAAGGTTGTGGGAATATGATGGACCAGAGCTGGGAACTTTTGTGTTGGATGTTCAAAATCACGATCACTTGATCTCGATACTCACAGTAGGCATTTTCAATTTAAGGATCTTTAAAAAACTATAGCTTTCCATATATCTTCATTTCAGTTATTTCTTCCCTGAGCAAAGCTTTCTTCAATCCCTGTCTGGGTAAAACGATCACAATGAAACCAATCTGCAGATTAATGAAAGATTGAGATCATGCATTGATCTCCATAACCATATATACAAGAGCTTTTACTGATCACGAAGTATGCTATGATAATCAGAAAACTCTGGAATAATAAGACGACTTTGTAACGGAGTTCAAAGTACGTATTTTTAACAAAGAATGCTAGAACATGGTTGGAATCAATTATCTCTTTATATGGGAACTCTGCTGGGTGTTTAGATAAGCTAAAACTTCTTTTTTGTAAAGATCACAAACGAATGTAACAGATTTTTTAAGAACTGATATTTGTGCTTTTATGAATATTTAAAATGTATTTATATGTTTGTATTTTTTGTGAACAACCTGTGAACACTGTGTATTTTTACGTATAGGCTCAAGGTTAAGACTACGCCTTAAAATCTAACTTTGAAATCTTGAAAACATGATATAGACAGTTGTAGCCAACCCTTAAGCAGCTCCGGAGTTCCAAACCAACTCTGTACCATCAAATAGGGGATTTTATTGATACTTTGAAATCAGCTATCCAAATCCCGGATTCTATTTTAATAAGCTTTTAGCTGCTCCCCTACAGCAGCAGCCTTCTACAGTCCTGAACCAGAAAGCTCCAGGATCTAGGATTTATCTGCACCAGCTTCAAGCAGCTCCCTACAGAAGCAGCCTTCTACAGTTCTGCTCCAGACAGCTCCGTATTCTAAAGATTCATCAAAGCCAGCAGTTGAGCAGCTCCCCAAATCCCCCTACAACAATTAACTCCATACTTTGAATAATGCTCCATATATTCAGTCAAGTTTTTATCAATAAACATTTTCAAGCCCCACCACGTACCATTTAATTAGACTTAAGGTCTAATAACTTATAGACTAAAGTAATGACATTAATAACTCCAATAAACATGAGACACAGCAATTGTTTCATGTTAACAGACCCTATTAACTTAATAAGTGATTTAATAAGTTACTTGCATAAAATTTGCTTTGGAACACCATCAAATACACAAAAGTATAACTATAATGTCATCTTTTTATTCCACAGGTTTTTGATTATCACTGTAAGTAATTTGGATTTTCTGAATTAATATTAGCATGTCCAAATTCTTCAGGTTGACACAAAGACAATTTATCCTATTTTGAAAATATTTAAACCATAAACGAAGGAGGTTCGGAGGTATGTTTAATAAGTTTTGCGAGAAATGTTTTAAAGGTACTTAATTCTGCAAGAAACACTTGAAATATTTTCATGTCCCATTCCGATTTTACACGAACTATTAAATACAAGATTGAATAATTTATATGTCTAAGGATTCAACCATAACATTATTACTGAAATGATAAACTATAAGTTATGTGATGAATTATGATCAATGTCCCCTATTTTTACATATTTTTTCTTTTGTGAAACTATATGATCAAAATATCTAAACAAATTTAAACTACACCATTAATATATGTATGTATATCTTTGTGTGTGAATAAATCTTTATAATAATAATAATAATAAACGTCATAAGTCATAACAGTTGAACCTATCATGTGTCATGCATGGAGCGGTCTCCTGCATGGGGCGGTCTCATGCATGGGGCGGACTCCCACTGAAATTTTAACCATTTCAACACAATGTTAGACATAAAAAGCAATGTTATGACATTTTCCGATAATTATTAATGCATTTTGATTTGCAAAAAAAAAACATTAAAAATGATCTATGCCTCCAGTAAATATTAATTGTTCGATGATTTGAAATTAAAGGGACAGTAAAGGAAAAATGAAAGGGGGTATAGGCTGAAAGCTTATCACTTTAGCTCTTGATCGCGACCCATGAAAGTTTTATCTGAATTTTCTGTCTCAAGAAATTGATATAAAACTGTGTTAAAATTATACGAAAATTCAAATATGCATAATTTAGAAAATCTTAAACTTAAATCACGTGACCAGAAATATCACCAATGGCAGAGCAGTATACTGGTCACGTGTGTCCGCCTGTATCACGTGACCACTTTACTGCACTAACATTGGTGGAATTCTGGTCAAGTAATACGGACGTAAAAATAATATTATGAATTAAATCTATTGAAAATAAAAATAACAAATATAAAAGTAAACCTAATTTACAATTAGCTTTCTCTGGGATATCATCGTTTTCAGATTGGTTGCTTATTTGCTGAATATGATCTGTTTAAACCCACTACTATTATACAAAATTGTATTTATATTAATTTTCGTATATATTTGACACAGTTTTATATCCATTTCTCGAGATAAAAGCATCAGATATAACTTTCATGGGTCGCGATCAAGAGCTAAAGTGATCAGCTTTCAGCCCATACCCCCTTTCATTTTTCCTTTACTGTCCCTTTAAGACGGTATTCAAGAGAAGATCACTTTGTTGCCTTTACAGTCTTTGAAATACATTTAAGAAGTAAAAGCGTATTTAATATATGTCAACTAATAATATTTAATGTTTTAACATTTCTTTTTACTATTGGTATTTATTGGTATGAAATTTACAAAAATATACGTATTTTTAGGTTTGCATCAAACTTTTAAACTCGAAAAAATACAATTTTTAAGTAAAGAAAAAAACCTAGATAATTCGTAAAAATACGTAAAATAAAAACCTAAAAACTTGGAAAAATTTATTTGTAAGAAATTTACGAAAATATACGTATTTTTAGGTTTCCATCAAACTTTCAAACTTAACAAAATACAACTTTTTGACAAATTCCATAAATTTCTTAAATCCATATTCATTGATATTAATTATTTTCAATCCAATCCAATATTCTGTCTACAGAAATTCACACCATCAACATTCCTTTATCTGCATCCATCTAAATCAACATTCATATATGCATTGTCTGTATTTTCAACAATTACTTATTCAATATGTATTTATACAATTACCATTTTACCTGTTACAGCTTACAAGACTGTCAAAGTAAAACTTCTTTTTATCAAAAAATCGAGAATTTACTGACATTGATTCTAATGAAAACATCAATTAAATTTCTTACAGAACAATTCTCTTAAAAAGAGTACAAATTATTTTCAAATTCTAACTTATAAAAATGAATTTTTGCGCAGTTGAGGTTTCGTGAATATATTGACACTTAGAAAAATTACTTGGTATGAAATTTATAAAAATATACATATTTTTAGGTTTGCATCGAACTTTTAAACTCGAAAAAAATACAATTTTTTAAGTACAGAAAAAACCTAAAAAATACGTAAAAATACGTAAAATAAAAACCTAAAAACTTTGAAACATTTCTTGGTATGAAATTTACGAAATTATACGTATTTTTAGGTTTGCATAAAACTTTTAAACTCGAAAAAAATACTATTTTTTAAGTACAGAAAAAAACCCTAAAAATACGTAAAAATGCGTAAAATAAAAACATAAAAACTTTGAGATATTACTTAGTATGAAATTTATGAAAATATACGTATTTTTAGGTTTGCATCAAACTTTTAAACTCTAAAAAAATATAACTTTTTAAGTAAAGAAAACCCTTAAAAAATACGTAAAAATACGTAAAATAAAAACCTAAAAACTTTGAATTTATTGGTATGAACTTTACGAAAAGATAGGTATTTTTAGGTTTGCATCAAACTTTTAAACTCGTAAAAAATACGTAAAATAAAAACCTACAAATTAAAATGGTAAAAAGTATACTTAATTTTTCATATAAATACGTTTCTGGAAAACCAAAGCATTTGAAAAAATTGCTTGGTATGATAAATACGTAAAAATACGTAAATATACGTAAGTTCTTTAGTCAAAAGTTGACCATACGCATTTATACGTAAAAATACCTATTAATACGTATACCTACATATTTTTTTGTTAATTTAAACTATTTTTATGTTTATTTAAAACATTTCTGTGAAAATTTTTATCTAATTAATTGTTTTTTGTTCGTTTTAACTACTTTTTGTCATTTTCATTTGAAATATTTTTTTCTCATTTGAAAGCTATAAAAAATTTAAAAACTGAATTGCAGTAGAAAAATAGTTCAAATGGAGCAAGAATGAAAAAATGTGTTGATTTGAACTACATGTTATGACGTCATGTCAGCAGTTCAAATGAACAATAGTTCAAACGAACTATAGTTCAAACGGGAGTAGTTCAAATGAGAACCAATATACAGGGTGTCCCACATCATATTAGACCGTCAACGGGTCTAAATTGCGATTTTCGGGACTAATAAGAAAATTTAATTCGAATAAATCAATTTGAAAAATAACATAAGGCTTATATAAGAATTTTCTTGCGGAAAATGATAAGTTCTTCGAGTATTTAGGGTTTATTTTGTCGTTAAAGATTTGAGATAATCTAATATGATATGGGACGCTCTGTATGTAGCATCGTTTCTAATCATTTATTAACTGATTGATTTTATTTTAAAGTAAAGACGAGAACTAACTAAGAACAGTATAAACAGCGGCAGAACAGCGCAATTCACGTAATAATTTAGAACTAAATATTAAAACAGGGAAGACAGATCTTTCTGGAATAATGTTTCTGAACTTTCCCCTAGCTATATTTCGTCAGATTTTCCAAGAATTTATCTCATTAAGTTTGTAGTTTAGTGGTAAAAAACCACGGGTAATTTCCTAGAGAACGATTACATGGACAACTAGGAGTAGGAGATACACAGGATAGATATCTACCAACCCAGGTATACATGGACAACTAGGAGTAGGAGATACACAGGATAGATATCTAGCAAACCCAGGTACACATGGACAACTAGGTGGGGGGGTCCAAAAATCGTTCACTAGGACAGACCCTATGTATATAATTGAAAGGAGGGGAGGGAGAGTGGGGGTCCAATACGTTCACTAAGACAGAACCAAACCACGGAAATTTAGGAGAGATTGGTATAATTATTTTATATCCCTATCAATTTTGAACATGGATCTCATATGTAACACAGAGAATAATGTGGTCATGTGGGCCGCAGCGCCAGCCTCCTACCCTGTCCTAGCCGCGCCGATCGGCCCTCTAGGCTGTCCTAGACGCAGTGCTCGGCCCCTCGGTTCAGAAATTGTCCCAACCTAACCTAAACCTATAATAAATAATAATATTTTTGCTAAAAAGTAAGTCGTCATGTACAAAATTGATAGGAGGGGGCGGGGGTCCTAAAATCGTATACTAGGACGGATTCAAGTTAAGTAACTTGAAGCACTCTGAACTGGCTCACCTACCCCGAGTAATCACCCCTGCATAGTCTGTCATAATTCTGTGTGTTACATATTTTTATCTATTCCTGTACAGATAAGATTTTGAACGATGAATGAATTTCACTGAAAATTAAGATACTTACAGGTTTCGCTTACTTCCCAAAGAACGATTTTTGGACTCTGCCCACCAGAAATGTTTTGTTGAAATGTTTTCATATTCTAAATTGATAATGGGTGGGTCCGATAATCGTATACTAGGACGGACCACAGGTTTCATCTTATTTTTGTTGTTTATAGAAGTGTTAAAATGTATAGTTGGGGATCAGCTAGTAATGGTGAGCTAGGTCAGGGAGGAGTAGAGGACGCATATATATCTATCCCAACCATTGTAAAGAAACCAGACATCAAGGTATATCAGTGTAATATTATCTCAAATAATCACTGAGTATATTAAGTATCTTATCGCGTATTACAATTATTTAAATAATAATATATTTGAAGGTTTTCGCTGCAGATAGATCGGGAAAATAATCTGAAATTTTTTATGGTTTTTTTTAGTGTCGTATAAAATGGGTTAGGAGGGCGGTGGACTTTCCAGTTGTTATCACATTTAACCCCCCCCCCCCATATCAACTTAAAAAATCATTTCGATCCGGATAATAGAATGCATTTGTATACGCGTAATGGAATGAATTCAAAAGAACTAATTGAAAGAAATGATAATTTATTAAAGACTCCTTTTGACCCAGTTTTGAATTCTGCTTGGACCGAGTTTAATGAATTTAAGCTATGATGCAAATCTACCTAACCCCGGTTCAACTACTTGTCTGTAGTGCTGCCGTGTAGTTTAGATCTTTAAGACATGAATCACCGATTCAAGATACGCAGTTTACACCGCCGCCTCTAGATTTAGCTCAAATTCATTGAATCCGGTCCATGGACAATTATACATGTGAACAATACCAATCAACTTAATCGTTTTTAAACATAATATTTAATGTTAATATTTCAGCCGAGCAGTATATCAATTGGTGGCCGGCATTGTTTAGTAATAACGGAGACTGGCGAACTCTACAGCTGTGGTTCAAATGATTTCGGCCAACTTGGCCGGGAGTCCAGTCAGACTAGACTAGAGCTGGTACTTTCTTGTTTCTAAATTTTTAAATCCAGAGAACTTTTTGTTATTTCTAATAAAAATTGTAGGTCTTGTCAATTTACAGATGGTTAAAGTATTCCTATATTTTGTTTAGGTCACGGCATTATCTGAGTACACAGTTCGAAGTATATCTGCTGGATCAAACCACTCCCTGGCTGCAGATGATTGGGGGAGTGTTTTCAGTTGGGGGAGTGATGAATACGGTCAACTGGGGCACAATCAGGGTTCACAAACACTCAGGTAATGATGTAGACAATTCGGATCAGGTTCTTGGAATCCATTGCATTTGGATCCAGGATTAAAAATAGAATTCGGATACAGAATTAGTATTTGTGAATGAAAATAGCGATACGGATCCAATTCTTTAGTAAAGTGGACCCGGAATACGTCGAAAATCTTCGTAAAATACATATCGCATTGTACTGTGAACACACTTCTAAAAAATGCTTGAAATTTATTTAATAAATATTGTGCCCCGTGAGTAGGGATGTTAACGTTTTCATTTTTCAGAAAAACGATCGTTTCGTTATGAAAACGACGACGAAAAATCGAAAACGAAACGATCGTTTTTAAAAACGATCGTTTTTTTTAAAAGTTAGTTTTTTAAAAGTAGTCGTTTTTAAAACGATCGTTTTTCAAAACGCGCGTTTTTAAAAACGATCGTTTTTCAAAATGATCGTTTTTACAAAATTCGTCGTTTCGTTAACGATCGTTAACGACGACCCTTCGTTAACGATCGTTAACGACAACCTTCGTTAACGATCGTTAACGACGACGCTTCGTTAACGATCGTTAACATAATTTTCAATAAAATTTATTTTCAAAAACGATCGTTTTTTCGAAAACGATCGTTTTTTAAAAACAATCGTATATAAAACGGTCGCAAATCGTTTTAATAAAAACGATCGTTTACAAAAACGATCGCTATTCGTTTTCTATAAGTTCAAAACGAGTGGGTCGTTTTTAAAAACGATCGTTTTTTTTTCCGAAAACGAAACGATCGTTTTTGAAAACGAAACAAAAAACGATCGTTTTTGAAAACGAAACAAAAAACGATCGTTTAACGATCGTTTAACGATCGTTTTCAAAAACGATTAACAACCCTACCCGTGAGATAATTAAACGTGAGTATTGATAAATATCTGTGATATCGTGAATGTATTTGGTTTTACCAGTCATTTCTTTCTTCAAAATATTCTTTTATTCATAAAGAAAATTTAGTTATGTTTTTGAACATTAATTTATTTTTTGGCTTAATAAAGTTTTTTTTAGAGTTCCTCGTCTCATCAAGTCACTGGGAACAATTAAGGAAAGAAAAATGTGTTTACTTTTAACCTGTCGTTTCTTGTTTCTAAGTTTAGTTTAACTAATGATAAAGCAAAGTTTTAATTTAAGATTCCCAGTTCCATTATCTGTTAAAGATAATTTTCGAAGATTAAGATGGAGGAAAAAGTGTTTGTTTGTTTGACCATTATTTTCTGCAGATTTTTTCATCTCTGTATTAACGCATTTTCTTGGTTGAGTTAGATCGATCTTGTATCTGCTGGAATGTATCACAGTGCTGTACTAACAGGTATTCCAGACGCAATAAAGAGACACGTCGAAACATTTAAATTAAAAGGAAGTTTAGCTCATACTGATAGGATTGAAATGATTTCCTTTTATTAGTCAACTTTGAAGATTTTTGACATCTTATTGGTCTTTTCACAACCTTTTAAAATCAAACTTGTAGATTATGCTAATTGGAATTGTGTAATGCGTTATTACAGATTATTGTTAAGTTAAAAGCCAGAAACCCTGAATGTTCAGAATAACGAAACAATATCCAATATCCACGAAAGTCACCATTTTGATCGTTCTCAAATTTTCGCGGTTTTTTTAAAAGTGCGTTTAACTAAATAATTTTCCTGGTAATATGCTTTAGCTTCGACTAGCCATAAACCTTCCCTGGGGGGTCATAAAAGTTAAAAATTTGGACTCTGTCGGCTCGGCCGCTTTGACGTTAATTGGTTACAAACGGACAGACAAATAGAAAAGCGAAGTATATTTTAATATTATTAATTAGCTGGTGGACAGGTGTATAGCTGGGGAAATAACAGTAAAGGACAGCTAGGTCTAGGACAGGGAGCAGATCACGTGTTCAACCCAACCCTAGTCGAGTCCCTAGCAGGGGTCCCCCTTGCAGGACTCACATGCGGAGGTAACTTTTTGTTATTTTATTTTTGATTATTGTAGATAATTTTTACTGTTTTGACCATCATCACTTTTAATTGGGACTTGTTTAACAATCAGCTTAAATTAATTGATCATCACTTATTAGTTATTGATATCACTAAAAACACTTTAACTTTTCGTATTATAAACTTTATGTTTGTTAGGTATGCATGTATGTATGGGTGTAAGGGTGTACGTATGTATTTATGTATTAAAAGGTTTAAAATTTTAAGGAAACCACACCCTGGTTGTTTCTTTAAGTGGAGCGGTCTTCTCTTTTGGTTCTAATACACATGGACAACTAGGAGTAGGAGATACACAGGATAGATATCTACCAACCCAGGTATACATGGACAACTAGGAGTAGGAGATACACAAGATAGATATCTACCAACCCAGGTATACATGGACAACTAGGAGTAGGAGATACACAGGATCGATATCTACCAACCCAGGTATACATGGACAACTAGGAGTAGGAGATACACAATATAGATATCTACCAACCCAGGTATACATGGACAACTAGGAGTAGGAGATACACAGGATAGACATCTACCAACCTAGGCATACATGGTTAACAAGGAGTAGGAGATACACAGGATAGATATCTACCAACCCAGGTATACATGGTCAACTAGGAGTAGGAGATACACAAGATAGATATCTACCAACCCAGGTATGCATGGGGAACTAGGAGATACACAGGATAGATATCTAGCAAACCCAGGTACAGATGGACAACTAGGAGTAGGAAATACACAGGATAGACATCTACCAACCCAGGTATACATGGTCAACTAGGAGTAGGAGATACACAGGATAGATATCTACCAACCCAGGTATACATGGTCAACTAGGAGATACACAGGATAGATATCTAGCAAACCCAGGTACACATGGACAACTAGGAGTAGGAGATACACAGGATAGACATCTACCAACCCAGGTATACATGGTCAACTAGGAGTAGGAGATACACAGGATAGATATCGACCCAGGTACACATGGACAACTAGGAGTAGGAGATACACAGGATAGACATCTACCAACCAAGGTATACATGGTCAACTAGAAGTAGGAGATACACAGGATAGATATCTACCAACCCAGGTATACATTGTCAACTAGGAGTAGGAGATACACAGGATAGATACTACCAACCCAGGTATACATGGTCAACTAGGAGTAGGAGATACTCAGGATAGACATCTTCCAACCTAGGCATACATGGTTAACAAGGAGATACACTGGATAGATATCTGCCAAGCCAACCCCGGTATACATGGACAACCCCCGGTATACATGGACAACTAGGAGTAGGAGATACACAGGATAGATATCTACCAACCCAGGTATACATGGACAACTAGGAGTAAGAGATACACAGGATAGATATCTACCCAGGTATACATGGTCAACTAGGAGTAGACACAGGATAGATATCTACCAACCCAGGTATGCATGGTCAACTAGGAGTAGACAAAGGATAGATATCTACCAACCCAGGTATACATGGTCAACTAGGAGTAGACACAGGATAGATATCTACCAACCCAGGTATACATGGTCAACTAGGAGTAGACACAGGATAGATATCTACCAACCCAGGTATACATGGTCAACTAGGAGTAGACAAAGGATAGATAGATATCTACCCGGGACAAAGGACGTAATTTAAGTGATCTAACATGACAAACATGATGGAGTTATTCCTGTTTTCTAATGAAGTTTTATTTGCGGTTCAGAAACTGCGTTTTTTTTGCAATAGAAAATTAAGGGAATTTAGAGACTTTTGAATATGTTTTTCAGTCATAAACATAACTAAATCTTCCTATTTAAGGTTTGATTAAGGTATAAAGGGTACCATTGTAAATCGGACATGGAACGCTGTAGATGTGGGTTGAGTTGAAATAATGTAGGCATTCCTTTAATAATTATATATTTTAGATTCGAACCCTCCGTAAACAGAACATATCGCCTGCTGGTTTAGTTACGTAGGCCAGTCCCTTTAATAATTGTATATTTTAGATACGAACCCTCCGTAAACAGAACATATCGCCTGCTGGTTTAGCTGCAGGAAAATATACACTTTACTTTCAAATAAATCTTAAGCTAATTGTTACAACATCAAAAAATTATTCTTTTTCCTCTTAGGGATGAATTTAACAATAAATACAAATTTTGCTATTTTATTTTGTTAATCCGTTACCCCAGGGAAGTTTATGGATGCTCAGAATTAAAAAAATGGTCTCCAAAATTGATATCGTTAAGTATTGGAAATCAATGAAAAAAAATTGTAAATCCGCAAAATTTTTATTTCTAATTTATCGAAGATAAAATGCCGAAAGAATTAAAAGTTTAAATGGAAGATGGGGTCAAAAATCCTAGGAAGTGCATATTTATCCAGGATCTGAACACAGTATAGCTCTTACCAGTGATGGTGGAGTATTCACCTGGGGAAGCAGCCGCTGCGGTCAGCTCGGTCACGGGACCACTTCTTCAGAGATTTTACCTAGGCGGATTCTAGAACTCATGGGAACTCTGGTCACACAGGTAGAAAGAAGAAACTGTCGCATGACCACTACACGGTGGACAAGGGTGTACCGGCCTTATTGACGCGCAGCAAGTACCGCCCCTCCCCTATTCTATGTCGGCCCGGTTTCAACTTTGATGGTGCGGCCAGACTTTTTACAGTACCAGGCCTATCATCTACGGCCATATCATGTTGATAATACCAGTTCTTGTCTGATCACTTCAGTTAAGCAACATTGAACTGAGTTAGTACTTGGATGGGTGACCGCCTGGTAATACTCAGTGGTGAAGGCATTCACTTTTTACCGAAATTGGGCTCATCTTTACCTGTTGAGGATTTCATAAACAACATTTATCACATAAACAAACTCTGCGGAGGTGTGAACCGTATACTTTAAGTACTTTTGAAGCATCCTCTTTATTTATCCCCTAGTATCCAAGCTTTTAAGACATACACACTGAATCCAAAACACATTCAGGCCAGAACTGAACCACTATTTTCCATATAGACCAGGGCAAGTAGAGGAGCTCAACTCTATTTTCATTGTATTTCAATCAACAGGTCGTTTACTTTGTCTGTAGGTGGATTGTTAATAATAATAATTATAGGCCTATTTTACCTACTTATTACCTTAGTTTAGCGTGGCTAGTACCTCCCAGACATATTCAATAGCTCATTGAGCTCTGGTCACACAGGTAGCAAGAAGAAACGGTCACATGCCCACTAGTACCTCCGAGACATATTCAATAGCTCATTGTAACTCTGGTCTCACAGGTAGCAAGAATAAACGGTCACATGACCACTAGTACCACATAGACATATTCTAGAACTAATGGGAAATCTGGTCACACAGATAGCAAGAATGAACGGTCACAAGACCACTAATACCACTTAAACATATTCTAGAACTCGGAGAGAACTCTGGTCACACAGATAACAAGAATAAACGAGTACCTCCTAGACATATTCTATAGCTCATTATAGCTCTTTTTGGTAACATTGGAACGGTCTAAGCTAACTGTATTCTGCCTGAGCTGGGAACTTTTGTGTTTGATGCTCGATATCCACTTGCCGGACATTGAGGATCTGTAAAAACTATACCTTTCCATATTTATATTTCAGTTATTCCCCCCCCCCCCTTGATCAATGCTCCCTTTAAAGCGACGTCTTTTAAATGTTCAATATCTCCGTCAATTTTTAATATACAAAGAAGGCAGACCACATTTGGAAAGCTTATAAGACATGTACAGTGACAGTTGATTTTTTATTTGATTTTTTTATTACATTATATAAAAGAATTTCTTTTTTAAATATTTGACTTTTAAACTTGAATAAAAACTTCTTTGATAAAGACTCTTTATTTTGATACAACTTATTAACCATCGAAAATCGAAGACGATTTTCCAGTCGTCTCTTAATTCCCATGTTTATTGGGACCCCTCTAAATTGACGAGTTCTCTGTGTAGGTAGCAGCTGGTGACCGGCATACACTAGCACTAGTCCCTACCAGGAATAAACTTTACGCTTTTGGAGTAGCTGGTTCAGGTTGGTTGATTGATTAAAGGGACTGTAAGCGTAATTTCAATTGACCCTCCATGCAAAGTGAAGAACGCTGATTTATAACGGTACCCTTAAAACCTGTGTGTGCTCGTTGAGTACAGAAATATGGTTATGTTACATCTTCTATACGCAACATCCCCCCTACTGAACTTCTGACCTACTAACTTTCCCACCTACTGCAATATCAGACATACGCCAGCTGTTTATTTTTGTACTATTTGAGGGTTAGTTTAGGTTAAGACAATTTCTGGGCCGAGCGCTGCGACTTTGACAGGCTAGGGGGCGGGGCGCTGAGGTCAAAAGTCCATGTAGCAGCTATAAAACCACGTATTAGTAGGTCGGATGTGTAGTATAGCGGATTTGGTGTAAGTCAGAAGTGTAGTGTAGCGGATTTGCGTATGTCGAAAAATACACCATCCATCTATACTCGACAAACACATAGGGGTTTTTGGGTACCGTTGTAAATTGACCGTTCCCCGCTTTGCATGGAGGGTCACTTGAAGTTACGCTTACAGTCCCTTTTACCTGCAATTACGGAGGTTGGTTGGTTTGTTATTTGGCAGGTTGGCTACTTCCTACTGAAGTTTTTTTGGAGTTTTATTCACTAAATGAAATTTTTGGGTTAAAGCCAGTATCAATAAGGGTAAACTACTTGGGTTTTATGTCTAATTTTTATTTTTATTTTCTCCCGAAGTATCGAAAATCATTTGGTGGTTGGGTTTGTGGTGGAGTTTTGATGCTTTAAGTTCTTGTTTTACTGTCCTTATTGTTTGTTGCTCTGACCTTTATGTCCTGGAAATTGTTAAAATAGAACTATTGAATTAGGACAGCTAGGACGAGGACGGCAGAATAATCAAAATTCAACTCTACCTCAGGCATCAAACTAATCCTAATCTTCATTAATTAACTAAAGGGAGTGACCGCCAATGTATGGTAGTTAAACTGAGGAAGTAGTATTGTGGAAAAAAATTTAGGATTAATTTGAGACATATAAAACGTTTTAATCATGTACAATTACTGAGTTTGAGCGCAAAGTGGACGTTCAAAATCGTTCAATTTTTGGAACGTTTTGAGAGTCGATTTAAAAAAAATATTAAATATCAATGGAAGTTTCCTCAATAAGTCAATGTTAGAATCACTTTTTTTATTCATCAATATATTGAATTTCTTGTTCTTTCTGAATTTTTTCACAGATTTCTACAAATTCTTCAAGTGTCGTCTTTTCAATCAAAATTCCAGGAAATCTGCAGAAAATGTTTGTGAATTAGATATTATAGAAACCAATAACTGAATAAGATTACTTATTTTCGATTATAATAGTTAATTTTTCATTTCACAACCTAGGCTCCTTAACAACTAATTGGTTTACTGTAGAATTTGTACTACATTTTCCGTTGCATCGTTGTTTAATAATTTTTAATAATAATATTTAATTTTTAATAATATTCTCAAAATCATCCCTCTAAAATGAACAATTTATGAGGATTCTGAAGATTGAATTTGCTCTCTTGCTGAACATATATGCACCGTAAAAACGTCTGATAGGTCTCAGATGACTAACAAAGGACTTGAGTCTATGTCTCAAACTCAAATTTTCTAATCCTTATATCTTAGCAACTTGATGATGCAAACCTTTGATATTTCAAACTTAGATTTTTTGATCTACCAGAATTCATAGATTGAAATATCTAATGTGTACAGCATTGGGTTGCAAGGATATAGGAATTAGAAAATTTGAGTTTGTAGCAGAGACTCAAATTCTTTCTCAACAATATTACATTCTCAGTTCAAATACCATACATTGTTGGTCACTCCCCGTGATTTATAGAATGAATGGCATGTCTAATTTAATTTATTGATGAATATTAAAGAAATATTGGTTTTAAATCATGGAGCTATGTATTTAATATTATTATTAAATATTGTTAATATAATTTTCAGTGAGTGAAGTATTCTTAATTTTTTCTCAGAAAATTGTTCTTTTATGTTTTTAAAATTACTAGCGGATTTTTCCTGCAGAGAACATGAATGCAACTGTCAGAACTTGACACCTAGGGTCACTTGACATTTCGTTTCTAGTCCCTTAAAAGAGGCAAGAATATATCAGATTTAGGGATTTGAAATGATGTTTAGAGCTTTGATTTTGTTTGAAATTACCACTTCAAAAGTTGATTATTCTAATTTTGAATGAAAAATACGGAATTAAAGAAATCTTCACATTATTTTATAAATGCTCTAGCTTGATCATTGATCCTTATTTCTAGGCCGGCTATCATGGAGCTTCTCGCCCGTTTTCTATTTCAACTTGCTGACCAATCTTTCAGCATTTTCTCATCGATTTGGCGGATTTACAATTTTTTTCCTGGATTAAAAGTGAAAATCATAAAGTTTTTGAGACAAAATTTTGTTAGTCTGAGCATCCACAAAAAAATTGGGTCCGATCGGCTCAGCTGTTTTGACGTTTATCGGTTACAAACAAACAAACAGACGGACAAGCAAAGTATACTTTGATTATAAGTGGATTAGGATGAAGCTGAACTAGATTGTTAGCGGAGATATAAACTGTCGGACAGGATTTATTTCAGCAGGAGGAAACTCCAGCTGGCTAGCGGTCACAGACAAGGAACGGAAACATTACATCCAATGCTTGGGTCCAGATATCCGAGGTTCAGATCCGGACCCAAGTGCTTTGGTCCGGATATCCGAGGTTCAGATCCGGACCCAAGTGACAAAATAGCAACCAAAACATCGTATTAAGTGTTAAATACTGAAATTCTTTAAAATTTTCCTAACTTAGTTTTTACATAAAAATCAGGATTGAAAAGTATATTTTATTTTGAGCAAAAATAAAATGTGTGTATTTTTTTCATTTGGAATACGGCAAACTTAGTTAACTTAAAAGAAATTCTTAAAAATTTATTTGGTTAGCTTTTTTACGTACAAGACAAGTATTTGAGGGCGTACTTAAATAAGATTATTTAGCGCAATTTGAGAATTTTGACGTTTTAAATTTAATGTTTCTGAAACTAGGAGAAAAGTCAGTTGGATCAAGACCCATCAATAAGAAGGCTAAATCAATCCTTACTTAAGAAAATATCAGAGATTAAAGAAGATGAACTTTTAGATCAGGTAAATAAAGTTTGGAATAATTTTGTGGGGGGGGGGGGTATCTAGGAAAATATAATGTTTATTGAACTTCACTCTTTTTGGATGGTGAGGGAAGGGGGAGATAGGAAAGGGCTTAATTGTGCTCATAAAAAAAAGTTTTGATATTTTTAGGATTTATTGGAAGAGGTTGAACTAATATTTTCAACATTATCCTGTATTAATGCATCATTACTAACTCCTACACACAGTGGTTGCAGGTAGCGTATTCTTAGTCTCAAAGTTTACTATAATACTTGATTTACAACGATACCTTTGAAACCGTTTTCTGTTCAATAGTGGGGATAATGACGTCGGTTTTCTAGCTGAAAAATTGGTTAGTTAAAAGAATTTCTTTGAAGAAAAACCACAATTGAAAATAATTGATTGTCAAAATTATTGACACGGATAACTAACTCATTCTTGATCAGATCAAGCTTTACAGAGTACCGGTGTGCATCGAACACGTCACTTTTAATTTAACAACTTGAAATTATGCCTACACAAACCTTAAGAATATGAATACAGTTTGGAAATTAGTCCAAGGAGAGGATTTTTATTCAGCAATAAGAGATCAGTATTTTGGCGATCAGCTGAACCATGACAATATTCATAAAGCTAATAAGAGAAACTCTCAAATTCTTATGTTTCGGACCGGTTTCTTTTAAAGAAATCAAGTGAAGATTATAAGGATTATGGATATGATCATTTTTATTATTATTATCATTATTATTAAGTGAAAGTAACCATGGTTCATTTTTATTAGTATTAGTAGTATTATTAATATTATTATTTTGAATTTTTAGTGGAAGTAACCATGGTTCAATTTTATTATTAATATCATCATTATTATTCAAGGATGGTTTCAGGATTTACCCCTTTATATTAATTTTACCCCCCCCCCCCATCCCCCTGTAATCTTATAAAAAAAATTGTAAAAAGTCTAATTTTGACTTTTGAGACTGTTAGTTTGAACTTCTTCGCTTTTACGTTATCTGAAAATGCAAAGATAAAAAGGGGATGGTGGAGATGTCCTATTTGATGAGGGGGGGGGGTCCCTGCCTTCATTTTTGGTTCAAATCTTCGAATTTTTAGCTTGACTTCTAATTAGGGATGTATTATCCAAAAAAAATTGGATACTAATGAACTCTTAATTACCTCTAATGACTTTTAATAACCTCGACATATAAAAAATGTTTATGACCGTTGATGACCTCGACAAAAAGAAAAGCTAGGAACTAGGAACTCTGGGAATACAGTAGCAGCAAATCCAGTGTTTGACCTTCTAATGACCTCTAACGACCTCTAACAACCGATAATGAAATTGAAAATGTTTTAACTAAGGCTTTATCATGTAAAACAGAAGCTAGGAACCCAGGCAATACAGTAGCAGCAAAGAAATCAGTGTCAGACCTTCTAATGACCATTAACGATCTCTAACGAACTTTCACTCGGGGGATGGGGCGAAGGACTGCCCCCCCCCCCTAAAAACCGCCTATGTTATTATCATTATTAATCTTATTGTTCTTTTTAAGTGGAAGTAACCCTGGTGTTGACTTTGCTGCTTGGAAAGATGCTTTCTCTACAATACAGAACTGTAAAAATGATACTATCTCGTCCGCAGTTATGTCAGGTCAACAATTCTGAATACAAGAACAGAAAAACATACTTTTTAATCTTTTGTTTTTGATTTTGATATTATATTTGGAATGGTTGTCCTAGTCATACTTGATAAAATATTGGTAATAGTTTTTACTTTCGACTTTTACTCATGATATGGGCCGGGATCCTAAAAACCCAGTGTTAGAAATGGGCAAAGTGTTAATTTTGGAACTGATGTCCCCTGAAGAGCGGAAAACAACTTTTTAAATATTTCGTTTTGTTTCCCTGGATTTAAGTTTTGTCAGTTTTTATTATTACATTTTAACGTCAAGAAAATTTACGAGATTTAAAACGATGATTGTGTCGTTTGTAAATATTTTGAATTTGTTTGTTAAACTTCGCCGAATGACAATTTAAAAAAAAATCTATCAAAAACAATTGTTAAATTATTAATGAATCCAGGTCTGTTGAGCTGCCTGGAACAAATAAAATTAAATCCACCTGACACTGAAGCTCTAAGGTCAATTATAAATATCTAAACTCGTATTTACAATAAGATTAATTGATTTATTTGTAAATGTAAAGGATTATGCACAGCTAAATGTGTGTACAAATCTTATAAACTACTAAATCAAACGAAATCAGCCTATTATACGAGGCCTTAAAGAACAATTAGCATGAAAATGAGAACTGACCATTTAATATTTAGATCGTCAATGACCACATAGCTAAAAATCCCGAAATTAAGTTGCGCTTCACCATTTTTTAAAGAATAGTTTTGTTTTTCACAATTTTTTTATTATAGATTTTTCCTGGTGTTTCCCTTACACAGTTCCATGATGGATCCTAGTTGTGCTATGGAGTTCCAGGTTCCATACGCTGAAAAACTTATGCTGCTTCAAGGGAACGCTGTTAAGGTATTTGGATCGTAATTTAAGCGTCTGAAGACCTAATCTCAAGTCACTCCATCTATAAAACTTCTTGTCCGATTTTAAACAGGTTTGTTTGATTAAAGTGTACTAGAAATTCATGTTTTTCTATTGTATGTTAATAATTTTTCAATTGTGGTTTCTCTAATAAAAGTTTTGTAGTTTTGGAGGAAATTGGAAATGCACTAAAAAATTGTCTCCAGGGTAAACTTTAGCCGGTATTTTGGTGCCACGTGCCAAATATCCCTGTTATAATAGGGAAAAAATGAATTTTGAGGAGCGTGGGGTTATATTTGAGGAAATACTCGTGGATTGATAAATCAGTGTCCGAATTTAATGATTTTGAGCCGTGTCTCAAATCCGCTGAAAACCGTTTTCAATTCAGCGCTGGCTTAAATCTTGAAACAATGAGTACGATTTTAAGTGGAACCAACCATATTTGAGCCGAGTCTCAAATTTAATCCGCGGCTCAAATTCTTTAAATTCGGCCTCAGAATACCAACTTTGTTGTCTAGGTTTTAGAGAAATGGTTCGGGAAGAGTCCTAAGGATTGGTTTCTAAACTTACTAACCTGCTACAAGGATGCTGCAGTACCATTCCTCAAACTCCTAAACCTGGAGAATATTGAAAGAATTAAAGTTCGAGCTCTATCTGTTATTCTTGTCTTCCTCACTTTTCTTTCAAGGTGAATCAAATAGATAAATTGCAGAGATTAGATTTAAGAAAATATATTCCCCTGTTTGTAAATTTTCCACGTTGAATATTCCAAATATAGCAAAGGTCATGCTAAATTGCATTGGTCGTCTTTAATATTATTTTGAGGGGAGCAAAGCGAACTTTAAACCAGACTTCTCAGGGGTGTTGATTTTTTAAAAAAAAATTTTTTCCACAAGCTTTTTTTCTTGGTTTATTTGCTAAAGTGAAGAAAAGAAATGATTCTTAGGGGAAAATCGATAATTTTTCAACGATTCAAAAATAATAATAATTTCTAGTTCCAAATTATTGTAAACAAAAAAACCTTCCCAACCGGGGGGGGGGGGGGATAATCTTAGACTGCTGCAAAACATTTATTTTGACCAAATATATGTTTGTGCCTGTCTCCCAGCCCAAATATGGGAAAATAGAAATCTTTATTTCAAAGGAAATAGAACTAGGGTGGTCAATGTGTACGGATTTTTTTTTCTAAAATGTACAAATTTTACGGCTTTATTCTTTGTTAAATAAGAACTTTTATTTTGAAAATGTACGGATTGTGTGTATATGTAATTAACTATCCAGGGTGAATACTGAGAGTGGAAATGTACGGATTGTGCGGATATGTATTTAACTATCCAGGGTGAATACTGAGAGTGGAAATGTACAGATTGTGCGGATATGTATTTAATTATCCAGGGTGAAAACTGAGAGAGGAAATGTACGGATTGTGTATATATGTATTTAATTATCCAGGGTGAATAGTGAGAGTGGAAATGTGTTGAGCTACGAAACCTTCTATATTCCCAATATTCATGAATACTGTGATCTCAAGCTTTCATATTTTAGTTGGAAAATGGCCAGGTAAATATTAATTATACAAATAGTATTAATTAGCCTTTAGGGACCCTCCCTCTATGTCCGATTTACAAGTGACTTTTAATGGAGTACAATGAAAGTGTTTAATTCTGTTCAATTGCTTCATTGTCACTTTTTTTAAGAACCCACTATTGAAAATAATTATTTATAAGCTAGATAAATAAAGATATCCCATTCATTCTTGGTTCGAAAAAGAGTGATAAGATACAGTTGTGAGTCAGACATGCGACTATGTATAGTAAAAACTATATAAATGGTTAATCAATAAATCAATTGATTTTTATTTTAACAATCAGTAATTAAATTATTCGCTAGAAAATCAACTGATAATTGACAAAACACATTATCTAAACAATTAGTAAATAAACAATCCTTTATAATTCATATCAATATTTGGTTCAAAAATGAAGAGCATACCAGATTAACAGGTTTATAAAAGCGCTTCACTTTTCTATCACAAAATGTTCAAAATATTCTTTATTAAGTGTTCAATATTCAATATTCGATATTGAATATTCGATATTCAATATTCAATATTCATACCAGATTAATCGTTTCTAGAAAAAAACTACCCTGAGATAATGTTAATAAAGTTCTCTGCATGAAAAAGAACAAAAATGTGTAAAACGAAAGCAGAAAAACAAAGAAAAAAGATAATCCAATTTGTAATATATGATTGTTTAGAATGCGGGGTCAGGACACAACTGCAGAGTTTTATATTTGTAATTTTCCCTTCATCTTCGATCCCATTGCCAAGGTAGGAACATATTTTCCTTTCATCACTACCGCCCCATCCCCTTTCTTTGTCTCCGTCCTCCCTTCATCCCTCTCCTCAAAAATCTTCTCAGCAACATCAACAAAACCTCGAAAATATAGTTTTGTTTCACCGAATGTTAAAACTGATATTTCATGTGTACGTAAGGTGTGGGGGGGGGAGGGAAATTGACTGAATCTCTTGAAAAACTCCTTTACCCAATTATTGGTTTATTCATTCAAAGCTACGAATATCTTGTCATTTATGTTAACATTAATTTATCGCCCAAACGGTGATTGGTTGATTGATTGGTTGGTTGATTGATTGATTGATTAATTGATTAATTGATTGATTGATTGATTGATTTATTTATTTATTTATTGATCAGGAGATTGTTCTGAGATCCGACCAGGAGTTTACTCAACAGATCGCTCAGCAGAATGCAGTCCAGGAATATATCAAGATCAAACATTTAAAAACCATGAATTTGTCATTCATTTGATATTCATTTGATACTCATTTGATACTCATTTGATACTCATTTGATACTCATTTTATACTCATTTTATACTCATTTTATGCTCATTTTATACTCATTTTATACTCATTTTATACTCATTTGATACGCATTTGATACGCATTTGATACACATTTGATAACGTTTGCTTACATTCGATACGCATTTGATACTCATTTGATACTCATTTGATACTCATTTGATACTCATTTGATACTCATTTGATACTCATTTGATACTCATTTGATATAACAAAAATAAAGTAACATGTATAAAATTTTAAATTCCTTTTATAACCTTTGACATTGATATTTGATAACCTTAAAGAATTAGTTATTCAAAATCTCCTCATTTTCCTCCATCATTGAGGTATCAGGGATATAAGCCATAATAAACTTTAAATACAATCTGATATAAAATTTGAAAGTTTGGGAAATTCATTTGGAAATTAATTTGCTCTTGATGAAATAAACATTTAAATTTTAAGTTAAAGATAAAGGTTACAACCTTAAAGTTAAAATACAATATTAAAATTTGAAAAAATGATGTTCCTGATATATAATCTGATATAAAATTTGAAAAAATGATGTTCCTGATATATATCGATTGTGTAGGACGCAATGTTCCAGATGATTGCTAGTGGTCAAGGGATGCTCAATCCGTTTCTGGAGATATTTGTCTCAAGGAACAATATAGTGCAGGGACATATTTAATCAACCATTCTTTTCTTTATATTTTAAATTTATTTTTAAATCGAGAGAAATTCTTCTTTCTTGAAAGCTCTTGAGACCTTTGAACTTTTACTTATAGCGATTTTTATTCATTATCCCTAAGCAAATGCAATTTTAAAGCTTAAAAAGTCAGAAATTGTTAATCCCTTTGTCAGTTTAGACATTTAAAAATTTTCAAATCTAAAAGATGAAACCGACCCTAAAATTCTAAAGCTATAAATTTCCCGTAGAGTTAAAAAGCATAACTCTGTCTCATATAAAAGGTCAAACGCATTTTAAATTTTTTTAAAAATTATTTATTTTTATTTTTTATAATGATAGAAATGAAAATGTTGTATGGATTTTGTATTGCTGGTATTTATGTGTCTGGTAAAGGATACAATTGCACAACTTCTCAACACTTTACATAGAAGAGAAAACTTTAAGAAACCTTTGCGCATCACATTTCACGGTAATTTTTATTTGGAAATTTTGTTTAAATTTGTTTAAATTTTGAATATTTTGAAATTTCAAAAATATTTCTCATTATTTCCTTTTACCACTTTATAACTACTTGCATAATGGGAAATAGAAATTATTTGTGAGAAAAATCTTGATGGGTCAAAATTTTTGAGGCAGAATCGGTCTATTCCAGCTTATGAATTCAATCTTTCGTCAATATTTAAACTGGCGTATATTTTCATAAAAAATTTACTTTGTTCCTTTTCTAAAATTTGTTTTCATACTTAAAATGCTGAGTATGTGTTTATCGTTAAATCGAAATAAAAGAATTTTTGGATTGGCCANCCCCCCCCCGAGCTGGAATGCCATTCCCATTTTTACTTCAAATTATTGTTTTTATAAGGATTCTCAATTTCTCCCTTCTAATTTATCTTTCATGATTAAAAAGGAGAAACCGGCTAAACGTGGTAGTTAGGTTGAGCTACAATACTTCATTGTCAACTTAACTACCATGTCTAGCCGGTCTCTCCATTTAAGGAGAAGAAGCTCAAGATGCTGGCGGCGTAACAAAGGAGTTCTTCCTTCTCCTCATGAAGGAGATCCTGAACCCTGACTACGGGATGTTCAAGGAGTACGAGGAGACCAACACCGTCTGGTTCAACCCGGCCTCCTTTGAAACCTCGGAGTACTTTACTATGATTGGAATAGTTTGCGGACTAGCGATATATAATTTTACAATAATAAACCTTCCTTTTCCTCTAGCTCTGTATAAGAAACTGTTAGAGGAGAAAACCGAAGGTAATTAAACTTATTAGCTTGAAAACCCAGGGTTGCCCTGGGTGATCATAGTTACTCCCGCCGTTTACCCGCGCTTGGTCGTAAATTACGATTTTAGCCATTTTTAAGAACAACATTCCTGTTTGTCATCAGAGTTTCCGATCAAAATTGGAGGCAAATCGGTCAAGGGGTTCCTGAGTTATGATAGGATATCCAAACTAACACACAACAATTCTTAAAAGAATATATCAAGTTATGAACGGGAAAAGTTATTGTAAATTGAAACCATTATCAATCAATGCAAGCTACAATTCATGCAATGTCTGTAAATGAAAAGATTATCAGAATGAATTTAATCTGTCCATTCTCATCATGAAACACAAAATATATGCATTTTAAGAGAAAGATTGTGACAACCCCCCCCCCCCCATGATCCCCCTAAATTACCCATTGTGCTGCATGGCCTCTCTAACACGTTAAACAAGTATGTTAGTTTTTTCTAAGTTTCTGAAGATCGTTCCTCAAAAATACTTCCAAATTGAACTTGTTCAAAACAAAATAATTTTTTTATTTAATAATAGAAATTTCTGATTTGGCTGATCTCTCTCCTACCGTTGCAAAATCTCTACAGGTCTGTATAGTCTAGCTTATACGAGTTAAGTGATAATTTTTCCCGGATTTTATTGTCTTTATTCAAGGATTTATTGGATTATTCTGAACCCGACGTTGAAGAAGTTTTCTGTCTAAATTTTACCATTACGGAGTCCTACTTTGGGGAGTTAGTGGCCAAACCTTTGAAACCAGGTAAATTTAGCATTTTTGGCTGAAAGATAAGAAATTTTCCGATTTTCAAGCACTAAAAAGTGCATTAACGATTTCCTTCTTTCGACCTTAACTTTTCTTCTTGTAGATTTCTACAGCACGATTGAGCATTGAGCAACTACGATTTTTTCAGTTTAGTTAGAAAGTTGGCGATTTTGAGCAACCTTTTCTCGGATATAGGTTTTAGCGGTGCTCTATTTTGAATCACTTCTGCCATATTAATTAAAGGATCGCTTAATTTGATATTTTTCATAAAATCTGTTAAAAAATAAACTGATAAAATCTGTTAAAAAAATAAACTGATAAATCTGTTAAAAAATAAACTGATAAAATCTGTTTAAAAATAAACTGATGAAATCTGTTTAAAAATAAACTGATAAAATCTGTTTAAAAATAAACTGATAAAATCTGTTTGAAAATAAACTGATAAAATCTGTTTAAAAATAAACTGATAAAATCTGTTTAAAAATAAACTGATAAAATCTGTTGAAGATGGAGAGAATGTGGCTGTAAACAATGAGAACAAGGTTGAGTACGTGAACCTATACGTGAACTACATGCTCAACTCCTCCTGCCAGGAGCAGTTCGAGGCCTTCAAGAAGGGTTTCCTCACAGTCGTTAACAAACAAGTTCTTCTACTCTTCCAGGCTAAGGTGAGGTTTTAAAAAGGTGAAATAATAATTTTTTTATAAAATAATAAAATCTTTATTACGGCCTATCCTGTAATATTGTTACTGTTAAGGAGCTGATGGCCCTGGTGATTGGTAATGAGAACTACGACTGGGATAAGCTGGAGGAGGGTTGTCAGTACAAGGAGGGATTCACCAAGGATCATCAAACTATACAATTCTTCTGGGAAGCTTTTAGGTAGGAGCAAACATGAATGTATACTTTCCAAAAAAACATCTCCCCCCCTGTAAGTAATTTATGAATTATGGGAATTAAATAATTTTTTGAGTAAAAAGTATCGAAAAGAAAGAAAATTCAAAGTGTCAACTGTCGATAGCAAGGTGGGTCAAGTGATTAATTTACTATTTGTATATCCTGAGACCATGTGAGTTGCCACAAAAATTGGATACCTGATCTTTTTTCTGTTTTGGTGATTATTGAATACAAAAAAACCAAGAGGCATACAAACAAGCCAGCCAAATATATATATATATATATATATATATATATATATACATATGTATTTCAGTTTTTAACTAAACATTTTTATTAAAAAAAGAATTATACTAAACATAATGTTTCACGTCTATCATGACGATCTTCAGTAGTTACAATTCTTTGAACAACTATATATGTATATATATGGATACAAAAATCTGAATGGAAAGGACCAAGTAATTTTCTTGTAATTTCTGCCAAAATCTTAAATAGGTCGTTTATTAATAATTTTAAATATTAGACTTCATTACTTCATAAGCATATGCTTCTGTAAATCCATTTTATATAATCCTTCAAGTAGTAACAAAATGTTAAGGATGTCCTTACAAAATGAAGAAGGGGGGCGGTTTCGGATTTTTTTTACAAATTCATCTAATTAGGGAGCTAAAGGAAGAAGAAAAGCGGAAGTTCCTTTTGTTTCTGACCGGAAGTGACCGTATCCCAGCACGTGGCATGGAGAGCGTACAGATCACCATTCAGCGTACCGGAGATGTAAACTGTTTACCTGTAGCACACACCTGCTTCAACCTACTCGACCTGCCGGAGTATGCTACTAAGGAGAGGCTCAAGTTCAAGCTTCGGCAGGCAATACTGGAGACCAAAGGGTTCGGTATTGTCTAGTTAGTTGTGGGACCAAGATTTATATTTTTCAGATCTAATATCATTCATCACTGCCTTAATTTCCAGTGTGTTCTACTTGTATTCTAGTTGACGAATGAAACTAAATTAGATTTTTCCGGAAATGTACCCTGGCCTTTACTTTGGAGATTAAACTGAATTAAAATAAACTAAAATTAAAGTTGTCTTTCAGTTTTACTCAGAAATTACTTAAAAAGATATATCCGTCATTTTGTTGCCTACAGATTTTGTATTATTGAGAGATACTGAAATTTATAATCTTTGCTTCTATGTATAGAATATGAAAATTCAACTTGTGAACTATTATATTGCAATTATTTTAAAACCAGATTTAAATGTATATCTATATAAAAACAGATAATATATTAAGAATACCAAGACATTCGAGCTTATTAGCATCAATGATAAAAAGACATCACATATATTTGGTCACAAATTATTTAGTTTGAAAAGCCGTTGTTTCTAGTTCAACATGTGTTACTTCTTATTAAACGTGCGTTACCCATAGTTAAATCTAGTGATTCTCAAGTTTATTATGTGATTTATTGTAATCCATTGCATAAAACACTTGTTACATAATGTGTTACTAAAATTACCTACAATCGTAGCCATATAACTCGTGATTTGAAATAATCTTGTTGGAAATTAAATTTTGAAAAGGTAAAAATATCGTCTTGATTGGATTGATGTAAACGCCGAACACTGTATTTCAGAGGAAAATACTAAAAATGATGACTGAGGTGGAGGATGGTGACCTGACCGGTACAGGTCAGCAGAAAGAGAGCTCCGGTCAGATCGGAAAAGAACTCCCACCTCCGGATGTCACCTCTCATGAGAATAAAAGAATATTAGGTTTGTATCAGTGATGGATGGGGTGCAGTGCCGCAATGAGCTACACGTATTAGGAGGCTCCGGAGGTCATTTCGCGGGGCTCATGGCGGCCCTGCACCCCTCCATCAGATATGGGTTGAAGAGTAGGAAGTCTGATTTGAATTATGGGAAGTGTGTGGAGATATCTTAAATATTAGTATTTGTGGGGCCCAAAAAGCTAATTAATAAGAAGACGACATTTAACATTCTTATTGGCCTTAAAAAGTATATTCTTTATTAAAGTTTCCAAATACTTGTAGGTAATGGTAAGGAGGCTTCCAACCTAAACACTAGCGATGATATAGGTAAATTTTTAGCACTATCACTTAGGGTACATATTTTGTAGTAATCCCCACGGGGGTAAAATTATTTTTGATAAATTGTGTGTGTGTGGGGGGGGGGGGGTAATGAAAAATTGGACATGATAAAGTAAGTTTTTTTCCATCCTTAATGATTACTTTTTCCAAAAAAAACTTATTTTCACTAATTCAGCAAAAAAAAATAGTTTAAAAGTAAATAATTTAATTGTATTTTATATATTTCTAGGAGCCTGTGATCTGAACGAAACTGTATCTGAAAATGAAAGCAAAGAACACAATTCTAGCACTGATGCTATTCATGGAGACTCAGGTTAATATTTCAACAGAATTAAAGGGACTGTAAGCGTAAGGGAGCATCCAGGCAAAGATGGCAAAGCCCCTTGAAAGCTTTGTCTGATCAAAACTAAATACAAAATCATGAAAAACAGTAGATCACATTTTATTTGCTTTATTTCTTTTAAATGATCGTTTAGCTAGTTTTTCATTTTGTGTCCACGTAAATAGACACTTCGAGAAAAAGGTTAGTGGCTATGATTACTACTTCTGAAAGGGACTATTAGCTTTATTTCATGTTGTTACCCTCCATGCTGATTTACAACGGTACCCTTAAAACCTTTCTTGTGTTCGCTGAGTACAGAAATATGTGTGTAAACTTATCTAAATCCGCTTTATGATCAGCTGAGAATTATGGTGTGCAATTGGTACAGTCTGAACGCAACGCACAGCGGAATTTACAGCTGATCTTACAAGCGGATTTAGATAAGTTTGCACACACATCTCTGTACCCGACGAACAAAATTAGGTTTTAAGGGAAACATGCATAGAGGGTTACTTGAAATTTAACACAGGTGTAGTCCATGAAGACGGTGTTATTGAAGAGGATCTGGAGATTCCTGATGATCCTCCAGTGATCAGGAACACCAGCCTCCATTTTACAGAGGACCATGATACACAGGATACAGAAGATAGGAGGACACAGTCTCCTCATTCTGTCCAGGTATTAATTAAAGTCTGTTTAATGGAATAGTTTATAATTACTCACATAGGATGATACTATGCGGAATTTGTACACTTCAGGTCAATTTTTGATTTCCTGCAATTAAGAAGGCCTCTAAAGCTATCTTCAATGCAGATTATTAATTTTACCTTGTAAAAGAGTTTCAAGTCCTGTTTATAGTTTCATCCTATTCGGGTAATCCTGTATCTAATAAGAAGTTTGTACCCGATACTCACTCCATTCTAACTAATGTTTTTTTAATCCCTTTATCTGTGCTACAAGATGGTGTTCTACTTTTATGTTTTTTGAGGAAACCCTTGAATTATCTGGAAGTGGGGATGACAAAGCTAAAAAATCCAAATTTATTTTTTTAAATTTTAAATTTTTAAAAAGTTTTTTTTCTTCAAAAGTTCCACGGGCAACGCCGGGTGCTTTAGCTAGTAGTAAATACTTTTAAAGGTTTAAAGAAAGAACAAATTGCATCTGTATATAACTAAACGTTCTCTAGAAAGGGTTCTCCAAGATGAGCGTATCGGAGAGAGTTGAACCTGGAGTAAAGAAACCTGTAGAAATCCGTCCTGTACATATTGGAGATATGAAGATCAGATCTAAACTCAAATTCGAGGTTGTTACAGCAAAGGTCATGGAGGAGGGCGGGAAGAAGTTTGTGGTAAGTTAGAGAATTGATGGTGTAAACCTTAGATATTTCAAACTTAGATTATTTAATAAGTTCAAAGGGCCAAGGGAAAGTCTTTGCCACAAACATTCAAATTTTCTAATCACTATATCTTCCTGGTAGCTTAGACCTTTGATATTTCAAACTTAGTTTATTTGATCCAACATAAATCATAGTTTGAAATATCTAAGGTCCACGACATTAGGTTGCAAAGATGTAAGGATTAGAAAATCAATGTTTGTGGCATTAATAATCCACTAACCCCTTGCCGAATCTGTTTATTTGCTTTGTTAGTAATGTGCTTGTCCAATATTAATAATCTAATAAATAAAATAAAGCAGTATGTCGAAATATGTGTTGTAAGCGTGTATGTTTGTTATTTGTAACAGTATAAACTGAAGTACACAGAAAGTTGTAATACAACAAAAAATGTTACATTTGCCTCCTTGGGGTAACACAGAATACAGAGGAGAGACCCTCGCCTCCGTATCAGTGAAATCTATGATTTTTCTGTTTTTGTTGGGTCCTGAGTCCTGAGCCCTCTGAATATCCCTTGAATTAACCTTTCAGAGGCAGAAGGCTTATTTATCTGCCGAGTACAGAAGGTTTATTTATCTGCCGAGTGCAGAAGGTTTATTTATCTGCCGAGTAAGGTTTATTTATCTGCCGAGTGTAGAAGGTTTATTTATCTGCCGAGTGTAGAAGGTTTATTTATCTGCCGAGTGCAGAAGGTTTATTTATCTGCCGAGTGTAGAAGGTTTTTTTATCTGCCGAGTGCAGAAGGTTTATTTATCTGTCGAGTGCAGACGGTTTATTTATCTGCCGAATGTAGAAGGTTTATTTATCTGCCGAGTGCAGAAGGTTTATTTATCTGCCGAGTACAGAAGGTTTATTTATCTGCCGAATGCAGAAGGTTTATTTATCTGCCGAATGTAGAAGGTTTATTTATCTGCCAAATGTAGAAGGTTTATTTATCTGCCGAGTGCAGAAGGTTCATTTATCTGCCGAGTACAGAAGGTTTATTTATCTGCCGAATGTAGAAGGTTTATTTATCTGCCGAATGTAGAAGGGTTATTTATCTGCCGAATGCAGAAGGTTCATTTATCTGCCGAATGCAGAAGGTTTATTTATCTGTCGAGTACAGAAGGTTTATTTATCTGCCGAATGTAGAAGGTTTATTTATCTGCCGAGTACAGAAGTTTTATTTATCTGCCGAATGTAGAAGGTTTATTTATCTGCCGAGTGCAGAAGGTTTATTTATCTGCCGAGTACTGAAGGTTTATTTATCTGCCGAATGTAGAAGGTTTATTTATCTGCCGAGTACTGAAGGTTTATTTATCTGCCGAATGTAGAAGGTTTATTTAGCTGCCGAGTATAGAAGGTTTATTTATCTGCCGAGTACAGAAGGTTTATTTATCTGCCGAATGTAGAAGGTTTATTTATCTGCCGAGTACAGAAGGTTTATTTATCTGCCGAATTTAGAAGGTTTATTTATCTGCCGAGTGCAGAAGAATTATTTATCTGTCGAGTACAGAAGGTTTATTTATCTGCCGAATGTAGAAGGTTTATTTATCTGTCGAGTGTAGAAGGTTTATTTATCAGACGAGTACAGAAGGTTTATTTATCTGTCGAGTACAGAAGGTTTATTTATCTGCCGAATGTAGAAGGTTTATTTATCTGCCGAGTACAGAAGGTTTATTTATCTGCCGAATGTAGAAGGTTTATTTATCTGCCGAGTACTGAAGGTTTATTTATCTGCCGAATATAGAAGGTTTATTTATCTGCCGAGTATAGAAGGTTTATTTATCTGCCGAGTACAGAAGGTTTATTTATCTGCCGAATGTAGAAGGTTTATTTATCTGCCGAATGTTTGACGATTTTTTAAACACTTCAGCTAATCATAATTTTAATTATAATCAATACAATTATTTTGATAAATTTAGGCATATACCATCATGGTAAAGAGAGTGAGTGGGGATCCTCATCCTGCAGTTATTCATAGGAATACATACAACCATTCATTCATTCATTCATTCATTCATCCTTTCATTGATTCTTTATGTAGAAATTCATTCAGTCATTCATTTGCCCATCTATTCATCTTTCAATTCAATCAGTCATTCGTATGTTTAATGTAAATGTTATTCTTTGTCAAATGTTTTTTTTTACTGAATAGATTATTATTTAATTTCCATTTGAATTTCTATTGATAAATGGTTGATGTTATGTAGAAGATACAATGACTTCTGTCATCTATATGAAAGGTAAAGGTTCAACATAAACTAATTAATAATATCATATTTTTAAATCTTCAATTTAGAATCCTTTGCACGTTCCATTCTTCAGTCCTTGGCGAGTTCCAGTTTCCTAAAAAAGTTCTCATTGGTAACTTTAAAGTAAGTTTTGTCAGTCGAGAAGTGATCATGATTATTTATAACTATACTTAACAGGGAAGTTAAGGGGATTAAGGGGACACATGGAAAAGCTAAGTTTTTAATTTCCCGAAAAATCAGTTGTACAATGTACATAATTTTATCGTTTTTTTAGATGAAAATGGCGATTTTTTAACGTAAACTTGGGAGACTGTGATTAATTTTAATTGTCCCAACATGTAAACATATTGCATGTTTTCATGTCATGTTTATGTATATAGTAAACAAACATCTTGATACAGATAAATGTGAAGTGTGATAGAAAAGTTTAAATACTGTAAATAAAGTTAAAACATTTTATGAGACATTTTCAATACAGGATATAGAAATAATGTTCAGATTTTTTTATTAATTAAGATGAATTAATTTAGGCGGAAGTAATCAGTGAGAGGACCGATGCTTTTCATAAATTTCTAAACCTGGTGGCTGGCAGCGACAAGGAATATAATATATTCAACATTTTAACAATTTATACTGGACAATGCTTAAAGAAGAAGATTTATTAACAATTTGACAGATTGAAAATCGTCTTTGATCTTTGAAATTGTTTGCGGTAATCATAATCATTTGACAGCCAAATTGTAGCCATATTTTCATAAAACCTGATAAAATAATCCTAGCCCTGCCATTTCTAAGTGTGGTCTGCCTTTTTTGTGCATTTATAATTAACGGAGATATGAGTATGCTAATTTCAAGATACCTTAATATTTTTGTCTTCCATTTTTGAAATTTTGAACAATGTTCTATTTTCAAATCTCAATAATTTCGTTCAGAATAAATTTTAATGGAAAGAAAATTCTTAATATTTTACCAGGTTGTTTTAATAATATAATGCATAGTTATTCGTTGATCCCTGTCCGCCATATCTATTTGAGATATTCCACTATTATTATTATTATTATTATTAACAATCAACCTACAGTCAAAGTATCATGTCCTGCAGGCTATGTTACGTTGAGCTCCAGGGTCGAGCTCCAGCCACTTACCCTTTTCTGCTTGGGTTTTAGCAGATCATATTTGATGGTGAATTTTTTTAGTATTTTGTGCATTTAGCCAGATAATTAAGGAGGCCTACAAATACAAAAAATTCGCTTTTTTAGCAGTACTTACCTCTGCTTGGGAAAAGGAACAGTTTTTGAAAAGTAAATAAAATAAACATTGTGAATCTTAGATATTTGATATGAACTAACCATCTTAAATGTAATCATTATTGTGATATATTGTGTTGTGGAACAGTTGTTATACTCCGAGTACTTCCACGGGTTCCTGTGTAGTGAGGAACAGAATGAGGCTGTCTCCAACATCAAGTTAGGACAGTACTCTGATGCTGCTCCCCTCCTAGAGACTATATTCTACGTCAGGAGTGTTGAGATTTATTCAAAGATGGGAGGGGGGGGGAGGGTAGTTAGGATTTATATGACATTTCAACTTCAAGTCACTTTGGATGTAACTTTGAGTGGCCATCCAATTGTGTAGTAAAATGTACAATTTCACCTTTTATTGATCAAGGATGATTCAACGTTTAGTTGTACAGTGTACACTGTACTGTACACGCAATTTCAAAGAAAAGTAAATTTCTGTAAAAAAAAACAACACTTATTTTGTACCGTTATTGGAGTTTTCTGTTCTAGATAAAGATTGTATTTCTCTTTTTTCACCAATTCCTGTAATAATTGTTGTCCCTGCCCTTTGTTTAATCTCATACTGTACAGAGAGAAGATGTTTACTCTCTCCCATATTGCTGTTCTAGAGTGTGTTACAGAACTAGTCGCTTGTCTAGCCGCCGTTCAGGTCACTAACCTTATTCATGTCTAGCTGGCGCCTGTCAATAACCTTATTCATGTCTATTGTCTAGTTACCGTTCAGGTCAATAACCTTATTCATGTCTAGTTACCGTTCAGGTCAATAACCTTATTCATGTCTAATTACCGTTCAGGTCAATAACCTTATTCATGTCTAGCTGCCGTTCAGGTCACTAACCTTATTCATGTCTAGTTACCGTTCAGGTCAATAACCTTATTCATGTCTAGTTACCGCTTAGGTCAATAACCTTATTCATGTCTAGTTACCGTTCAGGTCAATAACCTTATTCATGTCTATTGTCTAGTTACCGTTCAGGTCACTGACGTTATTCATGTCTATTGTCTAGTTACCGTTCAGGTCACTAACCTTATTCATGTCTATTGTCTAGTTACCGTTCAGGTCACTAACCTTATTCATGTCTAGTTACCGTTCAGGTCACTAACCTTATTCATGTCTATTGTCTAGTTACCGTTCAGGTCACTAACCTTATTCATGTCTATTGTCTAATTACCGTTCAGGTCACTAACTGTATTCATGTCTAGTAACCATTCAGGTCAATAGCCTTATTCATGTAAATGTAAATTGTCTAAACTGGCAAAAAAAGGGTTTCACTCTCACAGGTAGAAAAACTCGGGGTTGGAAATTAATTTCGATATATTTCATATTCTCATCAGTCCTACAGAAAATAACCAAAATTATTACAAATTAAAAATAAAGATAATGTAACAAATACTTTCTAGAAATTTATAAAAAAGTAAGAAAATTAGGAGAGGAGTATTTTTTAAAGTGGAATGAAAAAAAATTGAAAAGTGTAAAAATTATGGTCAACCTTAAAGAATGGTGGTATTGTCAAAACTGAAAGAAATGTTCATTGAATTAAGGGTTTATTGGCTTCAGATTTCAGATCTTCTGGGTTATCTGTCTTCTGAGTTGGTTACAGATTCATCTAAAATAGTAGCTGTAGAAATAGTTGGTTTTACAATTTGAAGGTTTTCTGACAACTTTTTCAGACACTCTGTTCTGGACAGTTGGAGAGAACGATTAATTGCATTTGTTATTACAGTTTTATCATAGTTTCTAGATAAAAGCAATTTAGATAATTCCTCAAGCCTGGAAAGGAGGGTTGTACGATTACTACAGATCCTGACAAGTCTGTAACATAGACTGTAAGGTATGTTCCTAGTAGTATGAGTTGGATGACAGGATGAAGGGAGAAGGTACATACACCTGTCTGTCGGTCTTCTATATAGGTCAGTTACTAGTTTACCATCCTGTATAGATACTAGGGTATCTAGGAATGGTATAGCGCGGCTTGAGTAGCAAAAGCAGTCATGGAGAATAGTTGGAGGGATGTCACAGGGGTATGGACAGGAAAAAGAAAATGTAAATTTCAAAGTTGGATGTATATTATTGATCTTGTATAGGAATAGTTCCAACATTTCTACAGTTCCAGTCCATATAGTGAAAATATCATCAATGAATCTATTATATAGACTTATAGGGTTGGAAACTGTTAGTGAAAGAGCTAAATTCTTTAGTTTTTCATCAATTTCTCCCATTAGAATATTTGCATAGGTTGGAGCACTAGAGGTACCCATAGCTGTTCCAATTTCTTGACGGTATAAATTATTGTTAAACTCAAAAATATTGGAGCATAACACAATTTTCATCAATTCTCTCAAGAACTGTGTAGGAACACTTTTATCATCTCTTAATGAAGTGCACGCTCTAGAGCCTCTAAACCCTCCTCCTTTCTTATATTGGTATAAAGTGCAGATACATCAATTGTAACTAGAATGGAGTTATCTGGAAGACGACCTTGGTTGTTGATTTTCTCTAGGTTTCGTTAAAAAATCCGGAGTATCTTGTATATATGATGGAAGTTGCTCCACCATGGGTTTAGCATGGAAATCAACAAACCTGGAGATATTTTCAGTTATGGAACCACGCCCACTGATGGTAGGACGGCCTGGGGGTAGAGAGAGAGGAGGGTGGGGTTTATGGACTTTAAAAATTTGATAAAATTTACCAGGTCCAGTATCTGATGGGTCCATAGCCGTGTTTTCATCCTTTGATATCCATTTATTGTCTAATCCAGATTGTAAAGTGTTCAAGATTTTACTTTGTGTTTCCTTTAGTTCTTTCTCAGAGGAATAGGTATAGTATCTCAGGGATGTAGGAGAAGTTTGAAGAGAGGAACTTGGTTGCGGTTGGGTTCACCTTATTCATGTTTAGGTACCGTTCAGGTCTTTAACCTTATTCATGTCTAGTAACCGTTTATGTCACTAACCTTATTCATGTCTAGGTCACCAACCTTATTCATGTCTAGTAAACGTTCAGGTCACTAACCTTATTCATGTCTAGTTACCGTTCAGGTCAATAACCTTATTCATGTCTAGTTACCGTTCAGGTCACTAACCTTATTCATGTCTAGTTACCGTTCAGGTCAATAACCTTATTCATGTCTAGTTGAGGTCACTGACCTTATTTATTACTCTGGATTCTAGATGTCATTAACAATTGAGATTATTTTTATCCAAGTTATTATATTAATTTTATCTATTTAGTTTTTAAGTTTAATATCTAGGCTGACGAAACAGCTTACAGGTATGCTCTTATAGCTGGCCAATGTATCCAACTACAAGCCGGTCATCCTTACTTAGAGAAAATTAGAGTTCCATTCCTTAAACTAGCTGAATCTCTCTCAGGTTAGTTTTAGTGGTGTTATTCAGGTGATTTCAGGTCATTTAAGGTCATTTCAGGTCATTTCAGGTCATTTCAGGTCACTTAACGTCACTTAAAGTCACTTAACGTTACTTCACGTCACTTCACGTCACCTTACGTCATTTCACGTGTACAACAAGATTGTGTTCTATTTTCAGTTTTTTTGAGGAAACCCTTTGATTATTTGGGGAGTGGGGTGGGGGGTGACATATGCAATGAAAAATTCTACATTTAAATTCTACTTTTTTTCAAAGTTTCAGTTCACTTTAGGTCGTTTCAGTTAACTTCAGTTCACTTCAGTTCACTGCAGTTCACTTCAGTTCACTTCAGTTCACATCACTTCACTTCAGGTCGCTTCAGGCCGCTTCAGTTCGTTTCAGGTCGTTTCAGGTCGTTTCAGGTCGTTTCAGGTCGTTTCAGGTCGTTTCAGGCCGTTTCAGGTCGTTTCAGGTCATTTCAGAAATGACCTGAAACTAACTCATTGCTTATTTGTCCGTCCCGTTGTGTACTGTGCCTCCCTAACGTATGGTTAAGTTAGGCCAGATTGGGACTGATTCTTAATAGATTCCTGAAAGGGACAGTAGACTAGAGCGAGGCGACATTTTAATTGACCCTTCACTTGTCATGCCTCACTAACAATAAGGGGTTGTGTATTTAAGTGAATAAGCGAATGATCTTTACAGATTTTACCTTAACTACGATATTTTCCCTATTTTGGTAAGATAAATGTTTATTCGACTATGCCAGTCTTTTCAATTTGGACTCGCTTAGAACTACGTCGACACTCGACAGTCTGTTTAAGTTTGAAAAAATATTATTTTTTTTAGAATCCGTTGGACATGATCCTAGGCCCTACAAGAAGCAGTTATCTGAACTTCGATATTCAGGGGTGAAAACTGACAGGGTTTCTACTCTTCTAGATGTTATCAGGTTAAATTGTATTAAACAATTAACAGGGTTTCTACTCTACTAGATGTTATCAGGTTAAATTATATTAAACAATTAACAGGGTTTATACTCTACTAGATGTTATCAGGTTAAATTATATCAAACAATTAACAGGGTTTCTACTCTACTAGATGTTATCAGGTTAAATTATATTAAACAATTGACAGGGTTTCTACTCTACTAGATGTTATCAGGTTAAATTATATTAAACAATGTTATGAGATCTGTGTGCTCAAGATTGACATACTTTGATCCTAGACATAAAGGAAGATTATTCAATTCATTTGATGTCCATGCAAAGGCTGTTTCATAACTCATGATGTCAAGTCTCAGACCAGAATACACAGTTGTAAACAACTTCTTGATCTCTTTGATGGATCTTTCTACCATTCCATGGGCATTGTGTCCGCCAACAGGACAGGTCACATATTCGATTCCAGTCATCGCCATGGAGTTTAGAGATTTTGTGATATCCAATATATTGAATTTCATCTCCTTACATGCTTTTACTAGCTGGCTTCCTTCATCAATGTATAACTTATTAGGATGAGAGAATCTTGAAGTGAACCTAGTATATGCATCCAGAAATGCTCCAGTATCATATTTCTGCATGGCATGCACAAAAACAGCTGAAGTTGCGGGATCTTTGAACACAACACCCCATACCTTGACCTTACTACGATGATTGTGTTCACATCGGGCTTCAAAGGGACCCATTAAATCCACTTGTGTATTGTAGAACACTGGTGCAATGGTAAGTCTAGTGTCATGGATATTACCCATTTTTACCTGGACTAGCCTCTGCTTGAATCTCCTACAGTATACACAGCTTTCCCGAATTTCCTCAGCCAAATCTCTACCTCTAAGGATAAATGCTGTTTCCCTTGATTCTCTAAGGGTGGAGATAGAGTTCCTGTGGTTAGTCTCTTCCTGGTGCGCATGAATCATAATAGAGTAGGAAATTGGAGAAAACCTGTCCAAAATAGGTTTGACAAAGGTAAGGGGTGTTAGATCCAGCATATTCTGCTCAACCAAGTGGACCTCCTGGCCATCCAAAATACGACCAGTATAATAAAGAATCTTGTCTTTCATAACTGTACAATCCTTCCAATCTTTTCCTTTGGCGAATTGCTTCACTTCCAAAGTACCCTTCCTGAAAAAATAGTTCTCTGCAGCCTCAACCTCTTCTTTGGAAAGTTGCAACATTAAGGAAGGGAGAGGATTTTGGTTGTTCACATTACTTTTCTTATGAAGTCTAGCCTTTATATTGTTGATGAATCTCATCACAAAAGCAAAAACATGGACTGATTTATTCCAAGGCAAAACACATGGATCTACTATGTACTTGCTGAAAGAATACCGGTCTCCAATCTTAGAGGTTAGGTTAGAGAGGACATGGCCTCTTATATCAGGGGCTTTAAGCTCTAGTGCAGCAAGCCTTTTCTCTTCTCCAGACAAAGTTATTTGTTCTGGAGACCTCAGGGGCATATTCTTAAGTTGCTGGGTCATCCAGGGTTTACCAGTTTGCCAATTAGAATGTTCAGATAAATCTTCAATCGCACCTCTTCTAGTAGCAACATCAGCAATGTTATCTTTAGTGTCAACATGGTACCACTGTTCTTTCAGTGTAAACCTTCTTATTTCAATAACCTGGTTCCTAACAGCAATCTGCAAGGGGCGGTCATCCTGATTAATCCAATATAAGGTAATTGTGCTATCTGTTACAAATATAGAACTTTGGAACTGGTTCCCAACATTTGACATCACAAGGTGACCAAGGATTGATCCAATAGTAGCTGCTTTCAGTTCCGCTCTGGGAATGGTTGACCCTGTGATTATCTTGCTTTTCCCAACTACCAATTGGCAATGGAACAAACCATTATTCAGAAGAACTCTACTATGGACAGATGCTACAGCGATGTGTTCACTGGCATCCACAGATACAATAAGCTGGAGGTTTGTGTTTGCTGCATCCTCAGGAATAATTGATCGTTTAAAAGGTATTTTCCTTAACTCCTGTATATCATGGAGATTCTGGACCCAAAGGGTTAGGAGCTCTTCCGGGATTGGGTCATCCCAATCAAGTTTGCGGGTACAGAGGTCATGCAAATCTAATTTCAGTCTTGCAGTGACAGGGGTAACCAAACCTAGTGGGTCAAAAACACCTGCAACCTTACCAGTACATGTCCTTCTAGTAAAATGCTTTTTCAAAGCTTCAGCAACATCCCCCTGTACTAAATCTGGAAGCTTTCCTCTCTTTGGCTTCCCAAAGTATAGGTCTTTTATATCAACCTTGATAAGATCCTTTTCAGAGTTCCAAAGGTACCCTATGAGACCTACATTTTCCCCATCAGCTGATATTTCTCCACTTGGTTTGGCTCCAGAGTATGTATAGGCTTTGACTCCCATTTTACCAAGACCTAGTGTGAAGGTTATATCATTTTTTACAGTAATACACTGTTCAATAGTATTCTGTGAATCAGTTATATCATCAACATAGGTGTTATTCTTTAGGGCCATAGCTCCAAGAGAGTGTTCAGGATGATTGGCTATTACGTAATCAGCTAATTTGCTGATTCCTGCTATAGTTTGGCTACCAGCGCTCCTTACACCATATATCAGAGTCCTTACCACCATTTTAATGGTAGGGTTTTCTGGGTTTAAGTCTTGCTTCCAAAGATACTGCTGGAACAAGTAATCTTCAGCTCTTAGCTTGACTCCGTTATAGGCCATGGAAATATCTCCAGTTACTGCAAATTTCTTTGAACGGAACCGGATGAGTAATTGCAAAAGGTTTGTAAGTTTATTTTGCCCTTTGGCAAGTATGGAGTTTAAACTATGTCCTGATGAGGTTGTAGAACTTGCATCAAAGACCATTCTCAATGGGGTAGACATAGATGATTCATTATATTGAGTCCTCCAAGGTATTATGTATCCCTCTCCAGGGGTTTTATTCATGAGAGCTAAATCCGCCTTCTCCACCTTCGACAACTCAATGACATGTCCACGGTCAACTAGTTTCTGATGTGATTTTATAGTGTCTTCACGCATACCTGGATATTTATTAAACATGTTCATTTGGCTCTGGAGAATCTTAGCTGCAGTACCATAGTTGGGTTTTAGACTAGTGATGGGGTCTTCTATAAAGGGCAACCTGGCCTCCAACTTCCTCTCTTTAACATTTAAAGATACAGAAGATTCAATAAGTGCCTGCTCAGCCTCTTCTTTTAAGCTTATCATGTCAAGTACATCCCCCTGCCTACATTTGCTACAATTCCGACAGGACACACATCTATACTCAGATACAGATCCAACCTTCTCCAGCTCCTGGAAATCTCTAGAGCTTTCTCTGATACCATACTGGGTTCCTCCAAGCTCCCAGGTTGATGGAATCATCCATCCTGATCTCTCCTTATGTTTAGAACAGTGTAGATGAGAACAGAGCTCACTGGTCTCATCACCTGGTCCAACCTCAAACTCGGGGTACATCTCTGAGTAGATAAATTTATATTGATTTATTTCAACCCAGGAACTAGCTACAGCATACGCCTTTGCTTCTTGAGAGAAGTATGCACGTGGTCCAATGTATGAGCTCACTTCAGAAGCATAATCCCATGCTTTATGGGGCCCGCCCAGGACTCCTTGACAACCCCGTGCAGAGACAAACTTAGCTTTATATATTCCTAATCCAGAGGGCAGAGTAAATATTAACTCGGGAAAGTACTTTCTGTACTTAATACCAATCATTATGTCAACAGAGGATCCACCTATAGCCTTATCTACAGATGGGAGATTATCATCAGGGTGAATCTTCTTAAATTCCCCCTGTATGTCCTCAAATGCCTCTTGAAGTTCCCATAGAGGAAAACCATTAGTGATGGTTGGCATTCTAATTCCAGTGATGCTTGCTTTCTGATTAGTTCCATCAAGTTCCAGTAGGAAGCGTTCATCACCATGTTCTAAGCGGACAATTTCACCACCAGCTACATTTAAGACAGTGGGACCTGCCCTTACTGTCTCAGTTTCAAGGATACTGTAAGCCTTATCTGACAACGCTGCTCCTTGACAACCACTGTCGTAGAATAACAATAGTTCTCTGCCTACATCCACTTGAACATTTTGAAGCATAAAAATACCCGGTTCCAGTACATCAGGGAGAATCTCAAATCCCCCCGACTCCAGCGTAGATACACTTGCTGTATTGGAGTGAAATATATTTTCAGCCAGGAAAAAGAACCTTACAGATCCCTGTGGTAATTCACCTTGATTAAGTGACTTGATAAAATCTCTCTCTACATCCTTGTTATCTCCAGCATGCCACTTACACATGGTGAAATGGAATTGTTTGCAATAGAGTTTATCCGCACATTTACGAATTTTGCAGGGATATTTTGTTCTGCAGTCTGCTTTGTGTGATTCCCACCACTGATCCCTATCAGTAAAATCAACATTAGAATCCATTCTAAGGCATCTAAAACATATCCTTTCAGCTGCAACAACAGTATACCTATCTTCAATCTTTGTGTTCATAAATGATTTGCAATAGTACAGGTGAGTGTGGGTGCCAGAACACAAACCACATTTAATGCTAGCAGGCTTAGAGGCAGAAGCGTTATTATTAATTGAACCTTGGTTGACATTCCCTTGAGTCTGAGCTTTTCTTTGAGGGTTCTGACCACTCTTACCTCCAGGTTTATTACTTGTTTGTGGCTTTCCACTCTTGCTTCTATTACCATCTTTAACCTTTAATTGGTTTTTAGAGCTCCCTGAATTGGTGGTACTCTTACTAGGACTAGGGGATCTGCTGCGCTCTGCATGGTCCTCAGCTTCTTGGTTGCTGAAGGCTTTCTTAAAGTTTTTCGGATTAGGAGTAGAGTTGACTGAAGCTTTCTCCTTCTTATCATCATTCATATCCAGGTTGATCTCAAAAGTCAAGTCACTAACAAACTTCTCTAAGAAGGTGTGGAGTTTTTCAAATATTATCTTCCTAGGGATCACTCCATATTCATTCTCATGTTTTTTAAGCTCCTCCTTAAAGTCCTTGTTGATGGTCCAAGGTAAAGATTTCTTGATCTCAGCTAGCATAGGACTGTAATACAGGTCATGTTCTAGACTGTATTTCTCAGCAAGCTCTTTCAATATTTTCAATTTTGTAGAAACATGCATAGCCCATTCTCGCTTCTTATAGTTAGTACCAGTGCAGGATCCCATCTTATTGATTTCCTCAACCTTAGCAGCAAACAATATCTGCGGGTTGCCATAAGATTTTTTTAGATATTTAAAAATATCATCAAGACTTTTCATTCCTGAGCATGCATTTCTTGCAGTACCTTGCAGGCTAGTCCTTTGCAGGATCCTGAGCTGTTCTGATATGGAAAGAGATTTTGCACAAACATACTCATCCCATTCAGTAACAAAACTTCCTGTTTCCAGTATCTTGTATTCAGTATCCAGTATCCTGTATCCTGTACCCAGTATCTTGTACCCAGTATCATGTACCCAGTATATAGTACCCAGTATCCTGTATCCTGTATCCTGTATCCTGTATCCAGTATCCAGTATTCAGTATCCTGTATCCAGTATCGTGTATCCTGTATCCTGTATCCAGTATCTTGCATCCAGTATCCTGTATCATGTACCCAGTATCCAGTATCCTGTATCAAGTATCCTGTATCATGTACCCTGTATCATGTATCCAGTATCCAGTATCATGCACCTAGCATCATGTACCCAGTATTTAGTTTGTATATATGTATGAAGCCATTTTTTTACAGATTGATTCTTGCTGAAGAAGTTTAAACCCTCTTACATGAACTGAACACAAAAGACAATGAATGAAAAATTGAATTTTAATGTTTTTTTTCAAAAATGGGATTTTTTTCGAAAATTGTACTGATTGTACAGATTTTTAAAAAAAACGTACGGATTTTTAAAAAATGTACGGATTGGTTTAAAGAAATGTACGGATTGTACGGATTTTTTAAAAAAAATTGTACGGATTGTACGGATTGTTTTTCGAAAATTGTACGGATTGTACGGATTTCTTCTGAAAATGTACGGATTTTTGTACGGATGTATTCAAAAAAGTTTTAGCCACCCTGTAGATGTCATCAGGTTAAATTATATTAAACAATTAACAGGGTTTCTACTCTACTAGATGTCATCAGGTTAAATTATATTAAACAATTAACAGGGTTTCCACTCTACTAGATGTTATCAGGTTAAATTATATTAAACAATTAACAGGATTTCTACTCTACTAGATGTTATCATAAAATAAAATTAAACAATTGACAAGGCCGAGGTTTCCAATGAAAAAATTTGTATTAAGTTGACCCTTAGTTGTCTCTCGCAATCCCTGTATGGTATGATTTCATTTGTTTTGACCTCGGGAAAGTTTTTAGTCTTGCTAACTTTTCATGATCAAACTCTGTCATTAAAAAGCTTTCATAAGTGAATTTTTCGTCTCCCAGTTGTAAAGATTAGCGGTGCACGAAATAAAATTGACAATCTTATGTTTTTTTCCCGATTCACAAATGTACCTATAAAAGCTTTGTAAGGTCAAGTATGATAAATACATAAATGTTCATAATTTTGAAAAATGTTTATTTTCAACTGGTGTTTCTCTTCAACAGTGACTTGCACTTGTCTACTGTAGAAAAAAAAACATTAAATTATCAAATCTTGAGAAACGATAATATCTTCCACATTATTGATGAGATATAGGTTTCAAGGGAACCTTGTGAATCGGACATTGCCATCTTTGCCTGGAAGGTCATTGGAAAATACGCGTACAGTCCTTTAAGTTTTTCTAATCTGAAATACATAATATATTTTAATCTAATATATTTCAGGGATAAATATATTCACACTGCTACAAAGACGACAAAATCCTGGTGAAAACCAAGCTTAACACAGATCTCCCTGATACCCGTCCTTTCTTCCTTTCATCGCATTATTCATTCGATTCACAATGGTACATTTTAAAACTTTGAGAAATTCCTCTTATTTTATCTTAAATCGAATATTTTTTAATGTTGCTCTCTTTAAAATTGACATTAGGATGTATATTTTCCTTAAAATCATTTCCCCCCCCCCCCCCCATTTAAAAAAAAAAAACAAAAATCTATTTCCCGGGGGGGGGGGAATTCTGAAAAATATACACCCCTGGCTAATTACCAAATCCATTTTTCCCTTCCTCCTGCACCTGATCATGCTTTTATACAATTTGTTTAATGAATAATGTTATTTTTATAAAAATCAATATTTTTAAAATGAACAAAATTCATGAGAAAGTATTTATAGTTACAATAATTAATTGAAAAAAATAATGATTAAAAATAATAAGTAACAAGTGTGGGTTTCTAATCTTAAAATATTAAATCGGAATTGTTGAATATTGCTTGAACTGAAAACGTGGGTATAGTGTTAGAGAGTAGACACAGTCAAAATATAATATGCCTTTTTTTACCCTCTTGGGGTTTATACTCGGAGATAAAGAATGGTTTCGGCACTTTGCCGGTCATTTTCCCTTTATTAATTTATTTTCAACAAATTGATAGCATTTAATTTTGTGTTAAAATTTTAGAAAAATTATTTATGAAGTGTATGTTGTGGTCTTTAATATCACCATTGCACTACCATAGTGTTTGTGTACCAGATAATTACCAAACATATAATATTTTAAAATTGTGTTCAATATTATTGTAAATGCATAAAATCACCAATTGTAAAGAAAATATGTATAGAATCTATGCGGATGTGATAATTTAATGTAATTTATATGTTCATGATCTTTATATTTCCTTGAATTAGCCTTCAAAAGTCAGAACGCTAAAAAAAGATTTTTTTATTGTTAACACACTTTAAACTGGTTGTAAATGTAAACATGTAACTTTTCTTTTATGTACTTCTTAGCCAAAAATTATTAGGGGTCGATGGTTTATTTACACTCGGATCCAAGAATACCCAGAAATCAGTGTACACAGTTCACAAAATGTTTTTACGATTTCTAGATTTCCTTGAAATACTAATAACCTTATATTTAATCTAAATCGTAAAGTATGTTATACATATTTCATGTTGTGATTGTATCGCATTTCCGTTTTTACAGATGAATAATGGATCGAAATATGGATTTGCCACGAAGGAGATATGGATCGGGAGGGATCGCCAAGAAGGATTTAGAATTGGATCGATCCCGATACAATTCTGATTTAACGATCATCTGCAAGGTACGGGTTTATTGTTCTATATTACTGAGTGTCGGAAGCAGCAAGATCCCCCCCACTAACCCTACCCGTTTTGGGAATTGAGGATGTGAAACTCCGATCCTTCTACTAGAGTCACTGAGCCCGAAATTTTAAACAGTATCGTTGAACGAATCTCCTGAGTTTCCTTTGTGGAGTCTTAACATTTTGTAGATTTTGATTTAAGAGATACGACAAAAATGGAGACATAAGAAACTACATGAAATAATATTTCATAACAAAAATATCGATATCCACAAAACTGTCTAACCCCATTCGTGAAACCCGGGTTTCAAAACTGGTTTTCATAACCAGAATTCAAGAAAAATTGATTCATTTAACTGAAAATTTGTTTGTTGAAAAAAAGTATTGTAAGTATTCTGTGGATAATTCGGCGTTAAAGCTAATTGAGATAATCAGATTCAGCAGGAAAGTTTAAATTAATACTTCATAATTTCATTTTTATTTTTCTATCTATTTTTCTGACTTCTATGGATTGATAATTGATAGTTTTTTTGTTATGTACTTTAAAAGTTTCTTGAGTACACTTAACTTATATTTTTATTTTTATTTTTCTTTATTCTACAGCGAATATTGACAAAGTAAAATTTATAGAATGCACTAAACAGTACTGTACTGCACTGTACTGTACTGTATACTGTGTAGGATGGGGAAGTGTACTGCCATCACTGGATACTAGCTAAACACAGCACTTTCCTCAGGTACAACATTTTAGAAAATAAAGGGCTTGTTCACGATCTTTGAAAGTGATTTTGAAGAAACCCATAGTCAATTTATAATTGGATTGGTATTATTATTATTTCAATCTGTAGTGCGGCTATTACTCGTTTATTATCATAAGAATAGTAATAATACCATTTTGTTCAATCTTAAGCAATAATTAAAATAGACAATATTTTCCACCTGAAATAAATTAAAATAAATTTCAGGAAACTGTTTGAAGAATCCTATTTGCTGAGTTCGGTTGTAGTTGAAGGGTTTACACTGCCCGGTATTCCTCCACTTGTCAGGGTTAGTTTAACGTACTTGACATAACAATTGAAGAGGGGGGGGAGATGCCCATCCCCACTATCCTTTGGTTATGACTAAGAATCTCGCTTTGAATTCATGTTTCCCCTTTTACCTAATTTCTCCCCCCTTCCACATTAGAACATTTGTGAAATGTCCCATAAACAACAATTTTTCCTAAAGAAACTAGATTATATCCAAAGTCCAAATTCTAAGCTGTGTTAAAACGCAGCATTTTTCTAAAATCCTAATATTTTTTTTTATATTTTTACTATTTTTTCTAATTTAGAAAAACAGTGTTCCTGTAGGCCGCCAAACCCTTCATCTTCCTGACTGCGAAACTGCACAGGTCTGTACTGTACTGTAGTGCACTGTACTGTACCGTACCTGTACCTGTACCTGTACCTGTACCTGTACCTGTACCTGTACCTGTACCTGTACCTGTACCTGTACCTGAGTGTGCCTGTACCTGAGTTTTCCTGTACTGTACGATACCTAATCCTGTACTGTACGATACCTGTATCTGTACTGTACTATTCCTGCGCCAGAAGAAACTTTTTTTGTACTGTACTTCAATATACTGAACTGTATTGTACTGTAGTGTAGTGCTTATAAGACATAAGGATAAGAATCCAGAAACTATCTATTTTTATTGTTTAATTTAACTGTTTGGTTAATTTAAAAATAAAATAAATAAATATATGGATTAAGGCAACAACAAAAGAACAGATTTATGATAAATAAGATTAAATGATTGATTTCATCTGGAGTTTTGTCGGGAACTCCAACATAGTTCTCTGTGGCGTGGGCCCTCCAAGGGATACGAAATTATCTATTTGTATTGTTTATTATAATTGTTAAGGTTGAATCCCTGGTGGATATTCTGTACACAGGATATACCAGAGCTCTTGGGAAGGAACACGATTTTGACGAGAACCGGAAGTAAACCATTTTATTCTTAAATTGCCATTAAAGTGACAACTGTGGACTTAATTTCAAATGTACCGTAATTAAAGAGTTGCATGTCCGATTCACAATTGTCTCAACACAAAACAAGGTTAATTCTGTAAATTTCTTTCTTCGTTTCTGCTGCATATATCCTCAATTCAATTATATATCTTAATCAGTTTGATTGGTACTGGTGTTAATCAGTCCTGAAACTCTCTAAATGAAGGGCCATTTGTAATTTTGTCGACAGTCTAGTCGGCCAGAAGGTGTTAGGTTATATCCCCAGCGCAACTTCTCCAGTCACAACTTCCCAAACAACAATTTCCTCAACAACAATTTGCCCAATCACTAATTTCCCCAAACAGCAACTTCCCCAACAACAACTTCCCAGCAACAATTTCGCCGGGCAGTAAAGTATTAATTTTTTCCGTTTTTAACATTAATCAAATGAACAAATGCGTGATTTGAAGATTAAAAAATCGCAACTTTTCAAATCTGTAAAACCCAATCAGTTGGATTAGATTCGTCATGCTAGCAGTTTATAGTTTTACAATGCCAATAAGTATGAGTATAACCTACAATCAATATCAAAGGACACAGATAAACCATTCTTTAACTGAAGGAGTCTGATAACGTCATCAATCATCATATCACTTTCCAACAACCATAATAATAATATAAACCATGCAATTGCAGAGTGTGGAGCTTCTGCCATTGAAAACGGCATTTTAACAATGCTGTGGCCAACCCTGATATTCCAGGCAGGTTGGTTCCGGTAAACTTAGCCTCAGAAATGAACAGAAGTGATTTTCTGGCTGCTCCTGAGAGACTAAAAGTTCCTAAGTCAGCACAAAAATTCTTTTATCTGTCGGATAGGATTTTAATGCATGTTTGGGAAATTAGCGGTAGGGGAATTTAGAGGTTGGGGAAATTGTTATTGGGCAAGTTGTGACTGGGGAAATTGTGTTGGGAAAATTGCGCTGGGGAAATGACCTTACACCGACCAGAATAGTTGTTGCGAAATTACAGAAATTATTGTCTTTAAAAATTGCGATGTTTTAAATACAGGGTGTCCCAATAAACATGGGAATTCAGTGACGAATTCGAGATCGTCTTTGTTAATTGTAATACATGATTTCAAAAGCCATAATATTATTATGTCTGCTAGAGTTTATTTGATGAAAAGGATAAAAGACTGTGAAGATGTGTCTGCACGATATACTGTGAACTTGTGAAGACGGCCAAGTTTACACCGTAATTAATTTCCTTGTTTTACTAAGTACAACCCTATGCACTATGCCGTCAAAACATAAACAAACAAATTGTAAAATAGCATGTGCATTTTATAACATTTTTAGCGCAATGCGGGAAGTGCTCTGGAATTTCTAGCCTTATTACACACGCACATTTAAAAGTCAAACTGTATTTAGCATTTATTGAGCAAATTCTTCTTACAGCATCCAAAGTGGCGGAAAACTGAAAAATAATCACATTAGTTTTATAAAATTATAATTACAAAAAATGAATATTTTCTCCAAAATAAGCTTTGTGCATTTGTTTGTAGTTAGACAATCTTCATTTGCTTTCAATTGAACTTTAGTTTCTTACTTGATAATTTTCATTTCTTTTTCAGTAGAAGTTTCATCATGTTTAAATTCTTCAAATACTTATAAAAGAAATACTCACTTGTGGGCTTTTCCAGTGATTTTATTTCACAAGTTTTTTCTTTTTAATAACTTGGATTTAGGGATGTATTTATTCACCTGTATCTGGATTGGGTTCAGCTGTTTCCAGATATCAGAGTCGTAACTCTGCCTTAACAAATACTAATGTTAATGTGTTCTCAAGTCCCTATCTCTGGGACTAGAAGAGTTTGGGTTCCACATATCATTGTTTAATTCATGGCTTTAAGAATTTTAAATACCTTTTAATGACTCAGGGCAGGTTGGTGCCCATGGTTTCAAGTGAGGTTTACATTCTTGTATTCAACTTCTGCAACATGAAGAATTGAATATTTATTGTTTCTCCGTTCTTGATTATTTATTTGGAGAATCACATTTTCTTTTCTTGATAAAATATCATTCAGGAAGATCTTCTTTTGTCCGGTGTTCCTGCAATCAGAACAAGTTTTATTAGATTTTACATAGCAGACGAAAATCTTAATTTAAGCTTTCTCGGTAGGTATCACTATAGTAAATCAAGGAATTATTTACAACGACGATATCGACATCGTCATTTAATTCTCATGTTTATTGGGACACCCTGTACGAAACATGACAGTTGGTGAATAGTTTGAATGTCTTCATACACTTTTTTAGATATTAAAGACTTTTTTGCAGTTTATTTCATAAAAAAAATCGTTTAACCTTGATTACTCAAATATACTTTACTTTAAAATCAATTTTATTATAATATGGCTGCAATATAATATTTATTTTTTTTATTTTTTTGGTATCTAACAACTTAACAAATTATGGAAGAAGACATTTTGAACTATTCATCGACTGTCATGTTTTGGGGGTACACCCTGTATAAAGATAGGAAATAACTTTTTAAGTCCACAATCATTAATCAATGCTAAGAAAAAAGTCTGCATGCTGACTTATGTATTCAAGGTCATACTTTTCCTCAGGTTGAAGTTGTATGTTCTGTACGAGCTACTGGGTATCGATGAAAGCGGGGGCTTACCCCTGATACAGTTCTGGACTAAATGTACTCCACGAAGCACATCTCCAAGGATTCAGATCAATACGAGTACAACAGTATCTCCAAGTACACAGTTCAAGACGGGTATAACAGTGTCTCCTTGTACACAACAATGTACTAGTACAACAGTATCTCCGGGTAGCGAGAAGAGCACAAGAACAACAACTTCGGGTATTCAGCCAATATATTGCGTAACTGTTCTGACTAGTCCAGGTAATAAAAAATACTTGCTAAAAGGGCGGGGGTTGAGCCCCCCCCCCCCCCCCCCAGAATCCTGGACCTAGAATATGTTTTAATGATGTAATCTGCAAGTTTAAAGTTTTCTGTGACATTTTTATTTAGATAAGAACGATAAAATTTTATGTTGAATTATGACCCGGCGTTGCCCGTGGAAAAAAAATTTAGAAAAGAAATCTTAATTTATTAGCCTATGTCACCCCCAGGCTACTTATGAATGTTCACAAAAAAGTGTCAACCCATTCGGTCTAGCCGTTGGCCGGCTATATTGAAATTAGTGAAATATATACGCTTTTCTCGTTTTGTTATATAAATTAATTCAAGTGTTTTCCTTAGATTCTGAGACTGAAAACTCAACACGCCTTGTCATTCCAGTTGTAAGACCGTCCCCTGAGCAACCTAACAGTCCGTCCTATTCTCCAGTAGACACTAGCATATTCTCCGACCAGCATGAATATATTAAACCAAGAGATATCATTCTTCAACCTAGTCCTTCCTCCTCTTCACCTTTAAACCCTGCTCCCTTCAAAACACCGCTTAAATCTGCTGAAGAAAGTGGGTCAGCCACTAATTTCACCGTGTCATCTGCACCGTCAGATTCGTCTCTACCTGTTCCATCTAAAGTCCAGGCAGACCTACTTGATGTCCTTCGTAAAGATGATCAGGAACATGAGTCTGATGAAGTGTTTAATTCTATTTCTACAACTTCATATAAAGCCCCAAACTTTGGGATTGTTCGACATAAAGATAACCCCGAAAATGTGCTTGATGAATGTGATGATAATAAAACTGGAAATAACTCAATACATAAGACGAATCAGCATAAGAAAAGAACGCAAAAGGACAAAACCCCCGTGGAAAAGAAAGCAAAGAAAGAAAAAAAAGACAGAAAGTCGCCCGAAAGAAAATCACATAAATTCAAAAAGCTGAAGCATTGTGAATCAAAAGACAAGAAAATATCAGATATTAGTATAGACGATCCGGAACTGATCATATCTGAACCCGAAAATGATGATGGAAAGAGAAAACTAAAAAATGTCGATTATAAAACAGGAAATAAGAGAAAGAATGTGTCTGGCTTGGAAATTTCTCCAATACATGAAAAAACAGTTGGTTTAGTGGATGAAATGGAAAATAAAAGCCTCAAGGTTGGTTCAAAGAAAGAGAGAACAATAAAAATACTAAAGCACATTCCTGCAACAGAGATAAATAGCAGCAAGAAGAAAAATATGGCCGAGACAAAGACTAAAAATAAAGAAAGGAGACCAAGTCTCCCAGCTCAAGAACCAAGATTTGAATCTATTGAAAAATGGTCTCCTGGTGGCAGTGATGTGAATCAAGGAACAGTTCAAGGTCCAGGGAAAATCATAGAAATTGATGTTGTTTCAGATTGTAGTGATCAGGTAACTCTTTTTTTAAAGAGATTTTAGACGTAATTTGAAGTCCCGTTTATAAATTGGCAAGATTAACATCGGTACCCTTTAGTAGCTAAGTGGGAATGAGATGACCGTCTTTTTCTCGCGAAAAAGTGATAATTTTCAATTCAGTTTTGTTGTTGATTATTACTATCCCTTTAGTGTAAAGTTAAGTTCACTTTGTAACTTTCTCTTAGAAACAGTAATTTAAAGGGAGAGACCGGCTATGTAACATATTTTAACTGAGAATGCAGTTTAATTGTGAAAAGTTTTAGGATTCCTTTTTTACAATTCTTAAAGCATGGACAAATCATGTAATAATACTATTCTAAAAACTAGTTGCATGTATAGGAATAGGTTGAGAGAAAAAATTAACTACTTTCATTGGAAATAAGTTAAAATAATTAATTCTAAAATCTCGCAGGGTTATCTAAATTCTTTTAGCTCTGGTCGCTTGTTCTTTTCTTTACTTTAATTGTGAAGACGACATTTAAAGAAATCTGAATTAAAAAAGAAACATCAAAGATAATAGTGATAACGGAACTATCGATTCTATGGTTCTACTACGGCTATCATCAATAATTTGTATTAAGAAATATGCTCCTGAACAGCAAATTAATTTATAAAATAAAATATTTTTTTACGTGTTTTGTCCGGTTTATTTAATAATTAAAAAAAACTGAGCTGGGAACTTTGGAATGATGGATATTGAGATTAATGCTTGATCCTCTCTTTTTTTTAAATCCCGAAACTAACCTAATTTTGTATCTTAAAAAGTGTAGAAAATTCAACCAATCAGAGTCGTGTATCAGAAGCCGGGAAATTGGAAATTTTGCGCGCCACTTAAGATGAATTAATGTACTTTATTCAAAAAAGACTGAATTAAGGAAAAAATTAAAAGTGTCAACATTGGATGTTTTGATTAAGCTGTCAGGGTTAAAGATACAGGTATCCCATTCTAACCTCCCAGCTCTGGTGAAATATTACAAACGACTCTACGCTTTTATCTAAAAAATTGTACACCGTAAAAATGTCTTATTGGTATCAAATTAAACCTCAAGTTTGTCTTTACAATACTACACATTCAGCTCAAACATATTACATAGTCGGTCTCTTTCCCATAAAGCTGAAGTATAAACCTAGCATAAAATACTGCGTATGCTAGTTGAGTCCTGAGACTGGTCAGAGTAGATCTTCTCCAGATGGGTTCTGGAGTCCAGATGATGAAGACGACCTAGAGAAGGACGAAGACTATACACCGATCACCAAGGTCTCTAGAAACACTGGATCGACGGGGAAAACACGACGAAGCGCTGGTGTCGCCGACAAATGGATTACTTTAAATCTGGAGAAAAATGTTAAAAAGGAAAACAGGAAAGATGATGATGCGACGACGAAGTATAAGGTTGATGAGAAAGTTCTACTGGAAAGGTTTGGTTGTAAGAGTGTCCAGGTTGGAATTAAACTGAAAGATATTCCTGAAAGTTCTCACTCCAAGTCCCAGCTCATCTCATCGGTATTCCACCGCAAGGCAAAGAGCAGGGACGTTGATCCTGAAATGACCGAAGATGAAGGAGACATCATTAAACCTCCTGATGAATTACCACTTGAACCTCTTCAAGAAATATGTTCCAACTCCGCAAAGGAACTGGAAGCGAACATCTGTTCATCAAACGCAAAAGTCCCATCTGAACCTAAGATTACAACTGCAACTGAAACTAAGGCTAAGATTAAGTCTGAAATTGAAACTAAGATTAAGTCTGAAAGTGATCCTGATTTTGTTTGTCCTATTCAGCCCTGTCAAAAAGGTAAAAAAATCCTGCTGAGCGATAAAAAGGAAGTTTTACTTCATCTGATCTCTGGACATCTACGAAAAGATAGATTCAAGCTCTACAAGGATTATAGAGGATTGAAAGGAGTGTCCAAGTGTCCAGATTGCAGATATGAGGTATTTTATCTAAATAAACACCTTAGACTTCGTATGCATTCAATTTTTCAAATTTTCAAATTTACATATTTGAGATTAAGAACAAAACAATTAAAACTTCTCAAAGTGTGATTAAACTTATTTTTTTCTTTAAAAATCATGACAATTTCACAGGTTTTTAAGAATGAAGTAAATGTCTAATGTGAAATATGAAGTCACTAAATAACAGACCACATATTGGAAATTTCGGTTTTTTTTGTCATAATGCTTTTATTTATTCAACTATTGATGATGTTGTTGTTGATTTCTTGTATTGTCTATTAATTTTATTTTAGGAGAAATCCACGAGTAAATATCTGCAACACAGGGCATTCTATCATAAAGATCTATCCACCAAACTTCAAAAGGCACTTGCTTCTAATATACTGGATAAGGTTAGAATTTTGTATTTAAAATTTTTTGTTATTTGATATTATAAAATGCACATGACTTTTTAAAGTTACTTATCCCCTCTTCTGTTCGAATAATAATTCCCCACTCCCTCTCCTCTCTCAGCAAGATACGAAATATAAAAACTTAACACATAAATTTTGAAGAAATTTGTAATCTTGTTTTTTTTTCTGCAAATGAAATGATTATTCAGTTTTGTATACCAAAAAAATATGAGGAAATATCTTATGGGTTTATAAGCATATTTAGATTTATATTACTAGCCGTAGAAGGCGCTTCGCGCCCATCTTCTAAATTAATTGTGAACATGTTCTTTTTGTGTACATCGTAAAACAAAACAAAAATAATTCGCGGATTTTCACAAAAAAGTTCGTGGATTTTTAAAATTTTCAAAAATTTAATGAAGATCGAATTTTGATGGAGACAAATGTTTGAAGTTTTGATCATTCATAAACCTTCCCTGGGGTCCCTAGATGTCCCACAAAAAATTTGGGCCCGATCGGTTTAGCCGTTTTGACGTTTATTGGATACAAACAAACAAACAGACAAGCCAAATATATATATAGATATTGGAAATATGGCGGTACATTTTTTCTAACTTTTATTTTGTTTAGGATGAAGTTCATTGTTATAAGAGTGTTGAATCCTTCCTTTCTCTCAATTGTCTGGAGAAGGTTGATTACGAATGCCGCGTCTGTAAGAAGGTGTACAAGTCCTTCCTGGAAATGCGGCTCCATGCTCTAAACCGTCACTTGAGACAAGATCCTCCCTACACGGAAACTGAGTCCTTCTACTCATGCACAACCTGTAACTCATCTAACACTACTAAGAAGGATATAGAAAAGCATTTGGCTACAGTTCATCCTGAGCTAGTGGATTCATTGATCGCTAAGATTGTGGAATCCGTAACCCCTATGTGCGTGATTAAGACTGAGATAAAAGCAGAAATTGATCTTTTTTCTACTCCTAAAATACCTAAAGGACAGTCCGGGAAAGTAGGTTCCAGGAATAAAAGGAAGAGTAGCCACTTGCCGGATGATCTCTTCACTGCTGATATTCCAAAGAAATCAAAACTTTCTTCTCCGTCCAGTTCTAAACCTGCCACACTAGAAAGTATTATGACTGTAGTGTCTAGACCAGATATGGAAAACGTTATTATTCCTCCAGAATTCCTTGGTTCAACATCATCTAATCCAGATCATCATTCAGATGTATCCTCTTCTCCCGAACTGCCTGATAAGATTAAAGAACCTGAGTCACCTATAGAACCTGTACTAGAGTCTGTTGTGAACCCTGGACCAGACCCTAGAGAACCTGATCCAGAAAATGATGTTACAAAACCTAAACCAGAGCTTGCTTTAAAACCTAAACCAAAGTCAGAAACCCAGCTTGTAAATAAGAAGTCTAAATGTAAATATTGTGATTATATGGTTAAGCAACAATCAGATTTTATTTCTCATCTTTCTAAGTTCCATACTAAGGAGTATCCTGAAATTCAGCTTTTAGAGGCAGGTGTCAAAAATTTTGAATGTGGGCTTTGCTCTTTTAGGACCAAAAAGAAGCTGGAGTTTGGAGTGCATTTGTTACGCAAGCACAAGCAAATAACATGCAATGTGATAAAAAATCAGGAAATGTGGACCAAGGGAGACTTAGAAATAGGTTCTTTTACCGAAAATATTATTGATATTGTGGAACCTAAAATTGATTTGCCTCTTGAGTTCAGTTCTTACGGTGAGGTTGACCTCTCTATAGTGGCCACTACTCCATCTCCATGCACGGAGGATAAGGATCAACTCTGCATTACCCTTGAAGATAAAGCAGACCTGTCCGATGGAGAGATTGTCTCAGATTCTGATGAGAATACCTGTGATTATTGTGATAAATCATTTTCCACTCCTAAGAAGACGTCACAGCATACATTCTCTCGACATATTTCAAGGATTGATAATATTTGGAAGGGTTTACTGAAAGAGGATCAGCATTGGTTTCAATGTTGTAATTGCCCTTTTCGCGATAAAAAATTTGTTGATGTGCAGGTTCACATTCATAATCAACATTTCAGGATTTTAAATGATCAAATTTATAAAGAAACTGAACGTAGATGCAAGGAATTTCAGATTATTGAGCCCTTAGAGATTCTGGAAGATGGGGGTGAAGATCTAGCTACAGAAGCAGTTGAAAATGTACCTGAACCCATGAATTGTAATCTTGGTCTCCTAAACAAGAAAAAGCTTGCACCTGTACCTGAACTTGAACCTACACCCAAACCTGAAACTGCACCCGAAACTGAACCTGTGCCCCAATCTGCACCTGTTCTCGAACCTGACACTGTACCAGAACTTGAACCTGATCATTTCAAATGCTTAATATGTAGTACAAAAAGTAAAAGTTTAGTTGACCTTATAGCTCATGTTGATGAGCATAGTACCACCCTCAGTGCTTTTATGGCAAACCATTTATGTCGAGAGGAATTGCGTTCCATAGAGAGCCAAAACTCTGAATCAAAGGTTAAAACTAAGATCTTTGGTTCAGCAGGAATTCCGATGCTGTTCTGCTCACAGCCTAAATGCCTCTTCGTCGAAAAGGACGAGCTCAAGCTACAAAATCACTTGCAGGTGAATTCCTTACTTTGAGCTTAGTTTGCTAATTTAAAAATAAGTAAAATTTGAATTTAGTCGCAATTAGTTAAAGTAGAACTAGGAACCGACAGTAAAACTATTTTTTATTGTGTGACGAAGTAGTTTACTTAGCCATGTCTAGCTTACTAATTCTCTGTATTATTCAACATGTTATTGCTAGTGAACAATAAATACTGTGTACATATGTACAAAATCTTATGTACAGGCACATGAAAAGGCTCTGTATATCTGTGGAAAGTGCTGTCTAGATTTCCCTAGTAAGGAGAAGAATAGAAATCATTACAAATCCTGCCAGTTCGACAGGTATTAGATCTAAATATTTTTATTCGTTTAAGGGACCGAATTTTATGAATTAACTCTTAGTCGCTGAACTGTTGCCTAATCGTAAATCACCGGGTATCTTCAACTTTGAATCTGTGATTCAAGATTTGAACTGCAGCAGTAAGTATTTTAGCGACCTTGCTCAATTTCTAAATATTTGGTCTCTGGTTTCTGAAATATAAAGAATGTGAAGCCAAAAATTTAAATTTTTAAATCTCAGCTTAGACATGATTGGAATATTTTTAGATTTTTAAAGTGTGACAGATTATGAACTATGGATGGCTTAATTTGATTTGATTAATAGATATCCTTCAATGATAACTCTAAACTAAAAATTGATTAATTGATTATAGTTTATGAACTCGGCCCTTGACTCAGTTTTGATCAATTCTTAGAATTCTTAGTTTTACATTTGATTGATTGATCGATTTTAATCGATCTATTTTAATCAACTGGGTTCATGAAACTAGGACTCCAGGTATTGATTGATTGACTGTATTCCATGGGGTTAATGAACTCGGGTCTGAACTTTGGATTAATTGATTAATAGTATTCTAGGTTTAAAAAGTGGGTTAGTGACAGGGAGTAAGGAATAGATGGGAGATATAACTGACGCGGTTCGCCCTACCATATGATTATACATGCTTTGCAGACGGGTACTCCATTTGAATAGGAAATATTTGTCTAATGTACAATTACCGCGTATACAATAACCTTTTCTGAATATTTCTTATACAAATGGAGTACCCGTCTGCAAAGCATGTATAATCATATGGTAGGGCGAACCGTGTCAGTTTTATCTCCCTTCTATTCCTTACTCCTTGGCTAGTGAACTCAGGTCTAAACTAGCGATTAATTTATTGATTGCATTCTTAAAGAAGTGGGTTTATGACCTTAGTTCTAAACTAGGGATTGATAGATTAATTGTATTCTAGGTTTAAGTAGTGGGTTTATGAACTCGGGTCTAAACTAGAGATTAATTGATTGATTGTATTCTAGGTTTAATAAGTGGGTATATGAACTCGGGTCTAAACTAGAGATTAATTAGTTGATTGTATTCTAGGTTTAAGAAGTGGGTTTATGAACTCTGGTCTAAACTAGGGATTACTACAGTTAAACTTGAGGAACCTGAGCCTACAATATCGTGTACTCACATGGTTAGTATTTTAAGTTTATTTAATCTTAAGGATTCTGTGTCTATACATTCCATGTCTATACATTCTTTGGAATATATATTATATCATATCTGTTCGGTTTCATAGTAGTGAACCTATTGTGTAAGAATTCCCATTATTACACGGTTCAGGAGGAACAATTTTAATATTGTTCGCTTCCTTGCGTTTAAGAATGCTTATTCTTACACTGTAGGTGTAGAATTTTCATTCTTTAACGCTCAGACCGTGTAAGAATGGAAATTATTACACGGTCAGAGCGTGAAAGAATGTATATTCTTACACGCTCCTTACATTGATCTTTTCAGTATAGATCAATATTGACATTAACTTAATTATTTTGTACTGACTACATGCACAGGGCAAACTCACCTTTTTCTTTTATTTTAATACATGCAAACTTACCTTTTTTAACTTAAAAACAACATGCTCACTTACCTTTTTCTTTAATATTAAAACATGCAAACTTACTACTTTAATAAAACATGCTCACTTACCTTTTTTACTTTAATAAACTTTAACTTTTAACTTAAAAACAACATGCTCACTTACCTTTTTCTTTAATATTATAACATGCAAACTTACTACTTTAATAAAACATGCTCATTTACCTTTTTTACTTTAATAAAACATGCTCACTTACCTTTTCATGCTCACTTACCTTTTTTGTTTTTTGAAGTATTGATATACCTTAATTCATAATTATCAATTTGAATCTCAACCCTAGTCCTGACAGAAGAGTGGAAATTAACATTTTCTGACCATTCCCAAAAATATGGACGATGCCTTTAGCCTTACATTAGACACTTTCATCAAACTGCTGAGTCTCAAAGCATACTGCCCGACTGTCTACTTTATAAATTTCAAACCAAGTTTGGTGAGATTTTTCAAATCTCTGCTTACTTGTAATAGTATGGTCAGAGCTTTTTAGTCTGAGTCACCATATCTCACATAGTTCGAGATGATGAAGTGAAACCACAATCAAAACTAAAAAAAGTATAAAAACTTATCATTGAAATATTAGTGTCACACTTTTAATGGAGTCTTAGCACTCCATAGCAATGAAAACAAACCAGTAAATCTTGCTTCATGAATAAAAGACAAAGACCTTCATCAGTTTATGTCGAACTGATTCTTACTAGATAACCTGCTATTATCTCCTCTTTTTGGAAGATTTATGATCAAATATCCAGAAAATGATTTCTTCTATAAATGAAGACACGATAGTGTTCAGTAGATTAAGACAACCCACTACTATACCTTCTCCCCATCTAAAAAAAATCAGGGCACATTTAACATGCTGTATCTAAATGTAGTATCAACTTAAAAAACGAGCAAAATCATTAGAAATTGGTAAACAAACAAACTAAACTAGGGAAACAATCACACCACATGCATTACTTTCAAATTAAGAACCAATTTTTACTTCTAAAATGTTTTTTTTACATTTTAACATTAGAAAAATAAAAAAACAGTGTTAGTCAGAACAAGAGCATAAAACTTACTTGCAACCTTTCTTAATGTTAATTGTTCCAACTTGAAATAGTCGGATTTCACCAGAATTATTTTTTTAATATAATTTCTTGGGTATGTACCCATGGAACCTCACAAATATGATATAATAATAATCTATCCAAAGATGATATTCATGTTCAGTGAAACATTTAAAAAAAAACGTAATAATGTAGATTGATTGATTGATTCGTTCAAAGTCTCTTATGACCTTTGAAGTACTTTGTGGCATTCAACATATGTAACTGGACTTTAGCACTATTTTTATGAAACTAAAATCACAGAATAGCGCTAGTCTTTCCATTTCAAAAATGTGGTCTGCCATTTTTGTTTTTTTTTCATAATTACTGGAGATATGAATGATTTTGTTCAGAATAAGACATTTTCTTGATTTTATTAAATAAATTAAAATATAAACATAATTTTTGAGAGCAAAAAAAAAATGCAGAATTATCTCATAATCTCAAAAAGAGTAATTTAAAGATGTGATTATTGTTTCGTAAAAAAATATTGCTAAAATCAGGTTATCTATGTATGAATGCCGCAAACCATTTCCAAGTTCAAAGGCGACTTTGTTGGCATCAATCAATAATTCAATCTACATTATTCCGTGTTCATTAGAGTTTCACTGTATAGTAAGGAGCGTCATGAAACGGGCTTTTTCTTGATTTTATACTTAAATTAGTTTTGTTGAAAAGTTTAATTCATCGAAAATATCTTTTAATTTTTTATCAAATTTTTTTAGTCAAATAACAATTGTAGACATTTTTTATTAAAAGTTTTTGATTTCCTCAAATCAAGGTGTATTCTAGTTTTGTTGACAGCGAAGAAGAGGTCAATTGAGACACAAGGTGTCGAACTAAAACCTAGTATTTTCGGGTTTCCTACAAAAAAAATTTTAAAAATGTAAAAAATTGACAAAATATTTATTCCATGGATTACGGAAGAAAACGAAACAATCCATCATACATTCTCATGGAAAATATGCTTATTTGCAAACCGGTCTAATCATCATTTTCTGAATTTCCCAGCTCTACTAAAGCAAATCCATAGAATGTGCAGAATCATCGCTCAAGTTCCAGAAAATATGACAAAAGCTAAAAAAACAAGTTACAATGGTACATCATCTAAATCTTTTTTTACAACACTATTATAGCTGGACATTGAGGACATATTTATAATCATAATTTATAGAGGAATTCCATGTACTAATGTTTCGCCATTTATTAATTATCATATTTATAGTAAAATTATTTTTTCAACAATGCGTTAATTTTGGTTTCTCGGGGTCATTAATAAATTTGCTTTTAGATAGGAGGGTGCACGGAAAAATTTTGGTTGAAGCAGGAGATGCACCAGCATGCGCGAATATGTGCGCATAGACCTCAGACTTCTATTGTATGCCCATGCTCAAAGAAGTAAGCCAAGGATTAAGTTTTGATTTGATTTGATTTGATTTGATTTGATTTGATTTGATTTGATTTGATTTGCTATGCTATGCTATGCTATGCTATGCTATGCTATGCTATGCTATGCTATGCTATGCTATGCTATGCTATGCTATGCTTTGATTTGATTTGATTTGATTTGATTTGATTTGATTTGATTTGATTTGATTTGATTTGATTTGATTTGATTTGATTTGATTTGATTTGATTTGATTTGATTTGATTTGATTTGATTTGATTTGATTTGATTTGATTTGATTTGATTTGATTTGATTTGATTTGATTTGATTTGATTTGATTTGATTTGATTTGATTTGATTTGATTTGATTTGATTTGATTTGATTTGATTTGATTTGATTTGATTTGATTTGATTTGATTTGATTTGATTTGATTTGATTTGATTTGATTTGATTTGATTTGATTTGATTTGATTTGATTTGATTTGATTTGATTTGATTTGATTTGATTTGATTTGATTTGATTTGATTTGATTTGATTTGATTTGATTTGATTTGATTTGATTTGATTTGATTTGATTTGATTTGATTTGATTTGATTTGATTTGATTTGATTTGATTTGATTTGATTTGATTTGATTTGATTTGATTTGATTTGATTTGATTTGATTTGATTTGATTTGATTTGATTTGATTTGATTTGATTTGATTTGATTTGATTTGATTTGATTTGATTTGATTTGATTTGATTTGATTTGATTTGATTTGATTTGATTTGATTTGATTTGATTTGATTTGATTTGATTTGATTTGATTTGATTTGATTTGATTTGATTTGATTTGATTTGATTTGATTTGATTTGATTTGATTTGATTTGATTTGATTTGATTTGATTTGATTTGATTTGATTTGATTTGATTTGATTTGATTTGATTTGATTTGATTTGATTTGATTTGATTTGATTTGATTTGATTTGATTTGATTTGATTTGATTTGATTTGATTTGATTTGATTTNAAACAAACAGACAAGCCAAATTTATATATAGATTGTTATCAATATTATCAATATTATCAATATTATCATTATTATCAATATTATCAATATTATCAATATTATCAATATTATCATTATTATCAATATTATCAATATTATCAATATTATCAATATTATCACTATTATCACTATTATCACTATTATCACTATTATCACTATTATCACTATTATCACTATTATCACTATTATCGTTATTATCATTATTATCATTATTATCAATATTATCATTATTATTATCATTATTATCATTAATATCATAATTATCGTTAATATCACTATTATCACTATTATTAGTATTATCATTATTATCAATATTATCCATATTATCAATATTATCAATATTATCCATATTATCATTATTATCTTAATTATCGTTAATATCACTATTATTAGTATTATCATTATTATCATTATGTTTATTATGTTTATTATTATTATTATGTTTATAATTACTTTTATAGGTTCTATTACCCTGAAGATTATGAAAGTCACATGATGAAAAAACATCCAGATTCCAGAAACCAAAATTAAAATTAAAATCTGATTTTTAATATCTATGTTATCAGCCATCAACCGAGTTCTGGTCTGGTCTTAATTGATAAACATAATGTGATTTAATAAAGTATGATTTTAATGTAAATATATACTTTTGAACTATTTCCCTCTGAATGAGGGCCTGAAAATATTTTTTTTTATATTTTATTTAAAAAAATATTTTTTATGAAAATTTGTTCAAAATTTCACGTATTTCAGAAAAAAATGTTGTTTTTAAGTGAATGATATGGGGAAACTAGGCACATTAACTTTAAAAACTAAAACTAAAATTTTATTTGAAATTTGAAATTTTTTACATTTTAAAAATTTTAAAACTTAAATTGAATTCAGTTTTAGGACAAAACTTATCATTGTGTAATAAGCTCTTAGTATTATTATTATTAGTATCTCTTTTTTCTCACTCATACTACAGGGGATACAGGGTGTCCCAATAAACTTGGGAATTGGGAGATGACATTTTAGAACTCTGAATTGGGGTCTAGCTGCTCTGTATCTTAAAATTAATGGAGAAAATACAAAACAGAATAATTTGGGTTTTTTTGCTTTTATTCTAATTGTGTCATTTATCCACTGGAAATTTATTTCCGCCTTTTGCGGTTATTTTTTGAGGAGGGCTTAGCCTAGATTTCTACTGAATGAGTGTCTTATGTTTGTTTAATTGGTTTAATATGATGATTATTAATGTGATTGCAAAGGACCTACTCTTTCACTTGCTCAGTTTATGCTAAGAAATCAAGTAATTAAACAGTACAGGTAAAATTAGTAAAATTATATATCTTGCTGTAAATTATCAGAAATAGAACAATCATTGTTTGCAATTCTGCAAATATATTTCTTTTAAACAGTAAAACAGAAAAATCTTGGGAATAAAAAATGATTTTTCAATGGGGTGAAAAATACAAGTGGTTATTCTGCAGAAATACAAAGACAATTTATTTTCAATTTTCAATTTACCACTTGACAACTTTTTTAATTTCAGAAATTTTATCCGAACTGCTCGCCGACTACCGGATAAAAAGCAATCTCAAGAAATTATCGACTGGGTCAGTCCATGCTCAAACTTTTCAACATTTGAAGTCCATTATTTTATATTCCTAAATATTTCAAGTATTATTAGATTTATGGGCTGCAGGTTTTTATACTAATTAAAATATTCAAATGTGAATGTATCCAGTGAAAAGTTGTCAGGATGAAAGGATGAATGAATGATGGATATATCCTGTATCGGACTGATCTTGTTATCTTCACTACTCTGGGGTTCTACGGATGCTTTGATAAAACTGTTTTCTCCTCCACAGCTTAAGCAGAAGAGAGGAGACGGTTTCTGGGCTAAACATTTAATACAAGATTTTATCTTTCTTCTTGGGTCACCAGGTAGCATTTTTTCCATAAATAGTTCTCCCTTAAGATTTGTAAGTTGGTTGTGAATAAACGTACAGGGTCACCCACAAAGAATGAGACTGCAAAGACGACCAGAAACTCATGTAATATGACGACTCCTAGGTTAAATTAAATCTTCTGCATTATATATATTCTTTTAATACCATTAATGATTTGGCAAAGAGAGAAAAAAATTAACAGTTGCATGAAGTCGTGAATATAAGGAAACAGACAGTATAATATCCGTACAGTCGTCTATGAAGTCTCATTCTTTGTGGGTAACACTGTAAAACTAGCTTCAAGTTACTATTTTAATTCTTGGTTCTATGAACTTTTTAAAGATTTTCTATTCATAATTGTTTCCCCTCGTTAGATACAATTTTGTGGACTTTGAAATTATTTGATTTTTTAAAAGGCATGTCTTTGACGCATCCAGGGGCGCAACTATCACTTTTTCACTTTATCACCATTATTTCCCCTTCCGTGCCACATATTAGCTGGCCATGAGCCTCCAATATTTCCCCTTCCGTGCCACAACAATTGACTCTTCCGGACAAAACCACTTTTTTAAATGGTATATTTAGGGCCTTTAAATTGTGATTTTCAAAAACTCAAACCATTTTCAATTCTACATAAGATTAATATGTTTTGCGTTGAATTCTTAAACTGCTTTACAATAACATTTTTGGCAAATTTGACTGAGTAGTGAGTATTGCATCTTGAAATATCACAAAGTTGGTTAATGAGTGATTTTAAGATGGATTTAGTATAATGAGTCTGTGATTGAAAAAATGTCAGACGAGGATACGACCACAACGGGAAATTGAAGAGCAATTAAATTAATCCGTGGATCTGCATAAGAAAGGAGATAAATGCTTTATCCCAAGATTTATTCTAATTCTCTTTGTTATTGTTGTAGGATACCTTGCTTGTCAGGGGTTTAACCAGTTAGGTAGCCTGGTATACTACTACACCCTAACTCTAGCCCCGCTATCCCTCGTAGTCCCAGCAGTTAATACAGGGAAAATACTCTTCAATATATTAGGTAATTAGATTCATCAATCATCAAAAGTCATAATCAATATTTTTCGGGAGGAAAGTCGTCTAAAGTCTATTTTTTAAGTGAGCTCTGAACATTTTCAGAAACATATCATTAATTGCAGATTATAAATTTTTCAAGTTTTATTTCTAATTAAAAGCTTATTCTGAATTTGACTGTAGTAACAAGAAAACCGTCATCTTCTTTCCTTTCTTGTAGTTAAAAAGGTTGCTGAGGTTTTTATTTCATTTTTATGACGATAATATGTCATATATGTGTATTGTGTAAAATTGATAAAAACACATTTTCAGAATTTAATCAGTTACAAATATCAAAATTTTAGCGACATTTCATAAGACAGACAGAAGATGAATATTGGTTCTTGACTTTTTAATAGTTGGATAGTTAGAAATTAAACAAGTAGTCCATCAACTCTACAATTCAGCCGAATACAATTATTAAATATCAATTAAATATTATTTACCTTTTTTTCAGTTGGAAGAATATTCTGTAACGAACGTTTGAGTTCAAGACAGTGGGTTGGAGTCCTGCTTCTTGGTACTGGAGTCATTCTTCAAGTCTATCCGAGGAGTTAACCTGGAGTCCTTTTTGAACCTGGAGTCATATTTTAAGTCAATCATATGAGTTAACCTGGTGTCCTTTATTTGTGTTACTGGAGTTATTCTTCAAGTAAGTCTGAGGAAGTTAACCAGTTCAGCTCAACTCAAAAGCTGCCAAGTGAAAAAAAAATGGCGGCCTGTGAGAAAAATCGAACAATTATCGAGGATCTAGAAAGTTGTGATAATTTTTGCTCTGAAGTTCACACGTTCAGTGACTGGGTTAAAGAAGAGGAAAAAAACATGGCAAGGTTTAGATTCTCTTTTCCTCCAGGACTCTCTTCACATTCAGGGATTTGGGAATCAAAGGTAAAGAATTATTAACAGTGTACCCTTAAGATATAGTTTCAGGTAAATCTTTAAATCCATTATTTTCTCTTTGGAATTTGATAATTTTAAAATGTGCTTTAAAAGTAATTTGTCTCAAAAACAATGGAGGGAAATGTTACGAATAAACATAGTGAATCTAGAAAATATCTTTCATATTGTTACTTATATCATGGTTTAAAGGGTACCATAGTGAATCGGGCATGTCACACTTATTTGAAGTCACTTAAAACGATTATTGAGATATCTTCGTTTTTTTCAATAAAAAATGCAACAGATGGCCGCGGCTTTACAAAGAAAGACACATAAAAGGGTCCCTTACTTCATTGTTTTTCAAGTAAGGTTTAAAGGGTGATTCCTCTGCAATCATTTTAAGCTACGTTGCCAGTTTCTTATATCCTAACATCTTGACTAGGGGCTCATATTGAGAATCTGTCTGCTGTAGAGGTTTTAATTTTATCTTTAATTTTCAACCGGTTTAGTAGGACAAACAAGATCGTTAAAAAACATAACAAACACCTGAGTCTGATTTGATTTGATTCGATTTATTCGATTTGATTTAATTTGATTTGATTTGATTTGATTTGATTTGATTTGATTTGATTTGATTTGATTTGATTTGATTTGATTTGATTTGATTTGATTTGATTTGATTTGATCTCAAATGATCTGATCTGATCTCATCTCATCTGATTTAACAATACCAGGAACCTGAGTATGATAGTGATGGAGATATAATTGTGAGAAGACGAGGAGATGATGATGAAGGAGTAGTCCAACTCCAACATGACCTATCAACTCCTCTGGCTGGAGTTGGTAAACAGATATGGCGAGGGAGCCTTCTTCTTGCTGACTACTTCCTTCACAATCATCAGAAGGTTTTTTTTTCAATTCTTCACTCAAAATATAAACTTTTAACTCTGATAATAAATTATTATCTTTTTAAAAATAAAATGGTTTTTAATTCAGGGAAACTATTTTTTTCGACATTTTTGACCAGTTTAAGGTTTCAAGAATATCGTTGTAAATCAGGCATTGTCCTTGAATTTACGCTTACAGTCCCTTTAACGTGATTTTTTTACTTTAATGTGTAAAAATGATGCATAGATCAAAATTTTATTTTTTTACTCTGAGTTAGACGGTTTGCATCAAATACCTGAATAGAAAAATCTGATCGTCTCCAAAGTTCCAAACGATTACTTCTCTCGTCCAAAATGTCAACTTAACATTGTCAATAAAAATTTATAATTGCTATTTAGATGCAGAATAAGAAAATTCTTGAGCTTGGATCTGGAACCGGATTGGCTGCTATAATTGCCTCCTTCTGCGGAGCAAAGTAAGCTAATTTTTTCCAGATAAGATTTTTTTACTCCTTACTTTATTCATATAAGATTTTTTACTCATTACTTTATTTATATAAGATTTTTTTACTCCTTACTTTATTTATATAAGATTTTTTTACTCATTACTTTATTTATATAAAATATTTTTTTAGAGTTGTAGCTACTGATATTGATGGGGTTGGTGTACTTGAAAGAATTAAAGAAAACATCCTGAAAAACAATTCTCTACTAAAGATGGATATTTTAGTAAAATCCTGCGATTTAAGAAAAAACAAGTACTCTGAGTTGATGGAGAACTTTGATCTAATAGTTGCTGGAGATATAATCTACGATGATGATATTACCGACGCATTTATTGACTACCTGGAGAGTGTGTGGCAGGTTGACCGTAGTGTGGAGGTTCTCATCTCCTTGGAGAAGAGGTTTGTGTTCACTCTTGAAGCTCTGGACACAGTAGCACCAGCTTACGATTACTTTCGGAGTAAACTGACCAGCCAGGAGCAGTTGTACGATCTCAGAGTTCAAGACATATCCGTAAACTTCAAGCAATACTTCTGCTATGATAAAGAATCCCATATGGTCCTGTTATCTATCAAATGTAATCAAATTGTCTAAAAATACATTTTTCCGATACGGACTTAAGTTTTTTTTTTGTCCCAAGATTTTAATAAATGTAAATGTATGAGTGGACTGGGTTGGGTTAGGTGAGAGCAGATTTTCAGCAGAATAAGAATATTCCGCATCAGGAGGAGGATAAGATCAAAGCTCTGCTCTATCAGGTGCATGGATTCATCTTTTTAAAATTCTGTGATGGTGATGGGCCAAACCTCTGTAGAGTAAAAAAGTAGATGTTAGTTCCACATTTATTGAAAATATATTTCGGTCTGGGTTGACCCTCTTCAATTTTACGATATAAAAGCCATCAAAATCGATAAAAAAAAATAAAAAATGTAAAAAATCACAAGAAGATAAACAAACATCTTATTTCTCAGATTAATCAAAGCAAACAACAAATTTTCCAAAATGCAACAAATTTCATTGTTTCGTTGTCCGTTGATATATATGGATGATTTTTATTCATTTTCTCTACAAAAATTTCTGTCGGTGAACTTCAACTATCAATCATCATCTTAACTTCAACTTCTTGACCGATCTTTTAATTTTTATCTTCAGGGAGAAAAGATGCTTAATGAATTAAAGCAAAATGTTGATCTAGCATTGGCCTAAACAATCCAGGTGGGTAATCATTGATCAATCAATAAAATTTATATTTTGCAGAAATAAATCTTAAATTATAAAATTTTCTTCAATTTGCAGGATGGGTAGTGTTATTCCTAGAAATGTCTCAAAGTCTGTCTTTGGAAAAAATCTGTTCGCTCCTAGTTGGTATTGCCGAGATAGACCCTTCTGCAGTTCTTCAAATAATTTTACTGCTGAAGAATCTGAACCTCTCTACCCTGGACATATAGAGACATCGTCCCTCCAGGTACCATTTTAGATACGGGATCTGAAACTCATTACCCTTGACTTATTGAGATATCGTCCCTCCAAGTACTTCATAAGATACGGGACCTGGAAAAATAAAAACATCGTCTCTCAAGGGACTACATTAGATACGGGACCTGGACATATAGAGACCTCGTTCCTCTAGGTACCATATTAGATACGGGACCTAAACCTCTCTACGCTGGACTTATAGAGACAACGTTCCTCCAGGTACAAAATTATATACATGATCTGAACCTCTCTACCCTGGACATATAGGCATCGTTCCTCCAGGTACCATATTTGATACGGGGTCCGAACCTCTCTACCCTGGACATATAGAGAGATCGTTCCTCTAGGTACCATATTAGATACGTGGATCTGAACGTCTCCACCCTGGACATATAGAGACTTTGTCCCTCCAGTACCATATTTGATACGGGGTCTGATCCTCTCCACCCTTGACATATAGAGACATCGTCCCTCCAGGTACCATTTTAGATACGGGGCCTAAACTTCTCCACCCTGGACATATAGAGACAACGTTCCTCCAGGTACCTTATAGATACGGACCTAAACCTCTCCACCCGGGACATATAGAGATATCGTCCCTTCAGGTACCTTATAGATAAGGGGCCTAAACCTCTCTACCCTGGACATATAGAGACAACGTTCCTCCAGGTACCTTATAGATACGGGACCTAAACCTCTCCACCCTGGACATATAGAGACATCGTCCCTCCAGGTACCTTATAGATACGGGACCTAAACCTCTCTACCCTGGACCTGAAGAGACATGGTCCCTCCAGGTACTATACAAGATACGGGTATGAACCACTACCCTGGACATTAGAGTTCTCGTGTTTCCAGGTACAATATTAGGCCCGGACCTTTCTGTCACAATTACTTAATTTATCAATAAGATTTTGCACTCAAATCGAAAAGTCAAATGTTAGTTAATTCTTTGTTATCTTACGATGCAAAATCACATGATAAATTACTTATTGTGCACAATATCTACAGATATATGACAGATCTTAAAAAAATTTTATGAATATCTATCTTTCTATCTAGAAACTACTGTTGGCTGGTGGGTCTGCTTTGATTGCCCTCTCCAACCCCTGGAGAGCAGATATGGTAGCGGTCAATGGGGAGGTCACAGGCACTCAAGCACTTAGGTCAGGGCCAAAATAGTTAAAGTTCAAGAAGTACATTAAGTTCAAAAAATAAATTAATTTGTTTTCTTGAGGTTAAGATGTACATTTGAACACTTTTGGGTCAAGAAGTTCATTTGAATAAATGAGGTTAATTAGTTAATTTGCTTACTTAACCACAAGGTAGAAATTTGCTTTCTTGAGGTCTAAAGGTACATTTTATTTCTTGTGGTCAATAGGTAAATAAACTCACTTAAGGTCATAGAGTACATTTGTTGACGTCAAGTTGAAAAGTTTATTTGTACAATCTGTCCATAGTCTCTTTCCCACCTAGCTTTGTATAAGATAAAGTATGCCAATTAGGAAGGATTAGTAATTATCTCAGGGGCGGAAGTTTTAGAGACAATCGTTGAATGCAACTCCCGTGTTTCCCTTATGGGGTATTTACATTTTTGTAGATTTCAATGTAAGCATTAAAAAATGATGATGATAATTATATGAAAAGTATTTAAACCAAGAAATTAATATCTACAAAATTGTCTCATCCCATTCAGGATACGTTGTCTTAAATTTTAGGCTCAGAATGAATTAGGTTTCATATTGCATTCCTTTGTATACGGTGGAAGGTTACTTTTGATTTTAATTTTGATTTCAATGAAGCTGTTAAACAGCATGGATACAGAAAAACATAGAAACAAAACTATAAAAAAGTTTCTCTTTAATTGCTTGAAAAATTGTAATTCTAAAAAAATCTTGTTAACAATTAAACTAAAAGAATAATGTTGTCTTTCTCATATTGATATATACACCTACTACCGTACCTAGATAGATTGTTAAAAACCCAATTAGCTTCAGTCTACGTTGTATGGTTTATCATTTGTCAAGTTCATTTAGATGTTTAATATAAACTAACTTGGGAACACAGCTTTGCCGGGAAACTAAACTTTTACTGTAGAGAGTTCTTAAACCAAAACAAGAACGTTCCCGTGGTTTGAGGCAAATCGGTCAAGGGGTTCTTGAGTTATTATTAGACATCCGATCAAACAAGAGTAAAGACAGATAAACAGAGATTTTTTCTCTAGGTACATGCTAAGTAAGTTAGAGGAAACTGAAGAAGGGCGGCGAATACTGGCAGATAAACCTAGAATTGGCGGAGATACCCTCAACTCACTGGCAAATCATCCGCCGCAGTCCCTAGGAGGCGTATACCACGCTTTTATGAAAAAGTAAACGTTTTTTATAGCTCATAACAACCAAATTCATTTTCTTCTAGTAAACCACTATACGGGGATACAAAGAATGTCTTTGACTAAAAAGTGGGATTTTTTTGCCATAAAGTTCTTAACTTTTATGGACTTATGGTTCTTGGGGGGGGGGGGGTAAATCTTTGTTTATTTCTATTATCTATTTTTTAATGTCAAAATTATGTGAAGAAGTTATCATAATATGGTTTTAAATACCTTTATTTTAAAAGGATTAATTATTAATAATAATGAATTCTGTTGCAGGTATAGTTTGACCCCAGATTCGCGTGACATTGTACAGTTTGTAGATGACCCACAGCTGGCCTACGTCATGACACGATACAGGTAAAAGTTTAAATGTGAAAGTTGCATTATTTTTTTAAGTAAACATAGTTATTCTTTTGATAAAATTGTTGATTATTGCTGACCGTAAGGGTTGTGGTAAGGTCCTAACTCAAATTTTGGCCCGAAACCTGTTTAAAAACAAATCACGAAACCCCAGTCACTCCTGATTAAGATGCCTTTATCACCTATATAGATAACATGGGCAGATTTGAACGGGGAACAAATATTAATCTTGAAGTAATTATCTTGAGAGTTCTGAAAACTTTAGCAAACACACGATATAGATCATATTAATTTTGAAGTAATTATCTTGAGAGTTCTAAAAACTTTAGCAAACACACGATATAGATAATATTAATCTTGAAGTAATTATCTTGAGAGTTCTGAAAACTTTAGCAAACACACGATATAGATAATATTAATCTTGAAGTAATTATCTTGAGAGTTCTGAAAATTTTAGCAAACACACGATATAGATAATATTAATCCTGAAGTAATTATCTTGAGAGTTCTGAAAACTTTAGCAAACACACGATATAGATAATATTAATTTTGAAGTAATTATCTTGAGAGTTCTGAAAACTTTAGCAAACACACGATATAGATAATATTAATCTTGAAGTAATTATCTTGAGAGTTCTGAAAACTTTTGCAAACACACGATATAGATAATATTAATCTTGAAGTAATTATCTTGAGAGTTCTAAAAACTTTAGCAAACACACGATATAGATATTATTAATCTTGAAGTAATTATCTTGAGAGTTCTAAAAACTTTAGCAAACACACGATATAGATAATATGAGCAGAATGTAATTGTACACCAGTTAAATGTTAACAAAATGTGTGATTGTCTGTTTTAGGTTTCGCGGTTTATTACTTAATATATACGTATGGATATTGTTTATTGGGGCCTATGATAGAAAGATAGAACTTGTCACATGACCTAATGGTTGGATTTAGAGTTAGGGCCTTAGCTAGCACTATCCCACCATAATGATTGAACCAAATTGTCATCTCAAATTAATTTTCAATAATTTCTCAGCAGTTAAAATGTCATGTCGTATAATTTATTTAACTTATTTCTCAGCAGTTAAAATGTCATGTCGTGTAATTTATTTAACTTATTTCTCAGCAGTTAAAATGTCATGTCGTGTAATTTATTTAACTTAATTCATTTTTTAATCAAACTTTTCCCTTAGATATTTCCAACAATCATTTTAAGTTAAAAAAGGAAATACTTTTATTTTATGATAGAAGCATGCTTTAGGGAGACGCATGACCTAACGCATGCTGTTCTGGGTATGCCGACAAACATGCTGGGTGAAGTACTTGTCAAGTGGGTCGAGGCGGTTCAGACACGCCTTCCTATGTGCGTGGGTGGAGCTATTCTTGGTCCCATCAGGTCAATCTTCAATTTGACGCATATTTGAACTTAAAACTGAGCGATTTTGAATCTGTTCTTGATTTTTGGATTAAAAACTGTTGACCTCAAATTTATGAAGAAACTAATTGTCTTATTTTTGTAGATTTAAATCCAAGCAGAGAGATAAATATCTAGAAGTACTTTCCTGGGCAATAGAGTAAGATTTATATGATTTTACATATTTTAGCATTCGTTTAAAGAGGCTATAAATTATTAAGACAAACCCCCCTCACCCCCACTTCCCTTTCTGCCTTCCCCACCCCCACCCCTTAAGCCGCCTGTGATCACACAAGTTACAACAGATAAAGTTAATTATAGAAAACATAGAAATAGTGAAATAACATTAAAGTAAAAACCTCAAGAAGTACAAAAAAAATTAGAACGAACATTTTTTCAATTTCTGATTCTACTTAATTTTTTCGCTTTGTGCAACACAGCAGTTAATCTATGTTTAAACCGTAATCTTATGGAACAATTAACTCCAATTTATCTCTCGAATTTGAATGCATTTTATCTGTTATCTTTTAGTTTACAATGGTTTGTATTTGCTGTATCGTGTACTAAAACAGTTCATGGTTCAGACCCCAGTCTTCACTCTTCTTTTGTTTTGCAATTAAATCAGAGCTGGGAACTCTTGAATTGTGGATATCGAGATCAATGCTTGATCTCCATATTCTGTTAATCTGCAGATTAATTTAATCTGTATTCGATATCTGCAGTGTAAATGTACCCTGAAGTGATAAATAAAATAAAAATAAAAGAGCCCAGAGTTTATATCGAGCTCAATTATCGGGATTATAAGTATTCAACACAAAGGTTCCCAGCTCAGGATCATTTAGACGGAGACCTGGATTTGATTCCGTTCATTGTGTATTATGTACGAACTCTTTTTTTGTCTAAAGATCTTGAACATAATTCCCAATTTAGGGTTGGACGTGACGCCAAGTTTTTACCTGGAATTTACTACGAGGAGAGATGGGATCAAGATATTCTAGAGTTTAGAAAAGAAATAAATATTAAACATCCTCCCAGTTTGAAGTAATTTAACAAATCTCTCAAATTTTCGAAAGATAAATTAACAAAATATGTTATTAAGAAAATGGAGGTCATGTCATTTTGCACCAAAAAATATTATATTTTTTGTTTATCTAGGAAACATTCTTTTTATTTGTTTCAGAAAAATGCCTGAAAAAGAGAAGAAAAAACCGGTTTTGGACAAAATAGTGATTGACACGATGCCCCCCAAATCAGGCGCATGTGTCTATCATAACTTCCTGTACGCACTGCTGGGTCTAGGGGGTGCGCTTTATCTAGCATTTATTCTGGACAGAGAATCATTCGACAAATATTCAAAACAATATTCTTATCTAGGAAGGAAGTTTAAAGTGTAGTATTAATATTTTAAAACATAATCTAATAATATTCAATTTTATTGCTGTAGTTTTAATTGCTCTAAAATGTTTCCATAAGTTTTCAGAACAAAAAACAACGTTTCATTGCATTTTCTCAGGCCTGAGTTAGTACTTACGACGTCCCTAAAAGTCTCATTTGCTTTTTGGATCAACGGATTTCTACTAAAGTTTCACTTATGAACAAATATTTGAACTTCAGATTTTGTCAGGATATGTCCGAACAGTGTTCAGTACTGTAGAGGAGTACTCACCCTTCCACCAGTTCATGGAGACAGACGAGGAATTCATGGATAGGGATACAGTTTATTATTATTATTATTACTATAATTATTATTATTATTATTATTACTATAATAACTATTATTTATTTATTACTATTTATTATTATTATTATTATCATTATCATTATTGATATAATCATCATTTTCATTTTTGTTTTTGTTAAAATCATCAATATTTTCACTAGTATTGAATAATGTTGTCATTGCCAATTCTATGATTTTAAAATTAATAAACTGTATAGGATGAAGAAAATGGATCCACAACCTTCAGTTTCCAAGAGTTCATCTTCAAGAGTTAAAATTTTTACTAAAGTAAATCAAGACAAATAAAATGAAAAAATTAAAAAATGATTTAAAAAATCCTCATTTTTCAATTACAGATGGGACAAGACAGGACTAAAAATGTCTAGAACTATTAAAGGTTCTATCTGAAAAGTAATTTTCTATCGAATTCTAGAATTTAAGAAATTTTTGTGGTTTTCTGAGTTTTTTATTAGGGTACTCCAAATAAGACCAAGGTGGGATATTTGTATTATGCAGACCGGAATGAACTAATATTAAGTCATACAAATTCAGGGGGGACCACTTTTACCGTCTGATAAGCTATTCAGAAATATGCACATAATCTACCTACATTGCTGTTTCGCAACTGGCGTTGCCCTAGTTTGTATAAAAATAGTACTGTGTAGAACTTCTTTGAACCGAACCGTAAGCACTCCGTTGCTCAATCCTCCTCATGTTGAATAAATACACAGGGTAGGGCTTGAACTTTTATTACAGATTGACAGCTTCAGTCTAATGAACAAAGAACATTTATTTCTCATGGAAAAAAGCATTGAGGGTACAAGAAACAAATAAAGTATCCCTCAGGCATTAAAAAACCATGAACAGCCCAATATTTATCATACGATTACTTACAAAAATATTTCTCAAGGATACATATTGAATATAAGAAATAAATATTTTAGAACTTTTTCTTGAAAACATTGAGTAGAATGAAAATAACATTTAAACATATTTACCACAGTCATTCGCAGGGTTTTCAGCACGAAATATTAGCACACTTTACAGATTCTAACTATATACTAGGAAAAACGTTTTAACACAGAACGCGTCCATGACACAAAACTGCGCCTGCGCAGTAAAATCAAAACATACGATATACAACAAGTTTCTCTCCGTATTCAATTCTTTCCAGAAACATCTGTACAGACCACTCTCTTGTCAGGGGTGAACAAAATTTTCCCATTGAACAGGGGCATTCCATAGACTCAAGAGACGCGACATGGCTCGCGTAACAATTGCTCATAAAAAATATTTCTTGAATATATATATATATGGCATATATCATTTTCTCCGTAATTGTCTAAAAAGATTAAATCCATTGAAGTTTTAGTAAAATTTCAAAAATTGGTAAAGTTAGGCAAGAGTTAGGAAAAGTACATTTTTTTGAGGTTAATGAAATTTTTCAAAAATATCAATGGATTTAATCTTTATAGACAATTACGAAGAAATAATATATGACATGATGAATGTTTTATTCCGGCTGAGTTTCTAGAGATTGTCCCTTTAAATATGAATGTTTTATTCCGGCCGAGTTTCTAGAGATTGTCCCTTTAAATATGAATATTTTATTCAGGCCGAGTTTCTAGAGATTGTTCTGTTAAATATGAATGTTTTATTCAGGCTGAGTTTCTAGAGATTGTCCCTTTAAATATGAATGTTTTATTCAGGCTGAGTTTCTAGAGATTGTCCCTTTAAATATGAATGTTTTATTCAGGCTGAGTTTCTAGAGATTGTCCCTTTAAATATGAATGTTTTATTCAGGCTGAGTTTCTAGAGATTGTCCCTTTANCCCCCCTGTGTACGCCTCAGTTTCGAATCATTTATCATTCATGGTGTTTTTCAAAGCAAATATTGACTTGACGTATAAAATCAATTAAAATATCATCTTGTTGACTGTCTATGGCTGCCCAGCGACCAACATTTAACGTTTAGTGTGACAGTTACAGTTTCACGATTTTGCCCGAACGGCGAACATGCAGCTCTTTAAGCACACAGGTCTGATAAATATTAATTAATAACAATAATAATAATGATACTAGGTGTATGATGTGACCAAGGGGAAGGATTACTATGGCCCTGGGGGTGGATATGCGTTTTTCAGGTAAACATAATTATTTTTTACAATTTAATTTTTTTCATCGATGTAATAAGCCGTTTATATTTTATTATTTTCACTATTTTTATTTAACTACAACGTATCAAATTATGATTAAAAACCATGGTTTACTGATTATTAAGTCTATTTTAAGTAATATTTCAAGGGGCATTTTATAGAAAAGGAAATCGTTAAAATTTTGATTCTGTGAAAAACGTTCTTTTAAGTTTCTCATTGATTTGATTTGATTCTTTTTCATATTGTTCTAATGAAAGGAAAAAGAATCGGATCAAATTAAAAGTAAACATCATGTTTTGTAAAATTTCCTAATCCTCAAAAATCTGTATTGCTTGGCGGTCACTCTGTGTTCTGCAGTGGTCGAGATGGATCTAGAGCATTTGTTAGCGGTCAGTTTGACGAGGCAGGACTTATTGATGACGTCAGAGGACTCTCTAGCTCGGACTATCTGGGACTAAAGGTATTATAATTGGTAGCGTTCTGGTAAAACTCCTTGAAGGAAGGGGGGGGGGGATTAAATATTTTGGTTGTGTTGTATTACTTTCATTTCATCCAAATCTTAGTTTGTCGAGATTTTCAAAATGCTTTGAAAAATAGAAATGTTACCAAAAAACGGCTAATTTTTTTCATTATTTCTTATTTTAGGTTTAAATTCTTTTTTTAACGCTATTTGCAACAATTTTTAAATAAACATGGACGAACATTTGGTAATCGCTTAGTAAGTACTGCCTGGGGCCAACCCATTTTTTGTGATCATGGTTGTGGAATAAAATGCTATTTTTCTTTTTTGACAAAACCTAACCCGGAACAGGAGTGTACTTTAACAAATAATAGATNAAGAAGGTTGGATTATTAGAAGATGGAAGGTTTATAAAGATATCTTATTGTTTAGCAATGGGAAGAGTTCTATACTAAATATTACAAGAAGGTTGGATTATTAGAAAATGGAAGGTTTATAAAGATATCTTATTGTTTAGCAATGGGAAGAGTTCTATGCTAAGGATTACAAGAAGGTTGGATTATTGGAGGGAAGGTTTTACAATAAACAAGGAGAAGTTACAGAAGAATGGAAACAATTACAGGTATTTAAAACGTTCATTAAAACAATTAAATGAATAATTGAATCTAACAAGTGAAAATATATTGATGACAAATAACAAATCTCCATTTAAAACCAATTTAGGTAAGGATGTCACAAAAATATAATATAGTTAACTTTTATTTTCAGAGAGATATTTCCGCAGCTGTGAAGGAACAGGATACACAAGACTCGGAGAAAAAGGTCTTTCCACCCTGTAATGTAGAGTGGACCAAGGAGAAAGGGACAAGGTAGGTTAATTTATCCACCCTGTAATGTAGAGTGGACCAAGGAGAAAGGGACATGTAGAGTGGACCAAGGAGAAAGGGACAAGGTAGTTTAATTTACCCACCCTGTAATGTAGAGTGGACCAAGGAGAAAGGGACAAGGTAGTTTAATTTACCCACCCTGTAATGTAGAGTGGACCAAGGAGAAAGGGACAAGGTAGTCTCGAGATTAAGAAAAAGAGAGGTTTAAACATTAATCTTGACATCCACCATTCTAAAGTTTTCAGCTCTGTATATGTTTAGGTTCTGCTGAAGAGCTAAATCTGGTGGCATATTAGTTAGTGGTTCTTAGAAAACTGTGCGCTGTGAATTTGTATGTTCTGCTGTACAGATTAATCTTGTGATATATTTATTAGGGTTTATAGAAAACTATACAATGTACATATTTAGGTTCTGGTGTACAGCTAAATCTGGTGGTATATTGGTTAGGGTTGATAGAAAACTGTACATTGTACATGTTTAGGTTCTGGTGTACAGCTAAATCTGGTGGTATAGCTAGGACCTGGATAGGGGTTCCTAGAAAATTGTTCTATCCCGGCAGGTAACAATCAGGAAAAAATTTAGGTTCAGTTTACAGTGTACTCAGATGGTTCCTCCTCAAAACAAATTTGGGTCAGGCTTTCTGATTTCAAATTTGGAAAAAATCTAAATTTATCAAGGTTAAGGGATAAACATTGCCATTTTTGTGGTAAAATCTAACTAATAAGAAAAAAATGCAAGTTTTGGCAAATTTGCAAAGGTATTGAATTGAGTCTTTCTTTGAAACCGAATGTCTTAGACCCTAGAAATTTCAAGCAATGTATAATGGTTTACACAATCAGGTTGCAAGATATAGGAATTAGAATATTTTAGTTTGGTCATCAAAGTCAAATGGAAAACCAATTATTATGCTTTTTAAGCAAAACTTGTTGTGGCTAATTTTCTTTTAAACATTTTTATTTCTAATTTTACGTGTGATCCAGGGATGAGAGGTGCGCATGTGTACGGGATACAGGGTCCCCCTCAACTGATCCAGGGGCATCTTCAAACAGGGGGGACCTTGACAACCCCCATCTCAAACAATATCAAGATTGTCCCCCGGACAGCTTCGAATGTTGGAACAAAGCGAAATAAATGATAAATATCAAGTCTGGCCCCTTCAGGCTACACACATGGGCCTACAACTAGTAGCTTGAAAATTTTGAAATTTAATCAAAGCTGATATTCTGTTTCTTCTCTCATTTATATTTTACAATTTTGATTATTGTTAATAAAATTACTGATACCTAATAGATACTAGCAATGTCATAAAAAATAATAGATACAGAGAGATTTATATGTACTGTCACAAAATGCAAACCCTATTAAATAATATTTTTGGCGTAAATAAATTTTCTCATTAAAGCTTATGTTGTTGATATAACAATACTTGAATAATTTCCTTTTTGTGAAAAATTAATGTTCAAGAAGATTTTGAATTTATGATAAAATGCTCAAATTACAAAACATTCCGTCCAAAAAGTGTGATTGCTCATAAATTATGCATCTATACCACCTTACACTGTGATTTTTATATTTTAGAAATTTGCACTTTTGCAAAGTGCAACATTTGTTTATTCTTGTGATTAAAATATTTTGTTTGTTTGGATTTTTTGAAATATATATATGTATTGTTTTATAATTTTGATTAAATGTATCTATAGGTTGACCATCTTGGTCATATCATTCATGAATCAGGATCACATGATATAGACTGCTGAAAGGCTAGAGGTGCCTACATTGGATCATCTACTGAATTATTGGGAATTTTTCATTTCTGCTGACCACTGCAAAAGTTATCTGTTGTGCAAACTTATTGTTATTCCTTTTATGGAAGCAATATTTTGAACCTTTACAGTGAATATGCCTGTCAAACCTACCGATCTTGAAACACTACAGTTAAAGTTTTTGGAACACATATTTATTTTGTGAAGAATTTTTCTGCAGAGTTCAACTCTGTGAAAGTTCTTTTACTGAGACGATTTGTCAAGTTTGCCCAGTCTATTTTGCATAGTTGGAATCCACTGATTTGCCAAGGTTGCACAGTCTATTTTGCATAGTTGGAATCCATTGATTTGGCAAGTTGGATCGACATCTGCATATTCTCTACAGTACGACCTAGGAAGAATCATTTCAAATATCTCTGACGAATTCTCTCCAGATATATTAACAGCCTACCAAGAGCCATCTTTGAAGAATGTGGGCCGCTCACCATTCAAGAAGAAGACAATATCGAATGTCTGCAGCATCTCCTGCTACAGCTCCGGGACTGAGAGGAACACGACATTAGAGAAGAATTATAGTCGTTAGTTAAAAACCTATGTATAAATTGAATTATAGTTCTACTAATATCTGAACCAATTTTATGTGTTCGACAAATAAATCATAATAATAGATGTATCCTAGTGTATAAATAATGAATATAAAATTTTGTTCTTCCTAAAGGTATTTGTGTGATTATGTTTGAGAATTTATGATAATGATGTTTCTGTCTCGAGAAATTGATATAAAACCGATCATATTCCACAAATACGAACCCAATCTGAATCGACGATATCCCACAGAAACCTGAGAATCTCAGGTTTCTCCTGTTAAAATTATTTAATTCTTATTTTCAATTTTAATAGATATAATTGAGAATTAAAATTTTATTTTCCATATAATTTAAGTTTAGAATTTTCTCTGAATTTTTTTCCTAGAATTGGATATAAAATATATAGAATCTGATCTAAAAGATTTGTTCGTAAAATTTTTTAGATGACATTTTGCCGCAAAATATGAAATTTGATCCAAAAAGTGTAGACTGAGCTAAAATCATATAATTGGAGTAAAAATATCTAATTTAAAAGTTTAAGAAATATGTAAGGTTCCGATCTTAATGGAGATGAGTAGGGTTCAGGCCCTGGGTGGGGATGAAAAGGGTATGGTTTAGTATAGAGAAAGAACACTCAATTCACACTATTTGTACAAAAACTTCATTTTGAAAACATTGGAAAAACATCATAAATTTTCAGATAAAAATGCGTTTTATTTGAAGTTTAAGTTTTGGATCAAATTCCACAATTTTTCAAAAAAATTGGAATTTAATCTAAAATTTTTTTTAGATCAAAGTCTACATAGATACGATTCCCTTTAGATGAAAAGGTTATAACAGATCGATTTCCTAAATATCGTTTTCAGTTTCAACTTTTTGGAAAGTTTTTTATAAGAACATTAAAGGTTTAAAATTATTATAATTATTATAAAGATTTATTCACACACAAATATATAAATACATATATAAATGGTGTAGTTTAAATTTGTTTAAATAACTTTTTGAAAATACAGGTTTCTAACACCAAAAGAGAAAAATATGCAAAATTATGCACAAATAGACGACATTGATCATTACTCATTACATATTAATTATTCGTTCTTGTATTTAAAAGTTCTTGTAAAACCGGAACTTTCTATGCATGTTCCGATGGGACATCAAAATATTTCATTTGTTTCTTAACTAACATTTTACTAAGATCCGAAGGATTTACAGGAACAATTATTTGCAATAGAAAATAAATTTCTGTGTTAAGGTCATTTTTACATAAATTAGAAAGAAATCTAATGCAAAGCTTAGAACTTGCTTCAATAGTCTCATAGAAAGACACACATCTACTACCTAACATAGTTTTTACATGTAAACATTGTTAAATATAACTGGATAAATTTGTTTTTTATCATACGTGTGCATAAAATCAATACTAGAGAAGCTACGAGGTCGCAAAGTCGTAGTATAAATTTCACATAGATTTGACCTTGTTTTGTATACTCGTAATGTAAATATGACTTTCTTTACTTTTTCTTGTTATATTCACTACGTATTAATGTGAAACTTTTTCAATTTGTTTTTTACTTATTTATCATATCTTTTTATTATGTATCAAATCATATATTTTTCTGCATTTAAAATCATATATTCATTTAATAATTAATTTAATATTATTGCTTTGCTTCGATTTAACAGTGTGAGTTACATTGTTTACTCATGATGTTTAAGTAAGCTGTTTTTGATATTTTGATGTCTTTATGAGTTTGTGCTATTTTGATGTTTTTATGATTTGTGATATTTAGATGTTTATGTGATTTGTGATATTTTAATGTTTATATGAATTTGTGATATTTTTATGTTTTTATGATTTGTGATATTTTAATATTTATATGAACTTGTGATATTTTCATGTTAAATGAATTTATGATATTTTGATGATCATATGAATTTGTGATATTTTAATGTTTAAACGAGTTTGTGATATTTTGATGCTTTATGAATTTGTGATATTTTGATGTTGTATGAATAATTGTGATATTTTGATGTTTTTATGATTTGTGACATTTTGATGTTTAGATGAATTTGTGATAATTTGATGTTTTAGATGAAATGGTGATATTTTGATGTGTGAATTTGTGATATTTTGATGGTTAGATGAATTTTTGATGTTTTGATGTAAAGATGATTTGTGATATTTAGATGTTTAGATGAATTTGTGATATTTTGATGTTTTGATGAATGTGTGATATTTTGATGTTTTTATGATTTGTGATATTTTGATATTTGATGAATTTGGGATATTTTGATGTTTAGATTATTAGTGATATTTAGAAGTTATATTAATTTGTGATATTTATATGTTTTTATGATTTGTGATATCTTGATGTACATATGATTTTTGTGATGTTTTGATGTTTAGTTGAATTTGTGATATTTTGATGTTTAGATAAATTTGTAATATTTTGATTTGAACTAAAAAAGGCAGCTGCATGGTTTCAGGCAAACCGTTTAACACTAAATGTTTCCAAAACAAAGTTTATGATATTTAGGAATAAAAATATGCATTTTGATCCTGAGAACTGCAAATTAAAAATTGGAAATGAGATACTAGAAAGAATAGGAACTGACTGTACAAATAAATATTTCAAAGGAATTGAGTCTTTGCCACAAACGCAAATTTTCTAATTCATATATTTTTACAATCTGCTGGAGTTCATATTTTATATTTCAAACTTAGACTATTGATAAAGGTCTACGACATCGGGTTGAAAAGATATAGGGATTAGAATGTCATAGTTTGTGGCAAAAACTCAATTCCTTTGTTGGACTCAAAATTGATGAATTTTTAAATTGGGACTATCAAATTGAATATGTTTCCAATAAGATTGCTAGCTCAATTTTTGCTCTGAATCAGATTAAAAACATTTTACCGTTAACATTCGTCTACTAGTCTATAATGCACTTGTAAGGCCACATATTATGGAATTATAACATGGGGGGGGGGGCGTAAAAAATCAAGCCTCTGCAAAAAAGAGCAATTAGAGCAGTAAATAATAGTTCATTTAAGGCAAACTCAGATCCAATATTTTTCAGATTAGAACTCCTAAATTTTGATGATACATATAAACTAGGTGTTCTATCTTTTATGCATAAATACTTTTATGAAAACCTTCCATCTTCCTTCCATGATATGTTTAATTCTTTAGCTGAACCAAATAGAACAAAATCATATAAACTTGAACGGGTTCTCTTTAAAACTCTAGAATGTTTTACCTCTGCTTTATTTCCAAAAATATGGAATTCGATTGAATTAGAGCTGAAAGAAACTAAATCTGCAAAATCGTTTAAAAGAAAAGTCGCCAAGATCTCTTTAGATAGTTATGCAAATTATATCTATCTTCATCACCCTGTAGTTCATAAACATGATTTTAATAACTTATGTTACCCTCTGTTCCAACCCTTACGCTGAGTATCCTCCCTTTACCTTATACTCCCTCACCTTCCTCCTTACCATTTTCCTGATTTATCATCATTCTTATGTTTAAAATGTACAATGTACATTGTTTTTATCTGCAATTCTCATTCGTTCGTTTATAGTGGGCCAACCAATTAAAACAACCTACTCTGGTTAGGCGGGTCAAAACTACATAGTAAATTGTGATTTTTTTATTTGTATTATCTCGTGTTTTGTGCTTGAATAAAATATGAATGAATATGAGATGATTTGTGATATTTAGATGTTTATTTGAATTTGTGATATTTTGATGTTTTTTTATGATTTGTGATATTTTAATATTTTTAAGAACTTGTGATATTTTCATGTTATATGAATTTATGATATTTTGATGATCATATTAATTTGTGATATTTTAATGTTTAGATGTGTTTGTGATATTTTGATGCTTTATGAATTTGTGATATTTTAATGTTTTTATTATTTGTAATATTTTAATGTTTTTATGTTTGTGATATTCTGATGTTGTAATGTATAATATGAAATTGTAATCTTTAATCTCAGATATACGAATCTTTGATAATTTTCTTAACTTTATATGAATATCAAGAAATTTGCAAATGTTGAACGCTTCGAGGAAAAGTAAAAATCAAATTTTTAAGAATTTCCCTAAATGTAGATATATTTTAATATAAAAATATGCTGAATCATCTCAAATAAAATAACTTAAATTTTTAATAAATTCATTTAAATCATGAAACTTTGTAATTCCTGTAAATAAAAAAGTTTTTGATTATTTGTCTTAGCACAGCTAGTTTCTTTTATATAAGTTTATAGTTTAGACCGGAAGTATACGCCTTTACGCAGATAAAGGCCTGAAACCAGCGCAATTGCTCTAAATTGGACATTGTTAATTATTTAAACATTATGCTGTTCAAATTCAATCTATAAATAGTTTAAACAGGACAATTCTGTAAAGTTATAATAATTTGAAATTATTACATTTTAAATCTAAAACAATTGCGACATTTTTGAAAAATAAAACTTAAAGTATCTCATCTATTTGTAAATTGTAAAATTATGAAATATTAAAAATTTTGTTCAAGGAATTTATATTATCTCAGATAAAACTATAAAAATGTGAGCAATATTCATGTAAATTGGGAAATTGTTCTTTTAAGGTGTTTTATAATTTTTTTTATCTACTAACATTTTAATTTCTTGTTAATCAACGGAATTTTATTTTTGTAATTTATATAATATATTTGTATTTTAAGGTTTGGTGAAGAATATATTGCATGACTGCTGAGTACTCGAACCAAACCAAACCTTTCTCTATAAACATTAAACAGTTGTCTGTCAGTAATCATAGTACAGTCATGTTTATTCATATGTTTTGATAAAACTTTAACAAAATCAATTGTTATGAAGATTTGATATGTTTCGTTATGTAAAATGTTAAATAAACTTTATTGCAGAAAATGGTGATTATGGTGAAAAAATATCTTGATTGTAAAACTTAGGTGGACTGAGGCTTTCTCCTAAATTTCATTTCTCTTTTCGCGTTCAAAATGTCGACGCTTACCGCCACATCTGCGGTGACGATGAACGTGTCCTACTCCGTGACAACGGATGAGCCGGTTATGAATTCAACAGAGCCGTGGACCCCAGTATATCCGGATCCTGAGAAGTGTAATTATTATATTCTAAACCATAATACAACTAAATATTTCCAGTTCTCTAATCCATACGGAGGAATTCCACAGGTACAAAAACAAATTTTTTTTTCAATGAATTTCATTTATTCATTATTTATTTGAAAAATCACATATTTTATCGAAAACATTTACATTTGTTGTTTAAATAGTTTTTAAGATTTTTTTCGGGTTCAGGTATATCATATTCATTAATCTTCGAAAAATTGGAACTCATGGATATTTGTATCCATGGTCTTGTATTGATGCGTTTTCAGATTTGCGGGATTCAATGAAAATTGTTGCATACCTCCCCTAAAAATGTTTTTTATACAGCAATTTAAAAGAGAGATTTTTTACGAAAATATCAAAGATTATGTTGCTTTTTTGTCCAGAGGAAATTATGGAAACAATAATACTAACAATATGGTATATTCCTAGAGAACGATTTCTGGACCCCCCCCCCCCTCCTATCAATTTTGTATACGGATCTTATATGTTAGACATGGATATAATTGACCATGTGGTCGCAGCGCTCGGCCCACAAAGTGTCTTAACTAACCTAACCCGTGGCCGCAGCACTCGGCCCCCGAGCCTGTCCTAGCCGCAGCGCTCGGCCTAGAAAGTGTCTTAACCTAACCTAACCCTAAATAATAATAAATAAATACTAATTTTGATTTCGTCATGTACAAAATTGATAAGAGGGGGGGGGGTCCAAAAATCGTTCACTAGGACGGACCCCAATAATTATGGGTCAGAGAGAAATTTTTTTAAAATATTGAAATAAAAATATATTTTTCAATAAGTAGTAGCAAAATTGTAAACTTCATTGAATTCTTTCATCCATCTATTTATTTATTTATTAAACAATCCTCAATTTTTTACTTAGAACCTGATGATAAACCTGATCGGCTGGAGTATTCTTATCCTACTGTTTGGTGTGCTACGGCGGGCGGCGGGTAACTATGGCCGGCTGGCGGTTATCAGGAAGGAGGACGATGAGTCTAGATGGACCCAGGTCTTCTTTTCAACCAACGAGGAGGAGGACCCCGTAGAAAACACCGTGGAACAAGGTAGGGTACCATATAACAAGGTAGGATAACGTAGAACAAGGTAGGATACCGTAGAACAAGGTAGGATACCGTAGAGCACTTGTTAGGATACCGTAGAACAAAGTAGGATACCTTAGAACAAGGTATGATACCTTAGAACAAGGTAGGATACCGACACCGTAGAACAAGGTTGAATACTGTAGAACAAGGTAGGATACCTTAGAACACTTGGTAGGATACCGTAGAACAAGGTAGAATACATTAGAACAAGGTAGGATACCGTTGAACAATGTAGGATACCTGGGAACGAGATAGGATTTCGTGGAACTAGGTAGGATCCCGTAGAACAAGGTAGGATACCGTAGAAGCAGGTAAGATATAGTAGAACAAGAAAGAATACTGTAGAACAAAATAGGATACCGTAGAACAAGGTAGGATCCCGTAGAACAAGGTAGGATACTGTAGAAGAAGGTAGGACCCCGTAGAGCAAGTCAGGATACGTAGAACAAGGTAGGATACCGTAGAACAAGGTAGAACACTGTAAACAAGGTGTAGGAACCCGTAGAACAAGGTAGGATACCGTATAATAAGGTAGATCACTATCTAACAAGGTGTAGGAAACCGTAGAACTAGGTAGGACCCAGTAGAGCAAGGTAGGAAACTGTAGAACAAGGTAGGATACCGTAGAAAAAGGTAGGATACTGTATAACAAGGAAGGAACCCGTAGAACAAGGTAGGATGCTATATAACAAGGTGGGATACCGTAGAACAAGGCAAAACACCGTGGAACAAGGTAGAACACTGTAAGAACAAGGTATATAGAACACCGTGGATCAAGGTAGGAATAATTTTACTTTTGTCAATATTTTTTTTTCTTTTAGTTCAAGTGGTGTTAAAATATATCAAAGAATATGAAAGTGGTTTATATTTTTCAGATTTTTGATAATTTTTTTTTTTTTGGGGGGGGGGGAAGAAAAGTATGACATAGAAAGACAACTTTTTTCATTTTTCATTTCATAGGAAATTGTATCGTAGGTACGTGTTGAAAGTGAGAATGAGTCTGACATCTGTAATGGATTGGAGTGAAGTAGATCTAGGAATCTGATATTGTATCTTAGGTGTTGAAAGTGAGAATGAGTCTGTTACCTCTGTAATGGATTGGAGTGAAGTAGATCGAGGAATCTGTTCCTGGATAACTTCAATATTTACAATCACAGACGATATGATACTGAGGTATTATAAATCTTTTGATTACGAAAATATTATTGTGAAATAGCAATTTCCAGTGGGATTGAAAGACGGCAGAAAAAAATATTAGAAACATTCTGATAATTCTGATAAATTATTTATTGATAATCGTCATGTTACTGATCCTGATCCTTGTTCATTAAAGGACAGGGTGCAACGTTAGATGATTAAAAGGACAGGGTGCAACGTGAGATGATTAAAGGACTGGGTGCAACGTGAGATGATTAAAGGACAGGGTGCAACGTGAGATGATTAAAGGACAGGGTGCAACGTGAGATGATTAAAGGACAGGGTGCAACGTGAGATGATTAAAGGACAAGGTGCAACGTGAGATGATTAAAGGACAGGGTGCAACGTGAGATGATTAAAGGACAGGGTGCAACGTGAGATGATTAATCTCTTCTTTTTCCGACATTTTCTACAAATATAAGAACTTATTTTTGATTTACTAATTATTCCGAATGGGGTCATTTTCTTTTAATCTGGAAATACAGGTTTGTTGAGCGACTGCACCTGCAGTTGCTGGGTTTTACTCACCCTATAGGATTCATCTACTCGACTGTTTTCAAGGTTGATCATCTATTCCATTTATAAGTATCCTGTAGAAATCCAGGTTGAGAACAATTATAATACGATTTTCTCTATTGTTCTCAACAAATAATAAAACTCTACAATATTCCATTAAAACTATATATTAATCTTTCTTTTGCCATCTCATTCTAAAGTCGTTTTGTTCTTAACTGATCGAGTAAGACTGTTCTTGTATTCCATTTTGTAATTCTTAATATTCTGAAAAGATTGTGATCAATATCTCAACTTTACTCAGGCTAATATCAGATTAAATGGTGCAAGGTTCTCTAAAATTTCAGAAAGTGCGGAAGTGATGCTCTTCAGTATATCAAGTTCCAGCGCCATATGATTATCTTCGTGTTCATCATCACTGTTATCTGCATCATGATCATCCTTCCCATCAACTTTACCATGGGAAACATACAGGTCAGTTTTATGAGCATCCTTCCCATCAACTTTACCATGGGAAACATACAGATCAGTTTCATGAGCATCCTTCCCATCAACTTTGCCATGGAAAACATACAGGTCAGTTTCATGAGCATCCTTCCCATCAACTTTACCATGGGAAACATACAGATGAGCATCCTTCCCATCAACTTTACCATGGGAAACATACAGGTCAGTTTCATGATCATGATAATGAGTCTTGTCCGATCCACGACGGTATAGTATACATGTAAACCTGTATTAAATAAATAATCTGAACGATATCTTCATTTTTCTGTTTTGAAAAGTGTTTAATTTTGACAATTTACTTCATTGTTTCTGACTTCTGTAGCCCAAATCCGCGAGTTAGGATTACTGAGAAACCACATTTGAAAATTATCAGATTTAAAATAGAAGAAGATGGATGATTTAATTATTTTGTATTTTAAAGAGAAGAAGATTGATAATTTAATTATTTTGTATTTTAAAGAGAAGAAGATGGATAATTTAATTATTTTGTATTTTAAAGAGAAGAAGATGGATAATTTAATTATTTTGTAAGAAGATGGATAATTTAATTATTTTGTATTTTAAAGAGAAGAAGATGGATAATTTAATTATTTTGTATTTAACAAAGCTTATGGGCCGTGTTGTGAATGGAAAATATGCCACTCTGTAAAATGTAAATACAGGATCAATTTGAAAAACGTCCCAAAAAAGCATTTATACTGACATAACCATTTTTTTAAGTTTATAATATCGGGATTGTTTCTATTTTATACGAGATGAGATATAAAAACATTTCATATAATTTAACTTCAGATTTTTTTTTGGAACTTTTTTATTTTCTGGCGTACATATTTCGGTTTCTTCTTTTTGGTGTTTGTTTTAATGTGATGAAGAATACTTTTGTGTCATCAAAGTTTGATTATCTTAATTATTTGAATAAAAAATTAATAAACAAACTCCAAAAGAAGACAGTTGTGTTTAGAATATATTTTGGTCTGAACTTTAGCTCTTAAGATTTTTTTCTATCATGAAGATTCAAAACTAACTTAAATGGTATTTTGTTTAGGGGGACCAGACAAATTTTGGACACACTACGATCTCCAACCTACCAGCCAATGATTCAGTTCTCTGGGTTCATATTGTGGTCGGTATCATGTTCGTTCCTCTAGGTAGGTGACAGGAGTTAACGTTTTTAATTCAACATCCCCCCTCAACACCTTGTCCAAGGGTTAAAGGAACTGTAAGCGTAATTTCAAGTTACCATCCATGCTAAGATGGGAATGCTCGAATTAACAAACTTTGCTTGATCAAGTATGAATTAGATAGATTTGTTTCTTTTAGTTTATTTTCATTTGCGGGTTCTCTACAAAAGTGACTTGTGCATATCATACTTATGAGAAGCAGTGGAGAAATTATCAGAATGAAACATTTGTAACTTAGAAAAACGACGGTATATGGAAGGTCACTTGAAATTACGCTCAGAATCCCTTAAAGAGAATGAGGGGAGTGAAGGGAAGGATGCTTTAGTCATTATTCCCGTGTTGAAGTTGAAGTTGAAGTTTTGAATTAGTTTTTTTTTACACCTTTTTACGATTCAAAACTCCCACTTCCTCTGGCAAACTTGTATTAAACTCCTTGAAGACCAGTTTCTTAGGAGTGCCTTATCTTTATCTTAAATAATTCCGAATCCGAACATGAAAATGTTAAAATATCACCAAATATTATTCTACTTTAAATATACATTGTTTAGGAATCTTTATAATGCGGAGGTTCTCAGTATCCTTGAAGATAGAAGGAGATGAATGTATTAGCTCTAGGTAATATATTTATTTATTAAAATAACATTGTTGGGAGTATCCTGGTTCACAGTCAGGGGCGTACTCAGAAATTTGTTCAGGGGGGGTTTCATTTATTTATTTTCTTTCCAGGGGGCTCAACAGTAAGCACCCGTTGGTGCCTTAAAAAACATCTGAAGAGCATATATTTACTGATCCAGGAGGCTAAGCCATCAAGGCCTCTCCTCTAAAATTATTCTGAAAGAAAAGTAACTACTTATCCATTGACAACTTTGGAAGATTTGATGGGAACTGAGCTGATAACTTTAGAATGGTAGATATCGAGATCAATGCTTGATCTTCTCTTTTTGCTAATCTCAAGACTAATTTAGTCTCTAGATAAACGTCTAGAGATTAGAGATGCGCTCTTTAACTTTTGAAAACCCGGTTTTTAATTTTCCTGCATTTGTGGTGTCATATCAATTTGACTAATGATTGATTGAATGAACATAAGTTTTGGATTAATGTTTCTCAAGACTAACGTTCAAAAGGACTGTAGTTCTCAAATGTGATAAGATATTTTTTTAACAAGTTCATATTAACATGATTAAATTTATATTTGTTTAAATGCTCTAAAAGCCGGCTTGTGAACTCTGTGAACAGCTGACTTTAGTTCAATCGGATATTAGTCCAATCGATAAAGCATCGTAACTGTATTTGTAATTAAACGTATCTTTATTACATGTCGTAGGAAATGTGATATCCAACAAGAGCGGATTAAAAAGAGAATTAAAAGTTTCCACATGGTGGATATTCAGATTAAGCGATCGGGATTAAGGGTATCCAATTTTAAAGTTTTCAGCTTTGATCAGATTTAATTTCATCTGATTCGGAACTGATCAGATTTGATTCGATCCGAACTGATCAGATCTGATTTTATCCGAACTGACCTGGTCTGATCTTTTGTTCAATCCGATTCGAATATTTAAAAAGAATATAAATCAATGTATTTAGAGAAAAAATAAATTTAAAAATTCAAGTAAAAAATAATATTTTTGTAATTTAGAACCCTGATGTTTGATCTTATCCCTGAACAGTATTGTAAGAAAGATCTGATAATCCGTCATCTTCAGGTTACCGCACATCTCAAATTCAAGGGGGGGGGGGATGGAGGAACCCCCCTCAAATTCTGAATGATTTGAATAATTCAAGAATCTGGTATTTGTTTTCAAAATTTCGTCGGGTTGATGAGATATTTCGGAGGAAGATTTTTTTAGAACTTTGAAAGCATGTTTAACAACATTAAGTAGCCCCTTCTCCCTTCCCATTAAGCATTAATGAGTTCAGGGGTGTATATTTTCTCGAAAAATCAATACCCCCACCCCATTTGAAAGTAATTTTCCCCTAGAAGTTAGTTTTCTGTCTTGAGGGTTTTATTTCGCTAAATTGCGGAAAATATTATGGGGGGGGGGGGTGGATAAGCTTTTGGGTAAAAAGTATTCAAAAGGATGAACTTGCATTTTTATGTCCAATTTTTAATTCTTGAAATTATTAACCCCTGAAATAAGTTTCTAAGATTAAATTCTTAAATAAAATTTTCTATTTGTAGGAGGCGTATCCAGTATCTGTATATCCTGGATTCGATATTGAAGATTTACAAATCGCGTATTTTGTTTCGAAATTAACCAGTCTGACCAGCAAACTCGAAACAGCGAGGAACATTTCATTATTATTAAAGAATTGCATTTTGTCATCTCTCAAAAAATTTTATATTTTTAACTGTATTTCTATTCGAATTTAAAAACGATTCTGATGTTTTGAGTAGAAGAGCTGTTACGTTCTGTGAAACATACATGAGCAAAAACGGGAAAAGGTAAATGAAATCTAGAATCCTTAAAATGTCAGGAATGCCCATTAAGGATGAGACTGTAAAGACGACCTGAAACTCTTTTTTAGGTTTTCTGCGATGAATAGTTTTTTGGTCTTATTAATGATTGACCAAAGCACGAAACGAAGAATCTTAAATATAGGGAAACAGACAGTGTTAACTCCGTACAGTTGTACGGTACACTTGTTTTTGAAGTCTCATTCTTTGTTGGTAACACTGAACTTACCTACCTGTACCCTATCTACCTACTTACCTACCTGTCCCCTAACTACATATTTACCTACCTGTACCCTATTTACCTACTTGCTTATCTGTACCCTATCTACCTACTTTCCCAACTGTACCCTATCTACCTACCTGTATCTTATCTATCTACTTGTACCCTATCTACCTAAATGTACCCTATCTACCTACCTGTACCCTATCTACCTACCTGTACCCTATCTACCTAAATGTACCCTATCTACCTACTTGTACCCTATCTACCTAAATGTACCCTATCTACCTACTTGCTTATCTGTACCCTATCTACCTACTTACCTAACTGTACCCTATCTACCTAAATGTACTCTATCTACCTACCTGTACCTATCCACCTAAATGTACCCTATACACCTACTGTTATGTTAAGGTTAACAATGAGTCCGTATAGCTGTGGACTGCTGTGTGGGCTCTGCTGCTGCGGTAGAATGAACAGCCTGGATGCTCTCAACTACTACCAGGAGCAGGAGGAGCAGCTCAGGATCAAGGTGGAGGAGGAGCAGACAAACCTTCACAAAAAGTCAATTGGGGTCGTCTTCGTGACGTTCAGCAGTCTCGAGGTTGCTACTATAGTCAAGAAGGATCATACTCAGTTTGGTTGCGGCAGGTTGGTTTCCCTTCTCTCACTTTCTATGTACACGATGTACACACATGAATACGTCCATGGGCGTATCCAGGAATTTGTCCTCGAGGGGTCGGTGGGGGGGGGGGGCTCACATTTTTTTCCATGGTGAGGCTCAGCACCTGCTGGGGCCCATAACACCCTGAAAATCATAGATTTTCCTGACCCAGGGGGAGGGATTAGCCCTAACAGCCCCCCTCCTGAATACGCCTCTGATGTCTCCCCTACAACATGAGAATTGTGAAACAATTTCAAGATCCTCTTTGTAAATTATTCTTGATTTAGTACGGCCTTCTTGGAAAGCTGTAATCCGTGTAATTGTTGTCTATTGGAGTTTGTCTATTTGTTGGTGTATGTTTTGATTACATTCTGAACATTGAACAAAAAATATTAGCAGAATAATAAAACAGTCTCATATATCGTCTGACAAAGACGCGCTCGAAGTCGCCACTTAGTTCCCATGTTTATTGAGACATAATGTTGTGATGAAGTACTTAATAGAATTAGACAACGCATAAAATACAAAACAAGCAAGATCATTTACTTTAAGAATTATCAATACAGATCGAGAAATGAAAATTTCAATATTTTTCAGATCGAATCCTCCAACCTCAAGTCTGCAGAACCAGCTCCACCCTGACACCTGGGCTGTCAGGTTTGCTCCGCCCCCGGAGGATATTTATTGGGAGAACTTAAACCGAAGCAACTACAGAGTATTCAAGGTAGAACTTATCTTTCAAACCAAATTTGTTATTTAAAAAAAATGATTAATTCTAAGTTTGGTAATTTTTAAATTGATCTGAAAGCCCCCCCCCTCCTCTTGAGGAACGGCCCACTTTAATAGAGAACCCACAATTGAAAAAAATCAATTGTTAAAGTGAAAAATATGGATATCTCATTGGTTATTGGATCAGAAAACGCATTTAAGGGTAACGGTGTGAATCCGACATGCCACTCTATATTTGGCGAGTAACTTTTAATCTTAAGTAACTTTTTAAACCTTTGGGTAAGATATTCTAGGTTTGGTTCAGAGAACATTTACACATATATATTTACATATAATATATTTGTATAATTTTAAATTCTAGGTTTTGGTTCCTTAACATATTTTTGGTTTGGTTCATTAACATATTCTAGGTTTCGTAAGTAACAAATTCTAGGTTTGATTAAGTAAATATGTTAGGTTTGGTTAAGTAACATATTCTAGGTTTGGTTAAGTAACATATTTTAGGTTTGGTTAAGTAACATATTCTAGGCTTGGTTAAGTAACATAATCTAGGTTTGGTTAAGTAACATATTCTAGGTTTGGTTAAGTAACATATTCTAGGTTTGGTTAAATAACATATTCTAGGTTTGGTTAAGTAACATAATCCTGTTCCTTGTTCTATTCTTCTTCACCTCCCCGGCCTACCTGATCAACCTGATGGAGACTCTACCATTCCTCAACACTAAGTCTATTAAGGTTGGTCAACAATTTATTTTTTTCTTAACATTTTTTGTTTGTTTTGGGTAAGGGTCAAAAAATCGGTAACGGGCAAATTTTTTTTCATTTAATATCTTTACAAAAATTCAGTGATTTTTCCCCAAAAATTAAAAGACAAAGCTGCGCCTTATACTGAATGACTTTTTAGGAATTGAATAAATTGCTATATTGGAAGAAATATCCTCCATAAAAACTATTGTTTTTAGTATTTAAGAAAATTCTATTTTTTTAAGGATGATCTAAATGTAAACCTACCCTCTTGGATAACAGATTTCCTACCTACAATGCTACTCTGGACCCTCTCAGCTCTGCTACCTGTTGTTGTAGCATACTCAGGTACTACTTCTCAGCTATGCTACCTGTTGTTGTAGCATACTCAGGTACTACTTCTCAGCTCTGCTAACTGCTGTTTTAGCATATTCAGGTTCTACTTCTCAGCTCTGCAACCTGTTCTTATATCTGTGTATGCTACTAATACAGATACGAGACTTCTAAAAGTAAAAAAAACTTAAATGTCTATTGTCTAAAAATATTAATCAACTAATCAATTAATTAGATATAAGTTGTACTAGGATTGCAGAAGGAGAAAACTATTTTCTGTCGGGTTGAATATATTTTTGAGAAAATGTAAAACCTAATAAATTTTGATTTTGTTTTTATTTAAGACTGGTGGTTGGGACATTGGAGACGGTCTTTAGAAAACCTGTGGATTATGAGGAAGGTAAACAATAAACATGAACAGAAAATTCTTAAAACAAAATTCACAATTAAAAATGGTAATTTCTTGAGAGTAGATATTTAGTTTTCTTCTGAAATGTATTTAAGCAACAATCGTATAGGCTGAAACTTATCTTATTTTAATTTCTGTCCTCTTAATGTTTCTTAAGTCGCTGAGGTTTAAAATCCATAAGTACTTATTTCTAATTAGACCGAGGCAGAAAGTAATTAATAGTTAGAAGTATTTTAACTAAACAAACTACTTTGCTTGTGAGGCCGGTATCAAAGTTGCTTCAATATGATACTGGCGGCACTAACGAAGTAGTTTAACCAAGAAAATCTAGTTAAATCTCTACTCCTCATTCATAAATTTTTACCTCAGGTATTTGGTTACCTTCTGTTCATGGTTCTAATCCTGCCTTCCATTGGTCTGACCACTGTCCGGGCTCTGGTGGAGAATGTTTTGAAGAGTAAGAGTCCGGACTCTGAGATCAACTGGCAGTGTATCTTCCTACCAGACAACGGGGCCTTCTTCATCAACTACGTGACGACCAGTGCCCTGGTAGGGACCGGACTGGAGATCATGAGGTTCCCGGAGTTGATCGTCTACGCGTTCAGACTTGCTTTTGCCAGGTAATATTAAAAAATCTAGCTATTTTATGATACTTTCCCGCATTTTTCTTATTCTCATACTTTTCCTCTCAAAATTTGTCAATCACATTAAAAGGATTGTTATTTTTAAGATATTTTAATCGATTTTGTTTACGAGTACATCCAATGCATGATACATGATTTATGAATTTTTATAGAATTTGTTCTTTTTTGTTATTTTAGTGATATTAACGATACACTAGGTTACTTAAAGTAACAATAAACAGTGTTATTTCGTTTTTCTTCTTAAATATCCAACTCCCGATTCTCTAGAGAGAGAAAAACATTTTGATTTGAGGATGATTATTCCCAATAGAAACTTGTTTATCAAGTACAGGGTATTGTAAATTGTTGTGAACTGCTTATGGTACTTTCAAATTGAGGGAAATATAAAAACTTTGGTAATCTCTTTAAGATCGTCTGCTGAGATCTCGTCTGTTCGGCGTGAGATCATCTACGAGTTCCCTTTCGGCATAAACTACGCCTGGATGCTTCTCATCTTTGCTCTTACTGTATCCTACTCAGGTATACTTATTACTTAATATTGTGCTTTTAATAGTGTCGTTTTTTTGTATTTAATTCAGGTACAAAATATTGCAAAATGTTACATTAGCAAATGTTTCTTAATTTTTTTTATTATAATCATTTGCTTTTCCTCATGACAGTCAAATTTTATATGCAAAAAAAGGCCCAAAACGATCCTGAAACGATGCTAAACATGAATCCAGTTTTGAAATCTAGAAATTTTATTGATTTTTTTTCTAAAAAATATTCTAAATGTAATCTGTATCCTGTATCTTATATTCTGAACGTATTCTGTATCCTATATGTATCCTTTATGTATCCTATATGTATCCTATATGTATCCTATATGTATCCTATATGCATGGCAGTACGCCATTGAACTCGACCCATGCTTGGTGGTACACACTTTGGCCTGTGTGGCCAACCGCCAATGACACCCCGCTACTCCCTTTGGGGATAGTGCGGTGACGTGGGCTCTTCCCATACCTCTCTTCGGACTGATGGGTGACTGTTTTATTTATTTATTTATTTATTTATTTATGTATCCTATATGTATCCTATATGTATCCTAATTGTATCCTATATTTATCCTATATGTATCCTAATTGTATCCTAATTGTATCCTATATGTATCCTTTATGTATCCTATATGTATCCTATATGTATCCTATATGTATCCTAATTGTATCCTATTTGTATCCTATACGTATCCTATATGTATCCTATATGTATCCTATATGTATCCTAATTGTATCCTATTTGTATCCTATACGTATCCTATATGTATCCTATATGTATCCTATATGTATCCTGTATGTATCCTGTATGTATCCTATATGTATCCTATATGTATCCTATATGTATCCTATATAGTAATCTGTCCTCTGATAACCCCGTTTGGCCTGTTCTACATGATTATGAAGCATGGAACTGACAGATACAATATTTACTTCGCATACAAAAGGTCAAAAATAAATAAGGTAACTTTTAACCCTTTACACCTTCGTAGTTTTTGCTGCATGTCTAAAACCACGTTTTTTCTGATTTATATAATTTACTGTAAAGTTTGTTGACTGATTTGTAGTAAGTTAAAAGGTTTATTGAATGATTAATTGGTTGTTCGATTGATTCCTTTATTGATTGGTTGGTTGGTTGGTTAATTGATTTATCGACTGATCGTCAAGTTATTGATTGGTTGGTTGGTTTACTGATTATTAAGTAATTGGTTTGTTGATTGGTTGGTTGATTGATTGATTGATTGATTGATTGATTGGTTGGTTATTGTTTATTAAGTTATTAGTTGTTTGGTTGGTTGGTTGATTGATTGATTTATCGACTGATCGTCAAGTTATTGATTGGTTGGTTGGTTTACTGATTATTAAGTAATTGGTTTGTTGATTGGTTGGTTGATTGATTGATTGATTGATTGATTGATTGATTTTTTTTGATTGGTTGTTTGGTTGTTGGATTAAATGGAATGACAACTTGAAAGGTTAATTGATTGTTTGATTAAGAATATCCATGGCTGCGCGATCAACTGTGTAATGATCTCCCTTCTCATCCAGCAGCTAATGCTGCTCTTCTTCAATACAGTGCGCGCAAACAAGACGGGACTCCTCCCACCCAGGTCAGTATTGAGGATTAAACTTCTTTTTCCAAATTTAGTATTTAGAACTGGACTTTTTCCTCCCAGGGATGTGTTTAGGATTGGACCCTGTGGTCCAATCCTTCTTCTAGCTAAAAAACGTTCTCTTTCTTATCAACTTTTTTTTCAAAAGTAAATTTTTACTTTTATTATTTTTAATATTTTAACAAAATAAATTATTTTTAGAGGAATATTTTCGATCACGATGTTTACAATATATTCTCTTCTCTTCATTGTTCAAATATTTTTCCATTCTTTTAAGGTAAGTTAGATGATTATATATTATTATTTTTGGTTTAACATGTCTTACAGATAGTTTGCGATAGTATTTTATACAGAGTGTCCCATGAAACATGACAGGAGTAAGACGACTAGAAAGTCGTCTTTGAACTTGTAATTTATTTTTGACATTTAGTCGTTAACCTACTTTTATATTTATGATTTTTGAAACAATAACACCAAAATTCTACTTTTCTGACATTTCCGAAATGTGCTTTTTTTGTGCTCCTAAATATTACCGGAAATATTAAGAATTTAGTTCAGATTTCAATTTTATTAAATAAAAACAAAACTGGCGAATTTCTTCATATGGTGATATTGAAAGCACAAAAAAAGTGGGACCACGTTTTGGAAATGCTAAGACTAGGGATATTGTGTGATTATTAAATTTAGAATTTTACTTCTAAAACAAGGTTTACGAATAAATGCCAGAAGTTATTTTAAAGATAAAAGACTGCCTTCAATTCGTTCTGCTACTGTCATGTTTCGTAGGACACCCTGTATAACAGAATATATGTATAAATTTATTTTCTATTAGGAAAAAAAATTTTGAATTACAATTTTATATTTTCTCTCAAAATTTTTAAGAATGTGTATAACCCGCCAAAATTATACTATTTTTCGTTTGTTTATGAAAAAAAATTTTAAGATTTTCTAATTTAGGGAATTTCCCCTATACAATACATACAGAACCCTTACCAGCAGTCCCTCCTACCAGAGGCAGGGCGGAGTCAGGAGGGGCGTTCCCGGCATCACCGCCCCAGACAGTTTATTCCAGATGTTCTCCGGAATGTGGATGTCGAGGCCTAAATCTGAGAGCGTCCTCTAAAATATCCAAAACTTCACAGAGGACGTTCTTTTAGGGATTTTAATACAATTTAAGCTTTGCAGAGAAGAGAATTCATTGTTTTTTTTATAAAACTTTGGAAGTATTTAAGTTAACTCATGTCTCCGTGATTATTTCAAAAACTCATTAAAGCAGATAGTTTAGACTTTATTAAAGGGACTGTCTTTGTAATTTAAGTGACCCTCAATATTTAAAGAGGGGCAAGTCCGATTTGATCAATTACTAATGTTGAAGTTAAAATATCTATTGAATATCTATTGTTTCTGTAGCAGAAATTCGTCACGGTTTTATAGAAAAACAACATTTCAAAATAACCATTTTTTTAAGCTAATGGATATCTCATTTATTATTGATAATAAAAATCTCATGCACCATTGCTAGTAGGGTTTCTAATCGAAATTCCAGTGCGCGGAACTAAAGGGTTCGCAATTGCGCGCATCTAAAATTAACTTGTGTCGGAATCCCTAATTGCAAGGGTGGTACCAATGCAAATCGAACATTTAACTCTATAAATGGAGGGTAACTTGGGATTAGGTCTACAGTCCCTTTATACATATGGAGGCTTATATTTTGCGGACATTATATTCAACAAGTTTTTAATTCTCAGACGTTCAATATTTTAGTAATAGTTTAGTCTTTAGTTTTTAAAATGTTTTATTATTGTGCTAAATTTGACAAGTATTGCATACTCAATCTCGAGATATAGATTTAATATATTTAATTGTTAAGTTTAAAAGGTTTGTTAACGGAATTTTAACTTACCCTTTGTGTACCATTAACGAAATACATTAGTGCATATAAAACCTTGATTTAACAAGTGAGTAAATTGGGAAATATTTTTTTAATCGGAAAATTCAAAATCTCGACCATTTTCTAGAAAGCAATTCGTGGATTTCTACAGCAAAGAGTTCCGGAAAATTTCGTTAACAGTCCCTTTAAGATAGTTTTATTTATATTTTATTATTTAAGTTGTGGAATTTATAGATTTTATTTTATTTTCATCATTTTAAATATTGTGATTGATAGAAATCTATTTTATTTATTTGTCTAGTTTGGAGAAGTAATCTCGATATGCTTATTTTGAATATTTACCATGGTATTGCCAAACATAATTAAATAAAGACAGGGTTTCTTGTTTATTTCGGATGTAATTTAAGAATTCAAGATGATAAAATGTTAACCCTCGAATTCCCTGTGGAAAGTAACCTATTCTAGCTTCTTTTTACCAAATAACTTAATTTTAGATTTTTTCATTTAGCCACGTTATTTACTACTTTATGATTATTTAAAAAAATGTTTAATTATTAGTGGATCAAGGCTTAATATGTAGTAAATAAACCTTAAGTTATGCATAATGCATATACTACTGGATACATAATTGGTTTTGCACTAGAGATCCAGGATATTTTAGGATTTAGTTAATCCCCTCAAACATATTTTATATAATGTTTTAGTGTTTATTTCAACTCATTCCTGGTGCTAAATAGGATCACAAATTGTTTTTGAAAACTTTTGCACGAAATTAGAATAAATTGGAATTTTGAAAAATTTTAAGGATTAGATTTGGGTTATTTTTATATTGTAAGATTTATGATTCTCCGTGTACTCTGCTTTTGTTCTGTTAACACCTCTATACTAAAGAAAATATTTAAATATATATATATCATTATTTCACCCTGTGTTTATTTTTTAATAAAGGGTTAACAGTATACAGGATTAAAGGGAGTGTTCGCGAAAAATGAAAGGCGAAAAATAAGAGCATTTAATCGGTACTAATCTTACTTCTATCTGTTACGTCTATTAGGAGAACTCTGATCGTAAAATGATTTATTTAATATCAAATATAAATCATTCAGATATTACAAACAATAGTCATCGATTATTTTTCGACGCATTCATATATATATTTTATAATATTTTTTGATTTTGTTTTTTAAAATAATATTTCGCTGGCGCTGGATTTTCGAACATTCCTGGAAAATATGAAAATGTCGTCTTAATTATCAAAAATCTTCTAAACTTGAATAAATGTTTTCAAAAGTAGCTATCAGATCATAAAAAAAAATAAAAAATATTCTGAAAGATCAACTGTATACGAATGCGTCGAAAAATTATCGACGATTATTGGTTATAATATCTGAATGATTTGTTTGTAATTAAATAGATTCTTTTACGATCAGAGTTGAATGTTGCAACTTTCTGAATTTGTATGGACGCTACATTCTTCGGTATGAATCGTTTTTAATAATTTTCTCCTTATCGACCCAACTCACCCAACAGGTAAAAGTAAGATTAGTAGCGATCAAAAGCCTAGTACCCCCTTCATTTTTCGCGAACACTCCCTTTAACTACAAAGAAAGCGACTTCAGAGACGACAATTATATGGAATTTATTTAACCTTTTTTTTAAATTCTTGCAGTTCTTGCAGTTACAAACTTTGTTCAATATATTTAAATCAGCAAATATGCCATTTTTTAAACTGAATTAAACAACGGTTCTATTTTAATTATAGTTCAAAGTATTTAAAGAGTTTCTGTTCTTTGTTAAAGTCTATCTTTTGTGAGTAACCCTTTAGATCTTTCGATTCTTTTGTTATGCAAGTTTCAAACCAAATCCTATTAAAGGAACTGTAAAAGAAAAATGAAAGTGGGTATTGGCTGAAAGCTGATCACTTCAGCTCTTGATCAGTCACGACCCATGATATTCCTGTCTCGAGAAATTGATATAGAACCGTGTCAAATTGATACGAAAATTCATGTATACACAATTTTGTAAAGTAATAGTAGATCTAAACAGATCATTTTCGGTAAATAAAATCTGAAATTGTAGATGTCCCAGAGAAACCCCAATTGTAACTTGAGTTTTCTCCATTTATTATTTATAATTTTTATTTTTATTTTAGATATGATTTATAATATCCGTATTACGTCACCAATGCTAGTGCAGTACACTGGTCACGTGATACAGACAAAGACCACCTTTTATTTTTCCTGTACAGTCACTTGAAACAAGCAAGAAAATAAACCAATAAACGATTCAGAAAGTTAAACAAATTATGAAATTTGTTTAAATTATAACTTTAAACACTGGTTTATATTTTTTTGGTTGTTTTTTCTTCTTTTCTATTTTTCTTAGAATTGGCATACTCCCCCTTTCGAGAGGGGTTAACATGGGTCGCTAATTCAAAAACAATTACAGTTCAGAGACCTAAGGAATGGAACATCACTTAATTTTCTCAAACTTTTATTCTCATATTTTTGCATTCTGATATTTCTAAGATCCAAGAACTAAAGTTTAATATAGCAAAGTTTAACACCATCAGGTTGCAAAGATGTACGGTCTAGAAAATTAAATTACAGATCTTTTAAGGAAGTAGTTGAACTACGTTGACTTAGTTGAGCCACATGTTTTCATTTTGAACAAAGTAAGTTATTTAACATATTTGTACTCGTCTTCGTTTTGAAAAGAGAGAGGTTCATGTTCATAATATATTTCTCGAGCATTGTATAGGTAACATCTTAAATATAAACTTTTCATCATAAATTCTTAATTTTCACAAATATAACAATAAATCCTTATTTCTAGAGCATTGTATAGGTATCACATATTATTAACTTTGTATTCTAACTTTTGTATTGTACTACATCAGTTCTTCGTATTATTGTGCGTCAAAGTTCTTTAAAGAAAGATGAAAATTTTAGGGAAACGTAAAAATAAAATGCATTGTTAGGCTTAGTCTTTCAGATTTTGTCAAAAAATATAATTTAAGGGACTGTAGACGTAATTTCAAGTGAATCTCCATTAATAGAAGGGTATGTACGATTCACAACGGTATCCTTTAACCCTTAACATAAGCTAGGATATCAATCATCTTTTCTCTGAAAATTGATTATTTTCAATTGTGGTTTGGGCATTTCTGCTTAAAAAACAATAGATTAATAAACTCTTAGCTACCTAGAAAAGCGACAATATCTTCCACATTATTGATCAGTTTAAGGTTTAAAAGGGTACTATTGTTAATCAATCACTCCCCTCTTTAACTGGAAGTTCACTAAAAACTAGAACAACATTCCTTCAAAACAGAATTATATAATCAGCAGTCTAAAGTTGCTTCCAGTGAGCCATCGTAAACCTAAAAATATAATAATTAGGTCACTTTATGATCCATGAAAATATATCTTTTTATCTGTCGTTGATCCTTTACGCACCATTTTATCCTTAATCCCTACAATGAACCCTTGAATCCTTTTCATCATATCTTTGATGCCCACCATCATATCATTGATCCCTAACATTATATCCTTGATCACTACCATTAAATCCATAATTCGTTACAATTATATCCTTCACTATGCCATTTTATCCTTGATCCCTACCATTATATCCTTGATCCCTACCATTATATTCTTGATCCCTACAATTGTATCCTTGATCTCTTCCATCATAGTCTTGATCCCTACCATTATATCCTTGATTTCTTCCATCATATTCTTGATCCCTATCATTATATCCTTGATCTCTTCCATCATATTCTTGATCCCTACCATTATACTCTTGATCCCTACAATTGTATCCTTGATCTCTTCCATCATAGTCTTGATCCCTACCATTATATCCTTGATTTTTTCCATCATATTCTTGATCCCTACCATTATATCCTTGATCTCTTCCATCATATTCTTGATCCCTTTCATTATATCCTTGATCTACACCATTATATCCTTAATCCCATCCATCATATCTTTGATCTCTACCATAAAGTCCTTGACCCATACCATTATATCCTTCACTATGCCATTCTATCCTTCATCCATACCATTATATCCTTGGTCTCTACCATTATGTCCTTACCTATACCATTATATCCTTGGTCTCTACCATTATGTCCTTGCCTATACCATTAAATCCTTGGTCTCTACCATTATTTTCTTACCTATACCATTATATCCTTGGTCTCTACCATTATGTTCTTACCTATACCATTATATCCTTGGTCTCTACCATTATGTTCTTACCTATACCATTATATCCTTGATCTCTACCATTATGTTCTTACCTATACCATTATATCCTTGGTCTCTACCATTATATCCTTACCATGCATTATATCCTTGGTCTCTACCATCTTGTCCTTACCATGCATTATATCCTTGGTCTCTACCATTATATCCTTACCTATACCATTATATCCTTGTCTCTACCATTATATCCTTGGTCTCTACCATTATATCCTTACCTATACCATTATATCCTTGTCTCTACCATTATATCCTTACCAATACCATTATATCCTTGGTCTCTACCATTATGTCCTCACCTATGCCATTATATCCTTGGTCTCTACCATTATGTCCTTGATCCCTACCTCGTATTTTGATCATCTTGAATGGTTTCATAACAAGGAGTGATAGCAATTCCAAAACTCTGAATCCATGTTCTTTTCTTACTGGCAGGACCGTTCCTCTAAATAGAAATAATGAAAAGTACTGTTACGTCATTTCAATATAGGGTTTCAAAATAGTGTAAGCATGGAGAGAGGCTTACTTGTAAATAAACTTTAGTCAACGATAGCATTGCGACGGATATCAAGTCATCTCGTCTATATCGTGTAGGGGGATTTATCCATTAGAAAATGCCAACCCAGAAAACATGCTTTGAAGGCATGGAAATCAAAGCGACTTTTGGACCATGAATTCTATTTAAATTCAAGCCAATAGGCATGAGACACGGCTTGACATGAGGTAGGTGGAATTAGGATCAGCCTGGGCTAAAACCAAAATGAAAGTTAGTTATGAAAAAGAGTCTAAAGACGGAAGATTAACTCGTCGAACGAGGCGAATGATAGGCGGAGAGTTTGTCAGAGAGCTCCAGCTTTCCATGATTCATTAGTATCATTTTATTTGTTCATTTTTTACTTGTAAAAAATAAATTTTTTCCCACATCAGTTTTTAGGCTTTATATTTCCTTTCTTTCATATACCACTTTTAAATGGTAACGATAGGGCTTAATTCCTGGTCAAATTGTGTTTGTTTATTGGCAAAATTTTCAAATCATAAACAATTATGGACCATTCCAGGGCGTAAAAATGCATTGTGTGCAGGTAGGGGGCTTATTTTTCATTTTTCCAGATTGAAGGGGGATTGGCTTCCATAGCTTTCTGTTTAGGTTAAGTAAATAATAACTTTATGCGTAATTATATATAACAAATTTGAAATTCCACAGGTAAAATCGGGCACTAAAATCATGATTTAATAACAAGCGTGGCGCGGGTAAACATAGAGAGAGTAACTATTTGAGTAATAATATAATCCTTGGCAACGCCGGGTTCTCCAGCTAATTCTTATATTTGAATTAATCTGATTAAACATATTCAAATCACGTTTTTGTTATGATTATCTTTTACCTTTGCTTGTATCACAACATATATAGCTGTTAAGGGAATACAGGCCATAGTGGTACTCGCGAGAATTCTAAAAATAAAATAAAATTTCAAATAAACGAAAATAAAAAATATAATTTGGGATCAGATCTAATAAACAATAAGAAGTAGTTAAGCTGCCTAGCCTAGTCATCCAAAATTTTAAAATAAATCAGCATTTTATCATCACTTCTTTTAAACTGAAGCTAGAAACAGTTTTAAAATATGCATATATGTATACTGTCTATTGTCCAAGGCTACAACAGTGTATAAAGTAACTCAGTAAGGTAACACCAAGGCGTTGTGCCACTTCAAATTTGACCAAGTCTTAAAAACTGATGTACAAGTTTCATAGTTTTTTCACTGCAAAACTGTATGCGACATTACTAGTAAGATAAAGTAAAAGTAAAAAAGTAAAAAATTATTTATTTATGAAATATAACAAAAACATACAAAAGTGTTTTAGGAGAAAATATTTAAAAACCTCTAAAAATAGAGGTTGTGGGAATATTTCCCCCAATTCTAAACAATATAAAAATAGAAATAAAAGGAAAAGGAAAGTTACATTTTTATAGTTTACACTATATTTAATAAATAAATTGGTGGTGGATTGTTAGTATTTTTCAACGATGAACTCGTATCTCCTAGTTTTGATTTTACACACAAGTGTGAGAGAAAAAATAACCGGTTACATATTAGAAATTATTTAAATCTAATATGCAATTTACTTCAACAACTTCTCTTCAACTTGAACTGGTGTTCAAGCGAAGGGGTTCAACTACGTCTACGCGGTTTAACTACTTCTTGATATTTATTGAATCCAATCCCTGAACTGTCCAAAAAGCATTGTTAAATTACAAAAAAAATCTTTAAAAAAATAAACATATGTTTAATAATAATATAAAGTGAAATATCGACCTGCCCGCCCACTGTGCTCCTGCAGGATATTTGTACACTGTACCGTCGTACATCTCCATCTCGAAAGGTCCATAGTCAACCATGTGTATAGCTATTATACCCTGAATAATTTATAATTCGTTTTTATTTAAATGGCGAGATAGAGAAAAGACAGAATAAAAACATGATAATATTTTTTGCATGGTTTCCCACATAGACAGAAAATTAATATTTTTTATATTTAAACAAAAATATAACATAATACTTTAAATTTAAGTAAATTTTGCTCTGATTTACATTAGTCAACTCTCAAGGAATCAATGCATTTTCATGACGACATTCCTTGCACTTAAACATGAAAAAGGACTAATGATTACTTACTGCTAGAACACAATGAGTAATAATTACTTACTGCTAGAACACGATGAGTAATAATTACTTACTGCTAGAACACATGAGGGCTAATGATTACTTAATGCTAGAACACAAGGACTGAATATTACTTACTAATATAACACAAGGACTAATGAATAATGATTACTTACTGCTAGAGTAAAAGGATTACTTACTACTAGAACACATGAGGACTAATGATTACGTTCTACTAGAACACATGAGGACTAATAATTACTTACTGCTAGAACACATGAGGAATAATGATTACTTACTGCTAGAACATAAGGACTAATGATTACTTACTGCTGTAACACTTGAGGACTAATGATTACTTACTGCTAGAACACATGAGGAATAATGATTACTTACTGCTAGAACACAAGGGCTAATGATTATTTACTGCTAAAACACAAGAATTAATGATTACTTACTGCTGTAACACATGAGGACTAATGATTACTTTCTGCTAGAACACATGAGGAATAATGATTACTTACTGCTAGAACACAAGGGCTAATGATTATTTACTGCTANAACACAAGGACTAATGATTACTTACTGCTAGAACACACACGGCCTAATGAGTACTTACTGCTAGAACACAAGGACTGATGAATTTCCAGCATATTCTCCAATATATTCCAGGTCTATGACCCAACATGGCGTAGATATCGTTTCCAAAGTACCGTAGACCGTAAACCCAAGATACTGCTACAGCTAAAAAAATAACATTTTTATCAAACTAAGTTAGAAATGACATTTTTTTCTCTAACTCTACCCCACCCCCACACCCCCAGACAGAAATCATACACAGGATTGTAGCCAGGCCCAAACTTTTTTTGCCCCCCTCCCCCCTCCCTGGTCTTTAGATTACTGTTATTTTATTTAAAGTCTACATGTTCCCAATTCAAGGACTATATATTAAAATGTATCCCTCTGAAGTCCTGAGTAGTCGTCCCTCCCCTGGCTTTCGAATCGGGGTTGAGAGAGGACTTGCCAAACACTTGCATAATGCATATAGCTGCAATCGTGTTGTTAAGTAACTGTAGTTCAGAGAAAGAGGAACATTGCCCCCCCCCCCTGTGTACGCTACTGCCTATATGCAATTATAGGATCCCTTAACTTTGATTTGATTTGAAAAGTATACCTTCAAAAAATACGGTTGTTAGTAAAGATAATCCTGCAGCATACACCTCCAGTAGATTAAACACATAATATCCACCCTGGAGTAAATTAACGTAAAAAAACGTTATGAGCCATGCAAAACTTGCTAACTCTAAGTAAATCTGGTTGCATCAGCTGAGACACGTTTTAATATGTCTTTAACTTTTGATTTAAAAACTAAAAAGCACAGATTGGATAAATTTTGGTCGATGGAAAATTACAAGAAATTTTAAAAAAATGATTCAAGCTAAAAGATTAAGTTTCTATTGAAAGATGAGAGGTAAGGATGGTTGGGTTTCGATTGGCTTACCGGTGTGACACACACAATTGCCACTAGGAAGGAAAAGAAGACGACAAATCCCGTGAATATTTCCCGCGAGATTTTATGCTTATGAAAGAATTCTTTGAATTCATCCATAACTCCTGTTATTACACACTCAAGGCCTCCCATCTAAAATAAATTGAATTGTTTATTATTCGAAATTAGGAAAATCAATGATATCATATTACTTAGTTTGATATCTTGTGACTGAAAACAGTAATCTTGAATCTGATATTAAGGATCATGAGATTGAAAGTGATAATCTTGGGATTGATGAAAACAAGCTTGAATCTGATATTGAGGATCATGAGATTGATATGATAATCTTGGGATTGATGAATACAAGCTTGAATCTGATATTGAGGATCATGAGATTGATATGATATGAATACAAGCTTGAATCTGATATTGAGGATCATGAGATTGATATGATAATCTTGGGATTGATGAATACACACTTGAATCTGATATTGAGGATCATGAGATTGGAAGTGATGATCTTGTGGTTAATGATAGTAAGCTTGAATCTGATATTAAGGATCATTAGATTGAAAGTGATGATTTTGTGGTTGATGATTGCAAGCTTGAAACTGATATTGAGGATCATGAGATTGAAAGTGATGATTTTTGTGGTTGATGATTACAAGCTTGAAACTGATATTGAGGATCATGAGAATGAAGAGATAATCTTGTGATTGATGATTACAAGCTTGAAACAGATATTTTGGATCATGAGATTAAAAGTGATAATCTTTTGGTTGATGATTGAGGATCATGAGATTAAAAGTGATGATTTTGTCGTTTATGATTACAAGCTTGAAACTGATATTGAGGATCATGAGATTGAAATTGATAATCTTGGGATTGATGATTACAAGCTTGAAATTGATATTGAGGATCATGAGATTGAAAGTGATAATCTCGGGATTGATGATTACAAGCTTGAATCTGATATTGAGGATCATGAGATTAAAATGATAATCTTGTGAATGATGAAAGTAAGCTTAAAACTGATATTTAGAATCTTAATTATGAAGTGATGTTGGTAATCTTGTGACTGATAATATTAATCTTGTGACTGATATTAGTGATCTAGAGACTATTGATCTTTTGACAGTTGAATGTAGAATTGAAACGTGTGATTGACACTGATGTTGGTGATCTTGAAAACAGTATTAGTAATTATGTGAAAATTGATGTTAATTATGAAACTGATTTTAGTTATTTTAAGATTAGGTAATATTTGTGGTCTTGAGACTATTAAAAGTAATCTTAAGACAAATTTAAGGGATTTTGGGACTTACATTGGTGAATTTAAGACTTGTTTTAATAATTGATTTGTATTTGTGATATTGAGACTAATTCTTTTAATCATAAAGCTAATTTTTTCAAGCTATTAAACTAGCAATGAATGGATAAATGGGTAAATGGATAAATGGTCAAATGGACTATAAAGTCGTGAATTGTGATTTGAAAAATACTAAATTGTCCCTACCACACTATCCATTCCAAGCATGATAAGAATGAAAACCAACCACACTATCCATGTCAAGCATGATAAGCATTAAAACCTACCACACTATCCATACCAAGCATGATAAGCATGAAAACCTACCACACTATCCATACCAAGCATGATAAGCATGAAAACCTACCACACTATCCATGCCAGCCATGATAAACATGAAAACCTACCGCACTATCCAAGCCAAGCATTATAAACATGAAAACCGACCGCCCTATCCATGCCAAGCATGATAAGCATGAAAACCTACCACAATATCTATGCCAAGCACGATAAGCATGAAAACCTACCACACTATCCATGCCAAGCATGATGAGCATGAAAACCTACCGTACTTTTCATGCCAGCCATGATAAGCATGAACACCTACCATGCCAAGCATGATAAGCATGAAAACCTACCGCAATATCCATGTCAAGCATGATAAACATGAAAACCTACCGCGCTATCCATGCCAAGCATGATAAGCATGAAAAAGAAGAGAACAGCCCAGAACTGACTGCCCGGAAGTGTAGCAACTGCTTGAGGGTAAACCTCAAATACAAGCCCAGGGCCTGAAATTAAGTCAGTTCATCAAAACACACTTTCAAAAATCTGTTTTGAAAAATATTCAATTTGGAAATAAAGAATGTTTCAGCTGCTCTACATTTAAAAAAATAGTTTCAAGATTAAAAAGTGCCATTGCAAAAACACAAGTGGATTCTTCTGTAATATGTAATATGTTGTGAATTTTACTGAATTTGTGAAAATAAAATGTTTTTGATTTGTAAATTCATTGAATATTAATAACCTAACGTCATGCAAATTTGGATTGCTTCTCTGAAACAGAGGCGTGACTAGGGCAAAATAAAATATATGTTTTTTTTCCGAAGGGATGTAAAATCTCAGAATTTCGTTCTAAAAAAAACTCATGACAACGAAAATTGTTGAAAAGAGCTAAACCCCTCCGACCTTGGTCTGCTACGTTCTCAATATCTTTCCCCTGTGATTTAGCCATGTAGCCCAGGTAGGTGAAGATAACGAACCCAGAGAAGAAGCTCGTGAATGAGTTCACCGCAGAGGTTACCAAGCAATCCCTGATCAATCAGATTTTTAGAATTCAGAGATATTCATTGTAAGAGACTGTCATTGTAATTTCTAATGACCTTCCATTTAAAAAAGAGGGGAGAATAATATATATTGTCGTGTATTTCACTTAAAAGGCATAAAATTCTTTTATCCCTCCATTGTTTTTGCAGCAGAAATCCGCAAGTCACTTTTACCAAAAAGAAAAACAGGGTAATCCTAGTGAATTGGACATGCCACTTGAAATTTTGTCTACACATTCCTTTGACGGTCATAACCTTATGTTCTCTTAATCATCAAAACTTAATAAAATGGAGCGAACTTTTGTTTTGGAACTTGTACTGACCTATAGCAGTTGTTATGGAACTTGTTATAGCTGGCGTAAGCAAGATGGACACCAAAACCTGCTCCCACGCTGTAGAAAATCTGTACCGCGGCATCAATCCACACTTGGGGCTCGCGCAGCTTCTTCCAGTCAACACTAAATACAGTTAAATTACACTTTTAAAAAATCTAATTTTAAATTTTATGGCAAATACAAATTCAAGGACCGAAGAGGGTTACTCCAGATCGAAATAATAAATGTTTTCAACAGTTGACTTCTAAACATCCACGTTCTATTCTAATATATTTCTACCTGAGATAGAAGGAAATCCCATCCATAGCTCCATCAAGCATAAGTCCTCGAACTAGCAGGATTGATAGAACAACATAGGGCATAGTAGCAGTCAGCCATACTACCTTACCAGAGGATTTTACTCCCTAAACAATATAGAACATAGTAGCAGTCAGCCATACTATTCTACCATGGGGGACTTTACTCCCTAAACAATATAGAACACAGTAGCAGTCAGCCATACTATTCTACCAGGGGACTTAACTCCCTAAACAATATAGAACAGTCAGCCATACTACCTTACCAGAGGACTTTACTTCCTAAACAATATAGAACATAGTAGCAGTCAGCCATACTACCTTACCAGAGGACTTTACTCCCTAAACAATAAAGAACATAGTAGCAGTCAGACATACTACCTTACCAGAGGACTTTACTCCCCAAACAATATAGAACATAGTAGCAGTCAGCCATACTATTCTACCAGGGGACTTTACTCCCTAAACAATATAGAACATAGTAGCGGTCAGCCATACTACCTTACCAGAGGACTTTACTCCCTAAACAATATAGAACATAGTAGCGGTCAGCCATACTACCTTACCAGAGGACTTTACTCCCTAAACAATATAGAACATAGTAGCAGTCAGCCATACTATTCTACCACGGACTTTACTCCCTAAACAATATAGAACACAGTAGCAGTTAGCCATACTTCCTTACCAGAGGACTTTACTCCCTAAACTATATAGAACATAGTAGCGGTCTGCCGTACTTCCTTACCAGAGGACTTTACTCCCTAAACAATATAGAACGTTGTAGCAGTCAGCCATACTACCTTACCAGAGGACTTTACTCCCTAAACAATATAGAACTTAGTAGCAGTCAGCCATACTACCTTACCAGAGGACTTTACTCCCTAAACAATATAGAACATAGTAGCAGTCAGCCATACTATTCTACCAGGGGACTTTACTCCCTAAACAATATAGAACATAGTAGCGGTCAGCCATACTACCTTACCAGAGGACTTTACTCCCTAAACAATATAGAACATAGTAGCGGTCAGCCATACTACCTTACCAGAGGACTTTACTCCCTAAACAATATAGAACATAGTAGCAGTCAGCCATACTATTCTACCACGGACTTTACTCCCTAACAATATAGAACATAGTAGCGGTCAGCCATACTACCTTACCAGAGGACTTTACTCCCTAAACAATATAGAACATAGTAGCAGTCCGCTATAATACCTTACCAGAGGACTTTACTCTCTAACAATATAGAACATAGTAGCGGTCAGCCATACTATTCTACCATGGGGGACTTTACTCCCTAAACAATATAGAACATAGTAGCAGTCAGCTATAATACTTTACCAGAGGACTTTACTCTCTAACAATATAGAACATAGTAGCGGTCAGCCATACTACCTCACCAGAGGACTTTACTCCCTAAACAACGGATCCAGGATAGTTCTGGTGGAAAAGAAACCCTTTAAAGACGTAAGTTCAAGTGACCCTTCATTAAAAAAAATGTTTGTTTAACAACGGTACCCTTTGATCCTTTGTCTGATCAAGGATGAATGAGATATCTATGATTTCTCTAATTTAAAATTTGATTATTTTCAATTGTGGTCTGTCTTTTTAAAGTGATTTCGGATTTCTTGCTATAGAAACAAACATAGAATTTGTAAGAATAAACTCTTTCCGGCTTAAAATCGACGATATCCTCCATATTATTGATCAGATAAAGGTTTACTTGAAATTACGATTACAGTCATTTTCAGGATGAAACTTGAAAGACAATAAGACAGATTTTATTTGTTTGAAAACACGGTATTTTTCTGGAGTTACAGGTCGTCAGTAAAGTTCCATTTCTACTTCCTTTTGGGTCTCACCTAGTGATCGGCAATTGGAGCATTTTTTTACTTTAAATGTAAACAATTTTACTGAAAATGTAAACAAGTTTACTGAAAATGTAAACAAGTTTACAAATTTCAAAATTGCTTTTCTACAAATTCCTTACACTATATGTCAAACCATGATCCTAAGAGAAGATCTGTGCAAAAAAACGAACCACAAAAAAACTTATTTTCTTTAAAAAATTTTCTTGAGCTTACATTTTTGCTTAGATTAACAAAGTTAAGCAAACTTTTCCTAAACACAGTTTTAAAATGTTAGAAAATTCACAAATTCAGAGAAATTGTGTGCCGTCATTAAAAAGTAAAAAAAACTTTTAAGTTTAAGAAAAACGAACAAGTTAATCACTTGTAACATTGTGAAATAATTTTCATCGATACTTGTAGGTTTTAAAATGTTAAATAACACAAAAAAAGGTAAAACTGAATTTTTCTGACAAAAATTTTATGAGAAGGCTCCGATTCCATTTATTTTTTTACCTTAAAAAGAGATAAATAGAGTAGACAGTAAACAGCTCCTATACAAAGAATAAGCTGCCATTGTGGTACTCCTAGATCATAGATACCCTCACTCTCATGGACTCTTAGAACAGCTTTACTATAACAGAAACTCTTAGAACAGCTTTACTATAACAGAAACTCTTAAAACAGCTTTAAAAATAATTAATAAAAGGAGCTCTTAAAACAACTTTACTAAAATATAACAGAAACTCTGAGACCAGCTTTATACTAAAATATAACAGAAACTCTTAGAAAAGCTTTATACTAAAATATAGGGGGAATTCTTAGGCCAGCGTTCCTTAAATATAACAGGAACTCTTAGAACAGCTTTACTAAAATATAACAGGAACTCTGAGACCAGCTTTATACTAAAAAATAACAGGAACTCTTAGAACAGCTTTACTAAAATATAACAAGAACTCTTGGAACAGCTTAACTAAAATAAAACAGGAACTCTTAGACCAGCTTTATACTAAAAAATAACAAAAACTCTTAGAACCGCTTTACTAAAATATAACAGGAACTCTTAGAACAGCTTTACTAAAATATAACAGAAACTCTGAGAACAACTTTACTAAAATATAACAGGAGTCAGGAACTCTTAGAACAGCTTTACTAAAATATAACAGGAACTCCTAGAACAACTTTACTAAAATATAACAGGAGTCAGGAACTCTTAGAACAGCTCTATATATAACAGGAACTCCTAGAACAACTTTACTAAAATATAACAGGAACTGTTAGAATTGTTCTCCTTCATTTTTAAATTCTTCTTAACCCAAAAGTATAAACTGTTAAGTGTTAAGTGTGTTAAGTTAAGTGTATGGGTCATAACCTCAAAATAACATAAAATTCCTGGTAAAAATCACGCAACCTTTTAACATAATCTTACTTGAAATATTCTTTGGCTGGAGATCTGGTTTGATTGCAGGTGATATTCCCAAATATTGATGTCAGGTTCGAATCACTCTGAAAAATTAAATTGCAGGGACTGTTCTTAAAATGGGGCTTAAAATTACCTTAAAAAGCTGGCTGTATGTTTGATTAGTTTCAGGATCTAGAATTGTTTCACATTTTATTGCGCATTCATCGTCATTCCAGGAGTTCAAACAATCCTTGATTATTATTATTAGAGGACTTTACTCCCT